ACAGAACTGTTTTTAATATTACGAGTCATTTTTGTATAGTTGTATGCAATCCGGCATAAATGTTTTAAATATTGAAAACAAATGTAGACACTTGAATGCACCAAATAGAATATAATTTGCTACCAGAAACCATCCCTAAAGTCGAGGAGTAAGATTTATGGTGGTAGATATAGTTATAGGTACATTAAAAAATAGTTTTTGATTTTTCAAAGAAACCCTTTGTCCTCCCACTCTCCTCCCATCAACGGTATCTTCCGTTTGGTTTAAAATTAATATTAATATGAGTTCAAAAGTATACTTATATTATATATTACTATTCGATTTAGCTGAATAATATTATTGTACGGTACTTTGTAGTTATATTACGGGTAACAATTTACTGTCTTTTTGGCTCGACGTATATTATAATTCATTGATGGAAAATTGCCGATTAATTATTTTTTGTTCTCAATCCAAAAACTGTCTATCAAATCTCATTGTGTTTACTGCGGCGGTTGCGGCGGTTGTGGTCATTGTGCCTATACGCGAATATTTGGCTCATCCGATTTATATATATATATTTATATATTGTGTACAATACGTATATTTACAAGTATGTAAGCCAATCAACAAAATTATTGGAAAAAAAATATACTATTATTATCATTATTATTATGTTTATACGGGTTGTCAAATCTAAAACGCTGTCGTCTTAACTATTTAGTTAATACTTCTGACGTCAGAAATATGTGTTCTATTCTTTTTTTTTTTTTTAATATTTGTGGCCGCATCACATTTCTCTCAATAGAATCGCAAGCTAAAAATATCTCTCGAGGAAGCATCGAGGAACGGACGTTGTTAGTGCTCGCTGAGTTGTGGTCATGTGCTGTGTTAAGTGATTTTTTTTTTATATAATGGAGCAACTTATTCGAAGGTAAGAAGACTAAAATATTATTTCGTTTTTATTTAAAAAATACTCGGTGGCGATAACAAACCGATTTTTAAAATTTTAAATTAAAATAAATTTTATTCAATAGTATTTAAATAACGACAAAACTCCCGGTGATTCTATGTTAGTAAATTTAAAATATTAAAATACGCACATACCTCAATTCGACGGATTTCTTATGGTTGTAATGAGAGAAATAAAATTATTGTATTATCAATTAAATTTCTATTTCGTATACCTAATTATATAATATCTATTTTATTTAATTAATTGAAAAAAAAAAAAAACGATTGGTACAATTTATAAATAGTTCAGAAATATGTACTTTTTACTTATTTTACACCTATACGCTTGCCAATTGCTATATAATACACTTGTATTTTTTTCTATTTTATATTATGTGTACAATTATGATTTTTATTTTTTTTCTGCACGATTAATCTGATGGGGAGAAAAACAACCGTTCAAAATAATGTTTTTCGTACTTGTACTAAGTATAATACGTGTATAATACAATTTATTCACGTCAGTTTTTACGTGCACCTACTCGACATAAATAATACATGCTTACCTAGCTATAGCTATAACGAGTGAACTATTTTTCTTTGTCTATCAAATTTCACACTTATTCTAATACATCCACGTGTAGAGTCGAAGATTTAATAGTTTAAAAATATTTTACGGGTGGTGTAGTTAGAGGTACTCGACAAAATACAATAATGCGAATTATATTTAATTTAATTATTACCTATTTAGATATAACACGGAGGTTCTAACACATAGGTACCGTAGTTTAAAATCAAAACCCATAAACGTGCACAAATTATTACGTATGAAAAAAAAAACCAAAAAAATTTTAGTCTATACAGTCTTATTAGGTAGGTATCTAATCTGTAATCCTTTTGGTTCCAAGTGGAAAGTTTTTTTTTCTTTCATTTTATTGTATCGTATTATTATTATTATTATTATTATTTTTTTTTTTACTCAATTTCATTTTTCGATACAATTTTAAGATAGTCGAAAACGTTAAAAAGTTCTTGAAATACTTAATAATATTATAATCAAGGTCCTTTGATAGATTTTTTTTTATAATATCGTCGACGGAATCAGTTCCAATCGAAAACGACGTAGGTAGGTAGGACGGATAGGTAGGTAGGTAGGTAGGAATGACGGGGATGTTAACGGTGATATGATCAATTTTAATTAATAACGTAATCACATCCAGTGTACGATTGCATAAAATAAGATATTTTGGACACTGTCCACGCCCTAAATTAGTGTAAATATTATTAGTCATCTTTATTTTTGTGTCCACTCGCGCGCCATATTGGTTTTGGTCCAATTCCCACAAGTAGACGTTCTATTTTAAATAACTCTCGTGACACTCGACAAATTCGAATATTTTATTTCAAAAAAATCCACAACAGTTGTGCAGTAGATATTAGGTATTCGAAATATGACGTGTACGTAGGCAGATTAAAATAATATTACATCGTCGTTAGAGTCCGATCGGCATCGCGATTTTCCGAGGATCTTGTCGAGTTGTACGCGCGTCTGTATAATATTATGGGTAAATTACAAAATACTTACTGAAATTACATTATATTTTAACTAAACAAATCAATACCATCGTTATATACTAAAACTGATGTGGCGCAATATTTATTTATTATTGTTATTATTATTATTATTATTTATTTATTTTTTTTTATAATTATTTATTTTTTAATATTTTATTACACCTATATACCTAGTTATTTTTATGTATTTCAAGTATTTTCATTAGACTTGATTTGCATTTGAAATGCATGAAAAATTTTATATTTCGATAAGATGATACCTATATATATATATATACATAATATAATATTTAACTATTATAAAATTCACTTAAATAACACTCACACACACACACAAATACACACACACACACACACTGCGCAAATACAATATGATATAATATTGTTTATTATAAAATACTTGTGTTTATTTCTGGTAAACGAGTTTTAATTTGCGTAGGTCGACGTAATTCTGTACGATACTCTAATAACATTGAAATACACGCGCGCTTTAAAATATTATCTAATACATTTACGTATATTATATATTTTTTAAATTATTTTTCGAATACGCGCGAATAACAATATAAATAGCTAGACGTGTATTTTGATTAGACGAGAAAGACAATCGAAATGTCATCAGACCGTTCGTGAAAAATATCGTTAGGTTTTTATGTCGTTCATTATCGTTTTTAATATAGACTGTCGTTATTACTGTTATTGATCGCACACCACCAAAAAGAATTCAGACGGTAAAATCGATATTATGGACAATTTTTCAAATAAATCATAGCACGTTTTTGTTTTCTTTTTCCATTGCTAATATATTCTACGGTTGAAGTAAAATCGCTGTGTTAATTATGCGTTTCAATTGACGGATAACAATTTCTGATTTCGTTCCAAACGATTTAACCTAAATTCGGGATTAGTATATAAATTATTTTTCATAAAAAAAAAAAATAATAATAATAATAATAAATCTTCAGTCGAATCTTAACGACACTTAAAATAATATTATTCATTGTTCGTTACGTATGGGTATTTAAGGCATTTATCGATTCCGTTAAACTTGCGCAGATATTTCATTCTCATTGTTGTAATCCAATTTTTTTTTTTTCACTTTTCATTTCAAGTTTTAAAATTACAATCCAACTGACACAAATCGTTAAATTCGAATTGAATACTAATCGGTTTAAATGTTGTAAAACGATGTTTCAATTGTTTTAATTTTTTTTTTAGTTATTTTAATAATCTATGTACAATATAAATAGGTATTTATTGTTCATTTTTTTTATTCCATCGCAAACTAATGAACACTGCCTTTATTCAATTGACATATTTAAACGTAAATAATATTATTAACAATATTATTTAAGATTTTATTATTTTCGTATAATTCTTACATATTTGTGTTATTGCCAAAACGTTTATAAGACATTTTAGATACAATAATATCATAATTCGTTTATCCGGGTTTTTTTTTTTGAAAAATCTTTTAATTGAGCAATTCAATATTTCACAACATTTATTAGGTAACACAACGAACAATTTCGTTTTGAACAATTTAATAATAATACATAAGTCGGTTAATATTTTAATGATTCATGAATTATTGCATTTGTATTATTATGTTTAATTCCTTAAGAAAAACTATTTTTATATTTGTCGTCTTTCAGTTAATGAGATTTTCAATAACTCAAATTGCGTATTCGCGCAAAATATCAATACGCGATTGAATGTGTGCGATTGTGACGTTTTTAAGTACACACCCAACAATGCCAATATAATACATTCGTACAATTATTGTTTTACGATAGTTTTCAAATTTTTTTTATTACGGTATAGTGACTACCGACTATTGTATCTGTATTCGCATCAAGTTGATATTACCTGTACTGGATACTAGAAAAACAAAATATATTTCTATTCCGCTGCATGCATTATATATGACTGTACATATATTTTCGCGTGTGAATTGTATTTGTGAGTACTTACCTATAGAACATAGTTTTACTATTGTGCGGGCAGGATGTATCCGACTGCCAATTATCCCGTTCGGGTTAATTCGCGGTACAATTCGAATAGCGATACGATTATACAATTTATTTTTAATTCAATTCCATCGCGCAATTATTTTCGATAAATGCACAATATAATATTATTTATGTTATAAACAATATGCTATTATTGTAAACGTTTTTATAAATAGAAAGGTATGTTTTTTTTTTTTTTTGTTTTGTTTTTTATTTCTCACTATTATTTATTTATTCGTAAATAGCGTATGGCGAACGCGTATTAGTCACATATATATACATATTTCACACTCTACATGGTTATGGTATCACCCAACTATAATATATAATATAATTTGAATAGAAATTTTCGGAATTTTCGAAATGAAAACCCGACTATTGTCGTCTGTCTTCAAAGAGTCGCAGTATACCGGATGAACGGTAACCGATGACGATTATAAACCGTCAACACGATAGGTACCTATAACAATATTGTATTATTATTGAAGATAAACGACGCAATATCGGTCAACTATACGGATATCTTGATAAGATTATATAAAAAAAAAAAAAAAAAAAAAAAAAACACACAGAATCTACAACAAAACGCGATGGGCAAACGATAAAATACAACAATTATACGAGACTTGTCCGATATTATTCTACTCGTTAAATTGTCTGTTTTACCGTTCAAACGGTAATCGTTCACACGGCGAAATGAATATTGTAAATTATTCGAAATATAATATTTCATGCACGAAACACCAACGAAGGCAATTATTATTGATGTTATAAACAATTATTATTGTTGACATATGCCGTATTTGCACATCTGTCTCTTACTTGTATACTTGGGGGCGAATTTAGTGGTCCTTTTAGGAGTAGAAGGGGGGACAGGCGAATTGGCGATTCAGTTTTGTTTCTCTACATGCATTTGCTCAAAGATAATTACAATCGATGACTTTTCGGCAGACCCGCACGCGAGAGATGAAGGGGCGTGAGAGTACCATGGCATTCAGATGACTCATTTTTATTAAAATCATTTTTTTTTTTACAAATCGTTAAAACAATTCAGTTACAATTTGAAACTTCCATTTTCAATCATATCATGCCTAGAGATAAAAACGATGTACTAAAATACTAAATATTTACTTAAGTACGTTTCTGTAGGGTACACTCGTCGTTGTAATATAGCTCGCCCGAAACGTTGATATTACAAAAAGAAAAAGCGTATCTACATTTTTTTTTCTAATATTGCCGTAAAAAGAGGCCAGTACTCAATACATGCGTGTTTTTATACGAACACATTACTATAATGTATAATATGTTTTTTTACAAGATTCAAAATTTAAATCAATTATCACCAAAAAGTTTTTCAAAGTTTTTCAATACGTACATTTTGTTTAACACGAATAAATAATATTTGTTTAATTTTTCTCTGTTAACATAACTATACTGAACTATTTTAATGGCCAGTGCTCGATATTTAAATATCGCTGAGAAATAATTGATTTGAAATATTAGGTATATGTGTTCACCGTTCGAAATTAAAATACAATTGCGTTAACATTAATAACTCGATAACGAAAGTGATGAGGTTTTATAGACACCCGGCGGACGGTTTTCTAACACTAAAATACCAATACGATATTTTAAACCGAAGGGTTTTTTTTTTTTATTTCGTAATATTTTCAACCGTCAGTTCTGATATTTGTTCAAAGTCTATATTTGTTTTAGTGTTTATGTGGTTTCTTCAAAGTAAAGTTTTTAATACTTATTTTATTATATTTTTTTAAATTTATTTGATCTCACAATTTTACCTCTCCGAATGATTTATTTTAGTCGTAAACTAATTTGTTTAATGTACAGTTTGTATGATTATTAGGCATACCTAATCTAAATATTTGCGAACCCTTCCCTTGCGTCTACTAAGTTTATACGGAATTGGTTAGTAATATATACGCTGTAGATTCGAAGTAATAACAAATGATTAACGCCTCCGACAATTCTTAATTTATATATTATTCATACTTTATTAATAATACAATATAGATATTTTATTTTACGTTATTTATAAATAATTTACAAAATTACTCAAGCTAAACAAATTATACTTTAACAACGATACGTTTTAATACATATTTTTAGAGAAACGGCCACGAAAACTACCGATCTTTACACGTATTACGATATTTTATTTTGGCCAAAACTTTGCCACTCGATTATTTTCTGATTGTTAACAGTTGTTACTCGTTATATGCAACATTAATATTCAAAAATATATTTTATATTCTAGAAATGTCAACGATCGAATTTAACTCATATTGACGGGTAACTATAATATTCTATGCGTATCTATCATTTCGAATCGAGTTATTCTATAAAATATTATTACACAGGCATTTGCTGTATCGGTATTAATCGTCCGATTGATAATATTCACTGCGGTTGTTAACAGAATACGCTATATTTGTGTTTAGGTACCGACGTTAATTCGGGATTTAAAGAAAATTCACTGTATACACTCGAAATCATTATTATAATTTGTTTCCATGCTATATATTATGCAACCTACTTATCGAAACATCGATCTATGTCTCCCATTATATTCGTTAGTTGATTTTTAAGTTTAAAGTTGTTTTCATATCGTTTTATATGGAAAACACTACGACCGTATAATAATCTCTTCGCTGAGTAGTATAAAACGACCGATTTTCGCTTTTTAAAATTTGGTAGATACATTGATATAACCGACGATTTTTTTTATTTAGAACGCGCGGACAATATAGTCTTGTTAAAAAAAATAAAATACGTATACTGAATAAACTGAATGGTAACTACACGGGGGTATAAACGATTTCACTGTACAATAATGTAATTAAAACGTAAAAAGAAAATTACATGGGAAAAAATTCGAATAGGTTTATGTTGAATTTGCATTTCGAACAAAGCGTATTGAAATTCGTAGTCACGTCTGTTTAGTTATCGAAATCTATCAAAGTTACACAACTTATACAAAATAAACCTGTAAGTTGCAATATGAGGTCATGTTAGGATAGGTAGCGTATAATATAGTATAAATACGAATTTGATTTATTGACGATTGCTGTTTTACGTAGGTATAAATTAATTTTAGATTTTTATCGAAGATTAAATTTCCCGGTTTTAATACACACGTATACACTTTATTTTTTGGCACGAAAATTAATAATAATTTTAATTTGTTCGCATTAAAATATACATAAAATATGTAAATATAAAATGTACACTTTTATTTATTTTATATTGCTGAGTTTAGATTATAACAATAATTAATGTTCTATTCGTGTTTATGCGATAATAAAATAATACAACATTTACTTCATTAATTCTATTACCATCGACGTGTAATAAGTAATATTTAAATTTCGCTTTCAAAACAGTAAACCGAAATGAAAATGATTAAAAATCACAAAAAAAAATTTATTTGGCGTTTTTTGATGTGTGGTGCCGAATAATGACTATTACCGAATCTATACCCTTTCAATAGTTATAGTAACCTATTCTAACTATCATTACAAACTGTAACGTTCTATTCGAGGATAGAGTTTGTAAAATAATTAAGGTGGGTTAAATTTTTTCTGAACAATATCGTATTTTCAATAATATTGAATAAGTATTATATAGATTCGGTAGATTGTTAGCTTGTAAGATATTATTGTTGTACCAATCAAAATTATAATCCAGGTAGGTGGTATTAAAAAAAAAAAAAGGTATTTCAATAAAATCGAGATAAGTTAGGTACAGAAAAACTACTCAATTATTCTGCAGTTTTTTTAAACCAAATCTATTTTTGACACTCTTACTATTTTGTTGTTGAAAAATTGTAAATCTAGATGCGTGATATATTTTATTTTTACAGTTCTTAAAACTAAAAGCTAAATTAAAGGCTAAAGAGTTTATTTTTGAAGGTTATTTCATTAATTTGCAATTTTGTTCGTAAACGATTTTTTTTTACATTTGAATAAGTGGTAAACATGATTTTTATGCTAGTTTTATTATATTTAATACACCCCGAAGATTTTGGTTTGTAATTTGTTGAACTTGTTTCTCCTTAGACATCTATATTAGCACCAAAAATTACATATTGATCATGATTTACGAACCAGTAATAATTTTCATTTTGAGATAATAAAAATAAATAATAGTGAATTACCGACTAAATTAGTGCATAATATATTCAATTTAAGTTATTTCTATCAAATAGAACGTAAATTGTTAAGTAACTTTGCGTATGTTACCAAATTGCAAATTGTAGTATAAACTCGGGACGAATACTTATCGACTTTATTATAATGATTATTTTTCTTTTTATAAATTATGTAGCTGGAACCAAACTAGTATTCAAATTTATGGTTGTTAGCAGATGATAAAAAAATATTTATACCTACAGTTACTTTTTTGCTCAAAGCTGTACTTGTCTTCAATCTAATTATTCTATTTGTGTATATTATGAAAGACCTTTAAATATTACAACTAAACATTTGATTCTAGACTTTCTATATAAATCGGTCAATTTAAATTATTAAACTCATAGTAAAACACACGTTCCATTATTATATTTGGTAATCGATTAAAGTTGATTATGTATTTTGTTTTTGGTTTTTCAGAAAATTATTGTGCAGAATTCTCCACAAGGGACCGAATATGTTAGTGAACTGTTAAATTGACAAGTTAAGTAATACCACGTCAGAGCGCAAAGCCCGACATTTTATTTAAATTGCCATTGAGCATTAGTCGGCTCGCGCGCTCAAAAAAATGGGCGTAGCCGAGGATTTTGCTCCAAGCTTCACGCAGAAGCCACAACTGCGACAAGAAGACGAAGGCAACCGTTTGATATTCGAATGCCGTCTGTTGGGATGCCCCAAACCAGAAATTACGTGGTTCCGGAGCGATACTCAACTAGCCGAGGATCACAGGACCGTGATGAAAATCCAGGCGATCGCGACAAACACATACGTCGTGATTCTCGAACTGGACGATGTAGTCGAAACGGACGCCGGTCTCTATAAGGTTAAGGCCAAAAATAAAATGGGCGAAGTGGCGGCGTCTATCAATTTAAATTTCAGCCGTGAGTACCTTTATATAACATTTTTTCAATAGATAAATCGTTAGCTTCATTTAGGGCTGAGGTAGATTTAACCGAAAGATATCGATTTTTTATAAATGTTGGTACAGAGTGCTGCATTTTGTTTGTTCTTGTCAAGAACATTTTTTCAAATTATTTTCCGAACATTATTATTGAATATTTCTTTTTAAAATATTATTAAAAAACTACTTTAATAATACAAATAGACTACATCGTTTAAATCGATTGGTATTTAAATCAAAAATCATATTTAAAATAAATGATACATAAACGGAGGCCAACATGATGGTGAAATATCCTTGTACGGTACGTATAAAGTATAATGAATTTGAGTTTCGGTACAAAACTAATTATCAGTGCAGTTTGTAAGCGGTTTATACGATTCGTGTTATGTAAAACACCGAAGACTAAAATTAAAATGGCATAATTTTTAGAAGATTACATTCTATGATGTAATCTTTGTTTAAATTCGTTTTTGTACTACGGAGCCACAAAGGTTACCTACTGCAAAATGTTGGCTTAGGCTACTTTTATAATAAATATGTGAATTATTCGCATGAGTTCCACTGCTAGTATAAATAGGTATAAGTGTTATTTTTAATTCGATAAAAAGCTGCAACATACGAATAACGTGAAGAGAACTAAAAGTTATTTACGGATAGTTGGATAGTATAATAAATTACTTTTTTTTATGATTCTGTTTCGTACCCAAAATAGTGAGGAAATAATTGACATTTTATTTTTTTGTACACGTTTATGATATCATTATTTCAAGTTCAAAAAGTAAACTTGAAAGTCAACAACGAAAATTGCGTCTTTCAATCCATCCATTTTAGATTCTGAGTGAAGAGAGGGCTGTATTGGTTTTATAATGATGTTTATTTATTATTATTTTCTATACTATACATTTTTTACCAGAAATCTTGCTACGATTTTCAAGTGTAGTATTTTTTTTTCAAAAGAAATTTTATCTTGTTGGTACTTTCAATATTTCATTTTTTGTGGTTGAAAATCAAGTAGTTTTCATAATAATTTGAAAACATTTGCGAATTTTGTACGTAATTTTTACTCGGTAGGTATACTCAGTGGATAAAATTGTTAGACTAAATAGAAATGCTTGAAAATTTATTAAGAGGTTCATTATTAGTCATTATTTGTGGTAAAAAAAAAAAATTGAGTGTAATGTAGAATTTAAGAATTTTAATATCAAATTTTAACGAGAATCGTAAATATTACGGTCTTTTAAAACACGTATAACCGAATTCCGTTTAGAATTGTTTTTAAAAAGCAGTGATTAATCGTTATTCGTAGCGTACAGATATACATTAAATTCTTGTCTATATCTTATCTTCAAACTTTTCACCTACAACTACAGTGATCCATCCATCTTGCGAAGTATGTCCGTCTTTTTTTGCTTCTTTCTACCTTAACCTAATCTATTTCTATATGTATACATTTAAGTGTTACGGGTACCTGCAATATCGATTGTATAATATTTTAAAGAAAAAAAAAATGTGTTTCTCTTCTCGAAGTTCGTTAACATGTATGATGTTGGCACTACGTCTCAGTAAAAATATTCTGTAGTCCAGTGAGAACAGTTGAGTGGGTTGAATTTGGCAATAAACTCGCATTCTCCTAAATATAGATAAAGAGTTCTGTCACCAAACGTTTCTACTAATGAGACTTGCATTTAAAATTACTTTGCTAAAAAATGTAAGAGTATAGGTAGATATAGGTATACTTACATATTCTCCTAACAATAGCGTTTTTGTATCCGAATGTTTTATCATCGTTATAATAAATATGGAATGATTGATACGAATAAATTATCCCGAAGTTATTAGAATGCGTAACTAGCTGTATGTAAATATATTATGTTCTCGATGTGCACGAAAACGTAACAAATTAATGAAATGTCCGTTTACATACGCGGTCGTTTCATTGGCCTAAACCTCTTACACCTCCTATACATACCCATACACCGAGCAAAATCGATAGGTAATATGTATACTGTTATAAAAACCGTTTATACACTAAGCGATATCTTCATTGGTCGCCATTAAAACTTAACGAATGTTACTTATTTAGCTTAATGGGAATTAACATACTGCGGCGGTAGTATATAATTAAGTGTAACAATCATGGAATTTGAACGCGAACAGATTCGCATAAATTTGTTTTTATTATTTTTCAAATTATTTCGTAGATACACAATAATATTATATTGTGTATAATTATATTGTGAACAATTAGAAACTAATATTATATTGTACTACTATTGGCTAGTTGTTTTTTAAGTCTTCATCAGCCGCATTAAGACATCACAATTCTAAATAGATTTATAAACGATAAAATACATTTTCCCGCTCAACATTTTAAAACTATCTCAACGTATCTCATATTTGTCAATTTTATTAATATTTTAGGCCGTACATCGTTTCCGTTAAAATGAAAAAGGTTCGGTTTTCATTTCCTCTAAAATTATTTTTACCTATATTATTGTTTGAGAACCCCTACCCTTTAACCATAATAACGATAAATCTATAACTCAGGCACGGATCCAAAGTAAAGATCCGGGGGACAACAATTTTTTTACAACAAAAATACAATTACAATGTCTACGGTTCTAATTATAGTACTATAGTAATTTAATCAACCACAATCTATTTGTGTTTATCCGGGACTAACTTTGGTGGCAACGTAGTGCACTCTTGTGGTGTCAACATTTAACAAGTATAATTACAAAATTACAATATTGGAATCAGAGTCCACAAATATGTATAATATATTATAGTTAATTATTATTATGTTACCATACATATCTGTGATTGAAATATTCTTGTAATATCAGTATCATTAGAGTTATAAGAAAAATTATAAAAATAATATCTCTGGGTGGGGGATCTGGGTGAGGAGCCCCCTGGATCCGTCCCTACTATAACTATTGCTAAATGTGGATAATACAATATATGCAGTTCTCTTTATTAGATACCTATGCAATAATCGTATTAAAAAAAAGACTTGTTAATACATCAAATACACTCGAAAAATATAGTATACAATAAGAAATTTATTTCTTTTGAATTTTTTTTTAAAAAAAAGTGTGAAATAATAATTATACTAAATGTTTTTTAGAAATAAATTAATTTGCGAATTGATGTGATTTATAAAACTGTTGAAAATTGTTGACTTGATTTGTCATACACACTTAGTTAGACGTAGGAGTTATGATGATTCGAATAAGGAAAAAAAAAACAAAATTTGAGTCATTGCGAGAATCTTCTCTTTTTTTAATGAAACCTGGGCAACTCTGTTCTGATGATAAAATAGCTCTTAAAATAGATCAGTTGAAAATGATTGAAAATTAATATCAAACATTTTTAATTTTGGTGAAAACGATGATCCCCATATTTGACTATATATAATTGACAATCGTATTGTTTATTTTGAGATGTGGACATGGACAATGTTTTAGATTCTGAGCCAAGCTAGGAATATATTGGTTTAATATGATATGTTTGATATTTTTTTATTTCTGACAGAAAATCTTGTTTAGTTGATGAAGTCGGTTTTTGATTTTCTTTGTAATTTTTTTAATAACTGGGAAAAAACGTAGGAAAAACGGAAAAGTTTACTGTAATTGTAGTTTAATTATTTTCGAATTTGTTTTTATTTTTAGAATATCTGAGCTACTTATTATAGCTAGGTATTTTTACATTCTCAAGTTGTTTTTTGTTAAACAGAAATGGTTAGACATTTTATACAAGTTCCTTCATAATTTATACTTAGCGAGAAAATAAAGAGTTGAACGTATTCATGCTGTTATTTTTCGTAAGTGTTTTACGTTTAAATTTTGACGAAGAATTTAACAAGAATTTGACAAGGAATTTAAAAACATGTTTAACTGAATTTTGTTTAAAATAATTATTCGTTGCGTATAAATTAAATAAATGTATATATTATAGTACCTTTGCTACTGTCCGCCTACAACTGTATCACACCCGTTAGCACTATTTTTTTAATAATAATAATAATAGCTATATCGGTTAATCGTTATAAATTACATAGTCCAGCGAAGTTGAAAAAAAAGTTGCTTGCGTTTCAGATTTTTATCATCATATCAACAAATTTCCACCTTATTTATACCTTACTATATTTATATTTAACTACGTCTCTCCAATTTTATATGTACAATACAATACAATACAATCCAATACTATACTATATCGTTAAATATTTTTCACCGGATCTTCGTCAAAGTTTCCATTCCATTGCTGCTCAATAATACGTTCTATAATACAAGCTTACGATTTTATGTAAGGTGTTTAGACTTCAGACATAGATGTAAAGTACAGTGAAACAAAAATTACTATAGGTAGCAAATTATTTGAAGTGTTTTTATTTTAAAGATTTACTTGAATCATATGTTTAAAATGATTTTGTATAGTAACACTGTTTTAGTGTTCTATCATCAAACACACTTAGAGCGTTGATCAGAGAAATATTTTATTTACCATTAGAGAAAGATTTTTATATGCATTTACATGAAAACTATTAACTAATTATCAGGAAATTCATAATGGACAATTTGTCTTAACATTAATTATTAATTGTTTTTTGTTTTTGTTTTAGCGGTTGACGAACCACATGAAAAGTAAGTTTCAAAATAATCAATTGTGATTGAACAGATCATATTTTGTTTTGTTATGCTCATACAAACATATTAAAATTCAATATTGTTCATAGGCAAATTGACGGATTAGCCCCGACCTTTTCAAAAAAGCCATCGATCAAACAAGAAGACGACGGCAAGAGACTTTTGTTTGAATGTATTATTCAAGCCGATCCAAAACCGGCAATTGCATGGATTCACGGTGGAAAACCAGTGATTGATTCTCCTAGGCATAAGGTGATAAAACAATAATTTTTCTCAGATAACCACTTTTAAGTATTAAAAAAACATAAAATGGTTAAGTTGTAGGATTCATATGATATTAACAATATTTTAAGGATTTAGTATAGAATTAGGTTATATTATTTTCACTCTCTTTGCCCTTCAGTCACAATATTGCAATTTGAATGTATTATACAATAAAGACAAATTTTTAATATAATGTCCACTCTTAATAATTATAATGACTAGGTAATTAATAATAATCAAACGATTATAATTCGATAAATATTAGATTTTGAGTACAATGAAGAAGCTATTGGTTTTTTTGAAAATGCTTTTTGGGCTTACCAAATGTTTCAATCTTTTCACGAAGTACTGCGTAAAACATACGAAATTCCTTCCTAAAGGTTCCTTATTTGAATTGTTTGTCGAGCATTTCAGTAGTTCACCCCCCTCCCCCTAGTCCTGTATTTTTAAATTTATTTCTGGATTACCTTAACCTTGGTAACAAAGGAAAAAATTTGACTATTACTAATCTGTTCAGAATCTTTTTTCGTTTTCCGTGATTTAACGTAGTATACCTATAATAGTGGCCTATCCGTGGTCAGTTTCAAATTTTTTTATATTTAGTTTCGATCGCGAGCTTTGTTGATGATGCATTGCTAAAAATGTATGTATGTTTATTGTTAAAAAAAAAATACTGTACTACGAGTATTTACAATTACTGATGGATACGTTATTCGTGAGAATAAATAAATCGGTTAATATTATATAAACAAAATGGATTTGCTTTGTTAATATTCTCAGTATTAGAGATACATACCGGATTCACCGCCACTTGGCCCGCGATTTATTTATAATTCTTAATAAAAAATAACATTCTTCATAATACTTAAATTGTATGTACCGCCGAGTTTAAAATCGCATTGCACTTTTGCTATTCGGCGCAGTGGCCAAAAGCCGTTTTACTTCCAGTGAATCGAATCGCCAATATTATCTTATAAGCACCGGGTGTTTGTTGTGTTAAACATCATACAGCATGTACACGCAGTACTTCACCGAAGTTTGTATTACATAATATTGTTATTATTTTAGGTGCCTCAGATTTATTATTATATCTGTGGGTTAGATAAAATCTCAAATAGTTTACTTAAAACAATTATATATGTGGTACAGAATAATGTTTTTGTTAGCTACTGGTAAAACATTTTCAATTCATAAAAATATACTTTAAGAATTATTATGGAAATTGATAATTTACACATTTGACGTATCTACCATTCTGAGCTATTGATTTTCATGGGTTTTTTTTTAAAATTTATTTACAGCAATATGTAGATAAAGATGGACATTCCTATTTAGCAACTCTAGAAATAAGAAACGTCACTGTCGAAGATGCTGGAAAATATAAAGTTACAGCGAAAAATGAATTGGGTGAAAGTAACGCGACAATTAGTCTTAATTTTGACAGTAAGTACCTCGATTCAATATTATATTTATTTTATAATAGATTCGTATATACATGTATTTTTAAACGTTAGGTATTTTTGATTGATCGTAATAATTTTACATTTTGAAGGATTTGGCTTTTTCGCTTATTTATCGTAGTAGAGCTAATCATATTTACCCTATATACATGTAAATTAAATTTTAAAAAAAATATATTAAATTTTAAATTAAATTACCTAACTCAACTTGTGAGTACATTGAATAATAATTATTAGTACGGGCAACGCAAAAATTTACCTACTGGCCCAAAATATAGTTTGATGCAAAGCTGAGTGGTATGAATGAATTTATCAGCGAGTTAAATTGGAAATCACTATGATTTTGTATATATACAATTTATTAGACTTGTTTTTTTTTTTTTTTGTGCGTCCGTTTGTGTGGTATGTTGCTATGGTAAAAGCAAATTATCTGTTTATAAAACTTATAGAAATTACACAATATGTATTATAATATTCATAAATACAATATTTAAAATTTTGATGGGCTTATTTCAAAACCCAAACTTACGATCGACCAATTGATCAATTTGTCAATTCATTTATGTATATTTAATTTATTTATACGTAATTTAACTGAATCAGAAAATGTAAGTCATTAAATAATATAGCGCTATCGAACAATAATAAACAGACGCTCATTGAATGAAATTTATTATTTTAAAGTAAACTCATACACAATAAAATCAAAAAATATTATATTTTAAACCAAACATAAATATTGTAGGAACGTTATAATATTGTTTTTTACTTACACAAGTTATTTGCCAGATTATTTATCCGTAGGTATTTATACTTTATAGTTTACTTACTTTCTTGCCTTCAATATATATATATACATCTTCTTTAGTTATGTTTCGTATTGAAATTTTTGTAATTAACCGTTATAATAAGAATCTTGACAATATCACTTATCTTTTGAAGTATAACCAATTAATAAAATAATAAAGTAAAAACAAAATTATGCTTGTTATTAGTTATTACTCGTAAATAAATATATAAATAAAAAATGTATATATAGAAATAAAAAAAAAATCAGTGAATGGATTCGTCGCCTGGAGAATTATGATAAGTGTATTATACAAAATCGTGAAGCGTTCCACATTTCTGTATAATACACATAACATAATACTCCAAGCGACGCATTCAATTTAATTATTATTTTTTATTTATCTATGTACATTTTTTATTTATATATTTATTTACTGTAATCGATTAGTTATAACTTATAATATTATCGTAGATATTCGTTTAAAATTGAATTATAGAAATTAGTAGATATTTAATAAAATAATAAAGTAAAAATAAAATTATTAAAATGTTTAATGTTCATAAATAAATAAAGTAAATAAATATATGTACATATATATATATATATATATAAAATATGTTTATGAAAATAAAATAAATAAATAAACGAATGCGTCGCATTTTACATTTTGACTGTGATATACCTGATGATGAAATTTTAATTTAAATTTGGTCGTATAATACACTCATTCATTTATTTATTTTATTTTTACGTATACATTTTGTATTTATATAATTATTTACTTTATTAAGTAGATTTTATTATAAAATGTTGATGGAATTTCGTTTTATGCATTCTGAAGAATATTTTTGTGGATTATTATTTTACTATAAAACATTTTTTTTTCACCATTTTGAGTTTTAAACATTTAATACCTACACACCTAGATCAATATTTTATGTAATTCAAATTTATAGACATTCCTGATAATAATAATGTAGGTTTGAATAACTGTTCTTTTTCTGTATCGTGATTACATCAATGTAATATAATTTACTTTAATATCGGACAAGCTATTGGTACTTTTTTTTTGTTTCAAACATAGTATCGTATAAAAATTAAGAATTTTGTATCAATAAACAAATCAAAATTAATTATGTATATGAATAATACAGTTTTAGATCTAAACATTTTTGGGTTTTGAATAAAATATAACGCCCATCAAAAAACAAAAAAAAAAAAAACTAGAATATTCAATACGAATATTATTCTAGTGATGCACACACAATACACATATTAAATACATAGTTAAAACACGCTTTGCGTAGATCTAAACATTGTATAACATACGTAGTAGTATTTTTTACCGTGTGCGCTGTCGATTTTCAACAGTTTAAATATTATATTTTAAAATTAAATTAAGTAAATTAAGTATTATAATAATATATGGTCTTGGATGAATAAATTACTAATAGGGTACATTTATTGGTAAACAAATTAATAAAAACAAAATGCGCGGTTTATTATCCCTGATAATGATTATGACCCATTTGAAAATAGTATATGAAGTTATAATACAATATAATAGTTAGGTAGGTAATCGACTTCAAGGTGGTCGAATAGTTATTATTCCCTATAGGAGAGGTTTTTTACATTGCAACCACACAAATATCTATGTCTTTGTCTAAATGGTATACATTATGTCAACGCATACCGAACACGCAGTTGTTGCGGTGGATGCGTGCCTCCAGTTTATATTAACGTTTAAACAGTGAGGTGCTGTAGGTTTTCAGTAAGTTTTCACTTTAGGTGACGAAGCCCCCGTACCTGAAGATGGGATAAAGCCCACGTTTACAGAAAGGCCCATCATTACACAGACTGAAGACGATAGGAACGTAATTATAGAATGCCGTCTAGTGGGCGACCCGAAACCGACGGTTCAGTGGTAAGTCCGTAACCTAATCTATACGTACAGTGACGCCAAAGTCGTAATACTTACCTAAATTACAAGAAAAAACAGCAGTATAAAGCTACTACATATTTTAAGTATAATTAAATTAATTCATCTAGATAAGTCTCGAGGTTTTCTACTGTCATAATTGAAATATTCCTGCAGCAGTTTTTAGTTCCGGAATATCGAGCGAAAATTTTTCAAACTTACTTTGTTATTAAAACGATGCTTCGTTTCATAGTGAGTGATGACACTTTGGTAAAAAAAAAATAGGACATTTAAAATAATTTTAAGTTATATACCTAAGCAGTAGGTGGGAGTCTAAATATTCTCTAGAGTTGTCTATAACGTCTTAGGTAAATTTTCCGACTTTGGTGCCACTGTCTATAAATTTATTTTTAGCCATATTTAGTATATTGACAATCGTAATATATTCGTTATTCGTGCTGATTATAGGTATCACGGTAAAAATATTGTGAAGGGTAGTAAGTATTCCTCGTCGTTAAACATAGATCAAAAACTGTATTACTTGGCAAAACTGGAAATAAAAAATACAGAGGAAGTCGATAGTGGTGAATATAGAGCAGAGGCCACCAATGTGCACGGCAAATGTGTAGCCACTGTTAATTTAAACTTGAACGAAGACAAGGGACATCTAAAGTGAGTAGAGTAGTTTATTATTATTATTTATTTTTTTAGTGAATATCTGTATGGAATTTCCACAGTTCTGGACTTATTTACGTAGTCATATACCTATCTTTATAAACATATAAATAAATTTAAATTAAAATAATTAGGTAATCAATATCGTTGAAATAAATTAAACAACGAGCTTCAAAAAAATTCAATTCTGTTGTTTTAATAATTATTTTGAAATTGATGTATCTACCTTTATTTTTAAATTTCGATCTGGCATGTGGCAACAAAATATTTTTAAAATTTCTCTTCATATTCACAAACAATTGTATTGTTAATTCACAAACATATTTAGAAGTTCTTAAAAGTTGGCGATTCTAACAAATCATCTATAAAAACAATAAATAGATAGTTAGATCATATTGATTATGATGGTTTATAGCCATTTTTCTATTCCGAAATTATTTCTCTAAAAAAAAAAAAAATATTTATATGGCATAAGGTATGAAGTATCTTGTATTTTAGACACTCCAATTTAAGTTTTAAGTTAAAATTTAATACACAATTCTATATAATATGAGATGGAAGAACTATATTGATCTACTAATAAAACTTAGAAAAATTATGTACGTTTTAAGAAATTTCAACAAAGTTTTAGAATTACCAAAACTACGCCAGACTTATTTAGCATTGGTTGAATCATTAATATCTTATGGAATTGTAGGGTGGGGTGGTGCTCTTGATAATGTTATATCTCAGTTCAGGAACGAATGTATTCAACCAAAAATGTATGTACAGAATTAAATGTACTTCCTGTTAAGAAAATATATTTGAAAATGTCTGCTATATATTTAAAAAGCCATAATTTATTAGAACCAATAATGTATGGGGTAAATACAAGATACGCAAAAAATAATTTTTTTATTGAAAGATCAAAAAAAAAAAACTACATCTGGTAGACATTTTGAAATTATTGGTACCAAATTATGTGACAAAATAATATTTTATATAATAAACTTTCCAATTAATTTATTTAAAAAAAAGGCATTCTGAAATGGCTATTGGATTCTTATAACAAATTAATTATATAATAATAATATTTCTTTAATTTAATATAATTAGTATTAGTTAATTTAGTTTATTATATATCTGTTTATTTTTTGGAGATTCAATTCGTATCATATATGTGTTATTTTTATGCAATTAGATATTAGAACTTCTGGGCCCATACACGAGTCTTCTCAGTGGGGCCCAGTACTCATATGTATATGAAATTAAATTTAAAAAAATAATAAAAAATATAAGGATATCCGATAGAACTTTTTTCCGATACTGATAATCAGACATCTTTGCTATCGATATTTCGTTACCCTAAATATCGGCGGATATAATGACATCTGTTTATGCCGATTGTTGATACTAAATTAAAGAATTATAGATAAGTTTTATTAATTTATATATGAATTAATTTACATTAAAAAAATCGCCTAGAAAGAATTTGTATTGCAATATTTATATGTTCTAGAAACGTTAGAAATTGATATTGTATAGTGCCTATTATTTTATCGACTTTGTATTTGTTTAGAATACCGGAAGGCAAACAGCCGAGGTTTCCAAAGAAGCCAGTGATACACCAAGAAGGGGACGTTTTGGTTATGGAGTGTGAGCTGGAAGCTAATCCCATTCCCGAGATAAACTGGTATCAAGCGTCTAAACTCATATTAGATACAGGACGGATTAGAATGTCAAAAAAGACAACCGGCAAAGACATGTATTTACTTAGATTAGAAATCACAAACCCCACCAAAGAAGACGGTGGAAATTATCGTTGTAATGCTTGTAATATATTTGGTGAAAGCAATGCAAACATATCATTGAATTTCCAAGGTATATAGAACCCAAAAAATAATATTACATACCTATTATATATAACAATATATATCCATGTATACATTTTGTGTTTATATTTTGACCCTATATTATTCCATTACAACCGCGCATGTTACCACTACTTAATAAATTAATGACAACAATAATATTATAATAAAGCGATAACATAAACCATTGAGGTTTCAGGGGGTATATTAATATTATTATATCGTTTTTAATCCACGTACGCACGTGTTATTATCAAATGTTATTTAAAAGGAAAAACAAATAATATTTTGACTTCAGGTGGTGACAACGGTTCTGGGTTTGCACCATCATTTATCGAGAAACCTCGAATAATTCCTAATGAAGCGGGCACGCTAATCACACTCCGGTGCAATTGTACAGCCAATCCTAAACCAGAGGTCACGTGGTACAAGGGCACCAAGATGGTGACAGAGACATCAAAAATTTCTATGAAAGTCAGTGGACACGAGAATACATACGAAGTGCTATTACTGATTCAGGTAAACGATTATAATACATAATGTTACAATCTGAAATTCGTGCATGCACAATTTGAAAGACGTTAGATATTAACATTCTTACATTGAATATAGGATCCGATTGGTCCGGACAGTGGTACTTATAGATGTCACGTGAAAAACGAACATGGCGAAAGCAACGCTAACTTAAATCTTAACATTGAAACCGATCCTGAACCAGAAGGCGAACCTCCTACATTTTTAGTAAAACCAAGAATACAATCAAAAAACAGTGGCAAATTAATCGTCATGGATTGCACCGTCAAGGCGAGTCCTAAGCCGGAAGTTATCTGGTACCATGACGGTAAAGTATTGAGTCAAACTTCAAAACTTTCTTGGCGAGTCGAGGAAAAAGGCGATTCTTATTATATATGCCTTGAATTGAAGGTGTGTATCTATATTAGTTTTAATTAATGTGAGAATACCAGTATGTTTGATAATATATTAATCGTTTGTATTGAATAATATGTTGTTATACAGAATCCGGGTAAAGAAGATACGGGGTTGTACAAATGTAGTATAAAAAACGGGAATGGTGAACTGAATGCGAATCTCACACTTAATATCGAAAGTAAATCAAATATAATACTTTATAATAGTATAATATTACATAGTAAACTTATTAACATATATAACCTTTAAACAGTAATACCGGTGATTAAAGAAGTCCCACGTGTTGTCACGATATCAAAAACTAAAAGCGTTGTCATTGAGTGTCGCATCCAGTCCACTTTTGAACCCCAGTGCACGTGGAAAAAAGACAACATGGTGATTAAAGACAACGTTACAAGACAAACAAAAATTGAACGCGTCAAGGATGTAATAACTACCTAAAACGTTTAAACACTGTGCAATTATTATACGATAGGTATTTATGTTTTATTTCAGGGAGAATATGTGGTAAAATTAGAAGTGAAAAATGCATCATCCGTCGACAAGGGCGTTTACAAATTGGTTGCTAAAAACGAAAAAGGTGAGGTGGTATCGAATCCCATTGAAGTAAAAGATTCTGGAGAAGATAAAGTAGAAAAACCATCTATTGATCAAAAACTAAAATCAATCGTGAGTAAATCTCAAAAATGTGGTGTTTGTGTCCTTTTTTCACTTTGTTTAATTTTCGATATTAATATCAAACTAACATATACACACACACCCACACACGATACCTACCTCTAGTGCAATATAACATAGTGCATTCCTTAAATACTTCAGTTTTCGTTACCTATGTAATAATATTAAAGTTCGCCAAACGTATAAAACGATTCCAGAATAATGAAACTACATGGATATGGCGTAATTCAAAATTACCAGGTAAAACCTTTTGTCAGTTTTAGAGTTTCTTTACATATTCGTAAAACGTATATTGAAGAAAGTTGTAAAAAGTGGATTGCATTATAAAAAAAAAAAAAAAAATGTATTTGTTAATAAATAGTGCTTTTTTATGAAAAAACTACAAATTTAAATGTAATTCATCCGGTTTTAATAATTTGCATTCACCCTTATCATTGTTTACAGTATTTATCATTAGTTTAATTCAAATGTGTTTAAATTTTAGTTAATTTTATCACATTTCTTCAGACGTATCTTCACGTTTGCTGAATATTATTGGTCCTAAACGAGGATACTGACCGTCGTACATTGACCAACAGTCGTCGGTCTCCAATTTTTTGCACTTTTCCTTCCGTAATTCGTCTTCTAACATCTTGTGTTTAAATTCAATATCTTTATTGGGAACGTGCCTCATATAGTTTACTTCTTGGCGTATTTGGGTCTTGTGTTCCGTATTTTTTGGCCGCATCAAATCGTCCACATTATAGTTGTCCATATACCTAATGCCGCCGAATGTGTTTAAAAAATGTGTATTTTGTGTGCGCACAGAAAAACTGTTTGAAGATTATTTATGAAGTATATTACAATTTTTTTTTTTTTTATCAATATTGTTATGGAAATTAAACAGTAACAACAGTATTAATACAATTATTAATGAACCTATGTTTAGTTACAGCCAGAAAAAAAGTGAGAAAAAACCCACCATCACCGTGTAACAAATTACCGTGATCAATTCATATAATAGACTATTGCTATTTTTCTTTCTTTTTTATAAAAAAGTTTCATTTTGCCTATAGTCATTTCGATGATGTATCATGCACATTGTACACATATTAGGTCTATCTACCAGTAATTTTTGCTTATAATACTATTTAGGCGAATAATGGACATAAATATATTATGTCTAATGTAGAAATGATCGTTACGTCGCATCCATTAGATAAATATGTACCATAAGAAAATAATTATCGCTTAACTTAATGCAGGGTACCTATAATCGAGTTTATAAAACTCAGTAATAATTTAATAAAAAATTAAACTCAGCTGCCACATTATGTAATTTATGTATGGATGCGATGTACAAAAATATTTTATTTTGTTAATAATTTACATGTTTAAGTGATAATATGATTGTAATTCAAATAGAATTGATTTATTAATTATTATGCCTAATATATTTTATTGCTATTTGTAAATGTACGAAAAATTGCAGTATTAATGCTTCATGTGCCAGTTTTTTTTTTTTAATAATTATATAAAAGCAATACGAACAATTTATGATGACAACACATCATTGAAAATATTTTTGGATTTATATAACTAAGTGAGTATTTTTTCAAGTAACAATATAATTGTTAATAAATACAAATAGATTTATCTATATGGATCGGTGATTTTCAATTTTTTCGCTTGCCATATTTTGTCATAATTAATGTACCTAGTTATATTCGTGATCCATAAAGTTTTCTTATGGTTTCTGAAAGGAATCGTATAAAACCCCAGATATTGAGAATCGCCGCTATATAGAACTTTACAGAACAATAAGACGAACAAAATATTGCATAATATGGTCGTTCGGAATTGTTTTGTTTATATTTAATTGTGAAAATATAAAATATAATAATGAATTTTTTTGTTCCTTTCTATAGCGTGCTGACGAAGGTGAAAGAATTGAATTTGTATCTAGTTTAACGAAAATCGATAAACAAGTTACGGTTATATGGTACAGGTAAGAAATAATAATAGAGAGTGTTCCAAGTAGATATACCCATTGCGAAATATCGCAACGGGTATATTTTCGTAAGACACCCTGTATATATTTATACATTTTATTATTATCCGAATTATCCTACTTATTTATCAAAAATACAAACTAAAATATATTTATAAAACGGAATTTATTATTAGGAACTCGAGACAAATCACGGAAACGTCAGAAACGATTATAAGCTTTGATGGCAAACGGGCGAGTTTGGTTATCAAAAAAACTAAAACCGAACACAGCGGTACTTATAAGATCGTATTTAAAAACTCTGCCGGAAGCGACGAATCTACGGCGGAACTCAATATCGTTGGTATGCGTATAAAACATTTGCTTTCTATTATTCTAATAAAAAAATTGTACTACCTATTAATATTGTTTGTCTTTTAATCTGCGATTTAGAAAAAATGGAAGTGGACGAGAAAAAAGAGGTAAGATATAAAGTCGGTTAAAAAAAAAAAAAAGTAATAATATTATTACTTAACAATCTTTTTTACACAAATATTATAATATTCATAACAATTTAATGTACCGTTGTAAATTACAGGAAGAAGTAACGGAAACAAAAGAAAAAACTGTAAAACGAAAATCGTCCATCACGACGACAAAGGTAAACCTATAGGGAATAAATTCCCTTTAAAAAATATATTATAAATACCGTAATACGCGTGGGTTAATAATATGAAACTAAACTATTGACTATTCGTATTTATTAGAAAACGGTTGAGAACGAAACGAACGAAGACGCTCCGCCAGAAGAAAAACGAAAATCTTCCGTAATCAAAGTAAGTATTACACAAATATAATGTTCTTTATACCAGCTTAGTCCGCAGACGTTAAATGTTTTATTTCACACCGAGTTATAAGATAAATGTTTCCAAACGGTTTGAACATACGGGTAAACAAGTGTTTATGAAATATATTGCACGTGCTTCTGAGTTTCACTATCCATTGGTTTAAAAACACAATAAGAAAATTACTCGAGAGCAGCACAGCTCCGTCGCCATTGGTTGAATTTCTCCCCAGAGGACTTGTCGCCGTTACAATTTTTCATTTTAGATTTTGAGCGGAACGAAAATTGTATCGGTTTTACAACGATGTGTACGACGTTTCTACCTGAAATCTGGATCCAATCAAAACGACGGGAGAAATTTTTTATTGAATTCTTGACCGAGATGGTTATTTTTTGATTTTCCAAATGGGTTCTTATTATAATTAGGAAAAATTTTTTTTTTTAACTATTTCGTATTCAATGCAATTTCTTCCACCGTGTTCAAAAGATAAATGTATTTCATGTAAATTATTAAATAACGATTCATTATAAGCATATAATTTTACTCAATTACCTTCTGCGGCTATTGACATAATTAATCATTCGTCTTTTACTACTGTCATCACGTCATATATTTCCTTATTTCCTCATTAATTTTGAATTCACTTTTTCTCAAACTTTAGTCGTCTTAAATAATTAACTGTCTGTTTGTATTTTAATTTACCAAGACGAAGGTTGTTCGTATTTCTCTCTATGATGATTTTGTTTAAGTTTTTATAAAATGTATAGATTCGATGTTTTAAAATAATTAATGTTAAAATATGCAGTAATTGAAAAAAACGGTGGCGTTTCAACTCGTCTGGTTATTCGGAAATATTACATGCCTAAGAGGCACTGTTGATTGACTGATTTTATGAACTTATCTATTATAATACTTTTAGCAGCCGGTATAGTAAGCTAACGGATATGTGGTTATATCGGATAGAAAAATCCAAATTAAAAATAATACGGAATTTATGCGGAGTCTTAACAGACAGACTTTGTTACGGCGTTTTTCAATATATAGTTTGTTTGTAATAATAACCTATCTTAGATATCTGATACACAATTGTTTAAAAATATTCATTATACAACAAATAGGTAATAATTAAAGATTGCACAAAAAAATTATTAACTTATTTAAACCGTTTAGGTGCCATGTTTAAATTCGTGGTTCAAATTGTTGTGTAACATAGATACAGTACAGTGCAGCAATTTCTATTTTCAGGGAAAATTTGACAAAAATGGAAACATAGCTCGTGTTATTCTTATTCTTATTATTTTTTAATTTCTGTTCAAATCAGAGTTGTTCTCAATTGACTTTGTATAGCACTTAAAATCTTACATATTGTATATTCATGAATATTACCTGATATTTACTACGCTAAAATTACGTGTGTTCCGCATAGAAATCAAATGAACAAGACATCAAAGAAGATTCAGACCAACCCGAAGCGAAGAGGCGTTCGTCGATATTAAAAGTACTTATTCAATATATACGAAACACAAATATTAGTAGGCAGGTTCTCAAATAACACTATAATTGTATTATAATTTTTTTTTAAGAAAACGTCAGAGAGTACATCGACAGTAGTAGAGGAGCAAAAGAATCAGGAAAGAAGAAGATCCTCTATACTAAAGGTACATTGTATTTTTGTTTAAATTATTCTCACGCTCCAATTGACATTGGCAAAAGAAAATAAATGTATTAATTATAAATTATTATTATTAAATTAATTTATTAATATAAATTAATTAATCGTACGGAATATTTTATTTCGATCAGTCAATTCGTGGGAGAGAGACACAATTAAATTTTGATTATCATAATATAGTTATGGCTATTTGGTCTATTGTTGAATTAAATATGTATAGGTATTATTCTTAGATTCTGAGTACAGTGAGAAATGTAGTTTTACTATGACGTGGTTTTTCTTTTCTATAATACTAAATATAAAAAAAGGGGGATTATGTGTCCAATTTTAACCATAGTGACCAAGAAGTCTCTTTCACTCTTAGTAGCTGGATTGGAGGGTTGGTGACTGACATCCATTTGATCGGTCGATTTTCGTTCGAAAACGTTGTTTTTAAAAAATAGACAGCCAGATCATATTATAGTCTGATCAGACGAACGTGTGTAATTTTTGTTGTTTTTGTTTATTATGCACTATTTAAAATACATTTTATAAATATAATTAGATTTAATTCTAAAATGTAAAAGCACTTATACACATATATAACCACATCACGGGTATCTGCATGGCTTACGATATTTTAATTTTATTTTTAGAAATCGTCTAATGAAAATACCGAAGTTAAAGACGAAGAACCTAAGAAATCATTGTTAAAAGTATGTACCTACGTATACATATTGTTTAGAAATTATATAAATTTTTTTCCTATTAAATTTAGTATACTTATTTTGTAATGTGTTCGAATTTCCTCTAATTTTATTTATATATAATATTGTTTTAATTTAATTTTTCATAGAAATCTTCTAACGAAACAACTGAAATTAAAGAAGAGGAAGTCAAAAAACCGTTATTTAAAGTACGTACCCATAACCTATTGAATAATAATTTAGAGTACCTACCTATTTATTATTTGTAAAAATAACATTTATAAATATTGAAATTCATTTTTTTTTTTTTTTTAGAAACCAGAACCTAAAGCCGAAATTCAAAGTGATAGTTTAAAGAAAGTATGTATAAAGTGTCCATCGATTTTTGTTCATCTCACTTTAGATTCTGTTTGAAGTTATTAATTTTTCTTAGATGTTGTTTTTTTGAAAAACGGTCTTTCGATCAGTAAAAATATACCAATTTTATCATTTTATACCTCAAGTAGTGTGAAATTTCTTCCCGGTAGTACTTTATTTGAAATATTTATTGATAGTTTCAATAGTTCGAGGACTTTTATTTTAATTTTTGTTGGTTTTTGAGTTGCTTTAGTAACAAAGAATTAAACATGACTGTAATACTGTTCCTCTCAGAATCGTTTTTATTTCCTTTAAATAATAGTAAATTGTTTAATTATTATATTTAAAATTAATGTAAATTTATTTAGGAAACTGTTGCTGAAAAAACTGAAGTAAAAGTAGAGGAAGTTAAGAAACCGATGCTTAAAGTATGTAAAAACGAATACTGAAGATTTTCAGAATATATTAGATTTGTGTAGGTAATCAACATTAATACTTATTTCAATGGCGATTTTTTTTTAGAAATTTGTTCCTAAAGCCGATATTCAAGGTGATGATTTTAAGAACATAAAAAATATATTGAAAGTATGTACAAAAACTGTTGACAAACAATACTTTTTAATAATAATGTGTGAAACAGACTTAAGTTCGTTTAGTCAACATTTTTAAAAATTCGTGTCGATTTTTTTAAATTTTTTTTAGAAAGTTCCCGTGGTAAAAACCGAAGGTAAAGACGACGAACTTAAGGACTCGTCGTTTAAGGTATGTATCAACTGTTTGCAAAATACACAAAATACGTTCCGTAATATATCTATAATTATATTACGAAATTTATTTCATTGTACATATTGTATATACATAATCGTAGATAGTACTTGTACATAGTTTTCATATTTTTCTTTTTTTACTTTTTCGTGTGTTACGCGTGTTTTATTTATAGACAACTGACAGTGACGGTAATGAGGAATCATTACCCTCCGACGAAGAAAACGAAAGTGATTCTTATCCGCTGACAGAAGTAATTACATTTATAAATAAATAACACTATCTGCCCATATTTTATTAAAAATCTCTTCGCGTTATGAAATAAAATTGACGAGCCGCAAAATATAAACAATCAAGAATAATAATGAGTTATTAATAGTCGACATAATAGGCGTATTAAAATTATTTTTGATTAATAAAAAATATTATAATATAATTATCATAGGTAAAAAGTAAAGTAAAAAACATTCGATACAAAAGTAAAATCAACAGATATCCTTAATCAATTCGGTTTAAAATTAATGTATTATCGATTAATCGAGAAATATAAATATACTTAAACGGTTTATTAATCAAACGTTCACGCTTTGGTTTTTCGCACTGTTAAATATTAGACATTATGTTGTATAGAAGAATCGCAGAAACTGCAGAAAGATCACAATAAATTCAAATCTTCTAAGATAAATAAAATATACTTAATACCTCTGCAAAAAAAAAAAAACAAAATTGCTTGTTAATAACTAATTTTATAACGTTAGATATTATCTATAAGTTGCTACGGTCATTTTATGAAATATTATAAAACCCTAAATGATTTTTTTGTCATTCTTTAAAATTTCTAAAATTTGAATACTTAGTGATTAACATAAAAATATAAAATATCGTGTTTTAAATGTTCTTTAAATGAGTTAATTTTGCATTTATGATAAACATTTATACTAAACATAAATCAAATCTCGGTAGACGAGGATCTACAAAAATAAAATACAGTATTAAACAGTTTTTATAAGCTTATTGAAAAATACATTTTCATCGTCATAAAATTTTGGAGAACTAGAAAAAACCTAAGCGGCGGAATATTTGATCAAAATAAACAAAAAAAAAAAACAAAAAACAAATAAAAAAGAACGAACAATTGAAATAAAACTTGAAATTTAATTTCTTTAAGTAAACATAGTTGCATAAAAAACCTTGTGTTTAAAAGTATAATGTTTACAAATATAAATTCTATGAATTCCGTGTTGCGATATTCAGGAAATGATTGACGAAACTGAAATAAATAATGACACTGTAATTGCTCCCACCACCGCGATTCCGGAAATTGTCGATGAAAAACCAAAAACTTCGACATTAAAAGTAAGGATAATATTATTATGACGTACCTATACGGTAAAATGACACCAACTTAAACATAATTGCACGTCTGTAATATTATACGATGATATGTATATTCCTGTTAAAAGATCGAAAACGAAGATAATAACGGTTACATGTCCCCGCCCGAAAAGGCCGTTCAGGATAGCTCCGTTAGAAGGAGAGGGTCTTCGATAAAAGTACGTTTTGTAAATACACGTGTGTTGGTACAGTCGCAGTAGTCTATAGTTATTATTATTTGTATATATGTATATAGAAAACCAGTGAATCCGTCACCGAGCCAACCGAACCAGTTAGTAATAATAATGAGGTTAAACGACGACCGTCAGTCAGAGTAAGTATATTTTGTGTGTTGAACATAGTAAGATAAGGTTATAATCCCGGTAAATTGAATGTATTTAAACGCACAGCATAAAGGACGGACGGTACGGGACACGATTTTGATGTGGAGTATTATAATTCGTTCCCCAAACAGTATAATGAATTAGTAATAAATCGCGGGCACTTGGCTTTGGATAAAATCTACGAATAAGTTTCTGTTAAAGGAGTTCAAAACATATTAAACAAGTTTTTAATTTGAAAGAATGTGCAATTCTAAGAGAAATGGTATAGATTTAACGGTTTCACTCACAGTATTCACTGAATTATCAGGAATTGAAAGAGACACGTGACGTCATTCAGCCGGGTTCGCCGTAATTGCTTATTTTATACGTGTAAGACTTATTCGCTTCACACACTCATTTACCGAACTTTACAGTATATTTTTGAAGTTTTGAATTACGAATGCAATGTGGTTTTATACACCGAAGAAGTTTGTGGAAACAGAATTTTTCTAATATGTCCAGTTTTTTTTTTTTCTAAATATTTAAAATATAAAAATAATTTTCGTTACGTACACTTCTGTAACAGCAACAATCACCTATCGCAACACAAGCCGCACTGTTGTGACTACAAGTGTGAGTTTAATGTTTAATTAAAATATATATAGTATTTTTTAAATTCAAAAAAAAAAAGAACTAAACGCTATACTAGAATTCTGATACTTCTATCGTCTAACACAAAAAATCACATATTTATATTCAAATCAACCGTCAAACATAAAACGTTTAGATTGGTAAATCAATGTGTAAAGCAAGCAATTTTTAAACGTGTAAAATAGGAAATTATTATGATGACGTTACGCGGCTATTCTAAGTATCTTAATATTTACTTAAATATTTATTTTTTTTACATATTGAATTTTGACCAAATCGATTTTAATAATTTGAAGAAATCACTATTTTTATGTTTTATGCTTTTTTGAAATCATGTGTGCATAATAATGCGTAGATCTTTTTGACAAGGGAGGCAGCGATCAATAAACCTTACACAAAATCATATTGACTATAAGGTTTTTTTTGGGGGGGGGAAAGGGCTTACATCCTCATAATTCTGATTTTGCCTACTTAATATTCAATTGATTTGGGAGGGGGGCTTGGCTGGGTTTTGGGGGAGGGTAAACCTCCCAAGCTCTCCCTATTCGAGCCAATCAACAAAATCAAGGGGACGTTATAAGAATGAATGTTTAAATAAATTCATACCTGACATATTTTTTATAAAAAAAATATCTTGGCGGGAAATCTCAGAGGGATGGTAGCTGCCTTTCCTGTCCTTCATATGCGCACGCATGTTCGTGCGTGTCATGAAAAAATAGACAGGTTCGCAACTTTTTGACACGCACATTATCGAATGACCTCTCCACCACCCCTTCCGCTTATAAGCTGGTACGTCTCTTATCGTCGTTCAAATACATTCCAATAGGCATTGCATGCATGTCACAGACAGTGGTAGTGTAGTTTAACGGCCAATGAGATGAGGCGACCGTGATTACGGCTGGAAAAGGCAGGAAAAGCACGATTAAAAATCGCCGACACGAGACCTGTCTATTTTGTCATGGCGTGGGTTTTTAAAAAGACAAAAATTGCATAAAATAACATATACGTTGTCAATTCATGTATACTTAAAATAAATAACTACCACGTTATTAGTTCGACTTTATTTTTAAATGGGGAGGGGAGAGGGAGGAGCTGTAATTTTCGAAAAAAATAACGTTCGTTCACAAAACGTGATGCAAACAATATATTATGTGTGTACGTTTAGAAAACCGTTGAAAATAAAATAGCGGACAAACAAGAAGATAAACCGGAAGTTGTAGAACGTCGTCGTCCGTCTTCGGCCAAAGTAAGTGTGTGTTTTCGAACTTTGCGCGTGCCTCGGTGGCGCGCCGGTTTCGATTTTGTATATATTATTATACCTACTCGTATATATGCATTTTTTTAGTTTTTATTTTTTCTAAAAGTGTGCTTTGTTTTTCTTTATCGAATATAACACTGTATATAATACCGTTTTGAATATTGTACATATGTATATATTTAGACAAACGATGAAATCGTCGGCACTGTTCCTGCGGAAAACAATAATATCGACGAAATGCGACGACCGTCGATTTCGAGTGTAAGTGTAACGCGTGAACATATGATCATAACATTGATATAGACAAATTAGTTTATAGAATCGATTTCGATTGCATCCTGTACATAATAATTCCCACCACGGCGTAGTTCGAATGGTGTCGAATGTCAATTACCTTAATGTTAATACCCTGATACTTTGATTATTTCAGTTGTTAAATGTCTACCTAACCACCTTATTCCTAAACACACCTATATAATTACAAAATGTTTTATCTGTTTCTTCATTATGCCACTCGAATCGTATTTTAACTTACGCATTTGTTTTTGAATATAGAAAAAAATAGCACCGAGTAAATCGCTTGCTGCTGGACAGCCGGACGAAAAGTTAACTTTGAAAAAACGACTCTCCGTAAAAGTAATAATACAATAATTATTATATTATAGTGCTTCGAAAATTCGATTAATTTATAAAAATGAACGGTAATTAATTATGTATTATTTTTAATTTGTTTTTCTAGAAGAAAAAAGAAACTACCGAACAGGAACAACCGGAGAAAAAAATGCGAACGTCAATAACGAACGTAAGTTGTAGTGCACATATTTTTTTTTTCGGAATCGTTTATTTTTCAATTAACAAGACGTTTCGTGTTTAATTCTTTTACAGGGAACTAAAATCGATACTTCGCACGACTCGTTCGACGAGGCTACTAAATCGATCGATGAACGAACACCGGTACAAAAATACAAATAAAATAATAATAATAAAACAGACGAGAGATAATCTTCACTTCGATTGAACACGTTGATCAATGCGTTCTTGTTGTTTGTTTAGGAAACGAGTGTAGATTATTCCATGATGTCTGAAGACGAAAACTCCATACAGGAACCCAGTATAAAGTTGGACTCTTCTGACGAGCAAACTCCGTCGAACAGGGTAAGTATCTGATGAACAATAAAATCATGAAAATACCGTCGAATTATGTCTTTATAGTAATAATTAGCCGCGATTATCACGACGTACAAAATACTTGTGTATTTATATTATTATATACATGCGATAAAACTGTGTATTTTTTTGTAACTCGGAGGCGTTTAACATTCAGGTAAATATGCATGATTTTTTTTCGGCGAGAGACGGGCGTTTTTGCCCGTCTGGCCGCACGACCTTATTATTTGCGCATGCCATCAAAACCCCACCGCCCGAATGCCAATTATTATTACCGTACGAGTAATCGTATATTATTATTATAACAACCGTCACCGTAACCATCACTATGTTTTCCCCCAAAACGAGCACTTATATCGACCTGTATATTGCGGTCGGGCGCGGATTTAGAATGACGGGAAGTTGAACGGCGGGTGGTTGAAAATAATATTGCCGGATAATATTATAGTTCCCGATATCGGACACGATAGTGTAGAACGAACGAAACGAAAATACTATGTAAATATTTTCCCGTGGAAAACGAAAATGAAATTGTAGACAGTATCTACGTATAAACGTAAAACACGACGAGGTTCTTTTCGGAATATTTTATAGGCTTTTTAACCTTTTTTTATTTTAGATACTATTATTTATTTATTTATTTTTTTTTGAAATGTTTTAACGAGATATCCACTTTTGGCTGTTTCGGGGACCTAGTGGCGATCCGCGACCTTTGCACCTGGTAAGGTCTGCAGTAATTTGAAAATTACAACGGGAGTCGGGAAAGGACGTAGATATACACGGAGAGCCAAAATTTCGTACCTACTGTCAAAAATAGAACCCGAGGCGACGCTAATTAGTATTTGTTGAATTTAGGCTTTAACATTAACGGTGAATTGTTTTATGTGTTGTGATAAAATACAAGTATATTTTCATCGTACTATAATACACATATCGTTTAGACGAGCCTCATTAGCCTGCACCGGCAACGGCGAGTCGCCACTGATGTCGGAACGTTTTCCGGTTTCAGGCCATTGAAAATCGTCGGTTAGACGTTATAAAAATATTTCCTTGTTTGAGCGCCCTCTCCCCCTCCTCCCCGTTGATAACGACATCTATATAGATCCGCGCCTGCCCGATATAATATTATTATTAGGTCGGTTTAAACGCATTAGATTGTTGCATTCGATTATTATTGTAGCCCGTGCCGGAAATCAAGGCGCCGGACATGCCGAAGATTGAAGTGATCCGGGAATCGACGCCCACCGACCGCGACAGCAGGAAGAGCTCGTTGGGACCGGCTTCGGGCCAGTCGAGCCGCCGGGGCTCGTTGATACCGCCGCCGGAAGACGCCAAAGGCCGGCGACCTAGTCTGATAATTAGCGACGAGGTAAATTTTCTCACAGTAAATCCAACCGTCGAACGGCGCTCCGCGTGATACCGAAAATATCGCACAGAGAGCCGTCTTTATGTTGTATTATATACATACAGGGTGTATGTGTAGGATTTGGCGATTTCCTATGCATTCGCGCAGGAAATCGCGAACTCTTTCAGACGCACGCTGTATATATATATATATATTTTGTAATTATTATACATATATTATATAGATAAAAAAATAGTCTCTTTCGTTCGTTCTATTATATTCGTTTTTTTGATCTATCCTTTTTTTTTTTTTTTTTAAATCGTATAAATATATCTTTCCTTCTATATATTATAATATCATATGTATACATATATACACAAATATGTTAACACAGGGTGTTTCGCTTAACACGTGATGTCCGGAGAATCCATACGAATGGATACGAATGGAATCCGTTTATATTCGTGTTGGACCGGAATCAAAAACGATAATAATGTTTTGTGAATTGACCGTTTTAAATTAGAACCCTCTCCGTCGGATAATTTACTCGCTTTTATCAATCTTACGGGTTTTCGAACCGATTGATTTACGGGCTCAACAGAATTTCCAAAAAGAAAAAAAAAACATTTAGAAAATCGATGAACACCTAATTCACTTCTTTTTCGAAAACGGAAACAGAACGGACAAAATGTCGACTATAATAACGGTTTCAATCGGATGTTTTCCACTTGTCGTTTTGGACTATAATCGTCTGACGATTATTGTCAGTTTGATTATATTGTCGAAAACAATTAAAAACAAAAAAAAAAACCATTGAATTTCTTATAGAATATTGTGATCACATAAGCGAAACACGGTGTATATTTATATTTTTGTGTAGTTATATTTATACATATATATTATTTTTGTATTTTTTTCTTATGCATTCTTAACGGCGCTCGGTATGCGAAGAGCGCCAAATTAGTAAGCATGAAGACAATTATAGTTATTATCGGCTGCTTTTATACTTTTTTTTTTTTTTTTTAAATAGATTTTTTACCATAACAATTTTTTTTTTTAGTGTTGAACATTGTAGATGAAAAGTAGATAAAATATAGAATAGAAACAGTAAAAATAATTATCATAACCACATATATTATACATACATGTACAGCGGGTTTTTAAGCCTTTTTATTTTTAATTAAGCCTAAAACGTATTCACTTCGAATATTATTAGTTTTGCAATAGATCCTGTGTTTATATAATCCTATATACATCCAGCTGCTAATCAGACGCGTAATATATTGTGTTTCGCTCGAGAAACCGACTTCGCGTATTATTTTAATATAGGTCTCGTAATCATATAAAATGGAGTTCCTACCTATATTATAGGGATTGCATTAATGCGTCAGATTTTCAAAAAAAAAAAAAAATTTTTAATTGTCTATATATTTTAGGAAAATAGAAAATTACGGCCCGGAGAGGTCCTGGAAGAAAAAAAGGTGAGGGTGTTAAAAATCCAATGTGAACAGCGTCTCTTTGGTGGAATTAATTAATAAACTGAAAAACACAAAATAACAATGGTTTTTTTTTACCCTCGTCGCGGCTGTTGTGACTTTCAAAGTGGACGTATACCTACTTTGGCGATGACGAAATCAAATAATAATAATAATAATAATAATATCAATAATCGTCCATAACCAAAAATACTGCAGCGCATTTCCTTGTTCATTAAACGTTTATATCGCAAATGGCATACGATAATAATTTATCCGTCAGTTTCGCAAAACCGATTCGTCATTGCCTATGCACCTATCTTTATATCTGTCGAAATTTCTAAAAGTCTCTGTGTTTCTGTCTTTGTGTCGTCACCCTCGGTTACTTCTGGTTAACCGCAACTTGTTTAACGTGCTTTCAATTAAATTATGTTTATGCAGGTTGGAAAATTGCGGCCTGGTCAGGTTATTGATGCAAAGGTGAGGTTTCATTCATAGTGTTTCCTCGTCACAATAGTCACCGTATCCGATACGATTGCGTTGTTTTTTTTTTTTTGTTTCTTGTGTACCCTATATTTTGTGATGTCGAGTTTTTTTTTTATTGTTTTTGTTGATCGTCTCTTTTTTTTTACACGTGTTGGTCCTGTGATCGTTTATTCGTTTGAAAATTGGACCGCGAGAAACAAAATGTTGTGACATTTACATCACTAACGCAACCTAACATAATATCTATAATAATATTATATTAATATTATTCTAATTTTATTACAGGAGTAATATTTGTATTTTTACTTTTATTATATTTATTACAATATTTTGTTTTTTTAGAATATCACATATTTACATTGTACGGTCTTGTGAATATTATAGTATTTATAATATATTTTAAGATTAAGACAATTTACTTGGAATATGTTTAACTTTTAATTTATCTACGAATATAACTGTAATATTATTTTTAAATATTAAGTTAATCGACGTGCGTGTTTATCTGCGAAGAAGAATATTACTATTATTGGCACGGGACATATGTAAAATAGTTTAGATTTAGTTTACCCTTTTACTTTATTAGTTCACCCTTACTCATCAATGCTGCTTCAGTTTTCAACAATTTTGATGTTAGTCAATCATTGAAGTAATTATTCGGTTTCTGTTATTTTTTGATGTAAAAAAATTAAAAAAAAAAGAAAAATTGTGAAAATTACGAACCTGCGTGATAATATCGTATTCTTGGAACAAAGCGATTTTAATTTCAAATATTTATCAGCATGTCAATTTTTAAGTTTCATACATACAACTCGCACTTTATTTTTTTGTAATTTTTATATAAGCGCTTAAAAATTATCCACAACACTATAATACGATATCTTCTATTTTCGAGAATCTACAATTATGGCAGTTTTTAGTTTTAAATTCGAATGGCCATATTTTGATTTATAACAGTGTTCAGTTATACATAAAATATATTAGCTACAAACAGAGATATTCAAAACAGCCACAAATTTAAATATACGGTTTCAAATTTCGTCTTAGTTAACACCAGTACAAAAAAAAAAAAAAAAAAAAAAAAATAACTGACTGCATTAATTGCAATTATATCAATTTTTGATTTTCAGAATATTATTAAAATACGATTTACGTATTACAAAGCAAAACATCAATACTTAAAAACGTGATAGCATTGCTATCATTAGAGAAAAAAAAAAAAATCAAATATTCAATGGATTGACCCAACATTGACGCCGAAAATAATAATACTATTACGTTCGGTGGTCTACTATTTTGTCGACAATATTTTTGAGATTCTACTTACACCAATACGTCAAAAATGTCAAGTTTTGAGTTGTGGTAGTCTTGTTCTAAGGGTGTAATGTATTATTGGTAGAAATTCATTTTATTCTTCTCATTTCGAACAGTTTGGATAAAATTCAATAAAGGACTTTATATCAATAATGGATTCACAGTGATGTGCAAACGAACAAGCGTCACAAACAAACGTCTAAAAACGTTTACGATACTTTGTTGTCTTCGATTTGCTTGTATTTTTTTTTTCGGGAATTGTGTAAAATATTTTATACTATCAAAAATCGCTGGCAATTCATTTGTAAAATTATTTTACGATGTTTTCTACAATGTTGTCATATTAACAACGCAAATCCGAATTTTATGTATTAGAACAATTCCTACAAATTTAAAATGTTCCGAGGATTGAACAAACGATTCGGTAATTAGGTGAGGTTTGATATCCTTGTAACTAGGTGTATGCCTATATAATATTATCATCTGCGATTTACCTACAGAGAATATTAGATTATTTAAACAAAAATATTATATGTAAATAAATACTAATATTAATACGTAGTTAAGTAGTTATTTGTGTTATTAAATTATGGTTTTTCTTTTTGCAACGAATATACATTGTATTACCTACCTATTAGCATTTAGTATTTAGTTTAGTTCACTCGGGTTTTCTTAGTGTAAATATTCATATTTCACGACGAAATATAGAAAACACGCTTTTTAACGATTTTAATTATATATATTTTAGATATGTAAATAGTTTATAATTGGCTTTTCAAATAACTCGAAAATCCAAATTTTAACTCGGTTAAAATATTAATAACAATAATATAATGTATGATTAAATAAACAAATTGCATGATAGTTCATGTATATATATTCATAGCAAGACGAATATTTAATAACTGCATTGTTTTTTGTAGTTTTATATTTTTCTTGCATCAATTTTTTTTATTTTTTGTAACATACAGAACCCCTGTATATATATATACCCTTTAGATTTAAGGATGTTTTGACTACCTTTTTTTTTTATTTTTTCGTTTTTAAAATTAGTTTTAAGAATTAATTTTCGTTAAATTGCTTGGACTCAATTAGTTAATAAATATTTAATATTAACATCATTCAATCGCATTGAATTGAGTAGTTAAAAATTGTACATATTAGTATTACGTATATTTTATATTAGTTTTTTTTTTTTTTTTTATTAAGTCAGTGTAGTTATTATTTTATCAGCTTGATGTTAGTCATTGAAGACGCCTTGAAACTATATCGAGAAAATGGATGTAGTGGGAGTGAAATGTGATAATTGTTGAGAGAAAAAAATAACTGACATCAGTATATTTATTATTCTAAAATTTGTATCTGGACTTTGCAGCGTCGACGACCAAGTACAGAAATGAGGAGGCCTAGCATCGCTGAACTCGAAGAAAAAATCGATAAACCTTCCACGCCACTCAAGGATATGGGGACACCGGGCCCTCCGAGTATTGTAGACGTTGCTGAAAGTTACTCAGCTATTGAAGATCAAACGGGATACATGACCATACAAGTAGAGGGCACGCCAGCACCTACATTTAAATTTTTCAAAGTAATTACTTTTAACTATATCGCCACAAGTATCTGAATGAAAACAGTAATATTAGATTTTAATTACTGTAGGAAAACCCTCTATAGTATTGTTAGATTTTAGTTAAGTACCTAGATATAATATTACGTTTGCAATTAATTGTCAACTTAGGGAATTACTGAGCTCATAGAAGGAGGACGATTCAAATTCCTTACCGACGGAGAAACAAACACCATTACGTTGTGTATGCGTAAAGTTAAACCGAACGATGAAGGGAAATACCAAGTAACCATAAGCAACATACACGGGTCGGATACCGCAGAAATGCAACTTTATGTATCAGGTAATTTTTAATCAATTTTCTTATTTTTATCAACGTTTATGAATTTGATTTGATTTTAATTGTAGATTCTAGTGGCATGGATTTCCGAGCCATGTTGAAAAAAAGGAAGTACGCTAAATGGGGCAAAGATAAGGACGATCCCGAATGGGGTGATTTGAAAGAAACAGAAAAACCTGTACCGGCGCTGAAGAAAGTTGAAAGGGTAAAACCGTATTCACAATAATATCCAACAATTTTAATGCGAGTATGACACAATTGTTTTAAATGTAAATAGAAACCAGAATCGTTTTTGAAACCGTTGGTGGATCAATACGCCAAAGAAGGAAAAGATAAAAAAGTCATGTTTGAAGCTGTATTTTCAAAACCTAACTCCAAACCAAAATGGTTCCTCCGAAAAGATGTACGTAATATAATTAATATTATATTTAAAATATATTTACGAATATAATATGTAAAATTATTGTTGAAAAACGGACATGGAAAAGCAGCGTTTATATTTTGAATTGTTCTCAGCCAACATATAAAATGTAGATACTATAGTGATGTCGATTTTCCGAATTACGGATAAACCAAATTTTCATATCCATTAATCCGAAATCCGAATTATTGGGATAATTCGAATAATTTTATTTTAAAATAAATACGTTATTCAATAAAAAAACAGACATGTTAACACACTACACTTTGGGTATAATAGTAATAGTCAGTTACACGTAGATGTATCATATTATACGAAATAAATTGAAGAAGTCGGATGGTTAAAGATATTATTCGAATTTTTCGGATTATCCGAATAAACTTTATTTCAATATCCGGTTTCGGATACCTGAATTATCCAGATTAGGTTTAGGCGCTAGATACATAACAAAATTATTAATTATTTTTTTAACGGATAATTAAAAAAAAATAGAAATTTTCTTATTTTATAATATTAATAACGTGAATATTTGGAAGTGATGTATTGTGTACGTTTGTCAGACGTATAATACGATGTAAAGGATGATTTAGAGGTTAAGTAGTTGGAGGAAAAATAGGAAGAACCAGACAAACAAGAGATTGCATCGAACAATGAGAAACCAAGATATTTATCTGGAAAAGTGACATGGTGGTGTCCAAGTCACCATCCTTTAGTTCCCAAAAATTTTGTCACGGAGTGTGCACTAGTTTTTAAACTTTTTTAGTATTAGTATTATTTTTTATTTAACTAAATAGCTGGTAATGTAATATGAAAGGTTTTGGTCTGGATATATCCGTTCATCCTTCTACCGTTCCTGTTTGATGGCACCTAGGTCTCGAAAAACATCAGACCTCTATCACCAATAGATGATAAAATATTATAGGCCTTTAAGAGCTAAAGCCCAGTTATAGACCCGTTTAAATAATATACATTGTTTATTATTTTTTTGTAAATTTGTATTTGTTAATAAAATTACATTCATTAACCATGTATTACTATATTATGTATCGCCTAAATATTGTTGCGTATTTAAAGTATAATATAACATATTTATCTGTCTGATAAACACTTTTATATATTTAAGGAATTATTTACCGGATCCAAGTACAAGTTTAAAAATGAAGGAGACGTGTATAATTTGATAATTATGGCACCGAAAGTAGAAGATACTGGAAAATATACTATTGAAATAGGCGGTGTTACCTCGACCGCGTACCTTAACGTAGAAGGTAAAAATATTTTACTCGCATTGTTATCAAACATATAATTAAACACAGTTAAGATAGTTAACATAATTATCAAATGATTATCATAATAATACGATAAATAAATATCATCAATGTATTAAAATATCATATCAATGGTTCCATCATTATAATGACTTTTATTCAATTATTTTACAAATTGCAACCTAACCTAACATTACAAATTCATTTAAAATAACTACCAAATTAAAAATTATTAATAAAATATTATGAATTTTGTTATAGAGCCTGCACCAGTTTATACGTTTTTGCGGCCGCTCGAAACCACTACGGATGGTTTTACAAAACACGAAACCAGTATGGAATGTACAGTTAGCAGTAGTATGGCCATTATTGGTTGGTATAAAGAAAAGACCAAATTGTCGGACGGTGATAAGTATAGTATGTCTAAAGACATGAGTGGAATTTGTCGACTGACAATTAAAAATTGTGAGCTAAACGATAGTGGTAAATACTATTGTCGCATAGAAAAACAGGACGAAAAAACATCGTCAACACTTAAAATAGTTGGTATGTCAAACATATTATTAACTGTCAATCAAATATTTTGTCAACTATTATATTATATGTATTTCATATAGAATATCCGTACAAGTTTGTGAAAGTGCTCAAACATCAAACAATGATCGAAAAAGATACGGTGACATTGCTATGCGAGTTGGACGATGCAGCAGGTGATGTAAAATGGTCTAAAAATGGCCAGGAGCTTAAAGCTGACAAGAGGTAAACAATATTTAATTTTTTATTTAAGTAGTATCATCTCATTATCGAATGTTTGTATGTTATGTTAGAATTCGCATAGTAAAAGAAGGTAGAAAAAGGAAACTGATAATTAATGATGCGAAGGTTACCGATGGCGGTCTTTTCGCGTGTACAACAAATGCTGACAAAACTGAAGCAGAGCTCATTATTAAATGTGAGTAAATTTTTATGAAAAATATATATTTAAACGTGTGAATTATAACTTTATCAATCTATATTGATTTGTCAATCAATTGTGTAATCAATATTATATGGACTTAGATCAAAACAAATTCAACAAAAAACTGAAGGACACTACTGGGATAGAAAGGGAAAAGGTCGTGTTGGAAGTTGAACTCCAAGATCAAACGGCTCCTGCCGAATGGTTCTTTGATGATAAACCAATCACAACCTCCGAGAGGTATATTCAAAATTAGTTTTTCATCGATAATACCTACTCAATTTAATAATATTTTTTTCATAGAATCGAAATAAAAAATTTGGGTGGTGGCAAACACCAATTAATATTCAATAAACTAGAATTGAAAGACGCCGGCGCAATTATGTGCAAATCGAATGAGCTCACCTCACTTTGCATATTGGAAGTAAAGAAAGGAGAAGAAAAGCCAATAATTACGTTTGACGAAAATGTTGAAGCTCCTGTGTCACGGCCAATTAGTTTCGAAGTTCCTTATAAAGGTATCGTCATAATATATCATATAGAGAGTAATCAATCATCCATAAGGAAATCATTATCTCGGAACGTAACCTATAACCTTTTTTATACATTTTTTAAAACTATTTAAGAAAAAAAAAACGTCACTAAAATTTTACATTTTAGCAATCATTTTATAACCTTTATTTTTTGGGATAAAAATCACTTATCTATCTACTTATGATTTTCGAACGCCGTGCGCCCCACCGTTATAAAAATGATACTTAATTACTTTTCCTCTAATCAAACTAAAAAATTAAATATTTTTTAATGGGTTAATGTAAATTATATATTTTAACATCCACATTTATTTAAATTTAAACTTCATTTATTCATGGAATTTTGAATATAGGCTGCTATTGAAAAAACATAAGGAGGTAGTGATTTCACTCTAAAAATAAAGGCGACGAAAAACAACGGTAATGTAACATTTTAAAACTCCTTGTTTCATAAATTGTTAAAAAAAGAATTTCGAAACAATTAAACTTTTCGAGATAATGAGTGTCTTATCGTGGATTAATCTCCCAGTATGTATATACTATTCAGTATTAGATCTTAATTGAATTAATTTTTAGTAAACGGAACGCGACAATCGGCTATTGATGCAAAACTTTTGAAAGACGGAAAGCCATTGACTGCAAAGGATGTAGAAGTCATTGTTCACGACGACAAAGTTATATTCAATATCAAAAAACCTGCACATTCTCTTTCGGGCAAATATCAAATACAATTGAAAAATAACCAAGGAGAAGACGTAAAAGACGTTAATATTAATATGCAAGGTAAGTGTTATGACTAAAACCGACATAAATATTCTACCATAACCATAACCATACCTATCATTAATCATAACAATAATGTGCGTCTTTAATTTGTTTTATGGAATTACAGATGTGCCGTCACCACCGAATAATCTGGAAGTATCCGATATCTTTAAAACTAGCTGTAAACTCAAATGGGAACAGCCGGAAGACAACGGAGGATCTCCTTTAATTCATTACATAATTGAACGACAAGATTTAACCGTGAAAGGTATAAAAATAATTTAATTAGGTAAAAATGTTATGCAGGATTTGTATTTAACTCATTGTTCTTCATATTCAGGTGGATGGCAGAATATCGGAGAAGTAAAAGCCAACTCTCCCTTAGTTTACGACGTCACCGATTTAACTACTAAAAAAGAGTATAAATTCCGCGTGAAAGCAGTATCGAAAATTGGACCCTCCGAACCCACTCCTCTAACCAAAACTGTTTTGGCAAAGGATCCTTGGGGTAAAACTCATACAAACTAAATGTAAAATTCGGTTTGTATATATATTTTTTTGTACTATAGATGAACCTAGTAAACCGAATGACGTAGAAGTCGTGGACTGGGATAAAGACCATGCAGATTTAAAGTGGACAAAACCAACAAACGACGGAGGAGCGCCGATTACCGGATACGTCATTGAGTATAAGGTAATATTTATAAACAAAATTATTAACATAGTATACATAATATACAAATCACATATGTTAATTTCTTAAAAACATTTAACCCTATAGGAAAAGTTTGGTAAAGACTGGGTAAAAGGAAAAGTGTTTGAAGGAGATATAAATTCGGCGACAATTGACGGTTTAAAAGAAGGAGTTCAATATGAATTCAGAGTACGTGCAATTAATAAAGCTGGTCCGGGTGAACCTAGTGATGCAACAAAACCAATTATTGCTAAATCAAGATTTGGTAATTATTTCGACAGTACAAAATGTTGATTATATATTTATAATATTGCATATTTGTTTTATATTTGTAGTTAAGCCATGGATTATTGGAGACGATTTGAAAAATATAATCGTTAAAAAAGGACAAGTGATTAAGTATGATATAAAATACGGTGGTGAACCCGAACCTGAAGTTATTTGGCAAATAAACGAAACTCAAATACAACCGGATGGCGATAGGTAAAATATCAAACTTATTTTTTCTATCTTTTGGAAACAGTATTTTCTTTTGAATATTAACCATGTATAATAATAATACTTGGTAATATTTTTAGAATTACTATTGATAAATATGAACGTAATTCATTGTTAACAATTCGACGAGCCGTGAGGATTGATAGTGGAAAATACACTTTAATATTAAAAAATAGTTCGGGAACATTTGAAAAAACCGCTGAGGTTATCGTTTTAGGTATTTTTTTGTATTGATCATGAATTCGAACTGAAATAAACTAACTGAGTTTTATTTTTCATAGACAAACCATTGAACCCTACGGGACCGCTGAAAGCCGAAGAAGTGAGATCAGATCACATAACGGTATCTTGGAAAAAACCAAAAGACAATGGTGGCTCAGAGATAACTGGCTATATTCTAGAGAAAATGGACATGGACACTGGTCGTTGGGTGACAGCTGGCGAGGTAAAATACATATAAAACAACTAATATTATATTATTGTGCATCATAACTAACAAAATTATGTACTTAGACTGGCCCCGGAAAAGAAACGTTCACGTTGAATAATTTAACTCCGAAAAAGAAATATAAGATTCGTGTTAAGGCAGTAAATAAAGAAGGAGAATCAGAACCACTTGAAACAACTGAAGAAATATTAGCCAAAAACCCATACGGTAAAAATTTAAATGTTACTGCAATATACAAACTCAATAATAAGGCTTTATATTAAAATATATTTTTTTTTATAATTCAGACGAACCTGGTGAACCAGGAAAACCAGATATCATAGATTATGATAATAAAAGTGTTACTTTGAAATGGAAAAAACCAGAATCCGACGGCGGAAGGCCGATTACACACTATTTAGTAGAAATGAAGGATAAATTTTCGTTGGAATGGACTGAAGTGACGAAGACGCTCGATAATAGTCCCGAAGTAAAAGTTGAAGGTTTAAAAGAAAAAATGGTTTACCAGTTCCGAGTAAAAGCTGTAAACAAAGCTGGACCGGGAGTCCCAAGTAAACCGACAGACGCTCACACTTGCAAACACAGAAATTGTAAATATCTTATATTTGTATACCTAATCTTGTTGTGGTTAATGTTGTTAAATTTATGCTTTTATACAAAAGCCGATTTTGTACTGTCAGTCTTAATACTAGAGTGTATTATCAAACTTAGAGGTGAGAACATTGTTTATTTTTAAACGTTAGTTTTTTTTGTTAATATTTTAAATTTTCTAATGAGTTACGAATATGTGAAATAATACAATTTAAAAATCAACAAATCTGGCTTAAAAATCGAAATATCGAGAAAGAAACCGGCAGACAAACATAAACAATGGTCTTACCTTTAAGTTTAATTATGGTCTAAATACAATCTAACATTAAAACGAACAAGCTAAAATCGGTTAAAATATAAATAATGGTATTAAGCGAATTTTAAAACATCAATCGTAACAAACTATATCAATATATATAAAATTAGAATATGCAAATTAACATACTTCTCATCAATTTAGTGAAACCAAGAATCGACAAAGAAGGCATGAAAAACATAATGGTCAAAGCGGGTAGAAATCAAAAGTGGATAGTAGACGTGTCTGGAGAACCAGCACCGACGCTCAAATGGATATTTAAAAATGAAACGTTGGTAAATAACGATAGAGTGAAAATCGAAAACATCGATTATCAGACCACATTGACAATAACCAGCGCAATTCGTAAAGATACTGGCATATACACGCTTGTAGCAGAAAACACATCTGGTAAAGACGAAGCAACTCTCGAGTTCACGGTTTTGGGAAAACCAGATTCCCCAAAAGGACCATTGGAAGTGACTGATATCACAAAGAAAAGCTGTAAAATAAAATGGAAGAAACCGGAAGATGACGGTGGCTCTCCAATTACAGAGTATGAAGTAGAAAAAATGGACATGGCCACTGGAAAATGGGTTAGGGTTTGTAAGGTGCCGGCCAAAGATAACGGTAAAGATCCCGAAGTGGAAATATCTAATTTGGAACCGGGTGGTGAATACAAATTCAGAGTGACGGCGGTAAACAAAGAAGGAGATTCTGAACCTCTTACAACGACTAAATCCATTATTGCCAAAAATCCATTTGGTAAATACAATATAAAAAAATATAATATAGTAGACAAATATTTAAAATTTTTTTTTAAATCTTTTTTTAGACGAACCATCCAAGCCTAAAACACCAGAAATCATTGATTACGACAATCAAAGTGTAACTTTGAAATGGGTAGCTCCAGAAAAAGACGGTGGTGCTCCTATTGAAAAATATATCATCGAGAAAAAGGACAGGTACATAATAAACTAATGACGTACATATTCTAACTGAATTACAACAATCATAATTGGATTGGTACTAAATGTTCTCATAAATGAAAAGTGTGTCGTTAATTTAAACATATAAATCTCTAAAAATATATAATTTTTAATTCTATTTAGACTTTTTAAATTCGTGGTTTTAGACATATTATTATATTATTTAAGTTTTTAAATGATCGATAATAATTGTCGAAAATATTACAAGGTTTAATTTCGCATTAACTGAATTTTTCTGATTTAATCCGAGTTGTATACATTTCTAATGAATGGATACAAATTGTAAACGAGCCCTTGATCTTTACAAATAATTTCTTGTTCTCATCTTTCATTTTCATACCAACTGCTTAGAGTCGGCCACCTTCATTTAAAATTCGACTCGATTTTCACATCGTTCTTGCGTACACCTGCTGTCCTAATATTATTCTAAATCGCACCCAACAACCTGTTTTTTGGTTTTCTTCTCTCCTACTTGTCCTCATCCAAGAATAAAATATAATAAAAAATAACCGACTTCTACTAAAAATAATGCTAATTTTTTAATATTTACTTTCATACATTATACATTATTTATATAACTGATTCGAGTTATCGTGGTTTTACAGCGTTCTACTACATTGAATATAATTTATAGGAGAAAAAAACTAAATTTGTTTGTCTTTATAGATTTAGCCAAGAATGGGAGTATGCTTTAGAAGTTCCGGCTACTGAATTGAAAGCTAAAGTGCCAGAACTAAAAGAAAAGTCAGAACTTCAGTTCCGTATTTCGGCAGTCAACAAAGCGGGAGCTTCGCCCGCATCGGAACCTACGAAAATTCATATTGTTAAACACAAATCATGTAAGTTAAATGGTTTGATTTTAATAAACGAAACCGCTAAATTCGTATGTTGATTTTAGTGAAACCTAGAATTGATCGCACCAACTTGAAAAGTATTGTTGTAAGAGGAGGAAAAACAGTAAAATACGATGTCAATATTAAAGGCGAACCTGCACCGACTGTCAAGTGGCAGCTCGTTAACAAAGAGGTATACATTATTTTATTTTATTCAGAATATTATATATTTTACAAATTTACTATTATCAAATGACAAATGATTCATTTGTTTCGAAAATTCTACATGAAAATTTAATTATGCACAATAAAATATGCGGTTTTTATGAAATGAAAAACAATATGTTTCACGTTTTTACATCTTGTGATTTGTGATTAATCACTAATTGCGCATATTTAAAAATTATATGTATCTGTATTTTATAAATTACTTACTTGAAATAAAAATACTTCAAACAGGTAAAATAAGTAGGTAAATATAATTTAATTTTGTTATAATATTGCACATAAAATATTTCGGTGCAATTACATTTTATATAACGGTTCCTCTTAAACCATGAACATATTATTTTTCATATGTGTTAATACACATATTATATACATATATATATCATAGAAAACAATGATAGTAAATTATTTATATAAACATGTTTTTGAGAATTGTATTTTTAATACAAATTCATTTTGAGGGAAAGTTGAACCTGTGGGGAATTTACAAAATGTTATCCTTTAGTGTAAATCAGTCCACGCGACGAAATTTCTAAGTACGTGAAATAAGTGTCCCGAAATATTTTTTTTTTTTGTTTGGGAAAGACGAGTAACAAAAATAGCCTACCCGTCCTTTACCCAACAACGCCTTTCAAATATTTAAGTTCTAAAACCACCGACCTCCATACAAAAGGTGGACGGAATCTACACGTAGTAAGTGTTTGTAAGTGTGTCCCTTTACGTAAAATTTTTTTTATTATGCAAATATTTTGAAACAAACAATCGTTTATCGAACCACCAGAAAGGTATTGTAGTAACTCGAAAAATGCGATTTTAAGTTACACCCTTTTTCCATGGTAAAAATATAGTTCTTTACGATGCAATATCGTAGTTTTAGAAAATATGGTAAAGTATTAAGAAAATTATAATTGGTTACTGTGAATGTTAAAGTAAATTATTTCGTAAAAACGCCTAATTATTTTACAGTTAATTTGAATAGTTTGCGTACTAGTGTTTTAATTAAAAAAAAGTAAGGAAGTTCGTACATTAGATAATTAAATTTTGAAAAAAAATAATAGGTTGCTTTTAATGCAGTATTGTAGGATCTTAAAATAATTCAATATTGTAATACAATTAATTTAAATTGTTATAGTGTGTTAATACTAGGATATTGAGTACCACGGAGGCTTTGATGAGAATATGAAACATAGGACTGAGTATGGTTTGATAAAGTGTAGAAAAGCTTACGGTTTTTTATGTGATAGGAGAATTCCAATGAGAATTAAGGTAAAGAGCTACAAAAGTATAGTGAGACTATGCGGTATGGTTCGGAGTGTTGGGCGGTAAACAGAAAAATAAAACAGAGCAAGAGTGTAGCATAAATTAGAATGCTTTGGTGGATAAGTGGAATGTCAAGAAAAGATAGGATAAGAAATGAGTGTATAAGAGGTAGCGTAAGCGCGGCTTTGATTTTAGATAAAATGAGAAAAAATAGGCTGTGATGGTCAGAAAAAAAAAGAAATCAGAAGCATTAAGAATTGTAATTAAAATAAATTGCAGGAAGCAAGAGAAAGGAAGAAGATAGAAAAAAGGGATTGAATGATTTGAATGTGATTGAGAATGATATGTCAATCAGTGTATGCCAGGTGGGATGTCGGGTCAAAAGGAAGTTTTGAATGAGGGTGATCGACCCCAAGTAGTTGTAATGAAAGCGAAGAAGAAGAAAATATTATAATGCGTTTAGTCCACTAAACAAATTTACTAATTAAAAAAGGGATTTTTTTTCATTTTATAGTTTAGATATACAATTTTATTTATAAACTACTAAATCCAAAACTGTATGATAAAAAATAGAATAGTATTTGTTTCACAGACACCTGAGTAAAAACTTAAATCTTTTTTTTTCAAAATATGGTTTTTCGAGTTACACAACCATTCTGATAGACCAATAGGATCTTATTCTTTATTATAGTTGTTGAAAATTTTTTTTTGTCTTTCCGATCATTTTAGATCGAGGCATGTCCTTTAACATAAGACTATACAATTGAAAATTTTACTTTATTCAATTAGGCAAATTTTTAAGTAGATACCACTGTTGATTTTTATAAATTAAATTTGTATAATTTTATAATATTATATAAATTCTACACAGAATCAAACAAATTTATTTATTTTAATCTTATTATATAATATATATATATATATATATTTTTTTTTAATAATGTGTTATTTAAAATAACTTTTACATTTCAGACTGACGAACTTATAAGAGATGTGAGTAAAATAAAAAAAATCTCGTGAGCTACGTAGAAAGAGTTTTAATATTTGTAGAATTGAAATAAATGTTGGTTATAATTATTATATTATAGTGATGGTTGGTTTTTATAGTTTACCAAAGTAGTTATTCTAATATCAGTATACTGAAAAATTTGTCGACATATCAAACAAATGTAGAAATAATTGTAATTAGATAATTATTTTTAGAGCTGTAGATTTAATTTTAATATACGATTTACGTCATATACTAATATGACGTATTGGTGCTTTGTTGAGTAGTTTTTGTTTGTGCGTATATATTACTTTTAAAATATTATATTATTTGTTTTACCCACATTAGAATGTTGTAGATCGTAAATAATTGCCTTTTTAGTAGATACAGAATTTTTTTTATTGCAAAGTAGAATTTGATTAATGATGCTTATTTCAGAGTTAATAGTAGATAAAGGTAATTGCTAAACAAGTTTGAGTGTTTACTGCACTATAGTATACTAGAAATAATTACTATAAATGAAAAATGATTTGGAATTAAATTATACAATACGAGCATTTTTAAAACAATATTTTATAACGACTATATAGGTAATCTCCGAAGGAAATGTAAAAATCGAAAACATACCGTACAACACCAAAATTACATTGTCAGATACTGGACGTAAAGATTCCGGTTTGTATAAAATTATTGCTGAAAACGATTTCGGCAAGGACGAAGCTACTGTTGAAGTTACCGTTCTATGTATGTGATAAACAATTATTAATGCCACGTATTAAGATAAATAATTTATTATTAATTAAATTTTAACATTAAAATAGGTCCTCCAACGAGACCTCAAGGTCCACTTAAAGTGAAGGACGTTACGAGTAGTGGGACCAAAGTTAAATGGGACAAACCAAAAGACGATGGTGGAAAACCCGTTACGGCGTATGTGGTGGAAAAAATGGATGCTCAGACAGGACGTTGGATTCCAGTTGGTCGTACGGCAGAACCGGAAATGGACATTAAAGGCTTGCAAGAAGGCCATGAGTATTCATTCAGAGTAAAGGCTTTGAACGAAGAAGGTGAATCCGAGCCGTTAGAAAGCGACGGCAGCATAGTTGCAAAGAATCCATTCGGTAAATACAATTTTATAATGACAATAACGTCAAAAACACATTATTAAACATTTAACTATTTACAGAAATTCCTGGCAAACCCGGTACTCCAAAAATAACAGATTGGGATGTCGATAGAGTAGATTTGACATGGACTGAACCTAAACACGATGGAGGAGCGCCGATAACTGGATATATTATTGAGAAAAAAGAGAAACTTTCCACTGTATGGGAAGAAGTTTTGACCACAAAAGTACGTAGAAAAACATGACTATACAAATCGATATGGTAGATACATTTCTAATAAAAAAATTAATTTTAGACGCCAGCTTGTCAATCAACTGTAAAAGATCTTAAAGAAGGAAATCAATATCAATTTAGAGTTCGTGCAGTGAATAAAGCAGGACCTTCTGAACCAAGTGATGCGACCAAAATGCACACTGCAAAAGCTAAGAACTGTAAGAACATTTTACCAACAAATACTAATTGTTTTTAAAGTCTATTAAAAAAAATTGTATTTTCGTATCATTTGTGTATACAAATTATTTGAGTGGTTAAAATAAATATAAAATTGCATTTCTTTTAATTTAGTAAAACCGTTGATCAACCGTGATAAATTACAAAAAGTAGTTGTAAGAGTTGGTCAAGTTGTAAAATTTGACGTTGACGTTCGCGGTGAACCTCCACCAACAATGATTTGGTCATTCGGTAGTAAGCCGTTGATAAATGGACGTTCAGTGAAAATCGAAAACGAAGATTATAATACTAAACTTACTTTGTCTGATAACACAAGGAAAACTTCAGGGCTCTATAGTTTACGAGCAGAAAATGCATCTGGTTTTGACGAAGCTACAGTAGAAGTAGTTATTTTAGGTAAGTTTTCAATATTTTTCTAAATTACTAATTTGAATTAAAATCCAGAGAAAACTAGGTTACATGAAATAGTATTTTTTTAAGTTACCATGTATTTTTAACATTTAAAACTCTTTTTTTTTCCTATTTTCCATAGATAAACCTGGACCTCCAGGTGGGCCTCTCGAAACCACCGACGTACACAAAGAAGGATGCACATTACACTGGAATAAGCCCAAAGATGACGGTGGATTGCCAATTACTGGTTATTTGGTTGAAAAAATGGACACTACTACTGGAAAATGGGTACCGGCAGGCTTTGTCGATCCAACTAAACTTGAACATAAAATAAACGGTCTTGAACCTAACAGAAAGTATAATTTCCGAGTAAAAGCATTGAATGAGGAAGGCGAATCGGAACCATTGGAATCAGACGGTTCAATTCTTGCTAAAAATCCTTATGGTATATATATTTTTTTACTTCGACACGTTATATTATTATTATATGATTTATACACTATTTAAATTACATTTGTCTATTTTTGTTTATTTGTTATATAAAGAATTTTCATATTGATCTTAATGAAACTCTACACACTTGACATTCAAAATAAGATAATAAAATAAGGTGTATACATTTAATCTCGAAATTTAATACCACAAGGGTGGACAACATAGGGTTTTTGGGTTTTTCGGAATTAAAATTGAATTTTTTTTTTAAATTTATGGGTTGCTTTTGCTACACGGATGAAAAAAATACTTTAATTTGTTTATTAAATTGTCACAGATAAATAAGTACTCTTTTTAAAAGATTAATTACCGGGTCACAACGTTTAACTGTGATGAGAATAAGTTAAATTTAATTTATTTTATTGATTTTTGTTTTTTAAGGATTGAACCTTAAAAATACAGACTAATTCTGTTAGTTATGTATACAATTTTAAAACCCCTTATAATTGCCCAATTTCACGAAAATCGGACTTGATGTTAATCAATGTTATTCATTTATTTTAAACAGATACCCCAGGTCCTCCGGGATTACCGGAAGTTATTGATTATGATGAAAATATGGTCGAGTTAAAATGGGATGCACCATTTAGGGATGGCGGAGCTCCAATAACAGGTCGGTATAAAATGTTTTACAATACTATTATCGTATCGTTAAGGATTATTTTTGAACTCTCACATTATTGTGCTATTTGTTGTATGAATAAAAAAAAAAAAAAAATATTTATTTTCATTAATTTACCATAATAATATTTTTAGGATATATAATCGAAATGAAAAGCAAATATGACAGTTCGTTTGTGAAAGCTGCCGAAGTCACAGGAAATGTTTGTAAGGGGAAAGTACCGAAATTAGAAAACGGACAACAATACCAATTCCGAATACGTGCTGTTAATAAAGCTGGACCTGGTGAACCTAGTGAAGAGTCTCTTACTCATATAGCTAAAGCAAAATTCAGTAAGTAGTAATTATAGGTAATAATTTGGAAACAAACAAGTTATTATACTCGTGAATTTATTTATATCTATAGTGAAACCAAGAATAGACAGGACTAATTTGCAAAACATTGTAATGAAAGTTGGCCATACAAAATTAATCGACGTGAACATAAGCGGAGAGCCTGTACCAGCTGTCACGTGGTCATTTAAAGATGCTGTAAGTTATTACTTATTACCTAAATCGTTTTTATTGTTCGCATACAAATTCGTGTTATAATATATTTTATCGAACTTAATGTTATACATATTATCCAATTGATAATGTTTTCGCCATATTCCAATAAAATATATTTTAAAACATTTACCAATCATTATCTTATATATTTAAAACAAATTTTCAATTATATGCAATAATATAACTGATATTAATATGCGTGTTCTTTGTTTTAGGAATTAACTACAGGAAATTCGCTCGAAATCACTAACATGGAATACAATACAAAATTAATGATCATCAAAGCATTACGGTCCCATCATGGTATTTATACGATTAATGCCAAAAACTCTGTCGGAGAAGATACAGCGACATTTGATATTACTGTCTTAGGTAAAAAATAAATATTCAGCATGTTATAAAAATGACTTGTTTAATAGTGTATCATCAAATTATAATAACATGTTTATTTCCATATACGGTATTGTATGAGTTTTACATTATAATGCAATTTTTAGGAAAACCTACAAAGCCTGGAGGTCCGCTCGAAGTAACCGATGTAACGAAAAACGGTTGCAAATTAAAATGGAAAAAACCAGATGATGACGGAGGCGCACCTATTGAGTATTACGAAATTGAAAAACTTGATCCATTAACTGGACAATGGATACCATGTGGTAAATCCAATGAACCAGAAGCAAATATCACTGGTTTGCAAGAAGGTAAACAATACAAATTCCGCGTGAGGGCAGTCAATAAAGAAGGAGAATCAGATGATTTAGAAGCTGACAAATTTATTGTGGCGAAAAATCCATTTGGTAAAAATGACTTTTACATTTTTGTTATAATAGTGAATATTCTAAATATTCCGTTTCATTAAACAGACGAACCAAGCAAACCTGGACGGCCAACCCCGACAAATTGGGATAAATCATTTATTGACCTTGAATGGGAAGCACCTGAATCAGATGGTGGTGCACCAATCGAAAGTTATATTATTGAAATGAGAGACAAAGATGAGAGGAACTGGGTTAAAGCTCTTGTTCTTCCAAATAAGTATGTTTTAATTTAATTTATGATTTATTGATTTATTTTTATTCTACTTATTTGTATGATTTATCTATATTGAATGTGACTTTCGTAAAAAACCGATCGACATTAATCACATTACATAATTAAATTGATTAATATTACGTATTGATTTTTATTTATTTTTTAGACGGTCTGGTCGAGTTACAGATGTTATTGAGGGTCACGAATATGAATTTAGAGTGATTGCAGTTAACAAAGTTGGACCTAGTGAACCTAGTGATATTTCTAAGTCCGTTGTTGCTAAACCACGATTCAGTACGTAGTTTTAAAATAATAAATACTACTAAATAAAGTTTATAATAGATAGGTACTTATATTATAATACTTACTAAATTGTGTTGTATTATTGTTTGTAGTGGCCCCTAAAATTGACCGCAAGAACTTGACAAAGAAAGAGATTCGCAGAGGAAAATTCTTGAAATTCGAAGCAGACGTTGAAGGAGAACCCGCTCCTACGATAACATGGACATTTAATGGTCAGACAATATTATTTAATGACAGGTAATATTATTTTGGAATATTATGTATTATTGGATATTTATTGATTGACATATTTTTGTTAGTTATATTGTATTATATGTATGTTGATAGTTGTCTAATATGTCTATGTGTTTTAATAATTGTATTTTAGGTTGACTATTGAAAGTGAGGACTATAGAACTACATTTATATTACAAAAAGCCAAACGGTCCGATTCTGGAATTTATACCATAACCGCAAAAAATGACTCTGGAACAGACAAAGCTGAAGTTGAAATTGTTGTTCTCAGTAAGTTTTACTCATTGTTATTATTAATACAACTGTATTAAATTGTTTATGTCAAAAATTAATAATTGTCTTTGAATAAATACTTTTAGCTGCACCAAGCAAACCTAAAGGACCATTAAAGGTGTCTGAAGTCACGGCTGATGGCTGTGAACTTAAGTGGCAAAAACCAGAGGATAACGGTGGTGTTCCGATCGACCATTATATCGTCGAACGAATGGACACTGAAATGGGACGATGGGTTCCTGTGACCATTTCTAAACTTCCGGAAGCCGAAGTTACCGGCTTACATGAAGGCAAAGAATATCTTTTCCGTGTAAAAGCGGTAAACGCAGAAGGAGAATCAGAACCTCTCGAAACTGATTTCGGAATCGTAGCAAAGAACCCATACAGTTAGTATTTAGTTTTGAATATTTTTATTATTGTACAAATATTAATTACTATTTGAATAATAGATGAACCAGACCGCCCTGGAAAGCCATATGCCAAAGACTGGGATAAGAGCAGTGTACATTTAAAATGGACACCTCCTGCAAACGAAAATGGAGCACCAGTTACATCGTATATAATTGAAAAGAAAGATCAATACAGGTAAGATATTACTATTTTTTTTTTCATTTTTTCGTTTTATAAATATTTTTTTGTTCTGTTTAATATTTGGACGACAAAAATTGTTTTTTTAATGTTCGGCGATTATGATATTATTTTCAGCTCTAAATGGCAAAAGGCTGCAGAATTAATTGGAAATAAATGTGAAGGAAGAGTTCCTGATCTTGCTGAGAATATGAAATACACGTTCCGTGTAATTGCCGTTAATAAAGGTGGTTTCAGTAAACCAAGTGAACCTAGTGACCCAGTGATCACTAAAGATAGGAATGGTATGTTTATTAACACTATAAAATCTTAATAGAAATTATCAATAAAAAATAAAATACAAATGAATGTTTTTTTTTTTTTTTAAATACTCTAGTTGCTCCTGTCATTGATAGAAGTACACTCAAGAATTTAACATTGAAAGCTGGCCAACACGTGAAAATTGATGTAAAAATTAGCGGAGAACCTCCTCCAACAAAAATATGGTACCATAACAAAGCACGTTTAGAAAGCAAAGAAAACTTTAATGTTGAGTACGAGGATTATAGAACTAAAATCTCAATATCTATTGCCGAAAGGTCTCATACCGGAGTATATGTCATTAAAGCCGAAAATGATTCGGGCAAAGACGAAGCGACATTTGATATAACTGTATTAGGTACGGAAATTATTATTATGACATGCTATTATTGTGTACCAATTAATTAAACGAAATGCTTTTATTTTGATTTTAGACAAACCGGGAAAACCAGAAGGCCCGATTAAAATATCCGATATACACAAAGAAGGTTGTTCTTTGAAGTGGAATCCACCACAAGATGATGGTGGTGTTCCGTTGAGTCATTATGTTGTCGAAAAGATGGATGCTGAAACGGGTAAGAATTATAACATGATAAAAACCATATACTTATCAATTGTTTTAAACGTTATTTTGTAATTTTATTCTTTAGGACGTTGGGTACCGGCGGGAAGATGTAAAGAGCCAAACTTAACTGTATCTAATTTAATACCTGGCCAAGAGTACACGTTCCGTGTATCAGCTGTAAACACCGAGGGAGAATCTGAACCTCTAGTTGCTGATCATTCAATTATAGCTAAAAATCCGTTTGGTATGATTTCACTATCTACTTGTGTTTAATATAGCAATATTCTTTTATTATTGTCACGTTGTAATTTTTAGATGAACCGAATGCACCGACTGCACCTAAGATCGTCGATTGGGATAAAGATTTTGTTGATTTAGAATGGGAACCACCTATAAATGACGGTGGATCGCCAATAACGGGTTACGTCATTGAAAAACGAGAAAAGGGTACCACACGATGGATGAAAGCGGGAGAATTAAAAGAACCAGTGACTCAGGGCCGAGCTGAAGATTTAGAAGAAGGTGTCGAATATGAATTTAGAATTCGAGCCGTAAACAAAGCTGGACCGGGTGAACCGAGTCCACCTAGTCAATCTATAATTACAAAACCAAGAAAATGTACGTATTTAAATGAAATTTAAACGAACTAATTATTTCTTAAGTTTGTTTATTTATTTTCAAATTTTGATTTTGAGTTCATAAATATTAAGTGTTTTAAAAATTTATACTAACAATGCATTTTGAGTTTTAACCAGAATATATTGATGAATTATGATTTGATTGTGTTTTATTCTTTTTAACAGTGGCACCAAAAATAGATCGCCGTAATTTGAAATCTCTAACCGCCCGAGAAGGTGAACCAATTCTGTTCGACGTAAAAGTATCGGGAGAACCGGCTCCGGATGTAACTTGGTCATACAACAATATTACCATAACTTCTAACAGCGTGTATCAAATCAACAATATCCCGTACAATACACGATTTTACCATTCAAATCCAATGCGTAGCGATACGGGTATTTATAAGATAGTAGCCACTAACAAATACGGTGAAGATGAAGAGGAAGTTGAAGTCACAGTAATTTGTAAGTGAAATGCTTTCAACAATTATTAATGATTCAGTGGATTAACATTTATATTTAAAATGTATAGCCAAGCCTGGCAAGCCAGAAGGACCTCTGGAAGTGTCAGATGTACATAAAGACGGATGCATATTAAAATGGAAAAAACCAAAAGATAATGGTGGCGAACCGTTAGAAGGGTACTTGGTGGAAAAGTTCGATCCAGATAATGGAGTTTGGCTTCCGGTAGGACGTACTAAAGACCCGGAAATGCAAGTCACTGGTTTAATACCGGGGCATGAATATAGTTTCCGTGTTAAAGCTCTAAACAGTCAAGGCGAATCAGAACCACTTGAAACACTATCTACTATTGTTGCCAAAGATCCTTTCAGTAAGAATTTAATTTAATTAAAAATGTTCTAATGGTAATATTAAACTAAACATTTCCATCCAGCTAATCCTGAGGCACCAGGTGCACCTGATATAAACGATTGGAGTCAAAATCATGCTGACCTAGTATGGAAAAAACCATTTACTGATGGCGGCACTCCAATTACACATTACATCATTGAGAAAAAAGACAAATATAGGTAACTATTAGGAATATTATCATAGTCAATTATTTAATTAAAATAATTATATATTTTTTTAATATCTAAATTTTAGTGGAGTGTGGGAAAAAGCCGGTGAAACGATTAACGAACAACCTCAAGGAACTGTTAATGGATTGGTGGAAGGTCACGAATATCAATTCCGTGTTATTGCTGTCAATAAAGCTGGTCAAAGTGAACCAAGCCGGCCGTGTGCAAACTTTATTGCTAAACCACGATACTGTAAGTGTATAATTGGTTTCAATATTAAATGTTCAAATCTATAATATTTATCTAATAATTTAAGAAATCATAAACATTATTATTTTTAGTGGCTCCCCATATTGATAGACGTAATCTTATGGATGTAAAACTATCAGCTGGTTCGTCGCTGAAACTGGACGCTGCTATTACGGGTGAACCAGCCCCTCATGTTGATTGGAGATGTGGTGCGATGCCACTAAAGTACGTTTAAAATATAATATTTATCCAATCGAACGAATATAAACTAATTCTCAATATATAGATCTGAACCGCATGTCAATATCGAAGCCGTAGACTATTATACAAAATTAGTTATCCGACCGGTGAGTCGTGCTAACAGCGGTCAATATACAGTCACTGCTGTAAACAGTTCTGGTAAAGATACTGCTATTATAAATGTAACAGTGACCGATAAACCTACTCCACCCGTTGGGCCACTTCAAGTAATTAACTAACTTGTGATATTAATATTATTTGAATAGTACTATTGTTACAATGAATTAAAATTGTGTATAATTTATAATTTCAGGTTTCTGATATACATAAAGATGGTTGTAAATTAAATTGGAAAAGGCCGGAAGATGATGGAGGTACTCCAATTGAATACTATTTGGTGGAGAAGTTTGACACTCAAAAAGGTAGTTGGATACCATGTGGAAGATCACCGGAAACTGGTTGGTTCAAATAAATGCCGATCACATTATTAAATATTATCTCTTATAATAAATTATCAATTTTTAGCGTTAACGGTCACTAATTTGACCCCTGGCAAAGAATACAAGTTCCGCGTATCGGCTGTAAATGCAGAAGGCGAATCTGAACCACTCCAAACTGAAGAATCGATAATTGCTAAAAATCCATTTGGTAAAATACTTCCATACCTAATAACTCATACCTAATTATAATTTTAACATATCATTAAAATTTGGATTGATTTTGTTTAGATGAGCCAGGTAAACCAGGTAACTTGGAAGTGACAGATTGGGATAAGAATTTCGTTGACCTGAAATGGATACCGCCAAAAGAAGATGGTGGTTCCCCGATTACAGGCTATGTAATTGAGGTTAAAGATAAATCAGGAACATGGGAAAAAGCATTGACTGTACCAGCTGATAAAACAACGGCCACAGTGCCAAATTTGGTGGAAGGTGAATCCTATGTATTCCAAGTAAGAGCTATAAATGCGGCTGGGCCGAGTGAAGCAAGTGATCCAACCAATACGATCGTCACTAAGCCACGTAATATGGCTCCGCATATTGACCGAACAAACTTAAACGACATAAAAATCAAAGCTGGACAAACCATTAGCTTTGACATAAAAGTAAGTTGATTTACTTAAAAAAAAAAAAAAAAATCACTGTCTAATTGAATTAATTTATTACAATATAATAAAACCTAACAGCTTAATAGCTAAAATGTACTTTAAACAAATATTTTATTCATTTTCAAAAAATATCTATAGGTAACAGGTGAACCAGTTCCAAAAACAAAATGGCTTAAAAATCACAAAGATGTAAGAATAGGTGATGGTGTGAAACAAACGCACGTAGATTACAACACTAAATTAATTATTCGTTTGGCGACAAGAGAAGATTCTGGAACTTACATGTTAACAGCTGAAAATATAAACGGAAAAGATACAGCGTATGCTGAAGTTACAGTTCTTGGTAAAAAATAATTAATTAATTAATATCAATTATTAACTATAAATAATATGAATAAAAAGGGAACTACGAGTCTGGATATGATATGATAAAAAATGGATCTACTAGGATTGCTATTTTGATGATTTTTTAAATTTTATTTCAGATAAACCAAGCCCGCCAGAAGGACCACTTAAAGTATCAGATGTACACGGCGAAGGATGTACATTGAGCTGGAAAAAACCGGAAGATGATGGTGGCCAGCCGATAGAAAACTATATTATAGAAAAGTTGGACGAAGCTTTAGGTCGTTGGGTACCCGCTGGTGAAACTGATGGACCTGTTACTAACTTTGAAGTTACTGATCTTATACCCGGACACAAATATAAATTCAGAGTAAAGGCTGTTAACAAGCAAGGAAAATCAGATCCTTTAACAGCTAATCAAAGCATTGAAGCTAAAAATCCATTTGGTAATATTTTTATTGATACAATAATTACAATTTAAATAAGACAAGTTTATAATGCTGTATTTTTATTTACACAAATTTGTTTTTAATTTATTAATTTTAGATGCCCCTAGTAGACCATCAAATCCTGTTATCAATGATTTTGATAGCGATTTCGTTGAACTTGGATGGGATAAACCTAAATGTGATGGAGGATCACCAATTACTGGATATATCATTGAAAAGAAAGATAAATTTAGGTAAAACAAAACCTCTATAATTTATTACAAAAATAATTTAAACATAATAAATTAAAAATAATAAAAATCAATAAATTTAATTTATGAATACACAAATTTTTGAAACGTTTTTACAAATCATATATTATATAAATGGAAATTAATGAAATTCAATTGATAATTAATTTTATTTAATTTATGATAAAAAGTTACTTTTTAAAAAATAAGTATACCATGAATGTAAACATAAATAAATGTTAAAATAAAACACTGTTTTCATAAATTTATTTATTTTTTTTTAACTTGTATTTACAGTCCAACGTGGGTCAAAGCCGCTGAAGTTGTTGGCAATATAAACAGTGGAATAGTACCAGGATTAACAGAAGGTAATACGTACGAATTTAGGGTACGCGCTGTGAATAAAGCCGGGCCCGGTGAACCGAGTGAACCAACATTACCGCATGTCGCAAGACTTAAAAAGTGTAAGGAAATTTTTCTTTCGTTTTACCCTAAAAACTCACAAATAATTACTAAAATTATCTCTAATCAGTTTCCAAACAAGCCTTCTTTCGTTTGAATCACTTTTCGTCGTCTCTCTTACATAACCTACTTAACCTGGAATTTAACTCGACAATCTATATATCTATAAGATATTTGTATATAATTATGAAAAATTGTTTTTTCAGTGGCTCCTCATATTGATCGAAACACTCTATCAGACATCAAAGTTCGAGCTGGTAATATGTTTGAGTTTGATGTAAAAATTTCCGGAGAGCCTCCACCAACAAAAGAATGGTCTGTCAGAGGAGATGTGCTCGTAAAAACTGAAAGCATTAATATTATAAACTACGATTACTCAACAAAATTGAAAGTAATTGACGCAAAACGTTCTGATGATGGAATATATTACTTAGTAGCAAAAAACATTCATGGAATGGACAAAGCTTCAGTAAAAGTTACAGTTATAGGTGCGTACCTTTTTACTATATAATATAATCAGTTTTCTTCCTATAACGTTAAACAAATTCTTATTTGGAATGTTTAAAGATGTACCGACGCCACCTGAAGGACCTTTACATCCAACTGACGTAACAAAGAGTTCATGTGTATTAAAATGGAATCCACCAAGAGATGACGGTGGATCAGAAATAACGCATTATATAGTCGAAAAAATGGACGCTGATACTTCAAGATGGGTTCCAGTAGGTGAGCCAGCAGGAACACAATTGAGGTATATATTATCTTTATTTTTATTGAAAAATATTAAATATTTAATGATTAGAAAACTTTATAAAGCACACTCTTAAATACGAGTACTTATATAAACTAATCAATAATACATATTTTTTCCTATGTTTAGGATTGACCATTTGATCGAAGGTCACAACTATAACTTTAGGGTTAAAGCCGTGAATAAAATTGGTGAATCTTTGCCATTGACTACGTTCGATAGCATAACAGCAAAAGATCCATACGAAAAGCCAGATAAGCCGGGAACACCAAAAGCCACCGGTAAATTCATTATGAAATTTTTTTTTTTTAAATAACAATATCATACAAAATAATGATATAATATTTAGATTGGGGAAGGAATTTTGTTGATCTTGAATGGACTCCCCCGAAGAAAGACGGAGGGTCGGAAATAACACAGTACATTATTGAAAAACGAGAAAAATACGGGTAAATATAATTGAATATAATTAAATGTGTTAGTTAGTAACTCTATTTGTACGTAGCTAATCAAAATTATTTTGTATTCGATTCTAGCCCCTGGGAAAAAGCTACTACAGTAAATGGAAATAAAACTAAAGCTTCGGTTCCAAACCTGACCGAAGGTCATGAATACGAATTCCGAGTTATAGCTGTTAACAAAGGGGGACCTGGCGATCCTAGCGATCCATCCGAAGTCATCACATGTAAACCGAAATTCCGTAAGTAACTAAATTACCATTCAAAATCCAACTGTTAAGATATAAAAACTATTTCATTGTTAATTATATTATGCACGTACATTAATATTTTTTTATAATAATTCTGATCATTCTTTTTTGTTTTTATTTTTAGTTGAACCGTTAATAGATACTACATTCTTACCAGACCTGATTGTAAAGGCTGGTAATAAAATAAACTATACCGTTCCGATCGAAGCTGCTCCTAGACCAACAGTGAAATGGAGTGTCAATGACAAATCGATCGAAAGTGGCTCTAGAGTAGACATACAAATCTATAATAGTCAAGTCATATTTGAAATACCGTTTTCAGTAAGAAATGATACAGGCCGTTACACGTTGACATTGGAAAATAATTTAGGAAAATGTTCAGCTTCGGCTCATGTTACCGTATTAGGTAAAATAATTTTATTAAAAAAAATAAAAAATAACAATATTATTAAGACATTTTTATACTTTTGTAATCGAAAATAATTCAATTTTATTTTTATTTTGTTTTTTAATTAAACAGACCGACCCTCACCTCCTGTAGGACCGTTAGATGTTTCTAATGTCAGAAAAGATGGATGCAGATTGATGTGGAAAATACCCATTGATGATGGTGGTGCTCCAATTTTGCATTATGTTATTGAAAAAATGGATATTTCCAGGGGAACATGGTCGGACGCTGGAATGACTACATCTTTATACCACGATGTCATACGATTGATTCACAAACGTGAATATTTGTTCAGAGTGAAAGCTGTAAACAGTATTGGTGAATCAGATGTGTTGGAAACTGACAAATCAATAATTGCTCGAAATGAATTTGGTATGGTTGTATGACAATACTTTAAAGTCATAATAATTTTACGAACAAATTATTTATTGTATAGATGAACCTGATGCTCCCGAGAAACCCGTCGTTACAGATTGGGATGAGAACTTTGTAGAGTTACAATGGGAACAACCAAAAACTGACGGTGGATCTCCTGTTACCGAGTTCACAGTACAAAAGAAAGAAAGAGGAAGCCCGTATTGGGTAAATGCTGTCACCGTGCCCGGAAAAGAAACAAAAGTAAACAAATTAAAATCTAAAAAATCATATCTATAATAAAAATAAAAATAAAATTTTTTTTTAACGTGGTGTTCTGTTACTTCAGGCAACAATTCCAGATTTGACTAAAGGACAAGAATATGAATTTAGAATCATTGCCACGAATAAAGCGGGACCCAGTCCCCCGAGTGATCCATCGGACCCAATAATCGTGAATAATAGATATTGTAAGATATTTTATAAATATTTATAACTAACTAATAACAAAAATATTTTTCAAATATGAAATTGAGTAATTATTATTATTTTTTTATTTTTAGTGAAACCAAAAATAAAGACACCATTGAAAGACATATTCATAAGGGCCGGAACAGTTTTACACGTAGATATAGATTTTATTGGTGAACCCCCTCCAGATGTAACGTGGACACTAAATGGATCAGAATTAAAACCAGATAACAGAACGACCATAACTTCTATTGGATACCACACAATTATGAACCGAGTAAATTCAAAACGAGTAGACTCGGGAACGTATAATCTATTGCTCAAAAACAGTTCTGGAACTGACGAAGGGTCGTTCGTTGTAACAGTATTAGGTAAGCAAAATATTATAATATGACATTAAGTAAAAATAACTTAATACCTATTAAAAACAATTAAACCTATATATGTAATGCATTTCTCTTTATTTAATATTTATAGTATTCAGTAACAGTATTATGTTTTATTTTAAATTCCTTTATTATTTAAATTCATGGATATAGTTTTTTATTTTTTCTCAAAAACACTTTTTGGTGAGAGAAATGCACCATTTGTGTGCCCAGTGGTACTTTTCTTGAAGTATTTTAATATTTTCAACAATTCATCCCTTAGATCCTTTTCTGGTGTTGATCATCAAAATATTTTTTCGGTTATTTGGTACAAATTTTCTAAATTATTTACACAGTATTTTAAAAGATGCGGATTTTAATTTAATGGTACTTTATTTGAAATAAATTCTAGATTCCTACAATTTTTCTATAAACTGATTATAATGTCGATACATCAGTTTTATTTTTTTGATTTCCGTTTTACTTTGGTTAGAAGAGAGAAAAATACGACCAATACTACTAATAATCTTTTTTTGATATCAATAATTATCGCTGTTTTAATAAATTAAATCATTTTATATCCTATAACTTTTAAACTTCTTACACACATCAGTGGCCTTTTTTCTATTGTGTGAAATATGTTCAATTACTTTTTTTTTTTTTTATGTTTCTTTCGATTTTATATTGTTTTATGATAATTTTACAGCGATATATTTCACTTATATGTTTATTTTTTGTGGTATATTATGGTTTATCTTTATTTATTAATTATGTATGTGTTACTGTTGTTATCTTAATACTAATATTATATTAAATCAAACAATAGACAAACCTGGACCACCTGACGGACCACTTACATATGAAGATATAACTGCTTGTTCTGTTACACTGTCTTGGAAAGCTCCTAAAGATAATGGTGGTAGTGAAATAACGTAAGTAGTTCAATAAACTCTTTAAGTATATATTTTATTATGTCTGGCCGTCATAATTTCTTACATTTATATTATTTGTTCAGAGCATATGTAATTGAAAAAAGGGATCTAACTCATGGAGGTGGTTGGGTACCAGCTGTGACATATATAAATCCAGCATTCACGCATGCCACAGTTCCAAGACTTATAGAAGGAACTAGATATGAATTCCGCGTCCGAGCTGAAAATTTACAAGGATTATCAGAACCTTTAACCACAGCTGAACCAATAATTGCCAAAAATCAATTTGGTGTGTAGTTTTAATTTAATATTAAATTAGATCGGTATTAATAACGGGATGAAATACTTCGTAGATGTTCCTGGAAAACCCGGTAAACCTGAAGCTATTGAAGTGGACCAAGAACATATAAAACTTATGTGGACACCTCCAATGAGCAACGGTGGGTCACCAATTGTTGGGTATGATATAGAAAGAAGAGAAAGGTCTACGGCTGGTCGATGGGCAAAAATTACTAGATCGCCAATCAAGGTATGTATTATGATTTAGTTAAATTGAAGATGAATAATTAATGACTCACCATTTGTTAATTTTAATCTGTAGACTACTGAATATGACGATACTCACGTTCATGAAGGCAAACAATACGAGTACCGTGTTAGTGCAGTTAATGCTGCTGGTTCTAGTAAACCTAGTGAAACTTCAGAAGTATACACGGCAAAATTAACAAGAGAAAAACCAAAACTACATTTAGAAGGACTAATGGGAGGTAGAATAAAGGTTAGAGCTGGAGAACCCATCAACATTAGTATACCAATATCGGGAGCACCAACTCCACGTATCGAATGGATTATAAACGGCGAAAGGCCTCCAGAAACTAACAGAATACTTGTAAGTTATTTTTGAAAAAAATAATAGTTATGAAATATTTCTTTTTATACAAATTAATTAATTTACAGTCTGTGACTGGAAGTAACTTGACTAAATTGAGAGTCGATAATTCGACACGCAAAGATGCTGGAAAGTATACAATTACTGCTTCAAATACATCCGGAAAAGATTCTGCTGATATATTTGTATCAGTGGTTAGTTGTCCAAGTGCACCAAAAGGACCCTTGCAGTATCCTGGTGCTACTCATGATACTGTTACGCTTGCGTGGAGACCACCCGAAGATGATGGTGGCAATGATATAACTGGTTTGTTATTATTAATTAAGATTGCATTGTTTAGTATAATCTGTATTGACTAATATTATTAATACGCCTATACTTAATTTAATAGGATACATCATTGAAATGTCGGAATTCGGAATGGATAGTTGGAAAACGGTTCCTGGTTTCTGTCCAAACACTACATTCACAGTGAAAGGTTTAAGCGAAGGAAAACGTTACGTGTTCAGAGTAAAGGCTGAAAATATGTACGGTGTTTCGGAACCATTAGAAGGAAGTCCTATAACGGCGAAGAGTCCATTCGATCCACCGGACGCACCAGGTCAACCCGAAGTCACCAATTACAGCCCAAACAGTTGCAGTCTTTCTTGGACGCCACCATCGAACACTGGAGGAAGACCGATTACTGGTAAAATATTTATACCCAATGAATTCTTTATACTATTTTTACTAAATAATTTTTATAATCGTAGGTTATATTGTTCAAAAAAGAGAAAGAGGTGGTGATTGGGTGAAATGTAATAATTTCCCTATTGTCAATACTGCATTCACAGCTCAAGATCTTAGAGAAGGTAACCGTTATGAATTCCGTGTACTTGCTGTAAACGACGCTGGTACCGGTAAACCTAGTAAACCTAGCCATTCAGTTACGGCTAAAGAGCAAAAGAGTAAGTTATATTATTTTGCTTTTGAATTGTTTCTTTTTATAAAAATGTATTTTTTACCAACAATAGAAGTACCCGAAGCCCCCGAAGCACCGAAACCAGACAGAATAACCAAAGACAGTGTAGTGTTGTCTTGGAGGCCACCAAGGTTTGACGGTGGTGCAAAGATCAAAGAATACGTTTTAGAGCAAAAAAGGAAAGGCGACTCTGATTGGTCAGAAGTTATATGCCCGACTATTTATTCTACTTTATGCACGGTAAAATTAACAATTTTTTATTTCTAAAACTAGCGAGATTTCAGACAATATACACTATAGTATACATATTTGTTAACTTAACAGGTCGGAAACTTAAGAGAAGGAGATGAATATCAATGGAGAGTAATAGCTGTAAACGAAGCGGGAAGATCAAAGCCTAGTCGTCCAAGTGTAAATGTTTTGGTCGAAGAACAACCAAACAAACCATGTTTGGATTTATCTGGTGTAAGAGACATAACTGTAAAAGCTGGCGAGGACTTTTCTATTCATATACCGTATGTTGGATTCCCGTTGCCAACTGCTACTTGGTTTAACAACGATCAAACCATAAATGAAGGAGATTCTAGAGTACACATACAGGTATATTATAAAGTAGCAACTTGTTTAAAACAATACTAATTTTTTAAAAAAAATTAGATTATTAATTTATTAATTATTAATTATTATTAAGGATTATTAATTATTATTATTATTAAGGATTATTAATTCATTATAGAAATGCATTTTAACGATTATAATTATTTTGATCACAGATGACGAGCAATTCTGTCAGTTTAGTTATTAAAAACTCTAAACGTACAGATGCTGGTCAATATAGATTACAACTACGCAACCAATCTGGATTTGATACAGCCACGTTACACGTGCGAGTTTTGGATAGGCCACAACCTCCAGAACATTTGTACGCCGATGAATTAAACGGAGATTCGTTGACACTATTCTGGCACCCGCCGTCAGATAACGGAGGTGCCCCAGTTACTAATTATTTAGTAGAAAAGAAAGAATTAAATTCAACAACGTGGCAAAAGGTTATTATATTTTCCATTTCTTTACGAATGTGTGTATATTATTTAAAACATTTTAAATCCCAACTAAAATACTTGTTCGAGTATGATTTTCTATAAATTCAATAAAAAATAGTTCAGATTCACACGTTTGTTTATTTTTGCAGGTGAGCAACTATGTCGCATCACAACAATGCAAAGCACGAAATCTAATTGTTGGAAAAACATACCAATTCCGTGTTATGGCTGAAAACAAATACGGAGTGTCTGATCCTGCTATCACGGTTGATCCAATAACTGCGAGACATCCATTCGGTAATTTTAATATTTTAATGCAATATACATTTTATTTGCGTATTATATTTCATTCGTCATTTGTAATTTTTCATTACTAATTAATACAACTGTGTGTATTATCACAGATGTACCCGGTGCACCAGGAATGCCAAAGGGTATAGATACATCTGAAGATTCAATTACAATTACCTGGGCCAAACCTAGAAATGATGGTGGATCTCCAATTACTGGTTATATGATCGAAAAACGTCTCATTAGCGAAGAAAAGTGGACGAAAGCATCACATGCAATAATTCTTGATACAACACTAAAGTAAAAAAGAAAAAAAAAACACCACTGAAATATGTGAGATTTTATTATTATAAATTTGTATGTATTTTATTTTTAGAATACATAATTTAATTGAAAATCACGAGTACGAGTTCAGAGTTTCTGCATTAAATGCAGCTGGTCAGGGTCCATGGAGTTCATCTTCTGATGCCATCAGATGTTGTGCACCTGCATGTAAATATACATTTTAAATTATTTATAAATACTTCGGGTTTTATAACTTACATTTTTATTACAGCTGCTCCAAAAATAACAAGCGATTTAAGTATAAGAGACATGACTGTTATTGCTGGTGAAGAATTCACAATTACCGTTCCATTTACTGGAAGCCCATTACCAAAACCGGTGTGGAGTATAAACGGAGAAGAAATTTTACCTGATGCGAGAATCAAATTCGAAACATCGATAAATGAGACAATTTTCAAAAATAAATGCGCTAAACGTAAAACAGATACTGGAAACTATACCATTCATTTGATTAACAACATTGGTGCTGATTCTGCATCTTGTAAAGTCCTTGTTGTTGGTAAGTTTAAAATATTAAACAATGATAGTAATATTAATAATAATTTAATTATTATATATTAAAATTGATAATTATATAAAAATGTATTTAAAGACAAACCATTGCCACCACAAGGACCGTTAGAAGTAACAGATTTAACGCCAGAAACCTGTTTATTATCTTGGAAACCACCTTTAGATGATGGTGGATCGCCCATCACAAACTACATTATTGAAAAATATGAAACTTCATGCGGTGTACGTGATCAATATTAATATATTTTAAAGTAGATATTTTTATTTACGTACGTATATGTTTTATTTATTTCAGTTGTGGTCGAAATTAAGTAGTTTTGTTCGTCCGTGTCACTATGATGTCATTGGTTTAGAACCTAATAAAAAATATAATTTCCGTGTCCGAGCTGAAAATCAGTATGGAATATCAGAACCTATTGAAATGGATTCTGTGATAACCGCGAAATTCCCATTCACAGTACCTGATCCACCAGGTCATCCACAAATGTTAGAATGGGACGAAATAAAGGCGACATTGATTTGGGAAAGACCTGTACACGATGGAGGTGCGAAAATACAAGGATACAAAATTGAATTCAAGGATATCACTGAAGGCGGAAATTGGCGCACGGCTAATGATTATCTCGTAAAAGAACCGCTTTTCGTTATTCACAATTTGTTGAATGAACACGATTACGAATTCCGCGTGTTAGCGAAGAACGCGGCAGGTTTCAGTAAACCTTCAATACCCACACCTAACTTCCGGTTGAAGGGTAAAGCCAAAGCTCCGTCCAAGCCCGGCACTCCGATCGTCCTTAAAGTTGGTAGGACGTACGCTGATTTGAAATGGGAACCACCCGTTTCTGACGGTGGTAGCAAAATAACTGGATATTCGATTGAAAAGAGACAAGTAGGAAATGCGGTCTGGGTGAAATGCAACGATTACTCTGTATTTGATTGTAAATTCACCGCTATGAATTTGGTCGAGGGTGCCGACTATGAGTTCAGAGTATTTGCTTTGAATATAGTCGGTAAAAGTGAACCCAGCTCGTGTACCACACCCGTGAAGATATGCGAGTTTGAGGGTGGAGAAAAACCAGAATTCATTGTACCTCTCACTAACAAAGTGGTTCAATTCGGTAAAACGATCACGTTACGCTGCGAAGCTGTAGGAAAACCTATGCCGAACGCTAAGTGGTTAAAGAATGGACGTGAAATCGTATCAGGTGGACGGTACAAATGTGAATCGTCAAACGGCGTTTTCCAATTACATTTCCCCGAAGTATCAGAATTGGACGATGGCGATTACACTTGTGAGTCATACAATGCTGTTGGATTCGTCACAACGTCATCACGAGTTAAAATTGGACGTAAGTACAGTTTTATGAACGGCAATAATATAAATGCTAAATAAAATAATTAATTAATTATAAAAACGTAATTTATCAATAATTGTACTTTTGATTAATTCAGATCCACCCAAAATTGAACGGATGCCAAATGAAATTAACATTCCCGAGGGAGAAAATAGTAAAATTAAGATATTCTATAGCGGCGATCCATTAGAAAGCGTTACTTTAGAAAGGCATGGAGTATCCATTCCTCAAAGCGAACACTTTAAATTTACTATATTTGATGACTACGTAATCATATTTTTGAAAGAAGCAAAAAAGAGTGATGCTTCTGATTATACAGTTACCCTTACGAACCTGAGTGGTAATGTTTCAGGATCGTTCACCATAAACATATCAGGTAATTAATTCTAAAAAAAAAAAAGAAACAAAAAAATTAACTAAGCTCATTTTTGTTTTTAAATCGATACAGGTTACCCCGGACCACCGATTGGACCGTTAGCCGTTTCTGAAATAACCAAACATACTTGTGCACTTTCATGGAATCCACCGAAATATGACGGAGGTCTTAAGATTACTCATTACATCGTGGAACGAAAAGATATCAATTCCAACCATTGGATTTGTATTTCAACTACGTGCAAGGATACGAATTTCCTTGTTCAAGGTCTAACTGAAGGAAACGAATATGTTTTCAGAATTATTGCCGTCAACGACAACGGACTCAGTCCACCGTTGGAAGGAATTAATCCGATCAAGGCTAAACCACCTTATGGTAACAAAAATTGTTTTAAATCAGTATAAAAATAATAAATAGCATATATTAGAATATTAAATTATATAATATTATAGATAAACCATCGCCACCTGGAATTCCTAACGTTACTGAAATCGGCGGAGACTTCGTGAACTTAAGCTGGGAGAAACCAATTGACGACGGAGGATCTAGAATTCAAGGATATTTAATCGATAAACGGGAAATCGACTCAGACACGTGGCAGCGAGTGAATGCCGCCATTTGCGTTACCACGCAAATTAACATTTCCAATCTCATCGAAGGTCGCCAATATGTATTCCGAGTTTTTGCTCAAAACGAAGCTGGTTTGAGTTTACCAAGCCAAGCGTCAAATACAATTACCATAAAAGATCCATTAAGTAATTTTTTTTGTTTTTTATTTGTACATGATATAATAAATACAATTTATTTGTTTATAGCTGCTCAACCTCCTGAAATAGTCAAACCTCTTCATAAAGTCCAAGCCATTCAAAATCAAAACGCTCAATTCCAGTGTGTTATTACCGGCGTGCCTAAACCCACTATTACTTGGTTGGCATTTCTAAAATAATAATAATAATAATAATGCCAAATTTTCCTATGTAACTGTAAAATGTACCAATTTGTGTTATTTAGGTACAAGGGAGCTCGAGAAATCACACCTAGTGCAAGACATCATATGTTCTATGAAGGAGATTCGTACACTCTAATTATAAACGGTGTATACGGTGCAGATTCGGACGAATATGTATGTAGAGCCAGTAATAAGGGTGGTATCAAGTCGACTCGAGGAGAACTTCTCATAATGAGTATGTTTTTATTAGTCGTATGTTTGTTAATGGTTATCATATTTAATCTCTTAATATTTTTAGCACCGCCAAAATTGAACGTACCACCTCGATTCAGAGATACGGCTTTCTTCGACAAAGGAGAAAACGTTGTTATTAAAATTCCATTTACTGGTTTCCCTAAGCCGAAAATTAAATGGTACCGTGAAAACGAAGTCATCGAGTCTGGAAGTCATTTTGCAGTAGAAGTCTCTGTACGTTCATTTTATTTTTTTTATATAGTTAAAACATTAAACATTTCTAATCAGTATTTATTATAATGAGTATTGAATATACATAATATCATATTTTAAAGGAGAGACATGCTATTCTAACGATAAGAGATGTTAGTAAGTATGACAGTTCTCCATACCGAGTGTTGGCAGAAAACGATTTGGGAGTGGATAGCGCCATAATCAAAATTCAAATCAGTGGTATGAACGTGAATTCAACCGATTTATTGATTGTGCACATTAATTAGTTATTTAATCTACTTTATTTGTGTGTTCAAAGATCATCCTGATCCGCCGTTTAGTTTATCCATTGAAGACATTGGTCAAGATTCTCTACTACTGAGCTGGAATGCACCTACGTGGGATGGTGGATCGAATATTACCAATTATCTCGTTGAAAAGAGAGAAATACCCATGAGCAGTTGGATTCGCGTTGGCAATACTAGGTATTAAATAAAATGATATATAATTATTACAAATTATTATTTAATTGAACTATCGCTGACAATGGTTATGAACTATTCAATCGTCTATACATTTTTATTTCTATGTAAAGGTTCACCTCAACAGCTGTAACCGGTTTAAGTCCAGGACACGAATATGAGTTTAGGGTATACGCTGAAAATGTTTACGGTAGAAGTAAACCAAGTGAAGTATCGCCTATCGTCAAAACTAAAGAGCTGCTGAAAAAACCAGCAAAAACAAAGCGTTACGAAGGTAAATTTAATTATTTTTCAGCTGTTAAAATATAAATTATGTTAATACATTACTATAATAATTGATGCAGTTGACGCGACCGGTAAAAAAATAAGAGGTACAGCAGACGGGAATATTAAGGATTACGATCAATACGGTAAGACAGAAATGATCGAACTGTTCAAAATCTGAATTGTTATTTATAGTATAATTTTAATGGATTACAGTTTTTGACATTTATTCAAAATATATCCCTCAACCGGTGGATATTAAATCGCAATCCGTATACGACTTCTACGACATATTGGAAGAAATCGGAACCGGTGCATTTGGAGTAGTACATCGCTGCCGGGAACGTAAAACGGGCAACATTTTTGCTGCCAAGTTCATACCTGTAGCACATAATGTCGAAAAAGAATTAATCAGAAAAGAAATTGACATAATGAATCAACTTCACCATCCAAAACTCATAAACTTGCACGACGCATTTGAAGACGAAGACGAAATGGTTTTAATATTCGAATTGTACGTGTTCATAATACTCGTAACATTAAGTTTTAATAATAATAAAAATAATCAATTTTGTGATTTGTTTTAGTTTGTCTGGAGGAGAGTTATTCGAACGAATCACGTCGGAAGGATATTCGATGTCCGAAGCGGAAGTGATCAACTATATGCGGCAGATATGCGAAGCCATTAAACATATGCACGAAAGAAATATCATCCATTTGGACATTAAGCCAGAAAATATTATGTGCCAGACGAAGAAGAGTTCAAATGTAAAACTCATTGACTTCGGCCTAGCGACAAAGTTAGATCCTAACGAGATTGTTAAAATATCGACGGGAACTGCCGAATTCGCTGCTCCAGAAATAGTCGAAAGAGAACCGGTCGGTTTTTACACAGACATGTGGGCTGTTGGTGTTCTAGCCTATGTCCTGTAAGTATTTTTTTGGTTCTACGAATCTTTTCTTCTGCCATCTGATTGGAATACTTTCATGAAAATGTGTATCACAAAAATAATATTATTTTTTTATAAGCTTGAGCGGATTGTCACCGTTTGCCGGTGAGAACGATGTTGAAACTCTCAAAAACGTAAAGGCCTGTGACTGGGACTTTGACGAAGATACATTCGCGATTGTCTCGGACGAAGGCAAAGATTTTATCAGACGACTTTTAATCAAAAACAAAGAGTGAGCAACCATTTTTGTTTTCACACATACTTAAATAACGTCAAATGTCGTGTCTTGTTTTAGAAAACGAATGACCGCCCATGAATGTTTATTGCATTCGTGGCTGATGGGAGACCATTCCGATCGTACGGCAGCTCTTAACTCTTCCAACTACATCAAGATAAGAGATCAAATACGTAAGAAATACAGTGATTGGGATTCATTTGCCGTACCAATCGGAAGAATATCGGAATACAGTGCTCTCAGAAAACTCATGGTGGAAAAATACAAAATATACGAGAGTTCGTTCGGTAAGAGTTTCGGATATTAAAAATAAAGGTTTAATGTGTTTTCGATATTTTATACGATTTTATGTTTTATTTCCGGTTAACCTTAAAGATCGCCGACAAGCGGCACCCCGATTCGTTATCAGACCCCAAAGCGCGTTCTGTTACGAAGGACAAAGCGTTAAATTCTACTGCCGAGTTATTGCGGTGGCACAACCGACGCTGTCGTGGTTCCACAATAATGAAGAGCTGAGACAAAGTGTCAAGTACATGAAACGGTACGCCGGCGACGATTACACGTTCATCATCAACAGGTCTAAACTGGATGACAGAGGAGAATACATAATACGAGCGGAAAATACGTACGGCTACAGGGAAGAAGTCGTATTCCTCAATGTACAACGTGCGTATTCAATTTTTTAAAAATATCTTTTTTTTTAGTGTGTTGCAATATTTTATCATTACATGACAATTTTCTGAGGTCAAAAATGAAATAGGAGAATTAAATAAGAAAAAAAATTCACAGTACTCGCGTTTAATGTGAATAGTTAGTTTTTATCGTATTTCCCCAAAAAATATAGACTATTTAATTGTATTGTGTCTGTTAGAAATGTATAGAAATATATCTTTTCCCTCATTTTTAAACACTTTTAGAGGCATTTTCTGAATCGAATGACTTCAAAATCGGGAGTTAGAGTTGTTTGGTAGATGAATTTAAGTGATAAAAGCGGGGTTGAACTTCACTATGTTCTCGTGGGAGGAAAATTATTTTGTTAGGTTTGAATATTTTTACACAGTCCTCGAATAAAGGGTATTCCATTTTATATATTATGTCTAGCGTTAATATCAAGTATATGCCTTTTTAAGGTTTCAACTACAAGTTCATTGCATCTACCATTTTTATGCTAAATTTTCATAATTTTTTTGGAATTTGTATGATTTTAGTATTGTATAGTATTATATTCGTATAACATTATTGTATTACTTATAATATAGCATTGTTAATTGATTTAAAAACAAATATTTGTTTAATACAAAATAGATGGGGAGAAGGGTATTTGACTCAAGTGACAAAGCTACTGCTCTGCTACTCACGGGGATTTTGTATTGTTTTTTATTATTGAAAATAAATTGAACGCTTATTGTTTTCGCTTTCCAACAGCATTGCCAGTAGCTCCGCCGGTATACAGACACGAAGTACAACAGGTGAGAAGACGAGAACCACTGGCCAACACGTATTATATCGAGGAAAAAGAGAGCGCACCCAACTTTACGTTCTTGTTGCGGCCTCGTGTCATACAAATACACCAGACCTGCAAGCTGCTGTGTTGTCTGAGCGGTACACCGATACCAACCGTAAGCATCCTGGTTTTTTTCCCCCGGCTTTTTTTTTTTGCGACTTTATGACTTAACCGCCTTATTTCCCGTGTCCGATCCACAACAGGTACAGTGGTTCCGAGGCACCAAAGAACTGTCGAAACGCGATTTCACCATTACCCACACGGACGGCGTGATCACGTTGGAAATTCTCGACTGCAAACCCGAGGACTCGGGCAAATACCGCTGCGTCGCCACCAACGTGCATGGCACCGACGAAACCAGCTGTGTGGTCATCGTGGAAGGTAATTTGATTTTGCACTAACAACGAAAACGTGTACACAACATATATATGTATATAATAGTTATGTATAATACTTTACTACAGTGACTTTTTTTACTTTCTTATATATTATAGGTTACGGTAATTCGTTTCGTGTAGGATAATATGTTAAAAATTGAACGCGTTATTTTAACATTCATTTTAGAATGAATTGTAATTTGTCCATATTTCGTGCATTTTTAGTTAATGCACCTTTCGAATACGCCGTGTAATAGAATTTCAGTCAACTTAACCAATAGTATAGATTTCCTGAATCCAATGTCAATAAAGTTAATTCACTGAAATGTGAATATAAACGGTATCTACTGTAAAATATATATATATATATAAATTGTTATCAGATTAGACAGGACCAATAACTAATGTATACAAAGATATCTGTTTATTTATAGTGTATAGTTATTAATTACATATGCATATTAAATGTAATATGCTTAATAATTTTTGAACAGTTTCTTATAAAAATGAAATAGGCGCAATGGGCGATAACGCACAATTTTTCTAGCGATTAATGTTTGATCACTCTAATTATTAGCTATCGAATACTAAAATGCACGATTGAATAACGTTATTTTTATTGTTATTTGAATAATACCACCGCTGACTTCTACTCTTTACAACACGAGTCAACTCTAACTTTTTTAAAATTTGTTTCGGATGTTTTTAAAACAAAATAATAAACTTATTTAAATCTTTTAACCCATTAAAAGCTATAATTTGATTTTATCATTTTAGGTAATAAATAAATGTGTCATGTTTATACTTAATTTTTTTTTACTTTTTGAAAAAAATATAACTTTAAATACTGGTATTTACCAATATCAGAACCGAAACTTTAATTCTGTAATTTTTAGAACCGGAACCTACCGACATTTTTTTTATTTTTTGAAAAGAACCAAATTAAAACCATAATCTAAAAAATCATAAAGGATTCAAGCCATGATTCATGTGCTCTGTTTTGATGTTTGAGTGAAAAAATTCCGGAAGTGGGTAACGAAAATACTTATTGACGGAAGTATAGTTGATATATAGATATGATATGTGAACACTAGACATAAAATGTAGGGACCTTGCAAGTGGTAGATCCAGAGACAACGATCCACGACAACTTTGATTGTTTTCTTGTTGTACATTACAGCTCAATATTAACAAATATTTCATTGATTAGTTAATAAGCATTATTAAACAATATTATTCCGATTGCCATTAGACATTATTTATAAACTTGGGATCACATAAAACAGCAGATCTAAAATACTTTATTAGTCTAAGATATTCTAACCGTGTACGAGCTTTTATTAATTATTAATATATATATATATATTTATATTACCATTAATATAACCATTGTGGTTTATTGTACAGTTTAATATGTACATTATGAGACGTACTAAAATAGTGTTTTAACCGTAGGCACAGCAAACTATATAGCTAACTTGTTGTACAGCGAGATAGGTACTGAACATCGACGTCAACTGCCATGTGCTAGTGGTCAATTTTTACATTTCTCAATCGCAATTGTTATCATTCGTTATCATTTCATCACACGTGTTTCATGTTTGATCACTGTATATTAAGATCTAGGTGTTTTTTACTCCCTTTTCGTTCTTTTATTTATTTTCTGTATTATGATTTAAGGCCATGTTGTTGTGTGTTTGAATTATTTCATAATAGATACCTATGCAATTCCTTCCGTTCCATTTTTTTCTCCGTAGACTCCTAAAAATCCGTGTACCTATTAAATATTTCATTGTTAAAGTAATCAATCAGGAAACTACGAATACCAAAGTATCCTACTTAACTTCACTAATCCACCAATGAGCCAGGCCAAAATAAATAACAATCACAATACAAGGCAGTATATTATTATCAAGATGTTTTGATAAGACAATTATGTAAACATTGAACTCCACGAGTATGGCGACTGGTGTCGTGTGAAAACGTCAGTTAACTATCTAGTATTCTATATCTATGGTTTTAGCTACTTAATGCTGTATGCATACGATACTATTGAATGCATATTCATATGATTTTCTTATCATAGTTAGCTTTTTTTCTTGCTGTATAACGTTATTTTTCTGTTACTAACACGTATTCAATAAAATCTAAAATATATATACGCCATAAGATATATTATATCTTATGATTTAACCGTATTACATGTAGCTCATTTATTTCGTACGTATTCGCCTGTATTGTTTTTCTTGTTTCGAAATACACATTTATTTTCGTCGTATGAAACAAAACTACATTCATCGACGACAAATGAACCAAACGATCTTCCGCTTATGTACCTATCTATTTAATATACATCTATTAGCTGTTCATCTAATACACTTCTATTCTACTGTTATTTTAATAGGTATTGAGCAAACTCAGGAGCAGGCAGAATTATCGCATAATTTGCTTCATTCAGGAGGTACAGTATATAATACAGAGTGTTCCGTTTAGACGCACTGCAATCGTTTCCTCCAATCAGTTTTGAGTTTTAAAATTAAATTTAAATTGTCAATAACGATAGACAGAGAGATGCTATTTGTCTTCCATCTTGGTATACCAAGTGATTCTCTGGGTCGTACATTCGGATATTGAACAGTTAATAGTTTATTGTTCAAAGGTACGATGTGTGGGGAAAAAAGTAAAAAAAAGTACAATTCATTTAGAAAAACTTTGTGCTGAGTAAAAATTAACCAACACGAAAACTGAATGAGAAGACGTGTGTAGATCGTTAAATGGAAACGCTCTGTACACAATATCTTAACAGTAATCGACCAAAAAACCTAACTCCACGTGACGAGAAAATTTTGGGAAGATTTTAGTTTTAAAATCGAAAAATACATGGATCAGCAAATATGTACGGTAACATTTTTTTTCCGTGTCCCTTTTCTATAGATCGCAGGTACACCGAAAAACACAACAGACCCGCCCCGACGGTCATCACTACCCGAACAGCAATAACTTCCAATGTGCACGGTAGTAGCTCCGTGACGTCAAATAAATTGGTCACCACTAATTCGTCCACGAAGATCAGCGACACGGTAAAAGTCTATCCATTTTAACCACTTGTTAGTACATACATATTAATTGATAATCCGTTTCCGTATTATATTGTTTTCTATAGACTATTAGCTCGACCGATAGGAAGTCCAGTGTGAAAAAATACGGTAACAAACTCAATGCGGCCGGAAGTCCGTCAAGATCTCGTAGTTCAACCAAAGAACTGAGACGTAATTCTTATTATAGTTTATCCGATTGCGAAATTTTAATTCCATATACTTTTGTTCAGTGTCACCGGACGAAGCCATGTGTCCGCCAGATTTCTCCGCTCGGTTAACCGACACCACAGTCAACGATGGTCAGCCGTTAGAGCTCGTCTGCAAAGTAACTGGAGACCCGGAGCCACAGATTACTTGGCTGAGGAACGGGAAGGTATAGATTATAAATAAACGACGAAAACTCAAGTATTTAAAAAAAGAATAAAAACAATTTACATTTAGAACCTTAGGATGTCAATGCGTTTTGCATTTTGCTAGTGTATTGTGTATGGAGGGGTGATATAGGGAGAAGATGATATATTTAGATAGGTATTTAAACATATAGTTTTACGTGTAAGTTTCGAATAATATTGGTTAAAAATGTTTTAAATGTTACTAATATTTGTAAATAAGTATCTACAGATACAGATACAAAATATATATCTTCTTTATCTACAATTCATCACTTATAATTTATCGGGAATTCTCTTGATTTACGGCAAAAAAAAAAAAAGTATATAAATATTATTTTACCAGCACTATTAATAATATAATTAGTAATGAAAATAATAAATTACTCTTGAGGTGAAATATATAAGTACCAAATTATTTTATTAAAAATGATCGCGGATCTTTACAGGCAATCAGTTCGTCCAATGTGTTGGATTTGAAATACAGAAATCGAGTAGCGATGTTAAAAATTAGCGAAGTTTTCCCTGAAGACGCCGGAGAATATATCTGCAAAGCTACCAACTCGCTGGGAACCAAAGAAACGGCTTGTAAACTTACCGTCAAAGGTAATGATGTTTTAATTGTTTGTTTTTACATAAATAATTACTTGATACGATACGCATAACTAATGAATACATGACATAATAATATTACTGTCGACATTAAAACGTTAATATTCTTATGGCAATAATTGTTCACTGGGAGTTTTCGTAAATTTACAGCTGTAGACGTGTCCACTAAAAAAAGCAAAAATGACTTGCCACCGGTAATTGCCAGCCACCTGACATCAGCTACGGTGACCGACGGCGAAGCCGTGACTCTTCAGTGTCAAATTATCGGTAAATACCGTGGATTCAATATATCTATAATCAATATGATATGAGTTTAACAAATCATTTTTGTATTATTATTATTATCTTTTGTTCCGCAGGAGCCAATAAATTCGACGTGGTGTGGCTTCACAACCACAAAGAAATAAAACCCAGCAAAGATTTCGAATACGCTAACGTGGCCAACGTTTACACACTGAAAATAGCCGAAATTTTCCCCGAAGACTCGGGAACGTACACTTGTGAGGCGTTTAACGACGCTGGCGAAGCGTTCAGTAGTTGTTCAATCTTCGTTCTTGGTGAGTAAAAAAAAAAAAAAAAACAACCCAATGCCGATTGCAAATCGAATACCCTAATGTGATATTATATTGTCCGTATAGGTTCCAACGAAAAGCCCAAAGCCATGACGTTCCAAAATTTCCCCAAGTCGGTTACCGTGCAAGAAAAAGAGAGCGTCGAAATAGAATGCGAAATCATCGGAAGTCCGAAAAATGGTAAAACACAACAATATAGTACTGATACTGATTCATTTTTATAAAACCGTGAAAAAAAAAATAGGCAGATATTTAGATAACTAGAGTTATAATAGAGCCGAGTTAAATGTATAAAGGTTAATTGGTCTATTTCAAATCTAAATCATTAATGATTAAATCGTTACAAATCATTCAATAGCATGTACATCGCGAGTCCTCCAGCCATATACATATACATTGTGTTAGCCTAAAAACGCCTATTTGCATATTATATTTTTATTTTGTTAAATATATATTTTAATAATTTAACTTAATAAATAAAATAAAACTATAGGCATTTATAATTTACCATAAGCACTTGTATTATTAAAATAAAATCAATCGCGATCACGATATCATAATATACCTAGGTATGAATCTAAAATTTTTCTGATAACAATATTATTATTTGTTAATTGTCCGATAGCAGCATAAAATGTAAAAAAAAAAAAATTTTTTTTTAAATTGTACGCTGACGTGGTCGTCGTTTTACCGTGCCTGTTACAGTAACTTGGTACAAAGACACGGTCGCGATTGAAGAGGATTCTAGCGTTTATCAATTCATGCAAAGTGGCAATAAGTACAAAATGAAAATTCTCAGAGCCGGCCACGACGACATTGGTCAGTACGTAGTCGAAGCGAAAGACTCTAACGGAATCCAAGTCACAGCTGCGTTTTCGGTCAATTTGTCATTCTTATCTGAATAAGTAAGCTCAATGTGCCTATTCAGTAACGAAATTTTTGAGCGCGTAAAATATGCAATTACTTTTCCAGGTTGACAGACACGATAAACTACACGGTGCATATACACAAACACACTCACGACACATGCACAGACCGTTGTAAAAACATTTCGCACGGAATCTACAACAACTATATTGTTTATCTCAAAGTTGTAAATTTCCACTATTTATTGTATAGCAAAAATAATATTTTTTACAGTTTTGTTTTGTTTTTTTTTTTTTTTTTATACATCAAATATTATTAAAAAATAAATTAACTTAATGACCATCACCCCTTCTCTTCCCTAACGAATAGAATTGCAGACGTGCAGTTTCTTTTTATATTGGAATCGTTGTTGTCTAACAATAATTATAATAATATTGTTATAACTAAAAAAAAAAAAAAAAAAAAAAAAAAAAAAACTGTATAATCATTGTTTCGAATGTAAAATTTTTCGGATGTTATAAAATTATAGTAATAATGTTAATGAATCTAAACGTATGACATCAAATAGGTAATTGACAAAAAAAAAAAAAAAAAAAAAAAAAAAAAAGTAAAAAGAAAACCGAACATAAATTATTCATGTTATACAATATAACAGACACGATATTATAATAGTAGCGATAGATGGCTACCGTTTTATTTAGGTTTAATTTTCTTTACGAATATGTACAATTAGCAAACTCAAACTCGCTTTTTTTGATGAAAATTATTATATAGGTAACACGAATCACAATCACATCATAATAATTATTGTATACCGTTTACGACAAATACCGTTGTCAATAATTTGTACGTAGATTTGAGCTTTGCTACAGGTAGACCACACTCAAAATAATAATAATAATACAATGTTATTATAATATTATCAGCTGTTATTAACTATTAAATGTTAAGATGTTATAAGTGTTTTATTTTAGTGTTTAATATTTATTGTGTTATATTATTTATTTTAGGTTATAATATTGTTTCGATTAAATAAATAACGTGTTGATCAGAGTACATCATGGAGTTATTATTTATTTTATTTATAAATAATGTTCCTCCTGCCTGAAGTCATTCGCCCAGTCGTTCATTGAATCGTTTTCAGTGCGTTTGTCTCCAAAACTTCTCTTTGACATTCAAACTTGTTCCCCAATACTTGTGATGATAAAATTGTATAGTATATACACTCTCTCGTGTTTATCAAAATCGCACCGTCACCGTCAACATCGTAAACCAAACCGAGAGTTTTTATCCACGGTAATTACAAAAGGTATTAAATCGTAGGTATACACAATGCATTGTATAATGTTGCGGGCCGTTCGGACACAGCCTTTCGATGGGAAGATGTACACGTGTGATAGGTCTACAAATGGTTTTTTTTTTTTTTTTTTTTTTATTAGAATTTAAACAAAACACGGTTGACAAGTTATATCTATGAGTGAAAACCCTGCGACACCAGACCCGGGTCGAGACTTAGTTGCAATTATCAGGTATAAGTACACGGGTTGGCGTTTAGGTGACGGCACTCCTCTTTCTCGTGCGTTAGTGGTGGTGTAGCTGTCTCGACTCCTGACTGAGTTCAGGTTATCCCCTGTGGTGATGATTCCGGTCTTCTTATGTACGGTTGTCGCCTCGATCGGAGCCTAGATAGTGGTGAACGCTGCCGCCGTTGTCTACTGGTGGCAAGTCGTCTGCACCCGGACACGTTTCCCCTTTGGCCCGTGAACACGTATCATCCGTTGTTGCATAGGAACGTCGTCGGTTTACCACGCCCGTATACTGGCGTACACTTAATGCGACGGCCGATTTCATATCTTGTCGCGCGGATATCTTAATTTATAATTAACCAACTTTACACGTGAAGGATAGAGTCCGTAACAATAATAATAAGAAGACGTTTAAGGCTATTAAACTAGTTTATTAAGTATAATAAAACAAAACAATAATAATAATAATAATAATAATAAAAGAATGAATTGAAAATAAATACATCATTTTGAAAATACACAAATAAAACAATCTTCATGGCAGGATGCAAATATGGCACAGAAGTGTTTCGGCGAGCGACAGGTTGAAATGTATTGAGACCCGTATGCACGGCTTAAAAATAATATTATGAAACGTCGTTTGCGTTATAACCGTTAGTATTACTACTGAAGAATAAAAAAAAAAAAACATTATAAAAAATTTAAAAAAAAAATTACAAATATCTGATAAATATCATTATTAAATTTAGCCATTTAGTTTGGTATAAATTATATGGGAGATTCGGCGGTGGATAATAGCCCGCCCACTGTAAAACGTTTTCGGGTTACATATTATAGTGATATAGTGTACTGTGTAGTAAGAGGAGTTCGTTACGTTTGTATACAAATAATAAACATTCAAAAAATAGATACGTTATACGATGCACTAAAAATATGAAGAAATTGTTCGCCGTCTCTTTCATCCCGCCGTGACCGCCATACACCCCCCCTCCCATAGGGGCGGATTTAAAGGACAACGTAGCAATCGCCTCCCCCCCCCCCTTGGAATTTTTTTCTCACCTCCACCGGTAGCTTAGTAGTATACATCGGGCAAATTCTAATATTTGGAGGCCTGGAACTAATTTGACGTTTATGACGTTAGGAAATTAATTTTGAATAAATAAAATATCCTAATACAGATATATACAGTATACATACTCGAAAATATATATATATATGATATATCTGTGTATTCAATTAATTTTTATCATATTATCTTATCATTTTAAATAATATTAGTAATATACTTCACTATATCCGAATGGCATATTTATCACAGTAAAAAAACCATTAGTAATTGTGTGCATTGGTAAAATTGGTAACCACCCTATTATAGGTATTCAATATTATCAATGTCGCTTACACCATTTCCATCATTAATAATGCAAAAATCAACCATTCCTAATGAACTAGGGAGTCGCTCACACCTTTTTATCATTAATAAAGCTGATTTTTCTGAATTTTTGATATAAAAAAGTCAATTTGGCCAAAGTATCGCTTATTTCCTTTTACATATTAAGGCTAAATATTATATAACTAATTTATAATAGTATAACTTAATGTTTTAAATAGGTACATGCTATAGGTACATTTATTTTTTGCTTAACGTTTAGTTTATTAGATTAAAAACATGAATGATATCACGTATACTCGGGCAAAGTAGATTGACTGGCTTAGTATTACTAAATGTACACAGGGATATAAGATATTTGTTGAAAAATCATAAATAGATTTGCGATTGATTACTGTGTTACTGTAATGTAAGTATACATAATATATTTTTATTATACCTGCTTAAATATATATTTGACTGTTTTCAATTGAATGATATTTTTATAATTTTTAGTTATAACAAATCATTATGTAAGTGTAACTTATTGTTTTAGTATCATTCAGTTATCATTAACTAATATGTTAGTAAGTATATACGAAGACAGTAATGAAAGTATGTGATAATGGAAATTTACGCCCCTCCTGCTATTCGTCGTTAAAGATTATTTGTATTATGCATATGATATCAATACACCCCTCCTTAATTATTTTTTAGATCCGCCCCTGCCCTCCCTCCATAAACACATCACTGAACCCTGGCATTCCAAATATGTTCAAAATCCCACTATATTTACGAAATTATTTGTCTCCGTTCTCCCCCCTACATAAAAAAAAGTTACCCCCCAAAAAAAAATATCTCTCCCTCTCCCGCACACTCTCTACCAGTTCAACTAGCAGGCTTGGATATCGTAACATATCGGTTTCATATATGCCTCGTCCAAAGTTCGACGACGGGTCAACCGTTCCTCGCTGTGACGGAGCCCGTAGAACAGATAAATCAGTATGCCAATAAACAGCCAGATGATGAACCGCACCCAAGTGGCCGAATCCAATAGAGTCATGAGATAGATGTTGAGAACGACGCTGAGACAGGGCACGAACGGCACCCAGGGGACCTGAAACGAAACGTCAAGTATTATAGGCATAGTCCAATGGTTTTTGTTTATTAATGAATTTTTATATCTATTATTTAATATATCCCCTCCTTGGAGAAATTCTAAGTACGCCACTGACTAGCAGAATAAATTAGACGTTGTTCGATAGAACAAAAGGAAGCGATATGGTTATCGTGTGATAATAACGCGGGGCTGTGAAATAATTTTTAACAACATTACCACGGAATGATTATTTTATGGAACAATATTCTTCAAGAAAAATATTCTGCTGTGAACAATTAAACTGCGAATAATAAAAATCGGAAACCTATTTCTCAGGACCGGTATTTCGCTAAAAAATATATAAACAGAAAAATATAGGAAGAAATAATCTGCTGATATCAAAAAAATGATAACGGTTCAAACAAACATTTATCACTTTACATCTCATTTGCAATTTAATAGGTACACTACACTCTACACTCTACGTACAAAATTGATGTTCAATATTCTAATATTATATTATATTCTCGTATTGCATTAATTACTTATTTTTACATGGCTATTTTAAATTCAAACTTTTTGACATTAATTATATTCGTCAATATATTTTAATACAATTTTTGTTTAGGCATTAGATCTTCAACAATATTTTTCAGTGTTAGGCTTCATTATGGTGTATGCGCTATTTCGAATCGTAAAATTCAAGTCATCGACTTCCGATTTACTAACGTACTGTTCGGGACAGATTTATAAAATAGGTAGTGTAGTGTACCCAGAGCTAACGCGGTTGTGCTCGTACAATTTATTTTATAACGGAGACTCCGCCGACATTCGAAATTAAATAACCTTTCCATGTGTGTTATATTCTTAGAGTAATGAGATGATTTGTTTTTTGAAGCGGCTTTTTGAATATGAATTATATCTAATTTGAATTTTATTAGTGTTCATTCTGGACGCCGTGATAATTGAATAATAATAATAATGGTTATTGAATTTTCATATCACTTAACAGTTAACACTTATCAATCGCGTCATTGTTAGCATAACTGTATATTGTTTTCCAGTGATTTCAGTCGGTATCGATAGGATAGTCGAGCGATTTTTACGAAGAACTCGGTGCTAACCGAAAATATATACGACAGATTCGAAAATTACGGATCTGTCGTCGGACCGAGTTCGATGAGAACCCCGTTTCGTTTTTGAAAAGATAAATAATGAGATAATTACGACGAATAGCGGACGTTTGGAAGACTGAGGTTGACGGAACAATGAGACGCATAACACCACCAAGCAAAAGCCGAACACTCCTAATGCGGTACCAGTGATTGCGTTCAATTGTCCGTTGATTTGGGCCTTAGACATGGTCCAGCAGAAACATATTGACACCACCACTGAAACGAAATAAATAATATTACTATTAATTACAACAGGGTTTCTCGAAAATTCCATATTACAGTTAAATTTTCCATGAAATATTTGTTTTTTTTTTTTTTTCAAAAAATGACTTTTGTAATAACGTAATAACGAATCTCACATATTATTCTGAAACGTTATATTGTCCTTACTTTAGTAACTCTTGTTTTCGGGAACAAAACAATTATCTACTTTCAAATAGCAATGGCTTATGTTAAAAATTCCATAAATAGACGACGTTCGATTTAAATATTTGTGTAGAAAAAAAAACCAATTAAATATTCCGTGGATAATTTTACTGTAACGTGAAACTCGATAAACTGAACACGCTCTTGGCGATGTAGCTTTGCTATAAACACAAGTACTTACCGTAAATTATAATTATTATGGTCGACAGCCGTGCGGTCCGTTTGTTCGTTACCCGAGAGTTAGAGAGATTAAAGCTGGACGAAATGAGCTGCATGATACAAAAGCCGCCCCGGTCGCTTTCGTTGACCGTCGATTGTTCGGTGCCATCGTTCGTGTACCGCAATATCATTACACATATGCACACCAGGGAGTATGCCATTAAAGTGCCGATCGACATCATGTCCATTAGTTGTTGTAGATTGAACAGACTGGACAGGACAGCTGTTAACGAAGAATTAGAAAAGAACAAATTATCAACCGTCTGAGCTTCATCACCGTAAGAAAAAAAAAAAATTGTTAACAAATATCAACGGAGCGAATTTTATGTTCTTAATAAGAAAATCTTTTCTTTAAAATGTTATTCATTTTTCATGCGCTACGAATTTGATTACGCTCTCTCTGGGTCCTCTTCTGAGAGAATTGACAATTGCAAATTTACACGATGTTTAAAAATATTTCAAGCGACATTAATTTTATTCGCAATAATTATGTTTAATGAACGATAATATTATTATGTATTTTCAGGGATCTTGCTTATGGTTTCACGAATTTACATTTAACAGGTATTATCAATTTTTAACAATTTATTTCATCGGTTTTAATTTTCATATCAATATGGGCCTGCAAACGTTATTATTATTTTTTTTTTTTGCTCGAAACACGATTTACAGGAAAAACTTGTTTTCCTATTGGGCTTAGATTTTTGATTATGAAACCAAAAATATTACAAAAAATATAATAAAATTATTTGAAAAAATGGTAAAAATTAGAAGTATTGAAAATAAAATTACATGGTGTTGAGAAAGATCAAAATCCAAGGCTAAGCGCTATATAAGAATTCTTTTCAAATTATTTATTCTCGATAAAAAAAAAATAAATAAAATTTGAACGAAATCTGTTCACTCTATTTGTCCGTTAAAATTTTAAGAATTTTTTTTTTTCTGTAAAGCAAGTTTTTGAGCAAAAAAAACATAACACCCGCTAACTCATTATTTATAGTATACTTATGTTTAATAAAGGCATTTAAAAAATAATAATAAAGTTAACGTTTTGGTTTTTCTCCTATAATACTGCATTATTAGTTATTTCTATTTTAGTCAAAATCCTATCATTATTTTTGCACAATCACCAGTCTCAACTCTTACATGAGTAAAAACCCACATTGTTCTTTTTACTCGTTCTTACCAGCAAAAGCTCCGCAGATCAACGTTCCCCAAAACGGTGTTTTAGTTTTTGAATCTACTTTAGAGAAAATTTCAAACAACAGTCCGTCAGAAGCCATAGAGTACAATATTCTGGGTAACGGAAACAAAGTACCAATCATACTGAAAAAAAAATAAAAATAAATACAATCATCACGTATTATCACGAGTTTAAATGTAAATGGTTATGCATAGTTCAAGAATTAGATTGATTTTTATTGTTAAAAAAAAAACCACTCGTGAGTTACCCGTCACTAGAGTTTCAAATTTTTTCCTAAGTCAAGGTTACAATATTTCATTTATTTCTATATATAATTGATCTAAAATAGTTATGGTTATCGGAGTTTTATTTTATATTTTTTGTAAAAACATGTAATTTGATCATACAAATGGTTGGGGGTTGAAACCAAAAAAGGCACATGTTTAATACATACATCGAGCATAAATAAAATTACATGCCTTTAGCTTCATTTAGAGAGGCAGGGGAGTACAAAACTAAATAAAATACCCTCCTCCAGCAAAAACATGGTGAAATTAATTTCAACCAAAACTGTATCATTTTAATTTGATTATAAATAACTCTAGTTCACGAGTTTGAGCTCATTTGTTCCTGAGGGAGCAGTTAAAAGTATTGAAAATTAGTGAGGAAAAGGTATATGTAATATAACAGATGAATTACAGTGTTATAATTTCCATTTGTAGAAAAACTTGACAAAAAAGAAGAAAAAAAAATCGAATAAATGAATCAAATAAGTTCCGAAACGACGAAAGGGTGTGTGGAGGTGGTTCTTTTTATAATATCAAAGTCAAGTTAAGAATACATTTTAGTTAAATGTACGTTCCCGTGCGGATACGATTTGGGGACGATAAAAACACAATATTATTATATCAATAGAGAAGAAATCACTTTCCTTTGCAAATAAAATATTGAGATAATATGTATAATTCAGGTAACAAATAACGTTTTACTGTTATAATGAAACAGAGTGTTGAAACTTGAAACATAAAAGAAGCGTGGAAAAACGAACGCTTAAATTTGTGAAATTACGAAAGTTATTAAGGTGACCAATTGTATATTATAAAGAGACGACCATTTAATGGTTCGGACATAATATCCAAAGAAATAAAGCGACGGTCGTGAAGGCAATTTTGGTGTATTAGCCAGCTTATAGAAGCCTAAGGAGGCTTAGGGTTGACGAGATAGTTACTCGTAATATAGATTTAAGTGTGATATAGCCTATAGGTGTGGGAGATTGAACGATGGAAACCGTCCAGAATAGAGGAATCGATGGCGGTAAAGACTCTCGAAGAGTTTTGAGGGCAAGGGGAAGAAGATGGAGGAATAGGAGAAAAAAAATTATTATTGGGAACAGTGCATAAAATGTGCGATCGTGTCGAATGGACACGAGCAGTTAACGAGCAACGACCATCTGCACTTTTTGAATGTCAAATAATGCCATGGCCGGCTCTCCCACGCAATCGGGCTATGTTATGTGAAAACAATATAAGTAATAATTTTAAATCTATAAATATACAAGGTAATTATTTTAATAGCATGTTTGCTATTGTAATGGTTAAATTTGCATAAATTCAAATTCTGTTTTATGGAATTTATATAAATAGCAAAAGCGTATTTTTCGAATAGGTATACTTAGATTTTGCACAATATTTAAGTAGTATCTTGTGACAATACCAACATTGGGTTTTAAAATAAGAACCTATATGTTTTAATTTAAATTGTCAATTGATGATTTTTCTGAAAATATTGACGTATCGTAAACGAAATTTAAACAAAAAGTTGCTGAGCTATCCTATAATTAAATATTAATATAATACTACAAAATCAATAACTACATAATTCTAATCAAGAAGTTGCCTAAAAACGACTCCTATGAAATGATCTGTATTCAATAACCGTAAAAAGCTATACATTATACCATAGTATTTATCAGAATATCTCGGAAACTTTTCGTTCGAAAATCAATGAACATTAAAGAAAACCTATCCAATTGACAATCTGCATTAAAACGTGTAGCTTTTTATTTGAAAAACCAATGGATACAGTCACAGGATATTCCTTAAACGTTGTGTAAAATCTATGTTTGTGAATATATGGTTTTTCGACGTTATTTAAAATTTAAAGAATCAGATTTGAATATATGCATAAGTTAACCATAAAAATGGGGTGAGCATACTAAAAAAAATTACTCTGTATAACACACTTAAACGGTATAACAAAAAATGCTTTTTGATTTATTTCTATTATTATTGTAAACGGGTATACATACTTTGTGAAAAGTGCGAATACAGCTCCTACCGTGACAACCCATTCGAGTCCATACCAATTCAACTTATTGTAAATGTGTGGAAATGGAGCTTCCGGATCCTGTAATATTATGAAGAAATACAAATAATGTTAACTTTGTTAAAAAAAAAAAAAAAAAACACGGACAAATACAGGTATGCCACGCATAGACATAAATAGAGCGAGGCTTGGGGGGACTCAGTCCAAGCCTTCCAAATCAAGTAAACATTTAGTATACTTCATAAATATTAATTAATATTTAAAACCTATTTGCTTAACCTGCTATTTGCATCTATAGTATCATTGTTGTAGGTGTGAAGTTGGCAAATTACAATTAATAAGGTAGTAATTATAATTTATGTCTGTTTGCAATAAAAAATCAGTGATAGCAAAAAACGATTCTGAGCGAAAATCGGTTTAAGGTATATTGGATCTACCCCTGTTACCTTCCCAATGCAATGACTAGACAAAATTGGCAATTGTTAATTATAGCTTTTAAGCACTTCATAGCATTAAAATTTTAAACATTCTCCGTTAAACTCAAAACACAACATATTTGACTTGCCACAAACAAAAGTACCTAAATTTTAATTTATTAATATTTTTAAATGATAATAGATTAATAAAGTAAGCATTGCACATTCAGAGTAAACATTAGTTTAATTATAAAATAGATTGAATTGGTTATTCATCAATAGTGAAAATCATTTAACACACTTCTGCTCAAAAGTGCTGCTGTTGAACATATGTTGACAACACAATAAATATTTGAACTTTAATTTAAATAGTTTATATTATTATGGTCAAATAAACTTTATACCGTTTAAATAAATGTAAAAATATAATATTGTATGTTATACCAATCAGCATATCTAAAGAATTTTTTCTTAAGTCGGAACTTAACCTTAGATTTTGGTTTTTTTGTTTTTTTAAAAACATGGATTGTGTTTCTGAAAAATTTCAAAAAATTTAATTTTTTTAATTTGAATACTTTTAAAACGTTTACCCAAGTGATTTTTTTTTTTAATAATAGCAGGTGTATACCTAAAAGTTTTTACGATAAACAAATCGAATATAGGCGATATTAACAATGGCAAATAGATAGTCGAAAAGAGCTCGAGGCATAATAAGAATAATATAATAATATTATACTGTAAGCTTTATCTGTGTATAGTCATGCGTAAAACCAAAATTGATCTTCAAGCAAGATCGAAATATTTAAAGGCCCGGGGAGCTAAATTTTTCAACGATAGGTACTCAAAAAAGAATAATAATAATACAAAAAAATGTAATTACTACACAATACGACAATAGGTTTTAATAAAATAAAAACAATACGTATAACGCAAAGATAATAGATCTCGATTCAAAACATACAAGTATCTTCTAAATAAACACATTTGTATCGAAAAATGTTTTATAGTAATTTCCGCTATAAAATTAATCGCTATCGAGTAACGAACAAATATTAAAAGTAACTCAATCTAAAAATACAAAGTTAATGTGATTGAATACTTAGATAAAAAATAAGTGTGGGTGAAAACTGAGGTCTTATCGCCCACCTGCCTCCCTTCTCCACTATTTAATTCGGACTTGTTAGTTTTATTTGTGGTTTATACATTCGAAAATTTACATTTGGTTTTTTAATAAATTATCATTCGCAAAATTTATAGTGTTGAAACAACAAAAAAAAAAATAAAATAAAAAATAAAATATAGAATTATTATGGAAATTATTGCTTCCGATCAACATTTAACTTAACTTCAAATAAACAAGTCACTTGAAGTGACGTTAAGACATTAAGACGTTAAGCGCATGCATATAAAACAACTTCTCAAGTTAAAAGTTAATTATGTAAACAATTAACTCGTTAATTAATTGTATTAATATTAACTTAACTTTTGAATTTTATTTTAGATTTTAACGCGTTAATATGCCCGGCAGCCTTGGTTTTGGGAATGGAATACCTAACGAAACATCATCGCATTCTCTTGCTTTAACAGTACTGGAGTATAATATTCTCTCACTGCCTGAAAAATGCTTTTGTTTTAACAACTCGCAAGTCGTAATTGTATCATAAAAATAGTATACAACGATATTTATGCATAGGCATACTCACGACTTGAGTGTATTCATTGCATTCGCATATCGTCGTTGACGTGAAAAAATCTATGTCCTAAAACTTGATTTTTCAGAAGACACGAAAAACTTTATAATAAATCAAGAATTGTCAATGATTGACAAAATACATTTTTAAACTGTTAAACCATAGAAATATTTATTTTGAAAAAAAATTGAAGCAGGTAAAAAACTTAATTAATATGGATACTATTATTATATTGTATAAATTATCAATATTTCATCAAACAAGAGGTTTTGTCAGTTAAAATTGTTTCCGAAAATCACATAGGAGGTTTTTCAACGTCAAATGAAGATTGATGAACATATATAGGGCATTTATAATCACATACGACGCATTCGACAAACGATTATAGTAGGGGACACATGAGAGGTTTTGTTTTTTATTTTTTATCGATATTCTTTCATAAAGATATAGCACATAGGAGATATAATAGCTATAAGATAGCTTATTTTTTTCTGAATCTAGGTACACTAAAACCTCAAAAATCGAACATTTAGCACGTAGGAGGTTTTTTCACGTCAACCATGATACGTACAATTTGCATTAAATAATCGTACCAATTATTATGTTTTTGAAATAAAATAGAACGGACAACAACGGATACACAATGGTATTATAGTATTATACATTGGTTTTATGAGAATATTATCACGCAACGCGCATATTATAGACACAATGGTATCGAATAGATTGTATACATATATTGTGTAGATGGTTTTAGCACACACGTAATTATAATAATATAATACGTACAGGAATCTACGTATTTTTTTTTTTTTTTTTTGTACAATATCTAATGTTTTATTTTTAATTTAAAGTAAATATATTGATTTACGTTTTTAAAAATATAAATAATGCAAACGTTCCGTATATATTCCGGTATATCTACCTACCAACCTACCTACCTATATACACATTACACATATTATAGTACGCCCACTTAATAATAAAAAATAGTCAAAAAGTGAGGTTTCTTTCGAATTGTATGCGTACATTTCAAATGGGTAGTATCCAATATTACCCGAACACGAATAATAATAATAAAAGAATACATACGAATTCATATTGGGATAAATAATTACATTTAAATTTAAATCACACGATTTAAACATTGTAAAGAAAACATTTTCATAAAACGTAATATACTTTATACTTTTTAATACATTCTATATAGTATATATATATATATAAAAAACAAACGAATTCGGTGACGGTTTGTGTGGCTTCTACATTTCGTGCCTAATTGAAATTTTGAAACCACTTTTAAAAATTAAATGTGAATAATTGGATATCATATTTCATGTAGCGATTGTACAGTGCAGTAATTCATAATATTTAGTGAGTACCTACTTACTTTAAATACTTTAATAGTAAATATAAACTTTGTGTTTGCAAAAAGCTAATTGTAATTTTTTTAATGTTTGAGTAAATATCTATATATTATGAAAACGTTCATTGCATAGAAAATTAAAAAAAGATAATGGAGACGGGTAAAGCCACTGGTGTAGGTGAAAAGTTGAGAAGATAAGATACAGATGGGAATTTAGTGTATATCTGTAACGGTATAAGTAACGGTTTATTGTTGCTTACGAAAAAATCATTCTGAGCAGAGTTCAATTGATATAGTGATGCTTTGTCAACAATAAATATGTTATTTGATAGTTAAACAATTAAAAAGGCTTTATACATTTTCTTTAATAATATTTGTTTAATATTATACAGATTTTCCCAATTTTCCTAAGTTTTTCCAGGTTTTCCTATATTTTATCTTGGTTTTTCTCATTAGCCTGGAAAACATCTGAGAAAATTAAAAAATGACCTCTCTAAAGTATCTCCCTAGGGAAATTTATTTTTAGAAACATCGCTATCATTAAAAGTTGGAGCGAAATTTCTGTTTGAAAAGTTGTTCACAGAAAAAAAGAATGCCGTAATATATTTTAATTAATACCTACAATTCCCATATTTTCCCGTTTTTTTTCGGTTTATCAAATTTGACAACAAAACTCTCAAGAAAATCCTACACCGATTTTCTTTCAGAAAAAATGCTACACGTAGAAATCTGAGTAAGTCTTCTGGTAGAAAAGTTGCACACAGGTAAAATAATAAAAACCGTTGTAAAACCATAAGCTTATTCACTCCACTCAGAATTTAAAATGAGCTGATACTACTGATGGATGTGCCACTTGTTAAAGATGTAAAGTCAGGTAGATAGGTTACAAAAATGTATTTAATTTACATCTGTACGCAACCAATACCGATTAATTATTGCAAACGAAAAACAATTCGGAGCGAATATGAGTTGTAAATATTTTTGTTATGAAAATGTTGTGAAAGTCCTAATATTTTTATAGTATGATAAAATAGTTAAAATATGATATTAAAATTCTAATATATACTATAATAATTATACTTCTGTCAAATTTTTAACAAAATTTGATCTTAAAATACTTTTTTTAAACAAAAAAAAACTAATGCACTCAACTCAAATTTGTTTTTTAGACCACTAAGTACAATTTATAATGAACCTAATGTGTTCAATTTTCAAGCAGTTTTCATAAGTCATATCATTTTAATAACAGATACCTATTAAATAAAAACACGTAAAAACACAAAAATATCAAACACCTATAAATAGCCTAAAAATAATTAGAACATTTTGAAAATTTTACCATGTCTACAAAATGCTAACTATATAAGTGTTTTATAAAAACGAAAGGTCTCTACAATAATTTTAAACTAAATATCATCAATAAAACCCAAATGCCTTACCCTTTGCTATATTTCTTACGTTTTTTTCGTAATGATTATATTACGATATTACTAGGAATTCTATGTACAGAAAACCAAACAACGACTTTCTTATTTACAAACTAGACAACAATTACTTTTTGTTTAATAATTATGTTATTCAATAGTTGTTTAAAAACCCTTAGAATATCAAAAATTATCTTCCCAACGCATCATCAAAAGAAAATTTTCTTTCAAAAAAGGTGCTACTATATTTGATACTTTGGAGCAAGATTTCTGGTAAAAATTTATTCACAGCTAGAAAAAAAATATGTCTATGTTCAAACAGATTTAAAACGAAAAGATATTTGATCCTCTTATACGGACAAAATCAGAAGACAATTTTTCATTCGATTCAAGTGTGAAATTTTTTTTAAATTTTTTCAGTTCTAACACTAGCAATAGGGTCGCAAATTGAAACAGTGTTAGAATAAAGATATAACGGTCCTCAAATGATTGGAAAAAAAAAACAGAAATCAATTGCACTTAAAACCCTCCGAAAAAAATCTCTGGTTCGTTACAATAATGGATCATTCTATATAGAGTTTGTTTTAATAAAAATAGAATTTTGTATCATCCGCGACATCGCTAAAGCTGGTATCGCCACAAAATAAACTCTCCCGGAGGATAAACGTAGTCGACGGGACTCGCGGTGCTGATGCTTTGATCGGTTTTATTTTGGCTGTTTTTTAGTTATAAAGCTATAATGTAAAAGATGTAATTATACGACACAAACATTTTTATTCGGGAGACACGCGTTTCCAGTAGACTAAGCATTTGGTTTTATTTCGGCTCAAGGACATTTCGGTTATTTATATTGTAAATAAAAACGATACAATCGCCGAGAGACAAAACCAGTAGGTATTTTTATTTGAGATCCAATAAGCGTGTATAAAACCGAATCGACGCATACGCGCGAAGAGAATTTTTCATTATTATAATTTTTTTTTTTTTTAACTCTCCTGGTGGTTAGTCTGCGAATAATAATGCGTCCAAAATTAAATATTTAATAATAAACGATTACTAGAAATTTTTAGAACAGGTACAAACAGCGCATTATTGTAATTTGTATTTTGTAATCATTTTAAAAGCGACGAGATTTTTCCGATACAAACCAAAAAATAGAATGCCATTCGTCCTGTTCCAATTGAAAACTTTCTTGCGACATTTTTAATCTAAATGGTGGACATTATATTTTGATTTCCATTATAGTTTTCTTAATAAATGGGGAAAAATCGGATCATTATTGTTCAATTTTCGTTAATATCTGGATTACCTGGGCAACACGAGAAAAAAAACAACTGATAAAACTCTATTTTTAAGAAACCGATAATTGTCGGTTCAAACATGAATATTTATCAGTTCCGGTTCTTAAATACATATATATTTTTTTTTTTTTTTGTGTGTACTTACGCTGGTTTTAATCATTTATTTCATTAAAAAAATATCGTTTTTCACGGAATGACGCGGTATTACTGCGATAATACTTATAACTGCAGATAATCAATAGAACGGATTTGTATTATCGTATTAATTGCGAAACGCGTTTTTTGTGTCTTTATCATATTAATTTTAGATTCCGATTAAAGAATCTGATAAATCCCATACTGTAATTGATCTTTTATAACTTCCACAATAAGAAAAAAGAGCTGATACCGGAGGATGGGAGCGGCCACTGTAGTATATGAGAAGTTGGGAAGCTAGTATACATAAGGTTATTTCATTTATATATGTAAGCAACGATAAACCACTGCTTGATGAAAGACGATTCCAAGTGCAGTTGAGTAATATATAATTTGAAACGCCAAATTTTTTTTTTTTTGTGATTTTCGTTTAAATTTGATTTCAAAACGCTTATTAAAAAAAGTCACCCGATGGTTTTGGAAATTTTACCACGTCTAGGTATAAGTTCAATGTAAATATTATTACTAAGTTTCAAGTCTTTACGTGTATTTATAACTGAATTACAACAAAAAAACTCCCAAAAATTAAAATTCCTTATAAGTGGCTCAAAAGTTTTGGCGATGATACCGTAAGAAATTAAATCAAAAAGGTATCCTGTGATTTTTCGATTGAATTTTGAAAATCATTTTGTCTGGTAGAAAACGTCGTCCGTGTTTTTTTAAAATAGTGAAATCTGTGTAATTGTTCGTTTACCTACATTTATCCCCGTTTTTTCCTTTAGGCGCTTTTATTTGAAAAATGGCGTCAAAAATCAAAATAAACAATTTTAAAATACCATCTAGACAACTTGAGTTTTTAGAAAAGTTGTTACACGTAAAAATCGGAGCAATTTAACTAAGATAAAACGTGTCCACAGGCCAGAACAATGAAAGAAAGAAAGAAAAAAATAAACATCTTAGTAAGACCAATAGCTCCCTCACTACGCTCGGAATCTAAAAGAAGAATTTTTTAAAACCGGATAAGAACTGGTATGTACTGATAGTTTTCAGGAACAAGCCCGTTTCTAGGTACAACTCATAACCAGTAAATATCCTATGATAATATTACTAATATTGTTAATGTTCGGTTCATGTCATAAACACTATTAGAAAAATATACTCTATTCGAATTTGTGTTTAAGAAAGGTGGACAATTTTAAAATATAATGTTTACTTTTATTCGAGGTCTAATAAGTAGTGGGAGTAAATATTTGAAAACAGTGATAAAATCATGCTTAAAATATGGATAGAAAAAAAAAACATATTATTAAAATTTTTCCGAGAAAATCGCTGTAGTTATCGAGATTAAAAAATCAACCAAAAGCTACTATAAAAACCAGAAGCTATACCCAAAAATAAATGACGTTCCGATCGATTATTCGAAACGGACGTTTTAATAGAATTCCTTGCTGTTTGCGTAATATTATTATTATGATTATTATTATAGCGGCGTCGTCAGTGTTTTCAACTGATGCGTATAAAACTTCTAGGGAATCGTATTTTAATCCGATTTTTTTTTTTTTTTAGTATCGCGTTACTATTTATAAAGAACATTTTTTTTTTAATTTTTGTTATGAAACTTGTTTTAAATTTAAAAATCAAAAAAATCTGATACAACCTGACGGTAGTGAACACATATTTTACACTACAACACATAGCCGGCCAATTCAACAGTCAACCGCATCTTACGGCTAGAAGTAGGTTAAAGTGTTATAATTATTATATGGACTGATATTATCTAAATGCAAACTATGCCAATCATAATCGGTTCTCGTATTTTTAATATAAATATTTCTGATTAATAATATTCCGATTACGAATACGTTTATCGAACTTTCGGTATTGGCAATTGCACTTGTTTCAAAAAAACAGAGCTGACACTGTTGATGCGTGCGCCACGTTTTTAGGTGGGGGTGTTGGGAAATTGAGATACATACGTGTATTAAATTTATGTCTGTACATAACGAAAAATAATAATTGCTAACGGAAAACGATTTTGAACAAAATTCGGTTAAACATAAAATGCCGTGATTATTAGGATTGTTTTTTTTTCTTTTTTACTACCATTTGCAACATATAGATGAAACTCGTGTTGTTTTGAAACATCTCTGCTATGCCAAAACCATTTTATCTACGCAAAACTAAATAAAAACCAAAGTGCCTATAAAGAGCTAAAAATATCGCCAGAATATTTTGAACATTTTTACTACGCCTAGAAAACGCTAATATAAGCAAGTATTCTGTGGGACATTGCAGGTCTTTAAAATTATTTTTAACCAAATTTAAAAAAAATAAAAAAAATGCATAAATCATTATTGTGTACACTTTCCCTTTTTCCCTACGTTTTCCCCAGTTATTAAGAAAACAGCAATCTCCTTTATAACACAAACCATTCAAAATTGAATTTAAAAAAAGACGTTATACTTCCGAAGCGAGATTTCTAGTTTATAGACTGAAAAAATAACACACACGTATCGTTGTAAATCCAATATATTACTCACTGCCATAAGAAAAAATATTTTCTTTGGCCCCAAGGAAGAAAGGTATAAGTAATTTTTTTAAAAATATTTTAACGATTTAAACGTTTAAAATTAAAATGGGAAAAATTATCAAAAATATGGACAATAATATACAAAATACGACAAATGACTTAGTATTTTCTTCTTGGGACCAATGATTGTGGTATTTCATAATGCCGCAAGAAGTCAATTCAAAACCATATTTTTATTATTATTATTATGGATTTTGGCAACGATCCAGTTGCATGCATTTTTGTGCGGGTGTATAAATATATTTGACCATCACAACATGGATATTGGTGAAATGTGCATGAATAAAATATCAGTATACTTATTTTAAAGTAAAATATTTCATACGTGAAAATAACTAGTATACTGTCATTCCGTGTAGGTACACCAGTGGTGATCAACTACGGCCCACGGGTCAAATCCGACCCGCGATAATTTATTAATCGGCCCACCAAAGTATTAAATCAAAACTGAAAATAAAAAGTGACTTAAAATTAAAAAAACTACATTTGCATTGAAAAAAAGATATGTTTATAATTTACATTTTTTTTTAACATGGACATAAAATTAAAGATATTTTATAAGTCCAAAATCGTCGAACGCGTTCCCTGAAATTACAACACCATCACGTGACAATATTATGTTCCATAAATCAAAATTAGGTAAACGCGGAAGAAATATATCACTATACTTATTGTAGCTAGGTGAATAATATATTTCAAAAATAAAATTCCGAAAATAATGCATTTTAAGGTCGGCCATTTCGGAGGTCACTGGCTATTATTCAGTGGCCGGACGTCAAAAACACAGAAATTGTTTCGACGCAAAGACGTACCGCACTATTATATCGGATTTCAAATACACACGTATATTATACACCTACGATAAATTGTAAACGAATTTGGGACATCATGTATAATGTACGCACGGCATTAGGTACATTTTATTATTATGATGTTTTGTTTTAAGTATACATTGTTATTATTTCGAATATGTAATATAATGAACTAGAGTTTTTTACCTGGTCATAGTACGGCCACATGAGCGTCAGTACGATGGCTATGCCGCAATACGACGACGTGATGATGGCTAACGATAAAACTATTGCCAATGGTATGTCTTTCGTTGGTCTTTTAGCTTCTTCACCTTGAATAATAATTGCACGCAAACAAAAATATACATATGTAATGATAATAATAATTTCCCGTTTATTTACCTATACGATATTAATACGAGTTTTACGAGTTTTAATGGATGGATTTTGTTATGTACCACCTATTGAATTTATTTACCCATGTACGGTATTTATAGATTTTAAGGAAGGAATTGAATCTCAAGAGAGGTAACAATGCGTGTGTTAATTAAAACAAGAGTTCTTTAACTGAGTTTTGGTTTAATAGAAAATGTCGTTATTATGTGTGTTAAAGGATCGAGTACGGGTGTTAAGACAGTATCTATGTGTGAAGGAACAGATGATTTCAGGTTGAGGAGGAGGGGAGCACCAGGATTTTGCACTAGCATATTTAAAATCTCTTTTACCAAAGAACGGTGATTGAGGAGCGTTTGAAATATAAGATTAACCGTGATTGAACCAAGTGTAATCGAGTGTACTGTAATGCAATCAGAGGATTCGAATTCGACTGAAAGGTAAAATATACAAAACTGCAAGTATGAGACCGTCGATGTTGTATGATAGTGTTGGGCAAAGAATAGTTTTACAAGTTAGTATGAATGGAAGGAAATAAAGGGAAAGACCAAAAACCGTTATGGAAGATTACCACGCCCCATAATTAGACAAAATTGAAAATAATTCAAGGACTACTACGGTTTCGTGGACAGTTACGACCAAGGTGATCGACACCTATTAGATGGGAAAATATTCGAGAGAGAAGAAAATTAAATCAGTGTTTACCTGTAGTGGCTACGGCATCAAATCCGACGAATCCATAAAAGCAAGTGGCTGCTCCAACAAACACTCCGGACCACCCGAATGGTAAAAATCCTCCCTCTCCGCCCTTGCCGTTCTGGGGTAATTCGTTTTTCGGTATGTTCCAGTTCTTGAAGTCGACTGTAATAATATCGTGGCCACAAATAATAGTATATAAATAATATCAAAAATTATGGTCATTCTACAACGACCCGAACGAATGGACGCACCTACCATTTTGTTCAACATTTGTTTTATATAAATAATAACACGTACCCGATATAAATTGAACAAATATTTTCCCGGTGTGTAAATACGTAAGTATATTTGCTCAAGATATCGTGTACACTATACAGTATTAACTCTACCTTATTGTTGTGTTTAACAGTATTTAATATTGTACGTACCTTTGAAAATTCCTGTCACAATCACTATGGCGACCGTCAACAAGTTGACAACCGTAAATATTTTGTTAAGCAGAGACGATTCACGCATTCCCCAAGCAATCAATACTAAACAACAAACAAGTAATTAAAAACAGTTATAACAGTGGTTTTTTTATAAATATATACATAATATGTGTAATTTTTAGCGTTTAATCGACATATTGTGATTTTTTTTTTTTTTAATTTCTCAACATCCCGATCAAACCCGTGGGCACTAAAAATGATTCTTACCGGATAACATCAGTATGGACGAGAACGAAAAAAAATCTGGATACGGTGCCATAAACGGGATGTCCATCGGAAACGTTTCATTGAAAAAACGTTTCATCGGAAAACCGAGGGGCTTATCGATATGTCCGGTTAAAGCTCTCGCGATACTCGCGCATCCTATAAAAAATAACAATTTGTATTATTATATACTAGAAGTGTTTATTTATAGTACACATATTATCTAAAATAGCGTTTACAATAATTTTACAATAATATTTTATATGTAATATTAACTAAACCATAAACGTTTTTCAAAATTTATTATAACACATAAGTTTGAATCAATGTTTATGGAATCGATAATGTATTACAATTTAATAAATCAAAAATACACGAATAAATGATTTTTATTTAGCAAACGAGAAAATAATTATTTGTTTTTTACAATCCTAGAACGAGCTTAGAATTAATTTCATTTTAACAAAACAAACGTGAATTTAAACTAATTATTTTTTGAAAGGAACTTTCCATGCATTGTATCTCCGGGATAAGCCAATTTTCTGACTACACGCATGATTGGGATTATCAAAAGTGAACACTAAAATACAATACAATTATAACTAAATGCGGTAAGTTTGATGTTTTATTTCACTGCTTCAATGGTCAAACACATCACCAAAATAATTACACGATGTCGTCAATGTCGAGGGAACATTTCATGAAAAAGTGAACATATCGTCAAATATGTTTGTATTTCACGGAGTGTGAAAAAGTGATCTTATCTTTTTGTGAAATAAACTACTTTTCATAAAAAATCGATTTTATGAAGTGAATACGGCATAATAATATCTATAACAATATATTACAATACTTCATATTCTGTTGTGTGTTAGAAAGTGCCTTAGGAATCTTAGGAATTTCAATTTAAGAAGTCCAATTTGAAAAATAATTTTTGCGATACACAGCCCGTTTATTGAGAAAGGTTATAGGCTACATAAATTGTAAGTGATGAGGCGAATAATGTAAAATGTAAAATGTAAGAAAAAATTGTTAATACTAATATACACAGGGAGACAAATATAAACTATTAGAAAGATGGACCGAAGTTCTGGTATATCATTAATTATTATTGGTTGACTTTAGGCGCCAGTTATCAGTAATTAGTTACTTGGACTTTAAAAATATTTGGCATAGTTGCATACATTGCTAAAACATACAACACGACATATAATATTTTAAACGAAATTAATTTTAAGATTTTTAAAGATGACATTATTTATAATAAAGTATGCATTGTAATGTCTAAGAAAATGTTAGATGAGACAGCGCTTCATTCGTCTCGTCTTGTGAACCGCCCCACTGGTTATAATATTAGTGTGGATACGTCATAAGTTTCTTAAATTACCAAACAACACTTTTATGTAAAATGTCGACGCTTTTCGAAATGTTGAGTACAGGCACTCAAATGGAATACTCTGTATATTATGGTTATCTCAATCTGTAAATTAACTGCACTAGTGAATTATATAAGTATGTACACTATGTTAATGAAATTAAACGGTATATTTAATAATGATTGCATTATCATTAACTAATCGTTAAAAACAATCGCGCTTTAATCTGCAATAGAAAAAACGTACAAGGCTAAATAATATTATAATATTACTGGGTACCTATAAAAAATTTAAAGACTCCATAATATTATAATGCAACTACTATTATGCCGGGATACTAATAACTGTGGTCGTTTTACAATAATAATATGATGATGATCACTGACGTTCATTTGTGAATAATATTAAACAAACGCTGCCGGGAAAATCGAATAGTTTTGGTAGATATTAAAATATTTTTCGAGAATATTTTATACGGCGACGCGAAAAATTAAAAAATTAAAATATACACTTTTAATAATACATATTTTATTTTATTTTCTGAACTCATTAACTATTATGTTTGTTGCGCCACAATCTGTTCGAAACAAGTGTCGAACAATAAACGAATATGACGAGTGAAAAAAAAAAACAAAGGCACGGTTAACATAAATTACATTAACACTTAATTTAAACGTTTAGAAGAAAATATAGTGCCTACCTCAGACCGACTAGATTCGTTATTAATAAATCAATGTTCACGGAAAATAACACACCGTCCCGATAACCCGTAGGCGACTCGTGCTAAGCCTGCAATTACGAAAATGGATCTATTGCAAAATTGGGTAAAATGTCGGTCTTATGATTCCACAGCCGTCTCATATTGATTGTTGGTATCGCCGATCTCGTCTATATATGCTAGGTTAGATACTCGTACCTTACGATACGCACATAAATGCGCAAACGACCAGGCAAACAATTTTCTGAACGATTAATGACGCGCAAACGACAAAACTCCGACTTCAAAGCCGGACTCAAAAATACGAAATTATTGCACGGTAATTATTTATAGTTGTCGTATTTTTACCGCAACGGGGAGAGGGGTATAAGTGAACCGTTTTCCCGGATGCAAGACTTATTGCCAACTATTCCGATCGACTTTTACGTTTTGTTTTATAATAACAATATTATGTTGTCTATAAAATTGACGGCGCGTTCAAATTTCAAAACGCATATTCGTTTCATACGGCAAGTCGACACGCTAGTCTTTTGCGTATACTTGTCAGTAATTGGTTTGTTATTTCTGAATATTTTTGAAACGATAGTCCAGACGTTGGATTTGAATACTAATATATCGCACTTATCGGCGAACCACAAATCTTGTCGAACAATCACTATATGTCGTTATTATCACAGTTTCGAATTGTCATACTTATTAAGACCGACATTTCAAAAGGTTGTCCTATTGATTGATGACAGTTGTTTGTATTATTATAACAATAATATCAGGTATAGGTATATACGTGTATACGGCCGCTGACGTGTGACAGCCAACAAAGCCGTCTGTCACACTCGAAAAAAAAGTAAAAAAAAAAAAAAAGTGATATTCAATAACACTTTACTTTCGACAGTAACGTAATATTTGCTTTTACTAAAAAACACGCCGTATTACATTTTGTTCAAAAGTAATATTTCTGTATCAAACCCGGTGATGCTTGAAATCGAATCAACTAGTCAAAATCCGATGACAGTCGGATAGATATTCATTTAAAAGCTGGACAAGTTAACCAATATATTCAAACTAACTTAAGCTAAGATATCATAAAAATAAATAAAACTTAGCTTAGTTAATAATGAACATAATTTTTAAAATATAGAAGAATTACACATAAGTAATAGTTACGTATTTTCAGGAAAATAAGTTAATTTAAAAGTTACATTTTTAAAATTATTCTCAACTACATGTTAGTAATGTTGGTCCCAATAATCAACTAAATTGGTTGATCGATTTCAATCCAATACGGTTATTTCGCAAATCAATTGCAAATCTATTTTTACTACTTAAAAATTATACGAAAAACCGAACAATTAACCACACCGATACCGGCACCAGGCAAACATTTTTTTTTAGATTTATGGAGCTACAATACACTAAAATTTTATTTCAAAATTAAAGTAAAATTAAGGAATATTATAGCGCAAGGCTTTGGAAATTATTGTTAGAAAAACTTATGATTATAATAAAATGTTTTCAAGTCAGGGTTCGAAATGAACGATAATACAATTCCGGTTCACATTTTTACAAATAAAAAAAGTTCATCATTGCTGTCCAATAATTATGTATTATGGTTTAATACATTTTCTATTTTGATCACTAGTGAAAGAAAAAAAAAATCACAGATAGGGGATGGCAGCACTTGAGGGAAATAACGGTTCTCAGGAAGTAGATGGTGTATGTCGAGTACCTGTACTGCTAGCATCAGGAAGACACCGTAAAGCACACGCTCTTCGTATGCCCTCACTGAGAGCTTTTTTGAAAAGTCGTCAGAGCATACGTCGGCGGTAGGAGCATTGCTCCTAACAACGTCTTAACGGCCCAGAGGACATCCCATCCCGGAATCTTGACCGGGCTTCTCACGATCAAATTGTGGCAGTTTCCTTTTGCGGCTCTCAGTCCTTCTACCACATAGTAGAGAACATACTGCGTTTTAAAGAACAGGACGAAAGAATAAGGAAGACTGAGGCAAGGAACAATCAGTTACCATAGGACCAGCTCTCTCGTCAGTCCTGGACATCAAGACTAAAGCCTTGAGGAAGACTCTGCCATCGGCTCAAGACCATGTACAGATTAGGTAAGATATTCTGTTAGAAGCTCACCTCTCATCGTAGTATTAATTAGTCTAGTTAATCGTGTGAGCCTGCCCCACGAAGAGGAAAACAGGATTTTACAAAACATTTTATTACATTCATTAATAAACTATGACAGTAGGGATCCCCCTACTAAGGGATAGCAATGTGAAAAACTGATACCCCGCTACTGTTGGTTAACTGAAAAAAAAAAAGTGTAGATGGTGTAACTATGAACAGCCACACCATCAATATTTTTGTCTTCCATATGAAAAATAGCTCCTGCGCCTCTGTGTTCCCCTGAATTAAGATACCTACTATAGACATTAAAAGTAGGATATTCCAATGCTTGTACTTAGGTCATATTATTATAATATAATATAATATTATTAATTATTTTAAATAATAAAATATCCAAATTCTACCATAATAATGTCGTAAACGATTCTTGAGAGTCATTGATTACAATAATGTTTCCTATATAAGGGCACTCACCGATGCTGTATTCCAATACTAAATCCCATCCAATGAGAAACGCCACTATTTCTCCTATGCTCACGTAGCTGAAAGCGTATGCAGAACCGGCTTTTGGCACGCGACTCGCAAATTCCGCATAACACAATCCTGAACAAAAAAAAAAATATTCATTTAATAAGTTTTTTTTTCTATAACTACATACTAGATGAACAATTTCAATACACGAATATCTACTGCTTAAATTTTATTATTCTATAAATAGCAGTCGAATGACATTTTTTATGATATTATATAATTGATAATAAATTATAATACTGAGACTGAACTAATAAACAAAGAATATAATATCGTGTATAGTTTATAAAGAACCGTTTGTTTTTTTTAAGAAAAAACAAAAATAAAAAATTATCGTTACAAATTCGTATCCTTCGATACGTTCTGTTCTCTATATATTATTAGATGCCAATTAGACGTCATTAAATTTTGTTTGAATGAACTCGCGTCAAGGATAATTCGACAAGAAAAAAATAATAATAATAAAATAAAAAATACGTCTTTTATACGTTTTGCCCGTGCGATGTGTATACCATCGCAGAACCCATTAACGCGAAAACCGTTCGGTTTGCACAAACTGCACGGTCCTCCGGACGCTGCAGTGCATAATAATATAGCTAATACAATTCCCTATGGTTCGGAACAATTAACGAGCGTGTGAGTGTACACATTAATATTCTAATATTCGGCCGAAACAAACGGTTATGCGACCGGCGGACTAACTACCGTCGACAAGGCTACTCGTATGCGTTGTTATTATTAATGTATTGGTATCCCGTCGGCGTGTGCCGTCGGCAGGCCGTTGTCGTTCCCGGCGGCGAGACGAAAACGATTATGTTAATCCGGCGGCTGTGCCCCTGCTCCCCAAAGTGGAGGGTGATTCCGCGGGGAGAGGGGGGCGAGTGTACCACGCGTCCGGGAGGTCGTGTTTTCTAATATCCCGGTATACCGATAGTGGAAATAAACGTGGGCGTGTACATTATTATTGTACCTAGGTACGGCTATACCGTCGTCGGCGCTGCGTGCTCTACGAGAGTGTTTAGCGCGCCGAATTTTCATGCCGGCGTCCCGAGATTATAATATTATTCGCAATCAATTACCCCGTAACGTTCGGCGATTCGCGTTTGTTTAAAACCTGTTTTTTTTTTTTTTTTTTTTTTTTTTTTTATAATATCGTTCGCGTTATCGGGACGTTACGCACGTGCTGCATTTGTCGTTTCCGTCTTATACAAACGCGCGATGTAGTAAAAACCTGCTTGCGCAAACTACACAGCCCTCGTTTGGTTTTGGTTCCGAAACACGCATTATGAAATCAATAGAGAACGAGATGTTCCGGAGGGAGGACAAGGCGTTGTGTTTTTTTTTTTTTTTTAAAGTTTTAGTGAATTAATAAAACGTTGAAAACATTGACGTTTATCGACAGTCGTATTCGCTGATTAGAGCGGTTATTGGTTTTACAAAATAGGATTAAAAATGTTCGGTCGCTTATTTTCATTCTGCGGTTCTGTCTCGTGACATTAAAGGTTATTAAAAAAAAAAAAAAAAAGACTGACATATTTCGCACGATGATTGGGCCGTTGTTGTATGCGAGAAGTAGGGAATGTTGGAATTTAATGTATATATCTGTATGCGACGATTAATCATTGCTAACGAAAAACGATTCTGAGCGGAGTTCGGTTACACGTATTTTGAAAGGCCGTAATAATTACGTCAAAATTTGAAATTAAAATTCTTATAAAAAAAAAAACAATTAATTCAACTTTTTACTTGTTGACCGCTAAAGCCCGGTACTGAAAAATTAATACATTGATACATTGAAAAATGTATATTTAAACTTAGGCTTAAGTTAAATCAAAAACTTTGATTAAGGTGGACCTTAAAAGTGAACGAGTATTTCAATTCATTTCAAACCGATACTTAAGCCTCACTGTGGCTATTTTATGTGTTGTTCCATGACATTAATATATTATCAATTTTATATCATGGTATTATTGTTTATCATAATTATTGATGCGATTTTGTGAGTTTGTGACGCACAATTACGCAGATAATACAGTTGTACAATATTAAGATAGTATTAAGCAAAGTAAGTTTATAGATTTTTCAAAATCAAAAATATTAAACAATTTAATAAATATTTTAACAGTTGTATATTTTTGCTATGGTAAATGGCAAAAAAAAGTGCAAATTTTTCATCAGATGAAATCGAATTATTTAGAATATTGGTTCATGAAATATCTGTTGATAAAATCATCTGTGTTGATGTTACTGCATGGTTTCTAAACACACGAAAACCAAAAACCATAGGCCAACCTATTACTAAAATAATTAGGTATACTAATACACATATATATATTATGCTTTTACCGATTAGTTGGAGATTGAATTTTGAAGTCAATTAGTTCCATTACAATATTAATAAATCTTTTACTCAAACGAAAACGATTATAAAACTTGTTTTCATCCCATTATAGAAAATAGTCAGTTCGGTTACGAAAAATCTGAGGTTTTTTATTCCTGATCGAGTCTACACATAAATCGAATTATATCATCACCGTCACTAGAACATGAAGTGTCCATTTTATATTAGATATTTTAGATAGAAAACATAAAATGTATAATAAAAATATAAATTATTGCAGTCAGTAATGTTTATTTGAAAATTGAAATTTGATAATAATTATAATGACAATACTAATAATAATTTTAAAAATTATAGATAAGCCAACCAACCAAGGCTTAAACTATACCTTGAGCGTTCCTTAAGATAAGCCGAAAAATAGTAGAACTTATCTCTTAAACCTCAATTGAAATATAAAAAACTGTTGTTAAGGTTTACTTAGTCTTAAGCCTAAGATTAAGTATAGATTGAAATACTGGGCTTACGTATGATTTATATTGAATCTCCTGTAAAATTTTCAAGCGTTTCTGTTTGGTCTAACAATTTTATCTACAGAGTACCTACAGAATAAAAATTACGTAAAAAACATGAAAAATTTAAATGCCTATAAATAACTCAAAATAACTAAAATGTTTTTATAATCTCACCACGTCTAGAAAAGGTAAAACCCTAGTATAAAAAGTATAAAAGTATAAAAATAAAATCGTATGTTTCATAAAACATTGACGATTAATATAATATTTTTTTTAACAACTATTGAGTTTTTTATTTTAATATTATTTTTCAAAATAAGTGATCATATAGATTTATAATTTTAAATTTTGTTACATTTGTAAAATCATTGGCAATTTTGTTTTTTACAAAATGTTTTTGTTCCATCTGAAAAATTGGGTTTTATCACATGGAAGGTTTTTTTGTGTCAACGAAGATATTATGTTATTGCTGTTGAATTTTTAGCACCGGCGTACTCGAGATTTTTCAATGACATGAAGGGTATGGCAAATATATCAAACTAAATGTATATAATATAATGACTCGAGAGAAATATTACATTAATATTTATTCTAGAAATGCATTTTCTCGATATTGCAATATACATAATTGCGAAAGCAGTATGTACATATCAGTTGTGCTTAAAGTTGAGTAAGTATAGTGAATATATGAAATAGTGCAATGATTTAATTATAAATAAGTTTTAACTGCTGAATATTTTTTTGTTTTTTAACGTGGTCAATAGGGTAGGGGGGAGGAGGCTGAAGCCTCTTTAGACACTCCCCCGGGTACGCCACCGCTTTTTAATGTTGTTCTGCAGTTATACGTATTTACCCGACAACGCCGAAGCCACGGCGGCGAAAGCAAACGATAAAACGACCGCCGGTCCGCTAGTTTTGACCGCCACTTCTCCGGCCAGCACGTACGCGCCGAGTCCCAAAGTCGAACCGACGCCCAGGTACACTAGGTCAACCAGTCCTAACACGCGGTTGAGTCGAGTCTTTAACGGCTTCTGAACCAAGTCCGATTCCTTTTTACGTCTCAGCATCGTTTTCAAAAAAGATTGATCGTTCTGAAACAAAAAAAAAAAAAATTATAAATTGTATAATCGTCACATTACGAATAAAAACGTACTCTATTTCTGTGCGGTAATGTCCTAAAACTCTTATGTGCATACGCGAGGATTAAGCAATAACGAACATTTTTTAATCGCGTTTATTCGTGAGACTAACAAGTGGAAAACACGATAACAACAATAAATCAATATTGAAAATAATAAAATCGTTATTTCCGTAAACCATCCAGTTTTTCTTTCGTTATTTCCCGGATTTAACCAATTATATTAAGAAAATCACTTTTGGTTTAAAAAAATACCTTCTTTCTAAATGTACCGACCAAATTCGACATACAACAAGAACGGTTTCTTGTTTCTTTTTTTTTTTTATTATTATTGGAGCGAGATTTCTGGAAAGATTTTAGTATTTCTATGTTTTTAGAAAATTGTTTACAGACAGGAAAAATATAAGCACATGTCTTATTTAGTAAACATACTGTAAAACGAAAACATTCCTCGTTCCGTTCAGTATCTCAAATTTAAATTTGAAAACTGATTTTTTTTACAAATTCCAGGATAGCTATTTTATAAATGTATCAAATAACAAAATGTTTACTATTGCAAATATTTTCTACAATTGTTTAAAGTTTAAATCGTTTTCATTTCTACTAATAAAATAGTATCAATTGATTCAACAATTTTTCCGTCAAAAATAATTTAGAAAACGACTTTTGTAAACTTCGACATATTGCGAATAAGTAACATGATCAGTAAACATTTGAACAACAACATTTTCTTTTCGTGTTTATGAATATTTTGTTCGGATTTTTACCTTCTGAATATCTACGCAAGTTTTTCCAATCTCGTTTATTATTATTATGTATATCCTTTTTTCGAAGCGGAAAATAAATAACGAGTGTGTTAGTATTTTGATAGGAATATGTTCAATGTCCTTTACATAGGTACGAGAATATGTTTATAGAATAAGTGTTTGTTTGCACACACGCGTAAATGTTAAATTATTTCGTTCAGACGTGAAAGGGAAACGTCGTAGAAAAAAATATACTTATACAATAACCTATATAAATATTATTTCTGAGGTAAGTTGGTTTTTTTGGCATTAAACGTGCAAGTGTACGTAGTAAAACGGATTCGGTTATTTCGACAAACGAGCGTTCCAAATATACCGACCGGTATGATACCTATATAGACAATTTTAAAATCTTAAAACGAATGAATAATACCTATCGTTATAAAACCGCACGTGTAAATAAGGGGACTGCACGCGACCTGTTTAATTTCTGTTCAAAAATATGAAGTACAGGAAAAACACTCGTGTCTCGTAAAGTGATCCGTTGTCGATCGTATGTATTTTTATTTTCGTTAGAAAAAGGAAAACTTCTTAATGAGTTTTTATGTAACCAATTTTTAACATTTTGTTTTTTTTTTTGTTTTGTTTTGCAATTAATTTTTCGTTTTGTGATTTTCGGTTACCCACTTAATCAAAAATCAAAGTCCAATATGTGCCTTGTAGGACGTTTTCCTCTTTCCGACGATAAACAGAAGACAATAAATGTTCTACATTCAACCACTCCACGTGGCATGAGAGTTTTTCTAGTAAAGCGTATTTTCTTCAACGAATCAGCTCGCGGAGTATAAAAATCTAAACCGATTGAATTATTTGTTAACAATTTATAAAAAAAATCGCTAGCAGGGCCTTTAAATACGTTAATGCATTCGTGATATCGACAAAAGGAAAACACATATTATCCGTTAAAAAAAGTACTTAATCGATTTCATTTAGACTGTCTCAGCAGCGTCTCTATTATTGATTTAAATCGAAGTTAATTTGTATACAATTTATCGTGCCCGTGCATTGTACCCGTATGTTGTACTTAAACACATCCCGAATACACACTGCAAACCATCACATCGGGAATGCGACTCTTTAATTAAACTTACGAACAATTAAATCATATGAACTCATCGTTTGAAAAACGTTCGTACAGTGTACATTGAATCAATCTAGTATCACTATATTTTACATATTTTTCAACGATTGTAAAATCTAAAACTCTCACACGAAAATGCATTTTATAATAAAATAATTTATGTGAAACAATTATATTGACCTGTGCATGATCTTTTTTTTTTTTTTTATCAATACATTTTTTACTCTCACATGTATCCGTGATCCGGTTTAGAGAACGTTTTGTTTTTCTCTTGAAAAGTTTAAAACTTCCTACAGGCCGAATTGGATTTATGATTAAAAGTAACCAAAAAACCGTTAAAAAAAAAAAAAACAAAACAATTGTGAAAGTTATTCATGTTCAAACTCTAAGCGTGAAATTTATAACTTATTTATAATTTATAAATTTATAAGTTTTATCGCCGTAAAACATGCAGCTCTAAGAGTTCCCGGGCTCATTCGATCCAAAAAGATCCGCTAAAATTGTCCAAAAAGATGCGGAGAAATGATAAATAAAATACGTCCTACGTAACAGGCATAATGCGGTACAATAGCCGGGAAAAAAATTCGACAAAAGCGTATCTATTCGATTTATGTTGTAGAATGAAAATAGTAGTTGTGCCTAGAAGATATTGCGCGTTCTTTATTATCAACACACAATAAATACGGTAAATACTTCTGCAAATACGTAAAAAACGCATTTAAATATAAAACGTTTTGTCGGCTTGCATGTTATTGACATACATCAGGTTCAGTGTCATAAGCTTATGTGCTATTAACCTGACGTTGGTATAAAAATAATACAAATTTTGTCTAATCGTCACATGTCACGAGATTAAATTAGTAAGTGGGTATTATGCACATTCGTATATGTCGTACGCCCACGGTTTTCACTCAGAGTACGATAAAAAAAAAAAAACCGTGGAGTTCGTATTTTATTTAAGTACATTTTTTTTTTTTTGTATTTTTTTAATCTAGAAACTTTTGATAATATATTTTCAATCAGTAATTTTAATAAGAAAATGGGATCAAATAAATACGTGAAAAAAGACAGGATCGACACAGCCGCCCTTTGACGCCACCCACTCATAAAAGTTAAATTTCACAATTATTGGATCACATAATATAATGTACTTTTACAGAATTCTGTGAAATTCTCCCCAATATTGTTAAAAAAACAACAACAACGAAAAAAAAAAATCGAAAATGCTAGTCTTGAAATTCGGAACAAGATTTCTGGTAAAAAAACAAAATTGAAAACTTTTACTACTGTAAATTTGTCTGTTTTTCTTATACTTTTTTTTCTAGTTTTTCCAAATTATTATGAAAACTACTTGTAAAAACAAAATATTACGTACCTCAATACACCAATAAGATTTAAAATTCCTCAAATAAACTCTAATGTCATTTGTTGATTTGGAAAAAAAAAATACCATTATAAAGCCAATACATTCCTCACTCCACTCAGAATCTAAAATGATTTTTATCGAAAATAAAAACTACGAAATCGAAATCTTTTTTCGAATACCTAATCGAAAATATTGTATTTAATGTGCGTTAACCTTTGCACGCTATTTACGTTTAATAATATTTTACTCGTTTCAGATATCGCCGCACGACCTGTCCGCGAAATATAAAAACAAAACAAACCGTTTCTCGCTCCGCTCAACATCCGTAAACATTGCTTATATTATAAACATTAAATCGTATACGACCGTATTTACGACGATACGTACCTAACCGTATTTTTTTTTTTAACTTCGATAATAATTCAAAAAAAAAAAAACGTGAGATAAAAAATTCGGCATAGTTATTGTAAAAATGTCATATAGGTACTTCCTAATAGTACCCGTGTAACATGCAGTGATCGATAAATGTGCGTTTCTCGTAAGGTGTGCAGTTGTACTACAGGGAAAAGGCTTATCAGAAGTAAGAGAACTTGAAGATGGATTGGTTTAAAACAGTGTTTCTCAACCGGGGTGGCATGTCGCACTGAGGTGACACGAACCCAGTGTAGAGGTGACGCTAAATCGTCGAGGATAAACAAAAAAAAAAATGAGAGAACTAAAAAATTGTTTAAAATAATATCATATTATCGCCGTCGCCGTCGTGCAAATGTAACCGCTGACGCCGTCATAATATCCCCGCCTCGTCACTCGATTTTCAACGATACCGCTGCTAGAATTTCCCTAGATTTCGACGGACTATGCATTGGTAGGGCGACTCGGTGTCGGATTATTGTGGATAAGGGGGTCCACGAATCAATGCTTGACTTGTAAAGCTTGACAACCGCCGGTCAATAACAAGAGTTAACGTTGATTTATCACGCGAATTAATAAAATAGTTTACAATATAACGAATGCCACACGGAATGCCCACGAGAATATGGATACGTAAGTGCAATGTAACTGATCCAGTGTCCAAACACTGGAACCCGGGACTGTAGCGTAAACAAGAGGCGCCGCGTGTGTATCTGGTTCGCTTAAAGACCGACCGCGCCCGTTTCCGGCGGCCGAGCCGGATCGGATCCGCTCGGCCGGCGGTTCCAGTCGGGAACGTGTCGACGTCGCCCCGGTTTCACAATATCATAATGTGCGTAATGAAAATTATACACACAAACGTTAACCAAAAATAAAACTAGGCACACGTGTACTCGTGTTTACAACACTATAACAGCGTTTTTTTTTTTTAACAGACGTTGCGTATTGACGCCCAATCGGGTTCGACGCGAATTCGCGTACCGTTGCGCGACACGCGCCGGCGTAAATACGCAAAAACCGTTTTCGAAACGCGGAACGTGTTACACGGATGTATAATAATAATAATACTTTGGAAACGGAAATTGGACGGGATGGCCGCGCGCACAGTTTGTACAAATATTATTGTAGTCGGGCGAACCTTGTATATAATTGTGTTCACGTTGTAATAACAATATTGTAGTGTTAAAGCGACGGAGAATATCATTAAAAAAAAAATACACAAAAAAAACGTGAAAAAAAAAAAACAGCGCAACGATTCCGGGTGGAAGTCGGTCGAAAATGCGCAGAAAAAAAATTTAAACGAAAAATTGCGTCTACAGTAGCGATTATATTTGTATTAAGCGCTACGTGTCCCGTTTGTTTTCGTTATTTCAATATCGTTATTGAATAATCATAATTATTATTATGATTGGTGTACACCGAATGCGTTTGTCCGAACCTATCACGGGTACTGTTGAATAAAAAAATAAAAATATAAAAAAAAAACACCGAAACCGGATTTTCACGGTTCGCCGCGGTTAAAATACTACTAACGAGTCGTATTATAGCTGTACTAGGGTGTTCCTTAATTTTTTATTTTAAAATATGTTTGGTCTCACCCCCTAATATTGTGCCTATATATATATAAAAACGAACTACAAAAAGTTTTGGTTCGATCAGATAAGGTTAACCCGTGCCGACTTGTGATTTAAGTTTGAACTTACTACATTTCACTTACTACATTTTTCAAATCAATATAATTCACGAACAATTAGAGATATAAAAAAATGTAATAAAATAAAAGTTATAGCAAATTTAATTTAATTTAAAATATGTAGTATTAAAAATATCGATATTTCTAAAGGTTAACGAAATATTTACGAAAATGTCGAAAATTTTCGTAAATATTGAAAAATGTAGTAAGTTCAAACTTAAATCACAAGTCGGCACGGGTTAACCTTATCTGATCGAACCAAAACTTTTTGTAGTTCGTTTATATATATATAGGCACAATATTAGGGGGTGAGACCAAACATATTTTAAAATAAAAAATTAATAATTTGTATCAAGGTATATTGGCAGCAATCATACTCGTACATAAATCTTCATAGAAATTAGATTCTAGTTTGTTTGGAACAGATAAGAGAACTTATTTCATTTATAAATCTTTGCGTTTTAGGTTTTCGATGTGAGTAGATGTAGAAGTATGTTGTATAATTTTAGTTTTTTTTTTTTTTATACAAGGTATTTGGTACAAACCTGACAAAATATAACGGATCCATCAGTAGTAAATACATTCGTAACTTTATTAAATGGTTCGATCCGTTGATTCAATACACAATTATAGTGGCATTTAATTTACCAAAACTTACACGATATACCAAAACTCTCGCCAAAACCTGACACTTAGTACACAAGTAGTTAGTACACCTAACAATGATTGGAATTATTAATGAATTTGTTAAAGATTTGTTCATATCTGCATTCCGTGATATCAGTAAAATCAGTAAGAGATCTAGAGAATAATTTATAATTGATTTTCTTATCAATATTGCTTTGCGTCATTTCGTCATGAGTCATGCCTAAAATGTGTTTTTCGCACAAAATATTCTTTAACCTCGGAATATTCTATTTTATGCGCTTAAACGTGTGTACATCGGTTCACAGGTAAATGAATAATCGAGTAAACCTATCCAATTGGAGCTGCAAACTCTCAGTAAAAATATGTAAAAACATAAAACTCCTGTATCTTATTATAATGTTATAGGTACAAGTGATACACGTGTAAAAATAATATTGGAGGTCATAACATTATACGTCTACGCTTATATTATAATAATGTATAGATGCTAAACCGTTCGTATTTTATTAACACGCTGAATTGAAAATTTAGACTACCAGTAGCGAAACTCGTTATCTTATACAGGGTGAGTGTATCATCGACAATTCTCTCGGAGGATTTCGTGTGAATTTGATTTTTGGTTATTGTTGTTATCGTTGCGGAATCGTTTAGGAATTTTAACGGTTTAAAGTTTATACCGGAGGGGTAGGTAAATCGTTTAAAAAATGTACGCAATTTATTACCCATCCCTATTCCTTTATACCGTTATAAGCTCGCAAACGATCAAACCTGATATTAACACGTTACGCGTGTCAAAACGTATAGAGAAATGTTCTGTGAACCTGTGATTGAAAATAATGTTAAAACAAAGTTGTAAACGGTTCGCGATAAAAAAATCACCCTGTGTTATCTGTACTTATATACGGTGTGAAACACGTTATTAATACAGATATTTATGTTAAGAATTTGTATGTCTTTATTAGTTGATTTACAAAAAAAGCCCGTATACACCAAAATGTGTTTCACGACCTAACGACGATTCTGAATATTACATTTTTTTTTTTTTTTTTCTTTTTGTATATTTCTGTTTTTTTCAGAATTTCAGGGTAAATTTTAAACATATCGTGTATTTTTAAAACACGTACGAGATTTGTATTATTAATTTTATTTGTTTACAACATATTTTACACAACTGCTCTAAAAATGAGTGCAATCAATACACACCCAGTGGTAAATATATATATACCGCGGAACGATTTATATATATAAAGATTTTTAAGGCATATTGTATATTTTTAAGGCTGCCATACGTGTAGTTATAGACGTTGCGAGCAATTATTATTGGAAAATCAGACAATACGGTTCCACACGGGCACCTGGAATCGAATAATTCATTTCGCAATGTGTGAACGTTAATGTGTTTTTCAGTTTATTTATATGACTTTTTTTTTTTTTTTTCTTTCTTTTTACTTATTAATTTTCTGTGAATTTTATTATCATAATATTATTTACAAAGGAAAACGTATTCAAATTATTAATTATGCAATAATGATTTACTTAAAAAAACACGCCGTTAGATTTTTTAACAAATCAATAATTGTATTCATAATATATTACCTATCGACCTATTTAGATTCCAGTTAAGAAAAATAAAACAATAATAACAATAATTTAACGTTTATAAAATATAACGTTCGATAGACGGATGTTACTCGTACGAGACACGGAACATAACAATATCTATGCGATATTGTGTCACGGAAAGCGCGTGCCTGTACGTATGCATGTATGCATGTTGCTGCAGGGCGATTAACAATGAATCGGATGGGTCGTTTTATCGACAATTATTATCAGTTAATCAGCTCGAAACGGCAAATGAATAAGGCCTGGTACACACGTGCGTTTTTTTGACGTGCGTCACCGCAGCGTTATCGTAACCGCCGTATTCAAACGCCCGACGCGGCGCCGCGCCGCAGCGTCATCGATAACCCCGACGGCGACGGTACGACGTGATGTCATACGAAGTGTGTTTAGTTGCGAATCAAAATCATGCGAATTTGTAATATGTTTTCATTAAATATTTAACATATTACTGTTTTGAATCATTTTGTAATCAATTCAATGATGGAAGTGTACAAACCGAAAACGGGTGGTATTCGTGTATTAAATTTACAAAAACTATTTGTTGAAGAAAAACAAACGTTGCCGGGTGCATCCCTTCACTGACGTAAGGCTTTTGAAAGGATTTTTTTCAACGACCGTGGATCGCAATGTTATAATCACACAAATTATTTATCAGTTGTATTACTAGCTTTCGCTGATGCCGGACTACAAGTTTATTTACGTTGACGCTGGTCCAAGCGGCAAAGACGCTGGCAGTACTATATTTGAAAGAACTGATATTTTTTTTCGAAAACTGGAAAGTGATGAATTAAATATTCCAAATAGTCAACCCCTTCCAGGAACCGAAAACGCAAACATGTCATTTATTTTTGTTGGTAGCTAACAATTTTCCATTTCTCAACACATTATGCGGCCATGCAGCGGAATAGTATTGTCAGAAGAAAAAAATAATTTTTAATTACAGGTTGAGCCGGGCTCGTCGAAACATAGAAAGTACATTTGATATGCTTTCAAACAAATGGCAAACATCCCATTAACCTATGAATGTAAGTCTGGACTTGGCTAAACTTATCATAAAAACATGTTGCTGTCTTCATAATTATGTGCGGTCTAGAGATGCGATTAACATTGAAGACGCAATGAGCGTAGAGTTTGCACATAAAAAGGGAATGAGTAATACACCGACTGCTAGACCTACTCTTCAATCAACGCGCATTCGCAACGTATTCACTAATCACTTTATACCTGATGTTGGCAGTGTGTCTTGGCAGAGGAATTTTATTTAAGTAATACATTTTACACAACATAAACGCGAATATAATATAATGCATATAATGCATTTCTTAATCCGGCACTGCTCGATCGTGATATGTTTCATTATTTATATTCCGTGTTTTATGGTAATTTGTTATTCCTGAAATAAAATGTGTCATGTCTATGACTTCACACAATGATGACGCTACCATAACTAAGATAAAATTACAGACGTGTGTTATATAAATCGTTCAATAAATCGCTATATAATGAGACACCGTATTTACGATATGTTGGCGTTGCATTATCGGAGTAAATTTGGTCTCGTGCGAGCTCGCACGATAACGCGCGATGACGGAGACGTGTGTATATCGGTCAATTAGATTATAGGTACAAATAATCGCAATTACGATACAATATTAAATTACACGTTTACTATTTATAGTAAAACCTATTTTAATAAATGATATAGTATCTGTCAAGTTGTCCATTTTGATAATCTATAGCATATTTTTCATTTCTAGATTGTCTATCTCGTGGTTTTCGATCTTGGATAACGTTTGGCAAGTGGACACTTCTTAGTTTTATATACACTTCAGTTTAAACCTCATCAATTAAACTCGCAATCAAATTAGTTATGGATGGAGATTCAAAGGGAATTAACCTTTTTTTTAAAATTTGGCCGGAAAAGTGAATCGGGCGAAAAGGGTCTCCCCCATAGTTAGAAGGTATTGCGATAATAATAATAATATATTGCATTAATCCGTAGAGTGTTCATAAAACGCATTTAACGTGTAACAAAACAAATGCGACGAACAATTTTAATTGATTTCCCCTTTAAAATAATATAGTAATTCATAAAGTTCACGTAGAAAACGTGAACTATGAAAGAATAAAGAAACTGACTTAAAAATAAAAAACACCTACATTTCGTAAATGTTCCCGTATTTCCTCCGTTCTTTCCCGGTTTTAATGCGTATATTTTGAATAGATATTATCCAATATTAACCAAAAACGAATAATATTAAAAATGACAGGTGATTTTTACTAGTAAAGGAAATGTCTAGGGACCGACGGAAAATAGCTTCTTATATGGGAGAGCGTCTTAAGTGGGAGTGTCTTAAGCGGGTTTTAATGTATTCAATTTTATTTGGATACTATTTTTCGCCTCAGTAAAATCAAAAAAGCAACAAAAATGTTGTCCTGTAATTTTTCGATTAAAATGGAAGAAAACATCGTCCATATTTGTATAAGATAATGAAATCGTGAAATCGTACGATTTCCTACGTTTATTCCCACTTAAGTGCTTTTATTTAAAAAAAAAAAAATGGGTCAAAAATTCAAAAATGATGTCTATTAAGTACAATATAGACAACATAGGCTTTCCAATAAGAGTGCTACACGTAAGAACCACACGTACAGAGAGCAAGAAAAAGAAATACACGCCTACGTAAAACAAATAGCTCACTCGCTACGCTCGGGATATGAAATTAAAGTAAAAGGTACGTATAAAAATGTTTAAACGTTTACGGTATCCAGCTAAACCGAAAAGCGGCGAACACGGACGTAACTCGCTAAAATATAGAATGTAGATTGAGTACATACTAACACACACAGTGCTCAATAGCCAATAGTAAATACTAAATAGCCACGAATATCGTTAGTCAGTAGACTCTTATGAAGTAAACCGACGTAAACAACTTAAAAATGTATATGCGATTCGTGTTCTAACTGCTTTTAAATTGCATTTCTGTGAATATCTCATTGGCCTTGACACGGGTGCAGCTATACACATGAATGAAAATAAAAGTTAGTAGTAACAGTTTCAGTATTCAACAGTTAGTTTTACGACAATTTATACAACGAACTATAATATTACAATACATCGTAATAATGTAAATAAATATTTACAAGTTTATACTTTTTTTTTCTTTTATTATATATGCGTTAAGGATGTGTTTTATTATTTGCCTAGAAGTCTTCCTAATAATCAAAAAAAAGTGTAGAAAATACTGGAAAGTTGACGGTTTATTTTCGAATTTGTTTTTTTATTGCGATACGGTAAAAATAGTCAATATACTATCGGATATTTTCACAGAATAAGTACGTTAGATTTTATGTTGATATTATTTGCCCGAACAAAAATAAATAAAAATGTAACACAGAGTTCAGCATAGACTGTACTAGGAAGTAAAATAAAAATTATTTATTTTATCCTGAAAAAAAATTCAGTTATATAATTTTATACTCATACACAAATCCTACGTAGTATCGGTACGATTGTGTATGCTAATAATCCCAATTCGAAATAATAATAAAATATTTTATAGAAAATTAATGCAATAAACCAATTTTTTTTATACCTTATTTTTTTTTTTTTTATTTTATAATTCTAATAAACTTGAATCATTTAACCGAATTATACTATTCGTCCAGTAAATTTATGAAAGGTCTTTGAAAAATAAAATTGGGCAGTCAGTAGGTTATAGTACTGGCTACTATCTACCCGTACAGAAATGTTCTGTGGGTCCGTAGTGTGACATAATGGATATGCATAATATGTATATATGACACGAGAGTGTAAGTTAATATTATTTATTTAAAATAAGAATACGATTATGCAAACGTACAGTTGACAGTTACTATAGTCATATACCGAACCATTCTAAAATGTATAATCATAAATTGATTGAATGATAAATAAATAACAATATAAATAGAGCTGTTGCCTGTTACATTAAATAGATAAATAGGTACCATGGGGGATTATCCTAATAGGGCAAGTCGTTCAAAATTTAAAATACTGAATGATATAAGTAATTTAAAAAAAAATAAAAGTAAAAGGTACCTTTATACCCATGTACCCTCCTAATAACAAAAGTTATTACTTATTAATAGTATAGTAACTATTGCATATTTACCAGCAATGGTTCTGTGCAGTGGATGTTATCCGCAGTTTTCCCCAGTGCTTCATTCATTATTAAAAATTTATTAGTATTCAATAATACAAAATATATAATAAAACTAGCACGATACAAAACAAATATAAAAATGTTTAAACGTTTACGGTATCCAGCTAAACCGAAAAGGCGGTGAACACGGACGTAACTCGCTAAAATATTGAATGTAGATCGTCTACACACAAACACACACAGTGCTCAATAGCCAATAGTAAATACTAAATAGCCACGAATATCGTTAGTCAGTAGACTTTTATGAAGTAAACCGACGTAAACAACTTAAAAATGTAACTGCGATTCGTGTTCTATCTGCTTTTAAATTGCATTTCTGTGAATATCTCACTGACCTTGATACGAGTGCAACTATACACGTGCTTGTTCTCATGGGCGCATGCAACAATCTAGTTTTATTTTTAGTAATCCGAAAATATTAGATATAAGTTTTTTGAAAAAAAATTTTTTTTTTTTTAAATCATATCGTTCTTAGAATGCCGATTAAATGACGTCTTAAAATTTAAACTAAATTAAATTAATGACGAACACTGGAATTGTTAATATTTATGGTAATAATTTCTGAGTAGATAAAAATAAATTAAACATTTTCAATCAAAATCATAACCTTTTCGGACAAAAAAAGGACTGTTGTTTTTTTTTTTTTTTTTGCACTTTATATAAAATTTAAATTAATTAAATTATAACACAAGGGTACGCAACTAAATGAGACACGGATAACTTTAGCCAATCACAATACATTTTATTTTTTATTTTTTGAAAAGTTTATATAATATTCATCATGTAAAGGTTCGGTCTGTTTCATAGTACATATATATAGGTAACTACACCGTATTTTAAATACAAGAGCATTTTTGATTTCTAATTTTGCATATTTTTAATTTTAGATATTTGTCGTACAAATTCGTTTATTGGTTTATCGATTTATTGGATTGGAAAAAATGTTTACGAGTTTATAATTCAAAATAGAATAAAATAATAACAATAATAATAAACCAAACTATAATAATATAATATGCAGAAGTACATCGCGAAATTTGTTTTTTCTCGTTAAATCGATAAATTAAGATATTTTTAATTCCGTATCCTGTCAATTCATTAGTTTCCATAAGAAAGTAACTAAATTATGTGTTCAATATTTATTACGGCGGCTCAACTAACCCTCTCTGTCAGAGGCGTAGCTAAAATTTTTTCTCTGGGTAGGCCAGATAAAATAATATAAATGTTTGAATAGGAAAGACTAATAAACATGTTTGGTTTTAAAATTGTGTTAATTTTTGGATAAAAGTGGCTACGCCACTGATTTCCGTGCTACAAAAATGAACAGAAAAAGTATACAAATAGGTAGTTTTATTGTTTTTCTAGTTTGATTTTTTTTTTCAAGGTTTTAAATATAGAATTTAGAAGAAAAATGTGTAAATCTTTTGTTTTAGGGCTTAAAATTGTCTATAAAAATGGTTTTACAATAATTTATCATTGGAAATTATAGCTAGTTTAAATGAGAAAAATAATTGTTGCGTCCTTTTGGGCTTTTGTATTTATACGGCAGCCAAAATATTTTATATTTTTCACATTACTGTAATGCTGCTATTTACCAAATGCTAATTTTCGGGTTTATAAAATTATTGATATGCAAATTTCCACATTGTAATTCCATTTTATTTTATATTACACACTGCAGTTATTATGTACAAGGTGATCCAATTAAGTGGTTACACGTCGCATTATCTCAGAAAATAATAATTTTTTTCGAATTTCGTTTTATAGAACATTTAATCATCCAGGGAGATTAGTAAAGCATCATTTGCGTGGTGGCACGACCCGCGGTGTTTTAATAATGTAACACTACTTCCTCCCCCTACCCAAACTTAAAAGTAAAATATCTCGTCGATGGGTTCAATGAAATAAAATATTTCAACACTAAAATTTATTTTTAACTAAATTTATCCATCTATTTATAGAATTTTGAATACTTGTTGCCATTTGAAAATCAGAAGTAAGTAAAGTGGTTTTATATATAAAAATAACATAAGTGTAAAATTGTAGAGCTGCTTGTTTCTTATGTGTGTCCTATGAAACAAATTCCGAAAAAAATTAATACTGATAATGAGATAATAATATATAATGAGTGTATCCATTTTAATTGGTCACCTTGTACACATTTTTGGGGCTACCTATTTAATAAAATCATGGTGTAATCATAGAGTACGTGATAGATAGTTTTTAACGCGATTATAATATTCATAAATTAAAATTTACCATAATTTTACCACCCTCCCTTTAAAAATTGACCAAACAATGCCCACGTCTATAATACATTTGTTTTAAATAAATATTGACCAATCATAAATAAATCAGACAACTCTTATATAGATACAATAATAGTATGGTATATACAATGATAGTGAAGACTTTTCAGACAAATTTTAAAACAGTAGTGTATGGGATGGTAGGTTCCTCTAATAGTTTATGTTAATTATTTTGTTTCGCGAAAAATTCTATAGAAAAATATATGGGAAAAAAATGGTGACGTCATAATAAAAAAAAAAAAATTGCCCGGTCTTCGGACAAATTAGTGCATTCGTGTTCTATCTGTTTTTAAATTGCATTTCTGTGAATGTGTCACTGACCTTGACACGGGTGCAGCTATACACATGCATGAAAATAAAAGTTAGAAGATAAAAATTTTACGTCATTATTTAAGTACTTCCGATACACTTCTAAAATGGTTTACTGGTGTACGTCATACCCATGCACGTGTAAACTGAACACAAATTTACATTTTAGTTATCTATACCGCATATTATAAAGAGTGATTCATTTAGAGATATTTTTTTCAAAAATTAAAAAACAATAAAAAAATTCAATTTTATTGGGTAAACTTTATTATTATAAAAAATAACTATTAGTTACATTTATTTTTTAAATATTATATCTTTTAAATGTTGGCTATAACTTCGCCTAACATGATGCATTCGGAAGTTCCAATTTTCAATAACCCGTCCAAGCATTTCGACTGGTATTTGGCCTATGACGTGTTTGATGTTGGCTTCTAATTCATCTGTCGTAGTCGGCTTGGTTATGTAGACTTTGGACTTCACGTAGCCCCGAAGAAAAAATTCGAGAGGTGTGATATCGCATTATCAATTGTTCACCGAATTGTTCTCGCAATAAAGCCAGGGTTTCGCGAGCTGTATGACATGTAGCACCATCTTGTTGAAACCAAATGTCATCAAGATCACGGGCTTCAATTTCAGGCAACAAATAGTCTGTTATCATGTCGCGATAGCGAGCGCCATTCACAGTTACGTTCTGGGCAGCATCATTTTTAAAGAAATATGGACCGATGACTCCACCAGCCCATAAACCACACCAAACGATTATTTCTTCTAGATGTGATGGCAGCTCTTGAACCTCTTCGGGTTGCTCTTCAGCCCAAATACGGCAATTTTGACGTAACCATTAAGCCAAAAATGAGCCTCGGAAGGTCGGCCGGCTTCATTTCTTAGATGAGTTGAATTTTGTATGCTTTTAAACCAAGGTCCTTACGTAAAATACGCCAAGTGGTTGCGTACGACAAGCCAAGCTGTTGGGACCGGCACTAAATCGATTCATCATGGTCATCGCGTACACTTCCAGCTACCGCCGCTATACTTTCTTCACTACGTGTTGGATGTGACCTATTTGGTCGTGTGTTATCCAATAATAAAAATTGGGTTTCAAATTTTACAATTATATAACGAATTGTGTGTTCGGTAGGCCGATCGTGCGGACCATAAGTTTCTCTAAGCTTACGAAAATCAGCGTTCTACGAGGACTGTTTTTCGTAATAAAGTTGAATAATTTTGGTAGACGCTGTGCCGAGCTAAGTCTTTAACATGATAAAATATTGACGTATTAAAATAACATGATGAAATGTCAAACAACACTAAACAAAAATAACATGATAGTTTGATACGACTTATTCGTTATCTGTTATAAAATCCCATTTAAAAATAGTACCTCTTAATGAATCACCCATTATTATATTTATCAAAATATGCTAATTATTATAATAAACAAGCACTCAAATTGTGTATGGCGTAGGTTAAGTGAAAACATTTTTTTAAAAATCACAATTTCGCACTTAAACATAAATCATGCATTGTATCTATATGATTGTGTGTGTTAATAATGATATCTAACAGTTTTAAATAATCAACAGTTAGTTTTACGATAATTCATACAACGAACTATAATATTACAATACATCGTAATAATGTAAATAAATATTTACAAGTATATCCTTTTTTTTTTTTTTTATATTTATATATATATATATATATATATATACTTCTGTAATTTGAGCGAAACAATGTGCTCTTCTTCTATCTGAACACGTGTTTTTGCAAAACGTTATCTAAAACGTTATTACTTCTTGCTGTTAACAAACTTTCTACCAGAAATCTTGCTCCAATCAAAAAGCGAGAAGTAATTTTTTTTATAACATTAAGGATCTAGTTGGTGCGTTGAGGATGTGATTTTTTATTTCTCTTGAAGTCTTCCTAATAATTAGAAAAAAGTGTAGGAAATAATGTAAGGTTTACAGATTATTTTTGATTTTGTTTTTTTTATTGTGATACGGTAAAAATAGTCAAGATATCATCGGACATTTTCACAGAATACGTATGCAGTAAAACTCGCTTAAGACGCTCTTTAAAGGACCAGCTCACTAGAGTGTCTTAAGCGGGAATTGAAAATATAAGTGAATGAAATTTCGAGTTTTTTTTTTTTATTATGAACATAATTTAACGGGTACTAAATTTATAAATAAGTTATAATGATATACAGATATTTTTTTGCTATTGAATGTAATTAAAAAATAAATATATATATACAATATACATATGCATTTTTATTATTATTTTTTTCTATTATATTATATTAAAAAAATATATCAATTTTAGTTTGCTTAAGTTTATAACAATGTGTTTCAGCAAAAAATTTTTCTATTTTTTTTAACATAACAAAACATTTCTTCGGCATTTTCTACGGAGGATATATATATTTCGAATTTCTAATTAGGGTTCCTATTAAATTAATTCAGTTATATAATTTTGCACTTAAACACAAAGCGTACATTGTACCGGTACGATTGCGTATGCTAATAATCCCGATTCGAAATAATAATAAAATATTTTATAGAAAATTAATACAATAAACCAATTTTCTTTATACCTTATTTTTTATTTTTTTTTATAATTCTAATAAACTTGTATCATTTAACCGAATTATCCTATTCGTGCAGTAAATTTATGAAAGGTCTATGAAAAAGAAATTTGATAGGTAGTGGGTACCTACTGGCTACTATCTACCTGTACAGAAATGTTCTGTAGGTCCGTAGTATGGCATAATGGATACACATAATATGTATATCTGACACGATAGTGTAAGTTAATATTATTTATTTAAAATAAAAATACGATTATGCAAACGTACAGTTGACAGTTACTATAGTCATATACCGAACCATTATAAAACGTATAATCATAAATTGATTGAATGATAAATAAATAACAATATAAATAGAGCTGTTGCCTGTTACACTAAATATAGATACTAGATAAATAGGTACCATGGGGGATTATCGTAATAGGGTAAGTCGTTTAAAATTATGAATACAGAATAATATAAGTAATTTAAATAATAAAAGTAAAAGTTACCCACCTTTGTGCCATCCTGATAAAAAAGGTTATTACTTATTAATAATATAGTACCTATTGCACAGTTACCATTAACGGTTCTGTGCAGTGAACGTAATCTACGGTTTTGTATAGTGTAGTTCGTTCATTATTATGAATTTATAAGTTTATTCAATAATACAATTTATAATAAAACTAGCACGGTACAAAACAAATATAAAAATGTTTAAACGTTTACGGTATCCAGCTAAACCGAAAAGTGGTGAACACGGACGTTGTGATGTACTTGTCACCTCGGGTAGGCCATTGCAGAAAATAGGAGGGAAGTTTTAGAGATACACGATAAGGTAATTCATAAGTGAAGCATCGTGGTAAGCAGCTTATTGCTGTCGGTTATACTTAGAAAAAAAAATAAGATTGACTGAATGTCTATTCAGTCGATTTAATTTTTTTAGAATAGATTTAATTTTTTTTTTTCAATTATGTTATATTATATTATCATATATAATTATCATCATAATCATATATCATTAGTGGGATGCGCATCAAATTAAGCGGTGCTCAACACCAAGTACCAACATATTACATCCCAGATACCTAAAATTTAGAATTTCTTCAAGAAGGTAAAACCAATCATAAAATAACAATAAATTATATTTTATAGTAAAAATATTATATTCTTAATTAATTAACGGGGAAGACTGACACATGTAATACAAAAAGCATAGCCTATTGTTTAAGTCTAAATATTAAGTAACGGTTCATATCTATAGTAGTTCGCGTCATTTATATAGTTTTTCTTTTGAGTAATCTAATGATAACAATTCGATTATTTTCACAAGTGAACGATATTTATTTTGACTTATCGACTTTTATGATGCACGTAAAAGAATTGTGAATGACGGTATTTCAAAATCTGCCCCTAAGCGGAATATCTATTTACTCGGAACTGTCCGGACTCCAATAATGTGACAAAAACTGTAATTTAACACATTAATGTCCGATCGAATTCAATATATTATTATTATGAACATATAAAATCGATAAAATCAGAAAAATAAAATAAATTATTATTTTTTTCAACGTTTCAAAAATAAGTAAAATCAAATGTAATCAAATCACCCCGTTTCGAAATAAACGAAAAAGAAGCTGTACAGTTTTTTAATGAAGCTATTTTTTTTTTTATTTTTTTTTTTTTCGTCCCCTAATAAACAACAATATATTATTATGAACATATAAAATCGACAAAATCGGAAAAATCAAATAAATTAATATTTTTTCGGCGTTTCAAAAATAAATAAAAAAAGAGCAAATCAATCGGTTTCGAAATAAACGAAAAAGAAGCTGTATAGTTCTATAAGGGCGATATTTTTTTTATTTTTTTGTTCCCTAGTAAACTGCAACTTGACAGAAATAATTAAAAAATCCAAACACAATCTTATTTCCTCGTACAAGCCTTAGGGTATTTCACATTTTTGTGTCGTATTCAATGAGAATAATTTGGAATATTATTATAATACCAGCACTCGTTTAATAATAATTATAATAATAATTACCGTCACCATACAAAACTTCACGCGAATGTACTATCACGAAAAATGTTGTTTTCCTCTACTTTAATCAAATGTGCATTACCAACAATAATATAATCGCTCCCTCGCTCAATCAAAACGATTTAAAAGACTCAGTCTATATCTGGACTAATATTAATATGCAGACAGAGTCTCGGACAGATTTTATACTGTACCAACACAAAATTCTAGTAGCATTGCCACGATATCACGTATAATAATTGATTTCAAACCACCCTGAACTGATCGAGAAATAAATTTTAATTTATTTAAAATACCTAATGCCATTGACAAAAAAAAAAAAAACATCAAAAGAAACATCACTACAGCCGAATTTCCCTCCATGACCAATTCAACGTATAGAATTATTCTCTGTGAAACAATAAATAACTGAATACTATGATAATACAGTATTATATTATACACTATAACCATACTATTTGAAAAAAAAAAAAAAAACAAAAAAAACTCCCCGGTTAAATTTGAACATGCTAAGCAAGTTGTAAGTTGGAACCCGCAAAACGGCGTTATCTTCGACATTGACACTATACGCACGCGTAAAAAGCCATCCCCGGGCTTTATACGGAGAGTTTGTAAGAGTGATTCACGCTCAAAAAACACACGCGATCACAATAAGGACATTGTGAAATTCGTATTAATATAGAAATAATTTTAAAAAAATAAATAGTTATGTTAAAATCGATTTTAGAAGATGTTTTGATGGCTAAATTTGAAGTTTACTTTCAGTATTCCTTTAGGTTTCGAAAAACAGATAAGCATATATATATATATATACATAATTTTTTTTTTTATAACTTAGTAAAACTTTTTATTCCAATTATATGTACTTACTAGTTTTTCCCGATTATACATAGTACATAACTGTGTCTATATACATATATATTTTTTCAATGACTAGATCGGTTAATTATTAAAAAAAAATAAAATAAATATAAAAATTGATTTTAATATTTGTGAAATTAAATATTGGAAAAAAACGAGATAGAGAAACTTTTTTAAAAATTTAAAAAATAATTATAAGTATACAAGGCGTCCCACAAAGATATACTCATTGTATTATTTCCCGAGATAATAAAGATAATCAAATGCTGTTTTTTTTTCATATCACAGAGATACGGATGCTACACATTTTTATTATTGAATTAAATTTCTATGTTTTAGTGAAAAACTAAAAAAATAACTAATTTTTTATTTTAGACAAATTTGAAGTAGTCCAAGTAGTCCAAATGTTACGTTGAAATTTTTTTTTTTTGTCACCTGCAAAAAAAATTCCATAAATAGATGTGGCGTTAGTCAAAATAAATCTCGGTGTCAAAATGTTTGATTTCCGTAAATCCGTTGACGAGATATTCCACATATAAGTTTCGGTCGGAGAAGAGTAGTTGAAGCATTATTAAAACGTCACGACCGCACGCCAAGCCGCCATTCAAACGATGTTCCACTATACTCTCCCCCGACCAAAACTTAAAAGTGGAGTATCTCGTCAACGGATGGATTGACGGAAATCCGAAATTTCAACACCGAAATTTATTTTAACTAACACTACATCTATTTATGGATATTCTTTTGCAGTTTGTAAATAAAAATAATTCCAAATAAAGTGCGTACACTCCGGAGTGTTTTAGGGAAATCACGTATTTTACCACATTTATATCTTTCACCGTAATATATATATATACAAACGGTTTATTATTACGATTTACTAATGTGGTATATCTTACCTTATATTTGCGGAGTTCCGTCATCCTGAAAATGTTCACCCTTACGGCAAAGTGAAATGGATCGAGTTGCAATGTAGGTAATGTAGTACAGAAATTATGATTGTTCGTCAAAACTGGTCAACCTGAAATAAACGTATAAATAACGCACGTGTAATATTTTAAAGGTATAATAATTTATATCCGTGTGGATGACTTATTTATTTCTGTAAGCGAATATGAAAAAAAAAAAAAATATATGTATCGTTTTAGCGGATTAATTTACAGGGTTTTATTTTTATTTTACAATTACCGTCCGCCGATTGTCCACGAAAACGTAGTTTAAATTTGAATTATGTTTTTTCCGCCGTTATTTATTATACAATGGAATATTTTCGCGATTTCATTCAAAATATATTTTAGATTCTGAGTGGAGCGAAGAAGCTTATGGTTTTACAAAGATGTTTATGTTTTTTTTTTATCTTTGCACAACTCTTTTACCAGAATACTTGCTTGGATTTCTACGCGTAGCGCCTTTTCTGAAAGAAAATCGGCGTAGGAAAGTAATTTTTCGATTTTCTAAAGAGTTTTCACATCAAATGTAAAAAATCGAAAAAAAAAAAACATTAACATTTACGAAATATAATAAATATAATTTAAGATTTTTTTTTTTTTCTGTAGACAACTTTTCTACCAACAATTAAGCTCCAATTTTTAATGATAGCAATGTTTCTAAATGGAAATTTCACTAGCGAGATACTTTAGAGAAGTCATTTTTTGATTAAAAAACCACGGGAAAACCGGGAAAAACGTAAGGAAATTGGGAAAATCGGTACAATGTTAAACAAATTTTATTGAAGAAAACATATAAAGCCTATTTTATTAGTTTTTTTTTTACTCTAAAATTACATATATATATATTGTTGACAAAGCATCATTATCAACTGAACTCCGCTCGGAATCGTTTTTTCGTAACCAATGGTTTATCGTTGGGTATATATTGAATTACCTATAACAGCGGTCGCACCCGTCTCCATTATCCTAAGACGTCTTTTTTTATTATTATTATTATTTCTCGATTGCCTCGTAGTTACAAGGAGAAAACCCTGTTCAGAATCGTTTTTCGATTTATCACTCGTTACCCCGACTGAAACCCGCTTTATTTTCGAATACTAAATTACACGAAAAACCTCGAACCGGTATTATTTTCGCTTCGTCGTTATCGAGTAGTTTACTTGGGGAAAAGAGAACGGTTGTACAAATTGGTTACCCGCAGAACGAAATACTTATCCGCGTGCCGGTGATTTATTTCGCGGACCCGTAGATTTGCAAAAAACGGTCCGAGGGCGGACGGGGCCGTTACACTTTACGGCCGTCCCACTGTGCGTAGAAATGATGCGCCGTGAGGTGGCCGAGCGAGATACGCGGACGATCGACGAGGATGTAACACAATTATATTGTTACGACGAAACATGTTATTGCGATATTATATGAAAACCGCGGTACCGGCAAACCCCCGTCTGTACCGTATGCCTGTGATAGATTTGTATGTTACTAGGTATGTTATTAGGTATGTACCCCGTCGCGGTACGGGGAATTGCCCATTTGCGGCAAAAAAAAAAAAAACAAAAAACAAAAAAAACTTTTTTTTTCCGACCGCCCGTATGCGCCAAATTTACACGAGTTATTTTTGTTTTACTTGTTGATAAGTCATTTTACGTTACTTTTTTCTCCATTAATAATAGGTACTAAACAAATATAGAATTGTATCGAAACAACGTTTACATGACGGTCAATTCAGGTTGGTGAACTAGTCGATTTGTATTATTATTTTTAGCGCTTAAATAAATACGCGTCAAACAAAAATTGTAATATTACAAATAAACGTTTACAATTATCGTCAATAAATGTACAAATTGTTTTCAAATAAATAATAAACATTGAAGAATTCACAATTTTTTTTAAAAACAGTTTTGAAAATATTATTATGAATACAAACTACTAATACTAAACTAATACTAAGTAACCTATATAACCTAATCTTTATTGTAATTAAACGCCACCATATTTATACATTCGTACCGTGTTGATTTTTTTTTGTTTTCATAGTTTTCAATTGTTTTTATAGTTTTGTTTAGTCGGATTGTAGTCTGCAAATCCTTTGGACGGTTGGGGACATTGTTTATATTGCTATCGATTTTAATCGAAAAATCTGTTTGAACGAATTTAATTAAAATTTCTGAAAATGTAAAAAATATAAAAACATTAGGGTACGATTTATAAAATTGTTCGTTAAATTGGGCATGAAAGGATTCATAATTACTGATGGTCCTTGTTAAATCCGTAACAAATGCCGTCCAAATGTTTGAAGGGAAATTCGGCCGAAATAGGCAGTCGGCGAAAAAAGTTCCATTTTTTTTCATTTCGGCGCGAACGGGCGATGCCCGTACGATAATACCGTACTCGGGTCACGATAATCGTCTGGGAAATCGGACCGGAACAAGTCGCCCGATCCGTCGATCGGTTTTACGCATATACGTGACGTCGCGCTCAGGACGAAACGTATTTCAGTTGTTTCGTTTGGTCGGGTCCGCGTCGACCGATTTTCACCTGTCGCGCGTTTTTTTTTTTTTTTTTGTCGTTTTTATTTCTCGGCGCGGCTCGCCGTCGTATTGTCGTTGTTACAACATCGCTGTTTTTTTCCGGTTCGTTTTGCTGATGACAGCGGAGATTTCCAGTGCGATAAAACACGTCGGGTGTGTGTGTGTGTATGCGTGTGTGTGTGTGCGTGTGTGTATTATAACGCACATGTACACCAAATATAAAGCCGCTTTGAAACGGCTACGGTCGAGTTGTACGAACAACATCGATAACAACGCGCGATACAATTGAACCACTATTATTGTTATTTGTACGCGTTGCGTTATTGCTACGCGAGTGCGGGTACGGGCGAACTAACCGGGCGCGCGCGTGTTCGCCGGCGGTCCCGCGGGCCGCATGCGACGGCCGCCGAAAGGCCGCGGCGTGGACCACAAACGCACTCAACCGCATTTCGTAAGACCCGCAATGACCGCGGTAATTATCGCAGAATAATGCGGCGAATTAACGCGGTGTCGACTCTATTATAACGTCGCACTGGCCGGGCGCGGGCGACCGGTAGGCGGGTTACCGTGCGCACAATACGCGCGACGCGCTTTGCATTTTCAATGCGGCCCGGCAATAAACTGTCGCGTTCGCGGTTTTTACACCCGTCGAGTGCGCGTGTGTACAACGGCGGAATACTGTATTGTGGGCGCGCGCGATATTAAAACACGAGAAAACGAAAGACCGACCGGCAATTGCCCCGTCGCCATTGTCGTTTACCAGTACGCAGATGAACAAAAAAAAAAACGCGCGTGAAAACGTCCAAAAAAATCCCCGAAATAAGCACTTAACAGACGTTTAAAAAAGCGAAAACGATAATTCGGGGGGATTTAAAAGTCCGTCCGTTAATGGCTCGTAACTCATTGAATTATATTTCTAAACGCCACTACAAATGATTTACGCGAAATAAATTACGTTTAATTAATCGTTTTTGTAATGTCAGCAAATTGCGTGTACAAGCTAAACCCGTCAGAACGGAGACTTTTAAACCCGTATATAATTTTCGGGTTTTTAAAAGTATTTTTTAATGCTTTCTTGATGTTTTCGAGTAGTTTTTACGGGTTTTAAGAGAACATAAATCCGGTTTCTAACCATTATACAGATACGTAACAGCTGCATTTGTTTTTTTGTAAAATAAAGACAAAAAAAAAAAAAAAGTCCAAATATGCCTTGAAAAACAGTCGGATAATATGCGGTAAAAATATGCTCTCAAAAATTATTATTATTTTATTTTACACAAATTGTGTACTAAAAACTCGGTACATAAATAATTATTTATTATTATCAACGGTATTTACGCGAATACTTTGTGTTTTGAGCGATCGAACTCAATGCTACCGTGTATCGGTGTGCGTATACAAATTGAACAATCGAAAAACGCGCGAATAAAACGCGACAGACGATATAAGACAAGATATGAGCACACGTCATTTTATTACACTTAAAAGCTCCATATACTGTTAAAATATGATCTCAAAATCAAAAACCGTAAAATATGCATGTTAATACATATACGTGCGAAACGTTATTTAGGATTTAGATTCCTTACACGATGAACAGAACTTGTGTTTTAGATTCTGCTTTTTTTTTTTTTTTTTGATCTTTCAAAAATAATACGCAAATGCTAATACCCCCTCTAACGCCGCCGTGGTTATAACTATTATAGATAAGGGCGGATGCGCGCGATTTTGAATACAATTCTCCTCGATACCTTCGTTTTAAACAAATACATACATATGTACATTTTTATACAATTAATCATTCGGATTATATTCATATTTGTTATTAAAACACATTGTTTAATTCAGGTGTAAACATGCATAATTATGAAATGTATGCAAGCCGATACTGCTGGCGGGTGTGCCACGGTTTAAAGAGAGATGTCGGAACGGAGGGTATACACTATGCAGCGTATAATTTAATTTATATCTGTACGCGACGGCATACCATATAGCTAACGAGAAAAAAAATATTGATTGTGAGCAGCGAGTGTTATTAATCGTGTATTCCGCCTGTTGCGAACGTAACTCGGAAAACGAAAAGGGAATTATACCGAAAATTGCCAGTTTTCACGATTTATTCAGAAAACTACGAGGAAAATTTAAAAAAAATAATAATATCCGCCCAGCAAACCAATTAGGTCGAAAATGCTATATGAAAGTTCTTATAAAGTTTTTATTAGGATCGGCATTTCCGGTGAAAAAGATACAAATAAATCATTATTTGATTATCTACGCAGTTTGTTTTTTTAATAATTGGGTAAATAACGAAGGGCGAACGGGAGTTTAATGAAATAACGGTTTCATTATTTTCAATTGTTTTTTTTTGTTGTAATTCTGTTAGAAATAAAATCGCCCGAAATTTCCACGAAATACTTATATTAGCCTTTTATAGTTGATATGGTAAACTATTCTGGCAATTTTAACGATATTAAAAAAAAAAAAAAGGTTTATAAAGAATTGTAATTAGTTCTTTTCAGAAAAAACTGGGGGTCATGTCCCGGGTAAAAAGTTGTTTTTTTTTTTATGTAACATTGTTTTTACGAGTTTTATATACGTTGTGCCTACCGTGCATTTAGTATTGGTGAATTATATTTGCCTATTTTATATCACTGTTTTTACAAAATATATAAACGGAAAAGAGCGACCGCCGTAAAAAAAAAAAATACCACTTTGTGACTAACAGGGGCTTAATGCAACTACGCGTCGTGTAAACGAAATCTGACGCAATAACGCCGCGCGCGTTACATCAGCTGCACATCTCGAGTTGTGGGTTTTCAATCGACAAAACTCGGACAGTAATATTGTCACCGTGTCGTATTCTATCCATACTTATAATAAGCGACTCGCTAACATCTATAGGGACCGTAGGCCGCTGTTAAAGGCGGGTTTCAGTCGGGGTAACGAGCGATAAATCGAAAAACGATTCTAAACAGGGTTTTCCCCTTGTAACTAGGAGGAAATCGAGAAATTGTAATAATAAAAAAAAAATTTAAAAAATACGTCTTAGGATTATGGGGACGGGTGCAGCCACTGTTATAAGTAATTTAATGTATACCTGTAAGCAACGATAAACCACTGGTTACGAAAAAACGATTCTGAACGGGGTTCAGTTGATAGTGATGCTTCGTCAAAAATGTATGTCATTTTATAGTAAAATAATCAAATACGCTTAATGTATTTTCTTTAATAATATTTGTTTAAATGTTGTACCGATATGCCCAGTCTTCCTACATTTTATCCCGGTCTTTCACATTTGCTGGGAAAACTCTTGGTAAAATCAAAAAATAACGCTCGTAAAATACTTTCCCAGTGAAATTCCCTTTTAGAAAAATTCCGACCGTTTTAAGTTGGAGCAAAATTGCTGGTAGAAAAGTTGTCCACAGAAAAGAAATAAAAATTAAAATATAAACATTTTTGTAAAACCACAAGCCTCTTTGCTCCACTCAAAATCTTTAATATTCGGTCGGCGCCCTCTGTGCGTCAGCCAACGTTAATATTTCACAATATATTACCTGTTTAACGTTGCGATATAATATTATGGTATAGATTCCGTCCGAAAAACGTGCGCGCGGGGTTTCGTTTTATGAACATGTATTGTCAACAATACAATGTATGGTATTATGTAACATTATAATAAACTAATGATTAAAACAATGTGCGTTTCTATGACAAAAATGATTGTTTAAAAAATGATTAAAATAATAAAACCTTAATTATAACGAAAAATAAATAAAAACGGTTGCCGCTGACAACCTTATTTTTAATCTTTCAATCTCGTTTTACCTAAACACCAAGGTTTTGCTCGTTATTTCGAATATTAATGAGAGTTTCAAAAATGACCGTTCTAGAGTACCACCCAGAGAAAATTTCCTTTCAGAAACGGTGCTAAACTCGATAATCGGAGCATGCTCTCTAGTATAAAAAGTGTTCACATAAAAAAAAAAAAATAACCATCGTTGTGAAATCAATACATTCCTCGTGCCACTCGGAATTTAAAATGCGAACAATATATTTTATATATTGTAACGTAAATACGATAGTATCGGTTGCCATTAGAAAATAATAAACGTTTCGGATTTTTTTTTTTTTTTTTTTTTTTTGCTCCGCGTGTTGTTTGTGTGTTTAACAGAACGTATCGTATTGAATTCAGTATTTAATTAAAAACAAATAATAATAATAATAATAATAATAATAAAAAAAAAACCCATCCTATTAAAATGCAAATTATTTCCTAACAATTATGAACTACGACGATTCCATGTTCGTACCGCCGTGGAGCGAGTGGTCGAACGATTTCATTAACGCCGAAAAATGGGATCAATTCAACGATGTACGTACACTTTGTATATTATTATGCGACCATGTGTTGATATCGGTGTCGGGACGGAACGCGTCACTTTTTCAAATAAAGGACCGGGAAACCGGGCAACTGTTCGTTACGAGGACCGCGAATCATCGTTTCTTTTTCTCACTCTCCGTCTTCAATTTTCCGCACATCGTACGACCGTGAATAACGTGTACATTATCTACGATCGCGATTATAATACTGAATAGTCCGTTGGAATTATTTAAAGTACTGCGGCGCCGTAGAAAGGGAGCGGGGACGTATCGAATTCGAAAGGGGTCTTTCTTCCTCTCAAAGTCCTGGGCCACCACTACTCATTCATATAGCTATTGTCGCAGTGACGTTTTTAACAAAGTTTCGAATTGTACACATAATGCGTATATAATGCGCAGATTTATGATGAAAAGAGTTTAAGCTAAGGTGTTTACCGAGGAGCGAACGGGGTCGGCAGTGTGCATTTGATTTTTTCAGCAGTCAAAAACTGAAGCCTCCCCCTCTCCCCTCAGCCGATAAAAAATCCCGGATATGACACTAGCAATATTATGTGTTTAATATTTACAAAACAAATTAACTAGGTAGTTTATTATTATTTTCAAATAAAACATATGAAAAAAAAAAACTAGTTCCTGTTTTACAGTAGGACGAGAAACGGCAACGGATTCATTTTATAAGATTGACCGTTTCCCGACTCCGAATTTAACATTGTCGGAGAAGGGTGAAAGAACCGAATATCCTCTAGCGATAATAATAATAATATTACGATGCATTCCTAACTGTTCGGTACTTAGCAAACGGTGTTCAGACATCCCTGCGGACACGAACGTCTGCCGCCGGGAATAGCGGAACGCGTCAAAGTGTGGAGAAGACCGAACGAGATATTCGGCGTTGACGGGCTGGCCGTCCAACCGAAAGAAGACAAAAACGACGTCCACAATTTGTTGGCCGTCAACGACGGACTAATACACGTCAAAGTAATTAGTATTATTTTACGATTGGAGAGTTGAGTGTCCGAGTATCCGGGGCTCGACGACAAGGGTGGGGGAGGGAAGTCGATTTTTAAATTGCGTAAAAGGCGCAGATTTACGATGCGAATCGAGCCACAAGTTTGTTGAAGAACGAACGGGGGGAGGGGGTGGGGGTTGAGGAAAAACTATCATAAATAAACGTGTTCACGTGCCCGTCATCTCGACTGATTTTCCGACCGGCGGTACTTGTTTCGTCGAAACGTTTGCCCGAAGATTCGGACGAAGGGTCTTCTCTGAAATCCGAACGATGGATACCGCGCAGCATGACGCGAGGACATGCCATCGGTTTTCGGACGACAAATTCCAAAGCGAAACGGAAACGGTCTCCTTGGGGACAGACCCCTTTGGACCTAATCGTTGCCCCTCCACTCCCAACAAGTATTTGATGTGTTTAATATGTATTTAATGTTGGTTTTTTTTTTCTAATGTCCCCCCTTATAATTTGGTTTGCCCTCCCCTGATGATTTGGTCTAGCTACGTGACTGCTCGGGGGTTTTACGAATGTAAAAATCGCGAATATTCAAATGATCGATCGTGCGTAATACCGACACTTTAACATAAATTATAAACTATAATACTAATGACAATAAAAACTTTGTAAAATTCATAGAATTTTTCACTGAACACCTAGGTAACGGTTTTTTATTAATTGTTATTATATCACTAATTACCCGAGTTATTAATACCGATGCATAATTATACCTAATGAACTTAATGACATTAAGATTATGATGACCGTCTTTAAAATGTATACTGTTCGGGAGATCTTATGCGCGATTAATGTCCGCGAGCCGTTTTCGATCCGAGCCGACCCGATAAATTACTACACGGCGTTTTGAACGATTACGATTACGGTAGTTTTTTTTTTTTTTTAATTTCTCCGTTCTCGAATCGCTTTAATATCGGAAAATTCTCGGCCCGAATTCCGTGTAATTGATGCACTCGACGTAGAAAATCGTTTTTCGATACGTTATCGCTGACGGAAATCGCAAACGTTGCGGCATTTTCGAAAATACGTTTGACCGGACCCCGCTCGCATTTCACAGCTCTCGCGATAATGTCGTGCGTGGTCCGCGGAAAACGGATAATAGTTCGTTCCTTTTTTTTTTTTTTTTCACTGACCTTTAAACCGTTTTCGTTTGACAAACGACGCAATAATCGCGAATTAACTATATTGTTAACAACATATGCTTGTCCAAGGTCTAAAATAGCGTGCCAATACGAAAGTACAAAAAATTGTGTCGATTATTTTAGAGTTGTGCTTAACTAATAAATTCGTATAATTTTCCGCACTTCTCTATAGGATCGCGTGCAACAAGGTCTTCGCTCTATTCTCTACAGTAACAACAGATTCTGTGAGTACATGTGAAAATAAACGCGTAAACGTTAAATGAGTTTGATCCTCGATCGGAAATCTTTAATCGGTTGAACGGTAAAAAAAAAAAAAAAAACCATTCGGAAATGCAAAACCAAAAGTGGTATCAAGGGGTTTTCGTTGCAGTCCTAGAAAAATACGATTTATTCTGTATAAATTTAATCGGACTTGAAAAAATAAATTTTTGAACATTATTTCATGTCGATATTTTATTCGGGAATTTTTCAAATAAAAATGTTTTTGTGTTTGTTTTTAAAGTTATATTACATTTCTGGACCGTGAGCTCTAGACAGATGGGGCAGGGGGCGACAATTTCCAGTGACGATTTTATTTTTAGGGGGACGGTAAATAAATCGGTTTTTCCGGTTATCGTGCGAAGGCGGAGGCGGACAGGTTAGGTTAGGTGATGGGTTTTCTTTTGTTTTGCTTAAAATTATTTTGAAAGCGGCGGGCGTTTATAAAGTAGTGCAGTTAACCAAATTCTATTTGTTTTAGGCCCTGATACTGCCTGCGTTATAAATTAATATTTTATCACGATGAGCACTGCGTAAAATTAGCCGGTACAGTGTATTGCGGGTGTAATAATATAAGATAAACCAACACGGCGGTTATCTTTTCCGTGTGTATACAATATAACAATAATAATAATAATAATAACATGCGGCTGATACAATACGCGTACACTCGACGATAATAAACCGATATAGACGTATATAACTGAAGATTATTATTATAATATTAAAATATACTCGTCTGTAATAAACGCGCGTGTAGCAATTTATAATCATACTATAGAAATTATTCGTAAAACGAAAAAAAAATGCCAAAAACGTACGTAGGTACAGGGGAGGAAGGCGGTGAAAATTTAATACGAGACCGGAAAACGTTTAAAATAATATTTTTTCTTTTTGATTTTCCCGTGAGTTTTCTCAATAAATGGGGAAAACAGCGAAAGAAAACTTTGGAAAAACGATGAAAATTTACATGCGTGTATTATAAATTAAATTCCCGTCTTATTAATCTACCTTCCCAACTTCTCAGCTACAAAAGTGACCGATCCGCCGTAGCAACGGTCCAACCGTCGGACATAAAATATCCGGATTTCTGTGGTGTTCGTCCCTCGTCGTTACGGTATTTTTTTTTTTTATTGTATTCGGGATAAAAATGTCTCGTCAGTATCTATTGTGCGTGAAAAAAAAAACCGAATATGTTTCGACCTAACCGTATTTCAGCCGATAGTGTTTCAGACCGTTTTATTTCGCGCTCGTATAAACTGTTACCATAGTATAGTCACAACGTAAAATCATATGTTCAAATAGTGTCCCATAAAGCAGTGGTGACCAATCTTTTTTTTTACAAAAGGTCATAAAAATAAATAATAATTCCCGGCGGTCAAAAATTTTAATTTTTACTTTTAAATTCAGAGAATAATGTAATTTTCTGTAAGCACATCTCAATATAGGGATACAGTGATATATTTAATTAATTATTTATTATGCATTGATTGCAATAAATGTGAAACAAAAATTTTAAGTATAAATATATATATATATATATATTTTTTTTTTTTTTTAATGCGAATGTTAGTTTGTGAAATTTGAAGTTATTTTCTTTTTTTCAATTTTGATTTAATACTTTGATGGTACGATTATATTAAATGATCGAGGGTCGAATTCGGCAAGCGGTCAAGTAACTACTTAAGATCAACTGATCACCACTGCCCTAAAGTATTCGGTTCGGGGCTGAAATACGGATCGGATTAAATATCGGTCGGCCGAAATACAGTTCAGCTGAAATCAGTGGCGTAACCAGAATTTCTAATGCCCGTGACAAAATAACCAAATAGAGAGGGTGGGGGGGGGGAAATGCGCAAAATTTGCTCAAATCGGAGAAAGCAAAAAAAGGACAGTGCCCGTTTTCATCGGGGACTGAGACCGGACCGAAAGTAACCGGATACGGAACCCAAAACCTTGTGTAAATTAAAGAACCGAAAATTGCAGTAACCTGCATTTTACGTTTGTAAAAGACCCTAACCAAAACCGAAACCCCTGTACGAAATCCAAAAAATCCCGGTTTTTTAGATTTTTTTTTTTCCGGTTTCAATGTAGCGAGGTAGAAACTAATCACTATTTAAACCAAATACATATTTTTTTTATTTTTTTTTTAGAAATACGAGTTATTATTTTTTATTAATAGTATCTATGTAACGTTATTTCTGGCAACGTCGGCCGTATGTCAGCGCTCGTGACGGCTGACTCAGACGGTCAATCGACCCGTGATGCAATATTATGTTGTATCAATGTATACGATACACGATAACACCGATAACGGATAATGTCTATGAAGGAATGTAAAAGTTATTTTAAAAAAAAAAAAAAATGACACTGGGTTGTCGAACATGGACCTACAAAGATACGCGGTGCGCGCGCCGTGCACCACGCGTATCGTAATTTATAAGCTTTCACGGTAGGTACCCGAACGAAATGACGAAGGGAAAAATCACTTTTGTTCTTCTGTTCTTTTTGTTTTTCATTTTAACCCGGTCGAAGTAGCGATTTTTTAATACGCGCCCGTGCGTTTTCATTGTAATATTGCACTACCCCCGCGCGGTATTTAATTAATTGCATGATAGCCGGAATCAATCGTTTTTATATTATTAGGTATATTTCATTCTATAACACCGTTGTTTTAAATAGAAATTTAAAACCGAAGTACTGTTTTATTACGACAAGTAAATAATAGTTAAATAGCTTAATTATCGTTAACGCAATTTTATTAAAAAGTAAAACATAGAAAAACGGATATTATCTAAAGACGAACGCTTAACGATACATGTTTTTTTCAATTTCACTATTTGGCTGGTTTTCATAACGCAAGCACGGGGCGAATGTCCGAGTTAACCTACTCTCGCTACACGGCCGGGGCGCCGTCCATTCACACACCGTATACGTGTTTCAACATTTTTTCGTTTGAAAAAAAAAATTATGCCGAAATAAAAGATCGGATACCGGTTAAAACCCGTTTTAACCGAAACCTAAGTTTGAAACTCGCTGAAAAACCGAAACTTAACCCCCGAACCCCCGAAAAAATATTTCGAAAAACCCCGAACCCCAGCCGGAACCGGTCCCCGGTTTTCATACGCCTGTCTGCGCACACCACATAGGCACTCGGTAAGCAAAACGGGACGTCGTTTGTTTTGTTTTTTTTTTTTTTCTCGTTTCTGTTTCCATCTCTGTGTCCGTCCACTAAAAACAATCGCGCCTCGGACCCTCGTTCGGGGCCCGTAAAACGTCGCGGCAATTAACAGCGCGTTCGGAGGGCGTACGATAATTAATATCGACGCGAGCGGGATTCTAATAGGAATTGTTAATTGAATTAAATGGGGTTCGATTGATCGCGCGGACGGTAAATTATTACGAATGGTAATATCGATCGTGAACATAATTAATACGCGCTATTGAAAATTATTTATCCGTTATCGTATGACTGAGTAAAAAAAAAAAAAATCCCCCGAACCCCCGAACGGTTACTGACGTGACTCGAAAGATACGGTCTTCGCGTCGTTTCCGTCTAGAAAACGCGCGGAATCCCGTCGTTCGCCACACGGTCCGTACAGCGCAATAACATTTAACATTCGTTTCGGCCGTGTAAAATTGAAGACGCGGCGCGGCGTACTCGGACGGTCTTGCCGTGTCTGCCCCGAAATAAACGGCACGCGCATTCCGGTCTGTGCGAATGTCGACGCGTCCGTGGCCGTCCGGACCGTCTCGTACCGTCCCGCAGTGACAGTCGTTTCGCCGCACGGGAAAAACGACAGAACGTTTCAGGAACGGCTGCGAAACCGTCGGGGGTCCGAAATTTCCAAACGCTTGCAACCGCGGGCCGATTCGCGTCGCCGGTGGTTTCCGGGGCGCGATATTACGCACTCTGCGGCGCAAGCGTTTTTATTTTATTTCGTTTTTTTTTTCCGTTAATTTACGTACTGTAAATACGATAACATCCCGTGGTTTTGCGGTACAACGGAAACCGTTTGGTCTCGCGCGTATCGCATATTATTTACGGGCGGATACGGCGTCCGTACAACGTAACGACCGTTGTCGGAACGTGTCGGTTCGGCTCCGTTGTGTTTTTGCGCATCCCCCTCGATTGCCCCGCGATATTATTGAAATGGTTGAGAAACGGTCGAGAAACGTTCATGTCTCCGTGGACGGATCGCGCGGAATCGGAAAACATTCGCCGGCGATCCCGGGATAACGGCGCGTATGACGTAATGTAATAATGATAATGAGAGAAAAAAAAAAAAAAAATTATAAAATTATGCTCACCGCTGCTACTGCGATAACGCCGCGAGTAACCGCACGCCGGCCGGTCGTCAAGAGTGTCGTTATCGTCACCGCGTCGTCGTCGTCGTTATCGTCACCGCGTCGTCGTCGTCGTCGTCGGCCGCCGAACGTCTGAGCTGCGAGAAACGGTGGGTTGCTGGTGAACCGCAGCGCGCGTCGTACTGTGCAACGTTATTATTGTTGTGTACACACGTGCTGGCGAACGCGGTGCGTGTGCGTCTGCGTGCGTGCGCTACACTGGTGCCCGTCGCGTCGCGTGTGACCGTGACGGCGCGCGGCGGCGTTCGCGACAGTCGCGACGGCGAACGCCGCGCCGCGCGGCAACACGACATTGCCGACGCGACGGACGGCCGGCGGGTGTGGGGCGAACCGAAATCTCTGCTCCCCGGCCGCCGATATAAAGGCGAATGCGCACCAAGGTTCATAGATAATACTATTGTACATCTATCCATTATCTAGTCTTATGTAATATTATCTATAAGCCTCGGGCGCACACGAGTGCGCCGAACTTGCAGTGCAACGTTGCACGGGCCGCGCGCTGCACCGGCCCGCAGCCTACGACCGTATTGTGAACTGCGGTGCCGGATGACGTGCGCGTGCAGCGTAATGCAACGTTGCATCAAAGACGCAACGTATCTAAACGTTTATCAACGTAACGCAACGTATTTCGCCGTATGTCGAACGCGCCGTACGTTGAATATGTTTACGCCGTCATCGCGTAGCTTGTGACGTCACGTTTGGTCAAACGGTTCCGACGCGCCGGCGTAACACGCGCGGAATCTTCTTTATTTATTTTTTTTTTTTTCTATTATTAAAACTAGTACCCATTTCTTCGGTTTTAACAGATTTTATATTTCGATTTTGGAAACGATATCTCTGCGAATAGTCAAGTGGGTATTGTGTACAATGCGAGTCCGTCTCAAGCGCTTGACGAAACATTAGAAATCTTAGAATAGAAAAAAAAAAAAAAAAAACTCAACATTTAATGCGATTTCATGCGTCGCGCAACAATGCGAACGCAGATGCCAAACAATTTGTCATTGATTAGAAAATAAAATTCGCTTTGGGGTGACACACCGCGTACACGTCCATTGTGCCGCGAACCGTTGATCGTGTCGGCTTTGCGGTACGATCGTTAGTTTACATGGTCGAAGGCTATTACTTACGCGTGTGCCCGCGAGTGAAACAAGAGCCAGCCCAGAGGGGTGGCGCAAGATTCGTACGAATAAAACAAATCGATAGAAAAAAAAAAAAAGTAAAAAAGTAAAAAAGTCGCTCGTAGCGACGATGTACGAGTACATTTGTTGTTGTTTTTTCGCTCGGCGACACATTTTATCATACCATACGGTATTCGCCGTACGCCCGTGCGTATTAATTTTCAACTGTATAATATACACCGACGGGCGAGACAATCCAACGCTGTTCATAACACTTCTTTGTTGTTTTTTTTTTTTTTATTATTATTACGTACATTTCGTACCCCCGACATCGCGGTATAGGTATTTTCGATTGTGCGCCATGACGAATATTAAAGCGGCGTACTTCGGTTCATGATCTGAATAGAAAAAAAAAAATGAAAAAAAAAAAACAATATTAATCGAATAAAACGCTGCACAGTGAAAACAATACCGGCCCAGACACGCGTCGTCAAATCTTTAAGAGGACGGCGCGCACTGCGTTAATCGTCGTTACCGTCTTGCGAACGCGCGACACAGCAGAAACGCGTTTACGCGGACCGCGCATGGAACACGTTCGATTTCGGTCTTTTAGAGCAAAAGCGCCCGTTTTGAAATCGAAATAGAATAATATCGCGGAGCGCAAAACGTTGCGTTTTATTTTCCGTTTTGTCCGGACACAACAGTCAATTTACCGCGTTTATATACAACGTCTTTTTCGACGATTTTTTTTTTTTTTTTTTTTTTGTTTTTACTTCGCTAAAACTAAAACGCAACGTGTCTCGCCCCCCCCCCCCGAAATATCGTCCTCCAATACGTGCTTTTACTCTAAAACCAAAACTAAACGAGCTCTGTGTAGCCCGCGTACGTGGTGTTTTTACTATATCCTGTGTTTGTAAATCAGAAACAAGAACTGTACGTGCAACACGTTCTCTTAAACACAAATAAATCGATACAAATCGCATCTGGCTCGGTAAATGTATTCAAATTTAAAACAAATGCTCATTTTTGTCATTATTTAAAAACTTAAGGTACCAAAATTTTTAATAAAGATAGACCAACTTAATTAACTGATAACTTTTAAAATGAAAATAAAGATAAACTCATACTCGATAAATAGAAGATTAACTGTTCAAACGTGACTTTATAAGCTTATTGGCAATTAATATGACAAACTATACCCATAATCGAAAAAATGTAAAAACATTTATAAATGAGCGTGTTATACGTGCCCCGGGGTTTTTGTCGTTCAATGAATACCCGAGACATTATTCGTTTTTGAAATTAAAATTCAAACGGTTGATTTAAATTATTATTGTAACTTTTGTGTTATGGAATGGTTTTTGCCGCCCCCGTGGTACGCCTTTTTATTGTTGTCGTTTTTTTTTTTTTTTAATGTGGTGTCCAGCACTGAGGAGAGCACTGGGCTAGCATTTCTTTTTCCGATCTCTCCGTTTCTCACGTGTGTCGCTCGTTCGCTCAACGCACACGCCTGCAGCGACCGCCGAAGCCGAATTTCGAATATTTTACACGCGTTTCGGTCGATTACCGCGGTCCGATTAATCGGTTTAGTACCACCGGCAATCGTACAGGTTATAAAGAAATGGACGGGACGCGTCTGTATCAGCATCCATGTGATAGGTGCGTGGTATTTTTTAATTTTTTTTCCCCCCGTTTTTCCCTCCAAAAGTCTGGGGTACTCGAAAAGTCGTGCGTCTTGTTCGCGATAATTGTCTCTTTCTAGCCCTTCGGTATACCGTATTTTATATAGTGTCTGAAATTTACGCCCGAAAAGATTTCAAAAGTCGGCGCACGCGTGTGTACACTTTATTGAGTTACAGGACGCATCACGCTTTGCGTCAGGATATGCGCTTTTCGGCCCGGATACAAAATTGATACCGGCCGTGTGGTAACCTATAGCGGCACGTCCATTTCTTTATTATCCAATTCGATTGTGATAACTGACAACCGTTTCGCACGGTACGACATTTCTCGCGTTTTGCGCGGTAATTTCACCGCCGGGAGTTTTCCGACGTAATTGCTTTGTTTCGCCGCGGGAACTAATATTGAATTCCGATAAAAAATTTAAAAAAAAAAAAAAAATTTAAAAAAAATGAGCAACATGTTTGGGGTTTGTGATATTTTTGATTTGATGTTTCGAAATACGATGATCGATAACGGGTTTATTATAATTTATCGGTATCGTTTTCGCCGGATTAAAAACACCACGACGTTAGCTCTTTAGTTCGACGTAAAAACGATAACGGCGTACATGAGTATTATTTACTTTTCTTTTTTTTTAAAAAAAAAAATTCCAAATCGTTTGGACTGTTTTTCTTCGGGATTATGACCATAACGACCCGCGACAAAAACCGGTGCACCGTGTTCGACGGTGGATCGTTGCAGCGTTCAGTGCGAATCGAAAACCACTCCGCGCCGCGCGCGCAACGTTACACTACGGGTTCGGCGCGCCAGCGTGCGCCCGCCTCAATACACGCGCGTAGAAGGTCACTGGCCCTTCCGCCGCCGCCGCCGCCGCCGCCGGAGGTCCGCCTACCCGCCCGCCCGCGCGCTCGTTCCGTCGCTCGGCGTCTCGTCGGAGGGGTTCCGGGACCCTCGGGACGGGCCGCGCGGCTGAAACCTTGAACTTGACGTTCGCGCCTCGGGTTCGCGCGCGTGCGCGTGGTCGTCGGCGGTCGACGCGTCGAGAGGACTGCCCCGGCAAAAGAACCGGATAATAAATTGCGCACGGCGACACGATCGGACCGCCGCCTCCTTCCACCCGTGGCGACGGCGACGGCACCAGAGGTAATACGACCGGCGGTGACGACGCGAAATCCGTCGAAAATCGGTGTTTAGAAACTGTTTACGTATATTACGGTTATCAGAAAACGATATTGACAAAGACAACACTTCTTATTTCAATGAAAACAGTGTCGTCGTTCAAACCGCAACGCCCGGCGTCCTCCGAACATATCGACACATTATCGGTTATTATTAACCCGACCTTTTTTTTTTTTTTTTTTTTTTCTATTTTCAATTAATCCCTAAAAACACAAAAACCGACAACAAATAACCAGAGACGGTGCAGACTGCTAATCGCGTTGACCGTGGTCACCGCACGTCCCACGCGCCCGGGCATTCGTCGGTCACGCCGAACTGGTCGGACGCGAACGCGGGTCACGAGGTGATCCTGCCCTCTCGCCCGCCCCGCCCATCGTGCCGCGGATCGGTTACCGCCTTGTTTAACGTGTTATTATTGGCGTCGGTTGTCCTCCGCCGCGATGTTTATCGGTAAGTAACCCCGGCCAGACGCGGTTTACGCGATCGTTACGGACGACCCACGCTCGCGCGCGATAGTGTCCGTGTCTGCGGTGCGCCGTGGGGTTGTTGTTTGTTCAACGACAAAAGAGAACGGACGGTTTTATAATAAAAAAAAAAAATAAAAAATTTACAACACAAAACAAAACCCATTAATAATAACTATCGGTTTGTTTTTTTATATTTTGTTTTTTTTTTCCAACCGTAAATTCCCCACGAAACACGCGGATGGAGGACGGTCGCACCGTCAACATAGTTTTGATGACAAAGCGAATTTCTAGCCGTCGCCCAAACTCACGGTCAATAAAGAAGAATATTATACAGCTAGTGCCCACTTTAACGTTGATTTTTTATTTTTTTTTTCGATATTTTAATTTTCGTGTCACTTGGCTTCAGTGCCGCAGAGTCCTATGATCGGCGTGGGCCATGGTCTGATCACTTTTTATTGTACATGGCCGCCGTGCTTATGTGGCCGTTGTGTTAGGCCAAGCACAGCAAATCCGTGCAGCGTGAAATTATCAAAAATGCTGAGCAACGATAACGTCCCCTAAATGACATTTAAAATATCTCAAGTGCGCGTCAAATTTCAAGAATATGATAGGTGCTTACGCAAATGTAATTTATTATAATACGTCTTTTTTTTTTTTTATCATTTTACTTCAGTTTTCAATAGCATTTAATTATAATTAAACAATACTTTTTAAACGATAAATCAGTGAATCAAAAATATAAATTTATGATTATGGAAAAATAATTTACATTAAATATGCAAAATTAAAAATTACGTAATAAAAATATAACTTTAAAGATTAATGACCAATGCCCATAAATCCTCCTTAAAAAATAAATCAATTTAAAAAAAAAGTCAACGAAAAAGAAAATCTTTTTTAATACTTACATTTTTTTTTACATTTTGTTGATAACCAATATTAAAAAGCTATCTTAGGATAATGAGGACGGGTGCAGCCACTGTTGTAGGTGAGATGTTGGGAGGGTAGGATACAAATAGGCGTTTAATGTATATCTGTAAGCAGCGATAAACCATTGCTTACGAAAAAACGATTCTGAGCGGATTTCAGTTGATACTGATGCTTTGTCAAAATATATATTTATGTCTTATTATGGTAAAATAATTAATAATTAATAAATAGTCGTTATATATTTTCTTTAATAATATTTGTTTAATATTGTACCGATTTTTCCGGTTTTTCACATTTGCTGGGAAAACTCTTGATAAGAATCAAAAAACGATCTGATTAAAGTACCTCCCCAGTCAGATTTCCTTTCAGAAAAAGTGCTATCATTGTAAATCGGAGTAAAATTGCTGGTAGAAAAGTTTTTCACAGGGAAAAAAAAAGTCGAAATATTTTTTAACTAATACCTACATTTCGTAAATTTTCCCGGCTTTTGCCATTTGTTGAGAAAAGTTTAGGTACAACTTCAGAGCAAGTAAATCAGAGCAGAGTGGACTTTCTGGTAGAATTTTCGTACATAAAATATAAAAAAATAATAAACATCTTTGTAAAACCACAAGCCATTCACTAAGCTCAGAATTTAAAAAAAATTTGGTTTTTGTTTTTGTTGTTTTTCTTTGGTTTTTTTTTTTAGAAAAAAAAAAACAAACCTTTATACACCTACATTATAAAGATAATATATTATAAACATTTATAATATTATTAGTGGTGTAATAGAATTATACCGAAGACTGAAGGTGTCATTATCATAATATAACAACGTATCAAACAAAATTGGTAGATAATAGACGGTGTATTGTTTATTTGTTTGTTTATTAATTTGGCCATAAAGGCCGGATATATTGTGGCCGTTGAGTTTTGATGTCGGCTGGCCATTATTTTCAAAGTTCGGGGTCACCACACCTACTCGGATTTTATTTCAAAATTAAACCACCGAAAAACGTCAACGTCGAAAACAAGTTAAAAATTCGAAATAGAAAATAATAACGATCAAACACGCTGCGCGCGTGTCATGGTCGAAACGGTTTTTTCTTCATTTTTGCGTCCCGGCAAACCGGATTGTTAAAGATCTGTAATGCGCTCGTTATTGATAATTATATCCGTGATAATACTTCCTAATGTACCGCCGCGGCCTGATTAACGCGTTTCAACTCATATAATAAGCGTCGTTAGCGATAATTACACCGAGATTAAACTCGCGGACAAATAGTTAGGTTTATACATTCATTTTTTCATCTCCCCCTTACCGTTTGTTTAACAAGGGGTCTCCAAACTTTCGACCGCACCGCGGTCAGTCCATTGCAGGCGCACACTGCACAGATACACTGTCAAATATTCCGTTCGTAAATCGGTCTCAGTTAGTCGCCGGCGCAATGGCATATTTAATTTTCGAATCCGCCGAGGCCACTCCGCCGAACGTACTCGGTTAATCCCAGCGCAAACGAAAATTCAATTTCCACTTACGATCGTTTTTTATGCGATTTGTTTTCTTTCACAAAATTCATATTGCGTTGTTTGAACACTAAACCGCTGTGTTTGAGTAGCGTGTAACGATCCAATTCCATTTTTTTTTTTTCAAACTTTTCAGTAAAAGCGAAAAACAAAATTTGACTCCGATTATTTGTATACGTATTGATAATATGATAACCGTAAACTCGGATCGTTCAGTATTTTGTTTATATCTCGTACAAATAATATCGATAGGACTTGGATCATCATAAAAAAAAAAATAAGCGCGAAATTTCGAATAAGAAAGTAATATGACTTTATTTTTTCCAAAGTGGACTTGGATCATTATCATCTCTCGGATACAAAACTAAACTCTATTGAAACAATAACTATTATTAGGGTTCGGAGCTTGAGCGTTTACTTATTTTTTTGGCTTGATATAAAATCTAGTAGAATGCTACGGAAACCCAAGTCATATCACAATGATATTAAATATGATATTTGAAAGTATTTTTTTTTTTAGTTTATTTCTATTGTTTTTAAACATATTGCTTTTTTCTGGTTTTTCTGATTATTTTCGATTGTTTGCATATTTCAACTTAATTATGACACGAACCACTGAAAATCTAAATATTTTAGTTAATTTTGATTTTAGATTCAGAGTGAAGCGAAGGATCTATTGGTTTTACTGCACAATGTATTTTTATTTATTTATTCTGTCTGTAAAAAATTTTTCTCCCATAAATCTCGTTCCAATTAAACCATAACAAGAGCCTTTTTTTGTTGCATTTTGGCCGTAGTTGATACTTTAAGAAGATAACTTTTTTTGAAATGCTCGTCAACATTCGTGATAATGAGGAAAAATTGGTTCTTTAGGTTAAAATAGATTAAAAAATTAAAAAGAAGGTTATCATTGGTGACCGTTTTTGTTTTTATTAAGTTTTTGTTATTTAAATCATTTAATCTTCTATAAACAATTGTTGTTTCGTGAAAACACACATTGTTGAAAAAGCAATACTATTGACCGAGCTTCGCATAGAATCGTTTATAAATATCGACATTTATTCTTCAAAAAACGTATAAGAAGTTAAAACGTTCTAAAAAACTCAAAAAAGTTATGAGATTCAAAGTGTAAAATCTAAATGACAATATAGAAAAACAATCGTATTCATAATTTTTGTCGTGCTTTTTTCTTTTTTTGATTAATTTAATAATTTTTGAGTACTTATAACGGAAGTAGTATTTAAGCACTGCTGTCAGCGCTTATTTTGATAGTCATAAGTACTATCTATAAGTCCCGAACACTGATTGTTAGTTATAAAATGCACGTGATTTGCACATTACTATTATCGTTGCCCGTTCGCGTCGGTTAATACGCCGCTAAAATCACAACGATACGTGCAGTATTCATTTCAGCGATCGCAGTTGAAATGTCTTTACAATTTTCTCACGAAATACGATTTAGAATTTTTTTTTTTTCTTTAAATTTCGGACGTTTCATTCCGGTAATTCTCGTATGACCGATTTCTTATTTCCCCACAAACAGTGTAGGCACCGATAAACCGTACGAATGAAATAGCCCATACCCCGCGCAAGGCATTTGTAGACGATTTTATAGTAGCGTACATTGTCGAAACAATTGACGGAAACGCCGCCGATTGAGCCCCGGTCAATTCTCGCGCGTATTCTGAACGCACGGTGAAAACGGACTACTCGCGATCAATCCGGATTCCGGGACCCGATTCACGAACAAAGAGAATTTGAATACACCTATACGGTCGACGACTACGTCATTATTATCTAAACAATTATAGCAAGGATTTTCGACTTTTTGAGGTCTTCGCTCCCTCCCCTCATTACTATACGATTGAATTGTGTTTAACATTCAAGTCATGACATGCTTTAACGTCGGTTATTGGATTAACATAATTAAATATTCAATTATGTTTATTTTTTTTATTTTTTTATTTTATCTGTGAACAACTTTTCAATTTCGCTCCGATTTTCAATTAAAACACTATTACTGAAAGGAAATCTGACTGGGGAGATACTTTAAGGAGGTCATTATTTCATTTTCTCAGGAGTTTTCCCAATAAATGGTGAAAACCATGAAAAAACACGGGGAAACCGGGAATAACGAAGGAAAAACGGGAAAATAAGTACAATATTAAACAAATATTATTAAAGAAAACATATAATGCCTATTTAATTATTTTACCATAATATGACATATATGCTGTTGACAAAACACTACTATCATCCAAACTCCGCTCAGAGTCGTTTTTTTTTTGTTAGCAATGGTTAATCGTTTCTTACAGATACACATTAAATTACCTATATCAGTGACTGCACCAGGCCCAATTATCCTAAGACAGCACTTTTGAACTTATTTGTACAGGAAAAAATATATTAAAACAATTAAAAATTTAAACTCAAATTCATTGTTATTAAATATAACTTTTATCAGATAAATTAATATAGATGATCAGAAAAATAACGGTTTCATTTTTCGCGGTTTCTTAAAAATCTAAACGCTTCCCTGGAAATTCCGTCACGACTCTCAATTATAGTTATAGGGAACACGCCCTCGAGGTAGAATTATAGCGTCAGCCAAAAACCGTGTGACGTGCAAAACCGTACACGCCTTTATTCCGAGAGAAAAAATAAACTGTTCGAATGTATTGTATTTTATGATAATATGCCGGCTGGTTCGCCCATAATTCACTTGAAAAAAATTACTTCCGTTATCGACGGCGTGTTCCGCAGGTGTTTTATTATTATGTGCGCAGAATAGGCGAACTTTTTATAACACCTCGAATATTAAATGTCACGATACACTTTTCGTCAGTTTTGAAAAATGCCAAACCGCGTTTGAGTACACGTCACGCATAAGTACACAGTCAAGTGTCAATGTGATGGACAGGCGGAAATTCGTTTTATTCAATAATATAAAAACGGCAATTCGTTCTTCTGCGCTGTGCGGTGTTCTTAGTTCTGTTTGTAGACAATGACGAAACTAACCTGAGATAACCCGGTGGCGACCGGCCGTAGTTGAATAAAAATCAATTTAAAACGGTAGGGAAAAGGGGGAATGTGGATCGAGAGGGGTAGGGAAGCGGTATGGGAAGAGTATGTGGTTATAAAGGGGTAATAGATACATTCGCATTCGTATGTATGACGTATGGCGCGAACGCGTGGCGATCTATCTGTCGACGGGATGATTGACGGCAGTGTCGTCACAACGCGCAATCGGTCGGCTAAGACTTTGAATACACTCGCAGCGTGATACGTTGACAAAATCGGTATAGTGTGTGTGTGTGTGTGTGTGTGTGTGTGTGTGTGTGTGTGTGTGTGTGTGTGTGTGTGTGCATGCGTGTGTGTGCGAGCGCGCGCCGTCGTTCGGATTGTATTGTAATATGTGCACGTGTGCGTACCTATATTGTGTCGATAAAAACACGTACCTGTTATATTTATTAACGACGGCTAATGTCTATCGTAAAAAGTTGTATTTCTCTTCTGCCTATTCTACTCTTATTAATAATCTACTACGGGAACATGCGAACATTTTCTGCTTGAAGTTCGCGAGAAGTTCGTTGCTCAAAATATTAGGAGCAGAACATAAGTGGCATCGATTGATTCACCTTTCAATTGTATTGCATCTCGTTAGGCGCCCAACAGACGTATGAATACTCTTTGTTTGACTCAAGCCACCAGGTGTATAGACAATACTAGTGTTAGCGAGAGAATCCGTATTTTATCCACCGCCTTTTCTAGGGGTACAGACAACCGTCTCACGGGGGTGAACTTTGAACCACTTTTCAGCTTTTAAGGAATTTTAATTTTTGCCAGTTTTTCACGCTGTAGTTCACTTGTAAATACATGTGGAGACTTGAAACTTGATAATAGTACTTATATTGGACTTACCTAGACGTGGTGAAATTTAAAAAAATAATCGGACGACTTTTTTTATTTTTTATAAGCGTTTTGAAATCAAATTTAAACGAAAATTGCAAAAAAAAAACTACGGCACTTCAAATTATGTACTACTGAACTGCGCTCGGAATCGTTTTTCGTCATCAATAGTTTATCGTTACAGATATAAATGAAATAACCTTATGTATCCTATCCTACTTTTCGCCTACAATAGTGGCAGCTCCCATCCTCGTATCAACTCTTCTTTTTTTTTTTTTTATGTATTTTTGTAATCGATTTTTTTTTTGTGTACATTCTAGATATATGTGAATACGTCTTAATATTATATTATACCAATCATTTGTTTTTTTTTTTTTTTTTTGAGTAATGAGTAATATAATACGTAGATTAGGTGATATATGTATTTTTTTACGTGGTATAATAATATTAATATATATTTTCCTTATTTTTTTTAAAGTTTTACACAAAGATTTTTTTGTTAGGTATTTAAATTTAATAATATGATAAAAAATGTTTTGGTGGGTAAGTATATTTGTACTATATAGTTAGAATATAATACAATCTAGTAAATAACTCTTATGCTCAATTCAATACAATTTACATAAACTGTAATAAATGGATATTTTTTGGGTTTTTTTTTTTTTTTTAATTAATGTCTAATTATTATTATTTATTTTTCAATTTCTTTTTGCAGCTGTATGCATTAAGTGGATCAATAAATTAAAATTAACATAATGTTTTATATAATATAATATTTATAATATTAAAGCTTATCATAATGGCATAATAGATTGATGCTTCATATAGGAAGTAAACTATATAAACGTATAGTCACTACGTTGTCAATATTTTCGAAAGCACGATTAAAATTTAACTATCCAAATGGATAAGTTAAAATGACGACTCGGATGTTAATCGTATTTATTGAAAGAATGATTTGAAATAGTGTAATAGGTGCCAAATAATATTGTATTCTTGCGGATAGAGGCGTTAGGTAGGTGCTTTTTTTTTTTCTTTTTTGGTGGCAAATTAAGGATTATATATTGAAATCTAAAATCTATGTTGGAGACAAAAGAAGATGAAAATGTTTGAATTTGTAAATATAAATTCTAAATTCGGAATGTTTGAATATTTTTGTGTTAGTTGTTTTCGTTATAAGGTAGTATATATACGCAGTTTGGGAAAAATATATATTAAGTGCAGGGCTGGCGGGAGCCTAGGGCGCCAATCTCAGGAGGGCGCCGAAATTGTTTTTTACAATTTTACATATTTTTCTCAGTTATATTATTTTTTTGAAAATATGAAATACCCATAACTTAGTACTGAAATATTGATAATTATAGTTTTTTCGTTTAGCTATAGATTAAAATAATATAAGTATTATTTTTATTATATAGTGTGGTGTCGTACGTTCACTTAATGTTTTTCTTATCTTTGAATTGGAATTATTATATCGTTGAGTTAGAATTATTATTATGTCTATATTTGTGATTTTTATTTCGTATTTTTTTACTTGTTTTATATTCGGTAAATTATATTCGTATGTTACCACATTGACAATAACACTAAACATGTTTTTTATCAAGAACGAATCGGAGTTTTTGGTGTTCTCTTTATCTGATTTGTATATTAATATAAAATCGAAATGAAATATTTTTAATGTTAACCTTGATATTTTAACAGAAGGAATTTATAGATTTATGTGGTATTGTAAAAGAATATTGTGTACCATGATTTTGATTGTACGAGTATATTGATCGTAATTTCGTTTTAATTTTCGATTTTGATAAAATTTACTAATGTATTGAATTTAGGTCTTTTAATCTTTTAGAATTATGCAAGAGATTTGGAAATTTTGGTTGTTGGCATTGTTCCATTAAATTATTTAGTTCTTCAAATATTACACTTTTATAGGTATTTTTCTCTTTTTTACGAGTTAAAAATGTCGGAAATATAAAATTAAATTGTGTGTGTCTATAATATTTATTTGTAGAGGTTTTTCTAATTAATTATTCAATTCTTGGCTATGCACAGGATTAAATCCATGTGAAGAAATAAGTTTTGGTTTTGCGTAATTGGGTTTTATTTTTATTTTATATGGCTCTATATTAACTGGTTTTATTTGAGTCTTGTTATTTGAAAGAAGTGTGTATAATATGCGCATTTAAAAATTGTATTATCTCGTTGTGTTGTTTGATTATTGGGGAAAATATTTAAATAAAAAAATTGAGCACAATGTAGTAGTTTTTTTTTCTTAATAATATGTTTCAAGATTAAATTTTGGTTCAACTTTGCGTATAGATAAAAATTAAATAACTGTGTGTGTCCTACTTTTTAAAATTATTATGGTAATTTTTTTTTTTTTTTTTTGTGGGCCTCGTTGAAATGTTTGGCCCCGGGGCTGGCGTCTCTAAATGTTCTTATCCGGGCTTGTCAGGTCGATGTATAATATTTGTGTGCACGTTATATTGTATTTATATTACAGAATTTCAGGCCACATCCTAATGCGAAATAAAAACGCATTCGCTTGTTTTTATTATACATAATCAAAACATATAATATCGGGTATACTCGTATTAATTGCGTATAATGATGCGGTTCAATGAACTCGTATACAGACTCTTAAATTATAATATTATTGTTGTACACTACAGCTATGAAAATTCAACAGATATGATATATAAGTACTAAAATTACATAGCAAACACAAATCGATCGACATTAGTATCATACCTATTGGCTATTACCTATAATTACATTTGATTGTTTGCCGACTGGCGATGCGATGCTATTTTAAACGAAATATCGAACGTAATCTAACTCGCAAAGTAAAAAAAAAGTAACCGATGGATGCGCAACTGTTGTAAATAAGAAGTTAGAAAGGTAGGGTGCATACAGTTATTTAGTATATACATATGTGTGTAAATAACGATAAACCATTGCTAACGAAATACGATTCCGAGTGTAGTTCAGTTATACATGTATTGAAATGCGATAATGTTAACTATTTCCGTCAAATTATTATTTTTAAAAAGCTTATAATAGAAAACGACTACATTAGGCTTGACTCGTTTTTTTTTTCTTATCACTATAAGTAAAACTTCTAATGAACCTCGTGTTAAATTTCCAAGCATTTCTGTCAAACGCATAGTATTCCTACCAAATAAAAACTAAGTAAAAACTTCGCAAACATAAAATGTCTATAAATGGCTCAAAACTCGACAAAATGTTTTAAACATTTTATCACGTCTAGAAGAGGTGACATCTAGTAAAACCAATCACATTCTTCACTGCGCTCGAAATCTAAAATTTTCAAAATGTATGAAAAATTTAGGTTTAAATTAAAATGTATTAAAACTATTAGTTCATATTAGTTTTTCAGGGGAGACAAGTACTTCTCTTTACCCTGAAAAACCCCTTATCATAGAGTATCTTTTAGTTATCAATGCAAACGAGCAAAGTTCGGTGAAAATCTATAGCAATTTTTAATTGCGTTTGAACGTATTGTGTAAATTAAAACATGACTTTAATTAAAGAAAAGAAATTTGAATAATATTTTTTGGAGAATAAATTATTAGTATTGATAAATTAAAAGATATACATATCAATAATTTTTACGTATCAATTTTTTTTTTGAAAAATCATAGTTTTCTATGAACTTTAGGTAGAGTTAAGCGTAATTTTTCAATTAAAAAAGATATTTTTGATTAAAATTACTTGAAAAAATTACAACTCGAATCTGGTGATAAAAATAGGTTTCTTGTTTAAAAAGAAAAATCATTTTTATTGCGCAAGCGTACGATGGAAAATGTGTATTTCGGTACAGACTCCTATAATAGCTGTCACAGTCAACCAAATTTCAGTTTAAGGTCGTCATCAGGCTAAAATATTTATAGTGGTACATACATACAAGATAGGAGACTGTACATTATGAGGAATATTTGATTGTTCATAAAAAAATCGCCCCCCTCCAAATAAGGTTCCAGGTATATGCTTGCTAGTAATCCTTGTGTACTCATGTAATAGGTAATTTTAATCTATGGTTAATATTAACTATAGTTAAAAAATTAATTTTTATTTAACTTTTTAACAAAACTTAAGTAAATTATTTTTATCGTTAACTAATTTACCTAGCTATTTTAAGTTTTTATTGAACAAACCTAATTTTTATCATCGTAAATGTCCAGTTCAGTTAACGTGTTGAAGACCAAATGATTTTTTTCAAAATTCGAAATGCAATTTTAATTATAGTTGCTTGAGTTAACTTTTTACTGAAGGCTTTTAATTAACTTGACCCAATCGAATTAATTATTTTCGTTGGTTTGCCCTGCCCTCTTCGGTTCTAATATGGCGATAGTTAACTTTACCTGTATATTCGGAAAGTATAATAATATTATTATCAACGCGTTATTGGTTTAAAAAAATAATAATAATAACTGCAAAAATCAAGACAAGCCCGTTTAAAACCGTAGTGATTATTGTTTCGATAATATGCGAGCATATACAACACGTCATTACCTATAGTTAATTATTTATTGTATGCGACACGCGTAATAATTACAAGTACTTATACACAATAATAATTAGACCTCGGTACACGAAATTCCGTATGCCTACGAGTTGTGTAGAACTGCAGATATTATTATTACTCGTTTACTAACTGTACCAGAAATGTCGAGCGCGTATTTCGTTCTCGGGGTTTTTTTTTCACACATGAGGTATCTTATTTACGAAAAATTTTTAAAAAAAACCCTTAAACCGTAATCACAAATACTAGGTACGTATATCGACTTTTGATTATAAAATAGCAATAGCGTCTACCTTTTTAAACCCGAAAAGAGAATACTGAGTAGGTACCAATGTAATATTTTTCTGAAACCAATCATATTTTCGATTGTGAGTATAAAAAACAAAATATGTGAGCAAGATACATATATATATATATATATATATATATATAGCTATTTGAAAATCAAGATCAAAAGTCGACGATATGTATTTTTGGTCATGTTATACGGAATAAAATTATGGAAAGAAAACTAATGTATACGTAATCTTTACAGACCAATGGTTCGTGATATGAAAGAAATATCATGCCGTATGTATAGGAATAAAAAACTACGTATTTTTTTTTACATATCTGATCAATCAAATTTCGACTCAGCGTCTATAGTATTATGTGTAGTACATGTATCCAGGGCCGTGAAGAGAAATCAAGGGCCCCAAGGACCAACTAATCCATCATAATGTCAAATATTAAACTCACTACAATAATAATGTCCAGCGCTATCCTTTAAAATATATATAACAAATAGCAAGTTCACTTACAGACTTAGCAAATAAATTTACTAGGGGAGAAGACCAGGAAATATCTTTAAATTTTTTTTTGAAAAATGGCAGACATACTTCGCACAATAGATGGGCCACTGTTGTAAATGAAAAATTGAGAAGGTAGAATAATAGAGGGTAATTTAATTTATATCTGTACGCAACGATGAACCATTGCTAAAGAAAAACAATTCGGAGCGAAATTTCTTTTATGCATGTACGTGCATTTTCCCTACTTTTTTTTCCAGTTTCCCAAATTATTATGAAAACCGCTATGACAATCAAAGTAGTATTCTTTAAATACCTCTTTAAAGTATAAACAAGATCAAATTTTCTTTCAGAAAAGGTACTAGAATTGATGAATCAGAACAAGATTTCTGGTAAAAAGTTTCTCACAGAATAAAAAAAAAAATAATCAAAATATCATTGTAAAACTAATAAATTTCTCGCTATACGCTCCTAATCAAAAAAAGGTTTAAGATTGAGGTGCAAGGTATTCAAAAGAAAAAATTATATTTTTACTAACACATACCATAATATAATAATACAAATTAATTTATTATTATATCATTAAAATTTAGTTTTTAATATAAAATGTATTGATATTTCAAAGTAATATGTTATGTCATTAAACTAAAAAAATATTAGATAAATTAGATGAAATATAAGACCTGGTTGCTTTGGTATAGCCTGGGCTCAAAAACTATAGATCCGTCTGACCTCCCGTCTTGTCAAGTCTACATATAGTTTTATAACAAATTTAAAAAAAATAATAACAATAAAGCTGCGTGCAGATTTATTTTTACCTCTATAGGTCCAACCAATCAAATGTTTAGTAAATATTTAAAAATTCGTTGAATAAAAAAAAAAATAATGAAAAGCCGCTAAAATGCCGATTCGTTCATTGACGCCGAATACGATTTTGATTTATACAACTTCAATTCAGCAAAAAGTTATTTTTCATTTTAATTATATTTCTGGAAATCGCGGTGGTTTTTCATTAACGAATTTTTCATTCAAAAACGACTGTAATAATATGGAAGCTATTAAAATACAAAATTACCGAACATTTTTCCACCGTGTTATTATATTGATCGTAATATTACCAATCAATTATTTCGTAGCACATGATATAATAATGAATTATACAAGACTAATAAGGAAAAAGAATCGATAAATTTCAATGTCTGCGATTATAATTATCTAGAATTTTTTTGAAGAAAAAATTAAAACATATAGGAAGCTTTTTTTTTTTATACACTTATATTTACCTACAGTCGTCTTTTATAACATTAAAAATTAACTGATCGCGAAATATTATTGCCGAGAGTCGAGACACTTTAGTGTGCGCAGTCGTTTACATAATTTATCTCGGTTTTTTTTCTCTTCTCTCTTCTCAACTATTTTGCGTCGTATAGGTACTTACTGTTATTGTTGTATAAGTCAGCGCCGCCTACTAAGATTTTCAGATATACGACTGTGCTCTTCGACCCACAAGTTTGCGTGCATGTCATTGTGTAATTATTACTTGTAACGGGTACCTATATCATGTTTTTTTTTTTTTTATTATTATGCGTACGCAACATGCGCAGTCCGGGACGACGGTTGGTGACATTATATTATTATCGTTACCTATACCATATGTCTCAGAATTCCCGTGCCACCCTGATTGTGTTTAAAATCAATATGTCTAAATAATGCGATTCTTTTATCAATAGTTTTTGAGAAAAGACCAATTAAATGGCATGTATTCAGAAAACAATTTTTAATGCAATTTAGTTTTGAACGTTTTTAAAATAGCCGTTTATTTGATGAAATTTGTTTAAACAATTAGAAAAAAAAATTTAATTGAGTGAAAATTGTTAGAGCAAATGTTAGAGCAGATTACCTAAGTTTTTGATTTCACGAAAATAATAGTTTATGATAATATTTAATAATAGTTTTCTTTAACAAATGCTACTCGTTTTTTGTTAAAAACTATTATCCTCATGGGACTTCTGAGACATACGTATAGCGTGTGTGTGAGGCGATTATTTTATCGTCGACAAGCCAACGGCAGATATGAAGCTCGCTGAAGGTGAAGGAAGGGCAGGGGAAGGTTGAACTGGTATCATCGATCCTCGCAAGACCTTGACTGAAAACAGATTATATTTTTTAAGCGGTAGGTGGGGGTTGGTCGTCCCAAATTCGTTGAATTTACTGGGCATTCGTATTTATCGTGTTCGAACGTACACCGCCAGACAATCCCTCCCCAAGTAATTGTTTCGGATTAGCTAAATTAACTATAAAAAAAAATGTGCTAAATTCGATTTTGGTTTTTTCCAGACTTCGTTTACCTAACTACTAAAAATCGTTTGTATAGATAACCACCGGTCGTGATAAAAAAAAAAAAAAAACTATCACTGTCGTCTTTTTAGTCCGGTTTACCTATACAAACAATTTTATAATAATATGTGCCCACAAGGATACTACGCCGTACGGTCTCAATATTTTGTTGAAAAATCACGGGTATGCTGCGTATTATTTCAAATAATTTTTAAAAAAACCTCCGTGGTTTATAATCATTGCACGATCATATTATTACTTATACCGTTAAAATTGTATTTATTCCAGTAATTGCATATAACTAAAAAATTCATTATTTTAATTTAATAATAATTGTAAAATTAATATCTATTTTCTCTATAAACGGTGTAAAGATATATTCAATGTCTCACATGTAAGGTTCAGGTTATTATACAATATATATATACATGAGTACTCTTAAGAAAACTGATGGAAACACCGTTGATAAAACTAATAAAGGTAATGGGATTTTTTTTATTCAATTTCAAATAATAGAGTAAAAATATTAGAAATAAACTAAAAATAAAGTCTAAAATACGTTGTTTTGAAGACATCTCACCTATAAAGTGTGAGTTTAAAATACTGAAAACCCGAGTTAAATCCGAGCTGTAGGATATATATATATATATCTTCCTCTTTTCAAAAAAAAAAAATAAGTAGACCGTAATACAATGTATATGAAAATATTTTCCGTAAGGTATATTTTGAGCCAAAACATTTTTAGTAAATTAACAGTTTATATCTGTTTTCTTTTTTCCGTTATTAAAATGATATATTTTTAGATTCCGGGTGTAGCCAATAATGTATTAGTTTTGCAATGATGTTTTTTTTATTTTATACTGTGACAAAAATGTCTACCATAATCTTGCTCCGATGTACGGGTGATACCATTTCGTTTTAAAACGCGGAATAAAAAGTAAGAAGAACAAGACAATTTACAAAAATAATACGTTTATAATTCGGTTGAAAATATTTGTAGTGACTTGAAATTTGGACAGCAAACTTATAGTTGCCTTTTCTTAGATGTGGTAAAACTTTTAACACATTTGAGACATACTTGAGCTGTTTATAGACATTTTAATTTTGTGAGTAATATTTATTTGGTAGATATTTCAAGCAACTGTCATAATACGCAGTCGCCCTCGGCGAAGGCAATATACCTAACAAGGCCTGGAGAGAACCGCATTTTGGTTTCCAAATGTATGTCTTTCAAGGTCCTATTAGTTTCGCATTTGGCGGTGTCCCTTGAATTAAGTAATACATACACCGGCGCTCGCTCTTATGTATGGTTAGACTTGACCTAACCGTATAATGAAAACTGGCCACTCAACAGCACGAGTCTCAGTAATAAAAGTCGCTATTAATTTTATTAAGTGTTCCTTTTATTTACTTCAAACCTTTGTCAAAATCCTTGATGAAGAGTCTTCGAATTTTCGGTGCCTTCGTCAATTTATGTATAATACTATTCCGAACTGACGGATCCAGGTCACTACAATTGGTACTATGTGGATAAAATTCTTAGACTAAAAAGAAATGGTAATAATTAAACAGGAGGTTAATTATAAACGTGCGTAAAGTTGCCCCCTTCCTACTTTGTCCAATTTTTTCAAACCTTCAAATTATTTTCAAATTATTAGCAAAGGTTTGAAGTTGATCGGACAACATAGGGGGCTGCGTGAATTTGGCTTAAAAAGCTTTTTGCAGTGAAAATAAGAGTTTTTAAATTCTGAAGATTGGTTTTCAAATTTTTTTAAATTTTTTTCAAAATAATGGTGGAAGTTTAGAGAAAATTAGATAAAGTAGTTAATTATAAGTCATACTTTGTGGTGAAAACAAAAAAATTAAACGTAATATACTATATTTTTTTTTATAAGAACTTTAATATCACGTTTTGACTGAAATCGTTTTAGTAAAAAAATATGTGGAACAAATCTAGTTAATAGTCCATACAAATTATTTCAATTTTTGTTGAAATATTTTAATATAATGTGAGATATACATACAGAATGGCTTTTTTTTTTATCATGAACCAACAAATTTCTCGGAGGATTTTTGTCTGTTTTTTTTTTTTTAATTATTTTAGAATCGGTTAAGCTTTATTATAAAACCATTTGATAGATAATAATAAATTGCATGATTGCATTTTACCCTACTCCTTCAATTTAAACTTTAAACAGTTATAACTTATAAACGATAAATCTGATATTAGTGTTATGCACTTATGCATATAAAAGTGTCTAGAAAAATATTTTCTATTCAAGTCTATGTTGAAAAAGGGAGGATTTCTATTTGAAAAACAAAAGTAAATACTTATTTAAGATACATGGAGAAGGGGTAAATATTAAAAACAGTTTTAAAATAAAACTTAAGCGATTCTATAATGATTAAAAACTAAGAAATTAAATTCACTTAAAATTCTCCTGGACAATTGCTGGTTCATGGTAAAAAATCACCCTTTACATTGTTGAAAAATCAATACTATATACCGACTCCACTCAGAAACGTTTTTCGTTAGCAATGATTAATATTTGCTTACAGATATGCATACAATTTCCCTATATACCCTACCTTTCAAACTTCACATCTACAACAGTGGTCCACCCATCATGTGAAGCATGTCCCTCTTTTTTTGTTTTAATGCAATTTTTGTTTTTTTCTCATATTCAGATTTACCGATGGATACTGTATCACATTGTTTTGTATACGAGCCGGTTCAAAAATCAGTGGCCGCAGCCATGGCACCCGTCCAGCACGGTTTTTTCGTGTTGCAAAGCGAAAGTGGCGTGGAACAAGAAATCCAATTCCGAGTACAATCCATTTGGAAAATATTGGTTGAAATTGTTTTTCATGGTACGTTTACGTACGAATACCGTCAACCGGCGGTGTATTTAGAGATGGGATATTTTGGGGTTTACTTTATTTTCTCAATTTTCATAAATGTGACAGGGAGGAAAAAAAATGATATGATCGATCTATGACAATGGGCTGTGTGCAAATATCGTTAAGACATCCCTAAAAGAGAAAACAAAATACGCTATCATCCATAATTTCGTCCAGTATTATAAAAATATTGTAATGAAACTGATATCATTTGGTTTTAGGGAAAGTTTCGTATGATATGCGTCAGCGATCACCTGCCAATAAGTCACGACGATTCCGTTCTGTTGCCACTGTGCGAAAACAGCAAAGTCCTGTGGCTCCCGTTGCTCGTCAAAGGTCTATTGCGCATCTACGCGTTGGCCGAAAAGTTCGAACAGTTTAACACCATAACGTGTCTAACCGGATGGTCTTGTATTCGAAAAAATTGCCGGTAACGCGACGAAACTACAATGTATTATAATATCGTACATTTGTACGTAGGCTTAGTCATGCGGTAAATTTTTCTAGACAAGTTTCGAAAGAAGACTTATGGCGATCGATTTTATCGCACAACTCGTCCAATCCTTTTACGGACATGAAGATTTCGGATAGCCAATTAAAGAAAAAAAAATCCGCTCAACACGCCGATTGTTTTACGATAAAAACGACTGGAGGCGCGCCGCAATGTTTTCGCGATAAAATAATTTCGAACTACGAAGCGAATCCGCCAAACTCGATAATTACAGCGTTCATCCTGTCGCCGGCTATCTGCAAAGTAAAACAAATAAAGTGTATATATGTTTTATTATTTATTAATTTACATTAAATACTGAGGTCTTGAAAATAACAACGCGGCCTAACTATGGAATCGTTTGTTACGTCTTGGAACGTTTTTTTTTTTTTTTTTTTTGTTGTTTGCCGCAGTCTTCTTCTATTTGTATTGTATTGAACTTGGGAAATATTGAAAATACACTATAGGCAATATTAAATTATCGATACCTAATATTCTTTTCAGGAGAAAACAAATGATTCGCTGAACCGATATTCGCAACCAGTATTTTTGAACGGCGTCAAGACGTTGAAAAATAAACCGTTACCGACATGGAAAAAACATCGATGGACAAAATGGGCGGTGAAAAATAATATGATCAAGCGGCACGGTATATACATACTGTTATTAGTGTTATTACAATAATAGTTTTAAACAGAAATAATGATTGAATTCTGGCATCATTATTTCGGACCTTAAAATTAATACTTGAGGCCCTTAACAGCGATAAAGTAAAAGTACGTAACTTTCGTTGAAAAACAAATGAACAAAAAACAGTTATTTATTTATTTATTATTTCTAAAACAACTTAAATAACTAAATTAAGTTAAAATAAGCAACCAAGTTATTAATATTAAATTATTTTCTAATATTTTCTAACATTTTTAACTACGTATTTAAGTTAAAATTGTTCAAAAGTGTAATTTATAACTAAACTTTTAACGTTATAACTACTGTTACTGCCAAGCATTGTCTTGCTTCAATCATCAACTTCGGTGATCGTTTCTCGTAATTCCTTGTTATAACATAGCCTTTGTTCAGTCAATGTAATATGATCACATCATCCTTATAAAAGCCGCTCTTGTCGACCGAGGTTTTTCCGTTGTTTATAATATTTTTGATCAAGACGTCTTTCCCTATAGGTTATTTTTTATGTGATTCTTATAGGTACTTATTATAGAAACAAGAAGGAAAGACCCCAACTAATAAAAATCCGCTCAAATTCGTTTTTTGTTTACGATGATTTATTGTTTAATACAGCATATAGGTAACGTTAATTAGGCTATATGCCTACCCAACTATTATCTACCCACATAAATGGCGGTCCCGTGATATGGAATATGTCCGGCTCTCATTTTTATATTTTCAAACAGTGCTGTTGAAATAGAATTTAATTAAGCTCGTATTGTCTAAACGTAAGTTTATATAATTTGTATATTATAGCAGTCATTTTGGTTGACCCCGAATAGTTTGAACGGAGGTGAAGGCGAAAAAGAATATTATAACAATAATTTTTACTGAATTTATACCAAGTGATCACGCCATCATGATGGTATATACACATTATTATAGGGGCCATACAGCTCTGCATCTGTACGTCGCTCGACAATGACAAATAATTGAAATGGATTAATTATATGATTTAAATTTTTTGTCAAATACACATTATTTTTTTAATTGGACTTTGATGTTACTTACGTAGTACACACATGTTCGTTTAATTGAATTGTTTTTATACGTCGATAATATGCGAATACTGGCGGTTTAAATGTTATATTAATAATATTATGCGATATCTATGCCTATTACATAATTTAGATTGAGAGCGAAACTAGAATTGTATTGGTTTTACCGTAGTAGTTTTTTTTTTTTTTTTTTTTTGTACGTGTGTCTGTTGACAACTTTTTTTATCGAAAATCTTAACCCAATGAAAAACTATGTATAAATTTACTTGTTGTATTTTTAATCTACAGTCAGTGCATACTGGTGTGTCATTTTTTTGATTTTCATTGATTTATATTAATATACACGAAAAAAATCCAATTTGTTTACAAAGTTCTTGTCGATGTTTGGGTTACCATAGTGCTACTGGTATAGAGTTATTGATACCGGTATTTCGGTATAAAGATTAATACCAGTGTGAATCGGTCTACTTAGGTATTTTCGGTTATTCGATAATGTCGTTGATTCAGTTATTCGGTGTTTTAACATAAAACAAAATTTAAAAAAAAAGAAAACACAGGTAAATAATATCATTATTATTTAAATACAATGTATTAATATATATTGTTTTATTACAATATTAAAGTTACCTATTACGTTATTATAGCAGTGCTCGGATTCTATAGCATTTGCTATTTACTACTGTATATAGATAAAAATAACAGAATGAACTTCACATTTATTTTATGTAATAGAAACTCCGAATATGAAATTTTGTATATTATTTTATATTTTTTAAACAAATTAAATACCGCACCTGACCTTGGACATTTAAAAAAAATAATTCGTAAACTTTAACGTAAACGGCTACGACATTATAACAGATAGCACTTCAATCTACAACTTTAGATTTAAAAAATTAACACAAACATACAATCAAACTCGATAATCGTATACACTCGAAAGATAAATCGAGAACGAGTTAAAACCACTTGATAAAAATGATTTCTTAAACCCTAAATAGATCTACAAATAAATGTTGTGAATAAAGATTATTCATTCGGCTTATTAGTAAACCGAATAACCGAAACCACTGAATAATCGAAATAACCAAATACTCAATTTTCGGTATACCAGTATTCCAATATAACGTAAATACCGCCAGCCCTAGGTTAACATGGAAATAAGATAAATACGTCTTTAATACTCTGCTCAGAATCGTTTTTCGTTAACAATTGTTTATCGTTGTGTACAGATTTTATATAATTACACTATTATAGATTTCACCATCTATTATTATAGAATTTATAGGTAGTGGTTTCATTCCTAATAAAAGTAACACAAAATAATGGAAATGTAATATTTGAGAGCTGCTTGTTTCTTAAATTTTCTGAACATTCAGAAAAAACGATTTAACGAGTGTCTTCTCGAGGATCGATTACTCTAAAATATAACCTGAGGTTATTTAATTTTATTCTTAATACAATAATCATAAAAAAAAATTATAATAATAACTATTATCAAAATACAAATTAATTTATTAAAAATATTGATTATATTATTTAAGTATTTCAAGAAATACAGTATTTTTCTTTTTCGCCTTCATCCCAACTATTTAATGGTCAGCGACCCGCGTTCTAAACTTCCATTTGACCCGATCCCTCACCTCGCATACACCAGCTACCCTCATATTCACAATCGCATTCACACGCCTCTTTTCAGTATTCCTCTCCTCCTACGTTTATTTTCATTACTCATTATCATGGCATGCCAAAACCATCTTAGTCTATTTTCTCTAGTTTTATCTACTATCAATGCTACATCTAAGGGCAGTTTAAGTGTCTAAGCTACCATTTATGTACTCATTCCTTATCCTATCTTCTCTTGTCACTCCATTCATCTACCTAAGCATTCTCATCTCTGCAACACTTAATATCTGTTTTGTACTAATATGTAAAAAAAACTTTTTTTAATAGATTCTACAAGTTATGAAATTTAAACATTTCTTCACTTTTGTCAAAATATCTAGACTCTAGAGCCATATTTAAAAAAGAGTGTTGTTTTCGTTTTTTAATAATTTCGAACATATGGCATTCAAACACATTATTTTCGAACACATGATACGCTACCGCTATACACTCTTTCTCTGTTTTCTTTTCCTGTCTACCACCCACCACTCGAAACTATACAAAGTAGACTGTCTCACCTCTCATCGATATAGAATTTATACCTTTAAATCTTATTGGAATTCTCTTATCACATAAATTACTTGACGCCACTAGAGTACTCACTTATTATCCACTTAACACCTACTTTAAGAATACAACTTTAAAAAAAAAATTGTTTTTCATGAACATATGTCGATAATCGATAAAAAAAAAAAAAAAAAAGAAGAAACCTATCATTTTATAAAACTCAATTGAAAATTCCAAATCTATATTGTTCAAACAATGAGAAAGTTGTCTAAATAATTATTGTAGACCGTAGTGCTTAAAAATCAAAGATAAATATATCATACGTGTAAATATTTATATGTTTTTATTTGTATTAAAATTTATTTTCTTTCGTTTACCGTTATTAGAACTTGGCGATTTAATGAAATTAGTAAATATCTATGCTCCGTGCTGTACCACATTAAAACCGACGTGTCATTTGATGGAAGTCCTGAACGAGTACAAATCACAAGAAGACGAAATGCAGTACGAACTCGATATTTCGTACTTAAAACCGTTTACCACGTACGAAAAACTATAATATAATATGCAGATGAGTTTCTCGTTTTTTTATCGCGTAAATAATTCCTTTTTAGACACGTCGAGTTGTACATCAAAAGTTTACAATCCTTTCCGTATGTAAAGTCGATAGTTCTACAAAATGAAGACACTTCGTTAGGCTCGTTCGTTACGAGTTCTACAGACAACAATTACAACAACCACGTCTATTTGCGTATCCTTTTAGATTCTAAACGAATCGAGAAATTTATTGATTTTACTATAATGTGTGTGTGTTTGTAGTTTTCATTATAATTAGAAAAACCGTAGGAAAAACTAGAAAGTTTACAGAAATAACGGTTACATTATTTGTTTTTTTTGTTGTAATTCACCTAGTTATTTATAAGTATTTGTTTTAGTCTTTATTTCGTTTAGTGGAGATAAAATTATTTGGCTGTTCAGAAGTGCTTGAAAATTTAATACGAGGTTGGTTATCATAAGTCGTATTTGATGTTTAAAAAAAAAAAAAATATAAAGATCAAATATTTCAAATTCACGATATTATCCCATAATTACATAAACGGTATTAAAAAATATGTTTATAAAGTGATATTAATGTTAAAACGGTATTTTAAAACAATTTAAAACTATGCTACTTTTTACTCTGAAATAAAGTGTTTGATTAATGTTTAAGATGGGTTCATTTACCATAAACCTGTTTAAGTTTTAGTGTAAAAATAATATTGTTTATCATCGTTGAAAAATATTATTCAACAAATATTGTAGACAAAACTAAAAATTTCATCAAAACGCATTATTTTAAGAACCTTGCAATGAAAAATACAATTATTTTAAAAAAAACGTTTATGTTCTTATAAGGTACAACAAATGTTTAACCGAAATTCGCTCATAATCCTACTTCTTTGGCAATTACTTATCGTTGCGAACAGATACAAATTAAATAATATCAAATCTTTTTTAGGTTCTGGTCGGAACGAGGAATGTATGTTACAATGAGGTTTTTTTTTTTATCTGTGAACAACTTTTCTACCAGCAATTTTTTTTTCATTCCTTCGTTAACTGACGTAGAAAACCGTCTATATAAACTAAATAATTAGGGTTATTTTTTTTCAACTAACGGACGACAGTCGAATAAGTTACCGGTAGTTACCGGGGGTAATTACCGGGCCCGTAAATACCCCGATGTATACATATTCCTTAAACATCCGAATCTTCAGATTTCGAATCTGCTTACTGCGAGTCACTGCTGTTCACTCTATCAGTTTGCAAAGATTATATGATCCACGAAGGTTACTGCGTTAACGAACCGGCCTCGATGACGTCGCACCTCAATACCGTTGATAATATTTGCCCGTACGTATACGTCGAGAAATTCTTCTGGTACGAGACTGCGAACATTCATCAGACGCCGCTGTTATATATTCGCACTAGAGGAACGTCTAACGACGTGTTGAAATTAGAACCCGGGTGAGTCCGTTCGCACGTGTGAAATTTGCATTTTCGGCACGTGGATATAACTAATAATATTTATTAATGTTCAGGGTTCGGGACTTGTTTAGATTTTCAACAAAGCGTGAAATTTGTTGGTTTTACTGTAATATGTTTTGTGTGTGTATGTTAGTGACGTATTTATAGGGGGGGGGGATATAGGGAATAGATCCCTTCTATTGTTTGTTTTTTTTTTAGACCAGGTATAAACTGCAGTACAGTTATTGTTACTTATTATTTTGTTATTCTGTGGGCTTTGAATGACATTATTACACAATAGGCACGAATAGTGTGACGTCACGTTAACGATTAATAAGGACGACGGTTCAAAACAAACTGTTATCATGGTACACCCCATAAGAAATACTTGGGCATAAAATTAACATTTTTAAAGTTGATTTTTTTGGTGTTTATATTTTTTTTCTTAAAGTGTGCTCACTATTGACACACATATAATTCACAAGTTTATATATATATATATATATATCGTTAATACAAACAATTTTTAATATTTTGTATCATACACATACACCAATCATTCAGTTAATAGTAAGTGTTAAATGAGTAGAAATTACCCCTCATTAGACAATTTGCTAATGTTGGAAAACAATTTTATTCCAGGTAAAAAAATATGACTCCAAACAGTATCATCAAGCTTTCGTGCATCATTAATTTTATTGATGAACAAAAAATTATTTTCCAAAGGAGAAAATTCTTTTGAATGTGGTCACGAGCTTTAATTATAACGGAACCCAATATTGAACCATTTTGCATTATGACAACAATTACTTGACAAATTTTAATTTGGATTAAATATTATTTAAAAATTTTCAAACTCTTCAAAAGAAAAACCAGTAATACTAAGTTGACAAACGGAAGACTGAAACAAATCAATGTGCAAGCAGACGGGATGGTTAAAAAATCAATTTTTTTTAAATATTTTTTCTACCTTTGTATATCTTATGGAATGAACCGTGATAATAGTTTGTTTTAAACCGTCAGTCCCAACAATAGACAATGTGACGTCAATACTATTTAAGTACTTTTAAGGCGAAAATCTTCATTTTGTACATACGAATACTCTGAATACTCGTGTCGTAAGGATATTTGGAGCGAAAAAACTTTATAAAAACAATATCTATGTATAATATTATTTTACAAACAACGTGTGTGTGTGTGTATGTGTGTATGTGTTTATATGTGTATGTGTGTACCACAAACAATTATTCTACCAAAAATCCTGCTCCGACCAAAAATTGTATGGGAACTTTCAGGTGCACTATGAAGGTCGATTTTTGATTTTCCTTGTTGTTTTCTTAATAAATGGGATAAGTAGTAGTTAAGTAGGTTTAGGAAAAATGTTTTTTTTTAGTTTTTTTTTTTTAAATTCTTATTACAGCACTAAATAATTTTTTAAGCGCTTTTTTGTTGATTTTATGTGCTATCGGTCTCGAGCTCTAATTACTATTATCATCATTATATTTTCGTCATCGCCATAACAAACCCCAACAGAATTAACTTTTTGAGAGTGTGGGGCGAACTGCCGGCCAAATATTCACTGATGGTCGAATCGACGACCGACTTCTCCATCTATCAGACGGTACAAACTGTTTTTGAAAAACTCGTCGATCAACCCAAATCTGTGACGTCTTTTATCAGTGAGTCGGTTTTCCAAGCATTTCTCAATCGAATAAAATAGACATTAATATTCTAGTCACTTGATTCTACGTACTATTACTGTGTCTTACCTGCATTTTTATAGTGAATATAAAACAAGCATTCACACAATTGTTTGCCGTGGAACCAAATACCGTCGATCACGGACAAAAGTTGCAGAAATTATATTCTTCGTTTATGCCCCTATCTGCCACCAATGAAAACGAACTGCAAACAACTGAACGATATCCAATCGTTTCCAAAGTACGGGATACATTATAAACACATCTAATGCATTTATGCTATAGAGATTTAAAAAAAAAAAAAAATAAATTCAATTAAATACTTAATATAAATTCTTAGCTTGTCCAAAGAACCGTTGTAGAATGTGTAATGAATAACTTGCTGAACGATTCGCTCAATATAGCAGAGATGTACACGGAATTACAAGAATTATTTCAAACCAAGTCAATTGCCGGACAAGAAAAAATATTAGAAATGATTGAAATTTACGAAAAAATTGAAGCTGAAAAATTATCAGCATCCCAGCAAGAAGAACAAAATAAACACCACGAAGATGTTAACAAAGCTGATAATATGAATAAAAAAAAATCGACCGCTGCATCAAGAAAAAGTATTAAATCTCAAAAGTCCGCTCATGGTAAACCTTCCGTGTAAGTATAATATATAAAAGTCGGTTAGAACAACATAGACACTTTTAAAATAATATGATGATATAATAACAGCAATGTTTCTTAAAGGTCACCTGCGACATCATCTGTAGTGCCCTCAACAAAAATCGTTAAAAATGCAATGTTAAAATCATTACTCGATAATACGTTTGAAGTGATATGGTAATCATTTTAATACTATGGTTCTTTTGGTTCGGATCCGACATCATTTATTTAGTTTTTTTTTTTTTTTATATAGTATAAAAATACATTTTACAATATTTTATTATGCATCTTTTATGCACAATGCGTTAATGTGTATTATAGGGACGTGTTAAACTCCGACAAGATTGATTTGGACGAATATCATTTTAAAAATGATTTATTAAAGTGTTCTGGTTATGTTTTTCACATCGAGAATACCATCAAAGATATCGATCCATTGTTGTTGTTGTTGTTTCGACTAGAGCTCAATACGCATTCTACGTCTGTAAGTGTGTATTTAGATTATTACCTTTACAACTACAACAAAACCATGGTTGGAACGTATAATACATCAGCGTATAAAACATCTATTATAAGTTTATGTATGTATAAAAACATAATTATTTTTACACGTTTTATACTGTAAACAAATTTTTATGTTCGTTTTTTTTATGGTCACACTGAACAGCAGCTATCGGGTATAATTAATTTGATAGTTGTTAATAAGTTTATCTTTTTTAACAATCGTTAATTACATTAATATTTAAAATTAAAATTTGTTTTATATCAGTTTTAAATTCGAATAAATTCAACAAGATGGATGCAATATGTATTATAGTGTTTATGTTTAACATTAATGTGTAGCTGAAACAGTTTTGTTTTACAATGAAGGGTTTACTATTTTATTTATTTACTATTTTTTAGCAGAACTAAAATATATGTAAACAGTAAACACTTTAATATTAAAACATAATTTAAAATACCTAAAATACATAAAAAAAAAAAAAAAAATTATAAAACAAATTTGATGGACATTGATTAAAATAAATACAGGTAGTGAATATAGAATAATAATGCATTTCATAGAAAACAAAAACGTATTCGTGTGTCGTTTAGTCGTTTATTATAGTTGTATACGTTTCATACGTGGTGTATTATATGTATAACGTATAAAACGTTTTAAACTCGTACATTACCAACCCTAAACAAAACTATAGTACCTAACTAAGTACCTATTTGTATTTATAGTATTGTTATTCGTTTGATATAATAGTTTATCTGGTATCTATAGATAATTTAATGAACCACAATAACACGCGTGGAAAAATCGTAATAATTACATTATACTTCTCTTTGAGCTGAACGGCGTAGTGTTATGGTGCATCTATATTAAACTAACAATTTTAAGGAGTATAATAATCCCTTAAATAAGGAGTGACGGCCTCCACAACTAATATATAGGATCGGCGTCATTGAATACGATGTCTGGCTATTAAATAACGAGACTGCTTATGACAAATGGTTTTATTTTAAAAATTATTCCACAACCAAATGTTCCCCTTCAATATACTCTCCTCCCCTCTTCACACACCGTTTCATTCGTTTCTTCCGTTGCTCGAGGCAGTGCTGGAAGTCTGTTTTCGTAAGACCATTCAGGAGTTCCGCCGATTTTTGTTTCACCTCTTCCATCGACTCAAACCGGATTCCTTTTAAGGCACACTTTATCTTCGGAAACAAGTTAAAGTCGCAGGGTGCCAAGTCCGATGAGTAAGACGCGTGTTCGAGTACTGGAGTGCCTTAAGCGGCCAAATAACGCTTCACAGACAGCGCGTTATGGGCAGGTGCGTTATCCTGGTGCAAGATCCACGACTTGTTTTTCCACAATATCGACCGTTTCTTACGAACTCATTCGCGCAATGTTGCCAAAACTGTCAAATAGTAATGTTGGTTCACAGTTTGACCCTCTGGAACCCATTCAGTCATCACGATGCCGTTAATATCGAAGAAAACGATCAGCATGGTTTTGAATTTAGATTACGACTGAATTGGATTCCGGTGCACTCTCGACCTTCAGAAAATAATGTATGCCACTCAAAAACACGCGCCCGAGATAGGAAATCCTCACTATAGGCCTCTTTTAACAACTTATAGCACTCAGTTGGAGTTTTTTTTTAGTTTAACGAGAAAATTTTACGTTTATCCGTTGCTCATGTTTTTCGTCACACATCGTTTTCGGCAAGAGAAAAAAACATGTTCGTTTCTAAACGCTACAGAAAAAATACTAATGCACCAACAAACACCTAATTTTGTACTGGCATAATAGACACTTTCAGCTAACCAGCGCTGTATTCGGTTTTCCCCTAACCTTTTTGGGACGCTCTCTGCGCGCGTAGTCTCGTCATTTAATAGCCAAACCTCGTATGTGTATGCGTGGAAATTTATCGTAGGATATTTTAATAAAAATGATAAAGTACAGAAACATCTACAGTAGCCTTAATAGACACGCTTCTGATTCTCCTGTGCTCGGGTTGTGTGAGGATTTGTGCAATTTTACTAGAGCTGCTTCTTAAGAAAGAAAAATTCACGTCGTTACTGAATAAATCAAAACTATAATATTCTAAATTTATTTAGTCGATTCAAAGAAGCGAGAACAGTTGCGGTATTTATTAATATAAAATTTACAACTTAATACTAATCGTCTGTGTAGACGCACATTAATATATAATGATGATTGTCTACAGCAACAGAATTATGAAACTGAATTTTTTATATATACAGATCGGTTTGTAAAAATATTATTTTTTGTTTTTTAGTTTTTGTGTTTTGTTTTATTTTAGGAACTGGTACCAACGGTCATTCAATGTTCTAGTAAAAATAACGACATTGTTAATTTAATGTTGATCGACAATAACTCGAAACTAGAAGTGAGACCGTTGGACGACGTGAATACGTTTCTCGTCAAAAGGACCGCAAAAGGATACACGCTGTTAGGTTGGTCGTTAGAAAAAAAGTCAGACGATAAACGCAATCAATATCGACTGTCGTTTTTCGGACGGCCATACCAGATATTGCACTCTTGTGGAATACGAAACAGCAATAACAATATCCCCAAGTTGTACAACGGCGTGGTGTGCAATACCTTGCACGCGCCTGAATTCATTACCATAAACGTGAAAAACCGATTTCTCATGCCCAATAATGATCATTTATTAGCCAGGTAAGTAGTGCAGCGCGCGTTACATTAAATTACGTATAGGTGTCAAAACTGAAGATTATAAATTATATTACCCAGGCGTGTATAACACACGGACTGATCCACGTATTAGGTCCCAGAGAAGAATTAGCCTTATTTTAATAAGACATGTGCGTACGCATACCCGAACTGAAAATTCAAATAACTTAAATCACTATGTGGTGTACTTTTTGTTCAACGAAAATGCACAAGTCACTATGAATTATATAGGTATGACTTGGGACATTTATAACGCCACATTCAGATTAGGTCATTTGGTAATATTATGCAATCACGTCATTTGGAAACGTTCGAAATATAATTCACTCGTACAGAAAGCTATACGAAATTTACTGTCATTCTTGTGCCACTTGAGCCATTCTTCGCTGGACCCAAACATACATTATAGGTCCGTTGGATCCGTTTGATTTTTGTCCACAGAGTATTTTTGAACGTCGAAAATCCAGCTCTGTACACGGTTTACTGCCATCTAGAAAACATAGACCATTTACCAATGGAAATCCGGATAGTAGACAAACGAAATAGTTCCACCGTATTCGCATCGGCTCGCGTGCACGGAAGAACTGCAATAATTCCGATCGTGTTTTTAGATCCGAACAACTACGACATGCGTAAGTCGCTCGTATTATTACAAGTTAATAAAATAATATTTTCGTTAAAAACTATTTTAATAATGTAGGTATATCTCAAAGCAAAATAATTTAGCCACCAGTCCGCCATTGTATACTGAGTGTCCCCACAATGATCAACCACTTGAAGTGACTTTTGTTCTCTTCAATACTTTTTAAAATAACCAGTATGCTCCTATACTAGAGATAATATATATATATATATATATATATATATACACATATTTTTTTTTTTTGTGGGGGAGATTAAAGTAGAAAATTTAAATTAAAAAAAATTTAAAATGGCCATTTTGTAAAGTAGATTTTTAGAAAAATGTTGGTGGTTGAAACTTTTGTTTAGGTATGGTTTTATATTTTCTATAATTGATTGAAGTTTTTGTAAATGTGAATATTATTGTGGTCTATAATCTATTACAATATTATTTAATCAGCAGAGTCAGAGCACATCAGACTTTTCTTTTACATAAGTTAATATCATACGATAATACTATTGACTACTGCAGATTAAATATCTGACAACCATCAGCAGTAACAGATCTTTTTTTCAGAAACAAATGCTATTGACAATACCGAAATATCGACAAATGTATTCGTAATCGAAGTATTATTAATCAGGAATATTCAAATCGAAAATATGGTTACTCATGAACCGGTGAGCGATTACGATTGGACAATTTCGTGCTCTTACGATCAAAAAGTAAACATATTTTAATTGCATAATATTACATCATCATCATGGATATTAGGCCGTCTCTGTCGTGTATAACAAAAATGTGTTCGCGTAAAACAAATAAAGATGCCTTGTTAAAATCCGTTTTAGAGATAGACATAACTAACACAATATCGTTTGTAGATGAAATAATTTTGAAGACAAGCTTACCGGCGTTGTTGAGATAATAATGCATTATAAATTAACAAAGTTTACGGTTATTCGTAATGGAAAATACCATTTTTTATTTATTTTTTTTTTTTTTTTTTTTTGGATTTTCGATAGTGAGTTGCATATTTATAGAATTGTAGGACGTTGTCATCTACGCGTTTTATTAAAAGTGTTATGTCGTTAAAACCGATTTTAAAAGCATTATTTTGTTTTACGTGAATGTTATAGTTCCGGTTTTTATTCTTTCCTGTTAAGAAGATTATTAGGTGTAGGTACCATAATATTGATTCCGATAATGTTTAGATCACAGATATCACACTTGAAACGGACACAACCATGAGCGATTTCCGATTCATCAGTTCCATACCGCATCAAAATGTTATAATCACACAATTATCAAAAAGTAAAATATAATAATATTCCTGCAGCAGGTTCCATATTTGACTGTTCTGCTGTTTTATTTAATGCGATCGTAATTTGTTAATATATAATATAGAATCTAATGCTATTAACGATGCAGTGGCTAGTGACGAAAATGACATTATAGCTCGGCCGGATTTCGAACAATTAATGGAGTCTATGATGATGGACAAACGAGTGCGTATTTAACGATACTCGAATACAATCTACAATAATATAATATACAGTGAACTGCAGTTGATAATATTTGTTGATAATCGTTGTTGTTTGCATAATTAGAAGCTATTGGAACGAGAAATCGCGGATATCGACTCGGCGGTAACTCCTGTGCCGTCACTAATCGAAGAAGAAAACGAAATAAAGATTATAACGGAACAGCTGGCCGACAGACAAAATAATACCGTGAACGCGATCTTAAAAGAAGATGACGCAAATGAAAACCATCAAGTATAAAAACCTAATATCGAAGTATTGCGTTCGTTTATTTTGACGTACTTAACAAACTACGATTTTTACGCAGGTTTTAATGGACAAAATATTCAGTCAGAATATATTTAAACGTCCTAATACTAACACGAATACTACCCATGCCAAATCGACCATCGGCGTACGGGCATCGCGGGCGCAGAAAAAAAAAGTATAATATGAGAATTTGTCACGCGTTGTCACGGAAAAATATAATTATTGTCAATTATTATTGAAACGTTTCAAATACTTCAAACGCATTGGTTCACTAGTTTTTAAATTATCATTGTTGTTGTTATACGCGCACATCGCGGTACATTACATTATAAATGTATAACAATAAATCAAATAAGTTTGAATTCGTTTGAACCGCATTTGTATTGGATATTTATTTGATAAAAGTGTTAATTATTAATCCACATATTTTCCGAGCACGCCAGTGCGCAACACATATTTTCGATTCTGAGTGTAGCGAAGAACGTATTGGTTTCACAAAGACGTTTATATATTATTTTTACTGTGTACACGAATTCTAACAGAAATCATACCCCAAAGTATCAAGTATAGCACTTTTTCTGAAAGGGAAATTTCCGGGGATAGAACATTAGAGAAATCATTTTTTTGATTTTCCCAGGAGTTTTTCCAATAAACGGGAAAAACGTGGTAAAAACCGGGAAAAAAAGGGGAAAATAGTTACGATATTTAATAAATATTATTGAAAGAAATTATATACTGCATATAATTTTATCCCTCCCATGAAGAAAGACACCTTGAATATCTCTGGAGATAATAAAAATAATGAAACTTAAAATAATAAAATAAAAAGATTTTCATTTTATATTTTTAATAAAAAAAAAATTAACTCAAATATAAAAACAGAGTTTCATTATTTTTATTATCTCCAGTGATATTCAAGGGGTATATCTTGGTGGAACCAATGGAACCAGCCATATGGTTTTTTAATAGTCGAAAAAACCGGGTAAGGTCATTTTTTTTTTATTTCTCGTACCGGTTTTCGTAATAAAGGGGAAATATCGAGAAAAATCACAAAAAAAAGGGAAAATGTACGAAATGTACAATTGAAATATTACGGTCTTTTTGTTTCTGTTGAAAACATTATAATCAGCGATTATGCTCCAGTATTAAAATAATTATACAACTTTCTGAAAGAGATTTTTCATGAGCTGATATTTAGGGAGTTCATTTTTAGATTTTCCAATTTGCTTTCATAAGAAGAATAGGGAATTTTTGGACTTCCACCTTCGCCACTCACACGAACTTTAAAACTCAGAAATAGCCGTCGCCGCCACAAACCGAGGCACTGCAATACGCCAAACGTTGTAGCGGCGCACTAACGTCGTACCACATCCTGCACTCCTAGTACTCGGATACTTTTTATTTGGCTGATTGTTCTTGTTCTCATTAAACTATTACTACAGTACATTTTACATTTATACTACTATATTGCTGCTATATAAATTATCAAAACTAATTTTTAAGGTATACCTGATTTATTATCTCTAATCTAAACACGCAACTGACGTTCTTTCGTTGAATTTTGAATAATCTTGTTGATTAATAAGAAAATCTGTTTCCTGTCATATTTCGTTTGCTCGTATTTTCAATTAGATATACCTCTTTCTCCACGAGATTTTTTATGAGGTAATACTTTGGGGAGATAATTTTTAGATTTTCCTATCTGTTTTAATACACAAAATAGAGACTTTCTGAAATTCCACTTTCGTTACTCATACGAACATTGTAAAACAGAAATTGCCGCCGCCGCCGCCGCCATACACCGAGGCGCTGCAATACGCCGAACGTTGTAGCGGCGCACTGACGTCGTACCACATTCTGTACTCCTGGTCATTGATACTTGGTACTGATATTTGGCTGATTGTTCTTGTTCTCACTAAACTACTACTATTACTGTTACTACTACTGTTACTATTATTACTACTACTACTATTACTTATATACATTTTAGATCTTTTTTGTCGAATTTGGAATCTATTTGGTTGATAAGAAAATCGTTTTTTGATATTCCGTGTAATTTTCTTAATAACTGAGCAAGATTGCCAAAAAATGTGAGAAGAACGAGAATTATTACGGAACTTATGGTTTTATTATTTTCAATTTCGATTTTAGTTTTTATCCAGTTACGCGTATAAACTGGACATTTGTTTGATTTTAGATTCTGAGTGTATCAAAGAATGTATTGGATTACAAAGATTTTTAGTTTTTTAATTTCATACTGTGTATATAAGTTTTACCAGAAATCTTACTCCGATGTATCAAATGTAACTTATTATCTGAAGGGAAATTTTATCTCCATGGTAATTTAGGGAGTTCATGTTTAGATTTTCTTAAGAAATTTTCTAAAAAATGTGAAAAAAAACACGGGAAAGCGGGAAAACAGGTACAATATTAAACAAATATTCTTAAAGAAAATATATAATGCATGTGTAAATATTTTACCATAATATGACACATATGTCGTTGTTAAAGCAACACTATTACCCGGACTCCGCACAGAATCGTTTTTTTTTTAAAAGATGAATTGTTCTTTATTACTAAACGATGTATTGAACATTAAATTTGGAATAATAGTTAGAATACTAGGAAAAACGCTCGTTTTTGCTCGTCGGAATATTGTTCTCTTTTAGTTTTTATAACGGGTGATGTTTCTCTAAAATCAAAATTAAGCGAGTTCTACGCGTAAGATGGATTTTGTTACACTGCCTGTTTGTTTGACTGAGAGTATAACATGCGGGTATAACATCCTATTAATAATAAAATATAAAATTATTAATATTATAATTAAAATGAACAGCAAACGTATATATATATATATTATTATATGTAACGCACGTGAGACATATATCTATATGAAAAGTAGCACAATATTATTGAATTCTATACGAGTCATAATAATGAGTACGTGAAATGTTACCATCATTCATATTATTGGGCGTAACTCACGTGTCGTCGATTGTCTATAATGAATAATTATAATACCGACGAATCTCTATTGTACACGATAATAGGTACTCTACCTACGTGTGTATACATGTGTTATTATTGTGCCGACAAATATAATATATTTTCAACCTCGAAATTCGGAAATCGATTTTATTAATCGAGACATTATTAAATTTGAAACTAAAAATGATCCCCTCCCCCAGAATAAATTATTCTAAATATTTTAAAAATACATTCGGAATAGTTTTTAAAATGTTTTTATTAAAATCGAATATTTCTCTTCTGTATTATAAACATATTCTTTTCGAAACAAAAAATAATCCAATACTATGAGATTACAATATACCATACTAGAATTATACTACTTCTAAAAAAAAAAAAGTGAAATTTAATCATAAAAATAGTAGGGAGAGGTTAGAAATTAAAATTGAGAGCCCCAAAATACGCACCATTGATACAAATGTCGCACATATATAAAATGTCATCCCTCTGGCTTTATTTGGGCGTTGCGTAGGGGTTCAAAGTTAAAAAAAAAAGATCCTGCTCGTGACAGGATAGTGAAATTTGTATTTAAATTATTCAACCATACATAAGAGCGGGCGCCGGTATGTAAACACCGCCAATGTGGAATTATCAGGACTTTGAAAGACACATATTTGAAAACCAAAATACGGTTATCCTCAGGCCTTGTTAGTTATATTGCCTTCACCGAGGGTGGCTGTATATTATGACAGTTGCTTGTGGAACAAGACAGTAAATCAAAACTTTAACAAAAATATTCTAAACCTAATTTGAAAATAACTATCATTAGTAGTATGAAAAAGGCGGTTTTGGGCCCCCCGCAAAGTTAGGCAAGCCAGTTCCCCCACCATCCATCCCCTCCACTTTCGGTTTAGATCACGCCCACTTCTTGTTTCCACCTCTTCATATAGGTAAGAAAGTAACCTTACTATACTTTCAACTACTTTTAAGCCTTGAGCTATATTTATACAACCTTAATGGAAGGGATACTTTTTTTTGAAAAATGAAAAGACAAATTTTATATAAATAAATACTCATTTATTTATTATTTTTAATAATACAAAATATCTATACATATTTTATATATATTACTACACACAAAAGACCTTTCTTTATTTTTACTAGAAGTAATTTTAATTCCATCCATCTTAATTTTATGTTATAATGTTAATGTTATAACAGTTTCTTCTGTCGGGAGGACTATTAATTCCATTTCGTTAAACGAAATTAAAATGTGTCCTTCTTCTTTAAGTTTTACTCTGATGTAAATATTTATAAAAAAAATTTTAAAAGAGCTTTTTAAGAAGCTTTAAGAACACCTTTGGTCACATCTTCTTCAGCGAGTACTCCAACATAAGGGTATTTTCTTTTATTATTAACAGTAGAAGCCAAAATTCGGTAAAAACCATCTGTATCTAAATTTCACCATTTCTTATTAAAATAGTTTTCTTTTAATAGCGCAGCCTCGTGTTTTTTCCTTAACACCCTCGAATACGGGGTGTGTAGTAATAATATTCTGTTTTTTTTTTTTCCATTATCCAACTACTGTCCGAAACGTGCAACATGTGCAGTGATAATGCATATTATTATTGTTTTTTTTTTTTTTTTTTTAATGCATTACTCGAGTACCAACCTCTACGTATACTCCGTATTATTAATTTCTAAACATTTAAAACAATAATTACGAGATTATACAATAAACTACCTACCGCTGTTCAATGACGTATATTGATTTAGCATCGTGGTTCTAACAAATATATTGTGTGTACGTAGGTCGCAGACAATAATAATATAATATATTATTCATTCAAGTAACAGCATATCAGACACCGCGTGCGTATACCTACGTCACGAATCCACGATAAAGTTGAAATCCATATGGTGAAAGATGAGGGGGCGCCATTCATATATTATTACTATAACGAAAGCACCTGCGTACAATATAATACAAACTGATCCACTTATAAGTGAGAACACTTATGATTAGCTCGGGAAGGACGAACTTTTTCCAAAACTTTTTTTTTTTTTTGACAATTTAGGAAGCAATGTGCTCTAAAATGTTATATCGTTATTAATTTGGTCACTCTTATTTTTGAGCAGTGAAACGACTACCTACTTTTGATTTTCAAACGGCAACCTACATTTGAAATTTCACAAATGACTGGATCGGGAGAGTTAGATTAGGTTAGGTTAGTTATAGATGTACAAAACGGCGGGTATCGAACATCTAAACTGCGGGGAACGTCATTATAATATGTAAATGATAAGATATAACTATAGACTGTACCATTGTAACTGCTAGGAGAATCAAAACACGATTCACTTACTCGTCGACTAAATTAAAAATTCATCAAGTCTCTACTAGTCATTTTTGCGCAAGTTTTTTGTTCGACGACAAAAAAAAACACATAGTAAACCAAACCTACGCTCCGAATCTAAAAAATTTTAAAAAAATACAAATAATAACGCTGACGTTAACTTATTAGAATTTCGATTTTTTGGAAAAATATAATATCAACATCGCAAATGAACGTAAGCATATAATGTTATAATAATGACAAACGGTTTCACTATGACCAATACTAATTTGGTGACGTTACCAACGAAAATCAAAATGAAATACATACGTTTATGGCAAAACAAATCGGCCGTCGTGTAGTTGTTTTAAAAATTCTACAACCCGAAATGTGGCCCGAGTGTTATTTTTCAGACTACTGCGTATTGAAAACAAATATAAAAAACACGAACGACAAACTGCGAAAGAATGTCTTCAGCGTCTTACTACGTTATTTTAATCGCTCTGTATTTTATGAAATGATTCTCGAGACGTGTCGAACAAATAAAATCAAAAAAAATCCATTCCATTTAAACAATAGTATAAAGCATTTCCTGGTCATAAAGATATCGAGCAATACAATCGCAATTGGATTCACTTTAAATTATACTTGTCTTTAAAGAGCTTTTTGAGACGAAAGCCATAAAAAAAAAAAAAAAAACAATCATTAACTATTCAACGACTTTATAAATTAATAGAGCCTATATCAAAGAGGTGATTGAACACTGATGATAGATATGCCTACTCGAAAAAAAAAAACAAGAAACACAAGAAGCAAATATTGAAAAATGCAACAGTCTGATCGGAATTATACTTCATGATCAATATATACGTAAAATGTACGTACATAGTATTAGTATTTAATATTTAAGTACCCGAGTATTAAGCACTGGTTAATTACACACTCCAGTAACGTACCCAAAATCAAAAACCGAGGCGCGCAATATTATTTTCCCCTTTATTTTTATTTTGTTTTACCCTCCCGTATTAGTATATTATACGACTGCATAAGCCACTGACGATACCCAGATTCCCCCTCCCTATGTTTATTAAATGCTTCCGTCTCTTATTTCCTTGTGTGTATTATGTTATCCAGTGGCGGCGAAATATTTCTTACCTTGAATCATCTGTTTAATTTCTCACCAATCCGCCCCAACCTAAAATACTCCCACCCTACCGCAAATGTATTAAAATTTGTAAAATTTCAATAAAATTTATCAATTTTATCAAATTTCCGCAGTCTGAAATATTCTTTTAATGACTTTTATTTTACACAAACATAATAATTTTTGGTATGTTTCTGAACACTCAGGCACCCACAACCCACCCTACCACCCGACCACCCGGTTTTCTTTGAATAATTCAAATTTACCTCGTTCGAGCCGCCACTGATGTTATCTACTTGTCGTCTGGGTTGTCGCTGGACATGGAACAATACTGATGGTCCGCGAGTATAATTATTGAACAAGAATTTAAGAGTTTAGATACCAAATGTAAAAGTGCTTTTTTTTCTTGATTATTACGAGATAGTAACTATACATAATATTAAAACTAAAAAATGTCTTTTACTAGTATTGTTGAAAATATCTTTTAAGTCCTTATTTCAAGGCTATAATCAATAGTAGTTTAGATCCCATGATCTGATTATAATATTAATATATTGTGTTCGCGCTTTACATAATAATTTATCTAATGTTTTCTGGAAAAGGATCGCTGTATACAAACATCTAAAAATTATTAACACTCTGTATACACGTAAATACGTATGTAATAAAATTATTCTTATGATTTCGAAACCGTGTGGACCGTCGCTACAAGCATCACGCAATAATATACAACAACGCAGTACGCGAAGACAAACGCCCGTGTCCGCGGGGAATCGTCTCGTGACAATGGTGCGCCACTGTTCTGCGCTCGAGGGGAATTGCGACGTTCAGTTTTAAATTCGCAGGTATGTGATACGAATATTGATTTTGTCAGACCTTGGTACTTACAAAACAATAATAATATAGATTAAAAATGTAACAAAAAAATGTTCTTATTGTTTTTTTATTGGAGTAATATTTCTAGTAGAAACCAGGTAATATTATGCTGTAAAAATCTAAAATAAAGAAATCGTAACGCAACCGTAAATTTATCAGGTTTCATTTTTCATCTTTTCCCCAACCTTTATCAAAATACTTAGAAAATCAAAAAACTAATTACTTACATAATCTACGTTTAGATTAAAAATTCAACAAAAAAAAAATCTTTTATGGTCTTTTTTCGATTTGAGCAATATTTACCAGAAAGTAAGAAACATAAATTGCAAATATTAAAAACAATAAAATCGGTGAGGCTATGACACGCCGTAAGTATCAAATTTATGCACCAACTAAACAAAATTTAATTTCAGAAAAGGTGCTACACTTGGTATGCCGGAGTAATATTCTTGGTAGAAAAGTTGTTCATAGGCAAAAAACAAAACGTCCTAGGTTTATGGGGACGGGTGCAGCCACTGTTATAGGTAATTTAATGTATACCTGTAAGTAACGATAAACCATTGCTAACGAAAAAACGATTCTGAGCGGAGTTCATTTAATAGTGATAACTTGTTTCAAAATCAAATTCGATTATGCGTATTATGTTGATGTCTTTTTTTTATTATTTTCTTGCAGAAAATAACAAAACTATACAAAAATAAATTATTTTATTTTAGTATTATGGTTACCACTTCAAAACTTTAAGTTTTGCTAATCAATTGTAAGTTATAAATTAAACTGTGTACATATTTTACCTTATATTCATTATTATTTATACCAAATATTGTATGCCTACTATGTACATATATTAAAATAATAAATAAAAAATTTAATTAAGATTATATTTGTTTCTTCAAAATAATAAAAAAAACTTATAATAATTATTAAGGGGTGGAAAATTTCTTTCTGCTTGTAGACAGAAAACGACTTAATCTGTGCTGCTATCAGGTATACTATGTACATAATCTGAGAATAAATAGGTTTTAGGTTGTTATTTCAAAAATATTCAGAAGTATTTAAAATTTAAAAATTCACATTTTAACAATAAATTTTACCTTTTATTTAATTTTATAGGACAGACAAAGTTGTGTCCTTAATTTAAATAGATTTTGATGATCACAGATTAAACAGATTAAACCAGTCATTTTGTAATCATAAATAAAATAAATGTAACAAAAAAAAATGATTTCTGTGCTGTATAGACATTCATTAAAACTAAAATTGTTGAGATAAAATCTTTTTTGTTGCGATTATTTCTTATTACTGCATCAGTAATTTTATTGTACATTAGCTATTAATATAGAACCTTTTCTCTATCAAATAATAATCCCCTTTAAAGGTTCTGTTTTTTTTATATAAAAGAAAATCATTTATTTTATATATTATTATTTTAACAACTTAAAAAGTAATTCTTTGAAAAATCAATGGATATAACCTTTTCGTTCTCATGTGATATTATATAATATAGATGATAATATAATATATGTATAATTGTATTTTTTTTCATAAATGTACTTATTTTTAAGTCAGTATATATACACAACAGTGTTTGAAATTCTATTCAATATCTAATATTTTATGTTGATTAGTTAAACAAGTGGTTGTTTGTAAATCAAATACCTATATTACTCATGACAGACAATAACAGTACAATACCTAGGAGTACCATCTGAATACCTGTAACACATTGTACTTTTTTTCGTTAAATTTATTTTATTGAATATACAGTATATATTATTGTAGTAATATAAAGATATGTAAATATATTAAAAGATATGTGGACATATTAAGTGTGAATATTGGGATATCAACAATAATTGTACTATTATACAGTTGTGAGCAGTTTATTCTAACATTTCTAATATATATATATATATATATATATATATATATTTATGCTCCTATAATAATAATAATTATTTTATGTTCACACTGATACATTGTGTATGATATGTCTTATAAAAAATACAATTTGTCTAAACAAAAAACAAAATATATATATATATGTAAAATAATAAATTCCCTAGACATAATAAGTTTTGTGTAGTTTAATTCAAATGCAGTAATAATATAATATTAAATATTATATCTTATGTGCCAGGGAAAAAAAGCTTAAGTCAATTTTGGTATATTTATATGCATATATATAATTGTATCATATTTAATAGTTTTTCCTTTATTTTATATGGTATAAATACAATGACATTTAGGTGTATTATATTCTAACACAACTACTGAAAGTTAAAATTTTCTAAGACAATTTTATGCATTTTTTGTCAAACATAAAAAGGAATGTCATATAATTAATAAAACATTAAACAATTTAGCCATTTAGCAATTAAATTTGCTTGGATCTAAGATCAAATAAAATTGACTTTTACCCTTATTCCCTGGGATCAAAGATATAATATGAACAATAAATTGCAGTTATTCTGGTGTAAGAATTCTTGTGTATTCTTATATGTTAATAGTTTTAAACTCTGTTTATATCTATAATAATAAAAACAATAACAGTATTATGTTTTGTGTCTGCTGGGATTGACTTAAAATGAGGAGTGGGTGAGTGGGTGGGTGTAGATAACTAGAATATTTATGTTACATAATGGAACGTTTAAATGTTTAAAAAGTTTGTAAAAGAAAAATATAATTAATAATAAAAAAGATAATTTTGTTTACTGCATTTTGTGTTCTAAAAATTGATCAATGTGTACCACTATGGGTATTACAGAGGTCATCATAAAATGTTTGCTATACTATACATACAAATTTATCTAAAAAAAAAAAAAGGAATAGATGTGTCTCATTTATCACAAGTATGAACTTACTTAACAATAATAATAATAATAATAATAATAATAATAATAATAATAATAATAATAATAATAATATAAATAATAATAATTTGTTTAATATTTGAACGAAATAATGATATTATGTTATATAATTACATAACTATAGGCAGGCAATCACCACTATAGGTATATAAATATTCAAATTAGTTTTTTTTTTTTTGTGAGGGGAGGGGATTTCCGAACAAAAAACCACATAAAATATAGAAGGTATATAATATTATCATTTAAGTAGTTCCAAAAAATTGTAGGGGAGATCGAACATTATGTAGCTGAGGTTATCAAACAGCTTCATAATAGTTCACAATGTTGAATGAGTCTGATTTTCCCACAAATTCTGAAAAAACTTTTCCACTGGACAGAACGCTCCTTTTGAATACTGAAAACACAAAAACAAAGAATTACTTCTAAGTATACATTGTATTTCCCATACCATCTGACAATACAATTAGACAGGCAAAAAAGCAATAATTTGTTTAATGTGCAAAAAATGATTCAAAATCAATGGTGGCTTGTGCTTTTGTAACAAACTTACAATAATAAGCAATAGTAGACATTTTTCCAAATATAAAAACTTTTTTTTTATTATAAAACATTTGTGTAAATAAAAATTTGTTATTTAATCAAATCCATATAAAATTAGTGGAGCAATTTGGAAAATATTTTAGAGAGGTTTCTTCATTTCCTGATTTTGCAATCCTCAATTTCACTTAAAAAAAAGTAAATTATCCCCAATAAACACTTAAAAGTAATTATAGGACTTTGTTGGGAAAGGGGTATAATCCATAGAAAATCATATCCTTAATTCATCTAAATCATGATTTTGTACTATTTTATAGGTACCTACTAAAAACTCAGAACACATGTAACGCGCCTTGGAGCATATACCCACAGGCAATCTAAAATAATAAGCAGAGGAAAAAAAAGGGTTACATCAAACATATAACTGCAGTTTTTTTTCAAAACATATGCACCTATTAAATCTAGCATCTGGAAGGGGAGGAGCAAGCGCTCTCTTTACCTCCCATAATCCGGCCCTGGTAATCATATACATCTTAAGATAAATATACCATAATTATAACCATAATCAATCGATGACCATTATAATAATATTAATATTTATATGTGTTCGAACGTGCAGCCGTGCAATAGGTTTTTGTTACTTTACAATTAATTTAAGAGGACATCAAACGTGCATTAAATGTGCACGTCTCAGTCAATCTAACAAGCATTATATCAAAAATGTGTTTTCGAACTTCCATTAGTGGTTGAACAAGATTTTGCTAAACATGCAGTAGTTATTCCATGAGTGAAAATGATTTCAATTTTTAATTTATTTCATTCCTCATCATAAAATATGTTGTTATCGCCACTAACATCTATTTTAACGATTTGGTTTGAATTGTTATTCAGCGACGAAGATTTTAAACGTAATTACAATTATTTTTACACGTTTTTAAAATATATATGAATCATATATAACTCGGTAATATATACAGTAAATTATAAGAGCAATTTATGAAATCTATATTACTATAGGTAATTTAAATACCTACCTACTTAAATACAACAGTAAGTTTTACTTGCTTTTATTTTTTTTAATTTCTTCAAAAAAGGCTAAATATCATATATGTTTTTCATAATAATTTTAGTATCTCAAGTACCTGTCATACTATACATAGATATTGCTCAATACAAATCGATTTTGCCCCAGTATCAAGGCAAAACCAATAAATGATTAAATATTGAAGAGAAGAAGTTTTTTAACACAACTGTGCAAAAACATTAAGTTTATTTAAAAATTCTGAATAATCGTAAAAGTTCTAATTTTAAATTATGAATGAAGCAAGAAATGTATTGGTTTTACGATTTTTATTTTATTTTTTTTTTTCTATAAACAATTTTTCTAGCAGAAACATTGCTCCGATTTTCAAGTGTAGCATTTTTTTTTAAGGAAAATTTGACTGGGTTGGTAGTTTTTTTACTAAGTTATTTTTTAATTTTTCAAGTTGTTTTCATAATAAATTGGAAAAGCTGGGAAAATTTACGAAATTAATTATTTTGAAGTTATAAATATAACAGCCTTTGAAAACATGTATAATCAAAGTCATTTTTCGTTTGCGAAGATTCAAATATAAATTAAATTCCCCTCTATATCCTACTTTCCAAACTGCTCACCTACAACAGTGGTCCACTCATCGTGTGAAGTCCTTATCTTTTTCCAGTTAATTTTGCCCAATCTACTGCAGAGTTGTGGATGGTCGTATAAACGCGATTTTGGTAAGTATCGAAATAAACACGAGAAATTGTACTTAATGTCTAAAAACAGTTAGTTATTTTTCAAACCTACTTTATTTACGTATTAACATTTTTGTTTTGAAAAACATTTTGCAAAAATTACATAAAATCGACAGACGATGATTTCAAAAACCCCGTGATTTAGACATTTATAGAAAAACTTCTTGTGTTTATTTCAATACCAAAATCGAATTTATACGACCAATGAGATCCTAGTATATCATTATTGGAAGAGTACGAAAACACATTTTTGCTATATGTCCGCTAGACAGACAAAAACCACAAATGCATGTTCGACGCCACCTTAAACCATTTCTCGGAAAATCGGTGCGTAACAAATAGTTCCCTTTAGGATATACGACTTACCGTGTAGGGTATGTTACCTACTACATATAGGTATATTATACACGTACGTGAACCGGTCAAATTTGGAAGTCGTCGTCGTATATAAAATAGTAATTTTCTTTAAATTTTGAATGTATTGAAGCACGTATTGGTTTAACGGTTATTTTTTTTTCTTTTTGTGTTCCCAGAAAGTAGAGGCTATAGTCTGTATTCTGTAGCGCATAAGTATAATTAATAGTAGGTAGGTATTTAATATATACAGAGTATCTTCTTCACGTTACTTTTGGATACGGCTGCCTGTGGACAAAATTAGCTCGAACTCGGGAAATAGAGCTGTTTTATATAGGTGGATTAAAGTGATGAAAATTGGATTGAATTTTAACATAATATTACGGGAGGTGGGTGATAACATCTCTATAGATAGTATTTGGCGGTATCCTCGATATAAGTATCCTAAATAGGTAACTTAAATATAATTGTGTCGTATATTGTGATACAGTTCTGAAAAGTATCGAATATCTTGTATTTTGCTATACTAAAATCAATATACCAGTCTAGGATAAAGAACCAAATAGTCTGCATTGCATGTTTTGTAGTATCTTACTCTTTCCTTTCTACAACCAGTATAATGAAGCTAAGGGATTTCTTATATGTCTAGTCTTAGTATTAAGTATGTGTCTGTGTCTATTGGTGTTTTAACTATCAACCCCAAAATTTTTATATGATCACATTTCACGTTTTTCTTTTTTTATTGTAATTTTTTTGTAGCAATTTTTTCTAGTTGGTGCATCGAGGTCATTTTATTTATTTTCCTTATAATTAAAAAATGTTTTGCATAAAATATCAAATAAGATGAGTAAAATAAAAATAGAACGTGAGCCAAACTAGGATAAAAAATAAAATATTATATATTTTCAGTTTTGAAAGTTATCAAAAAAATGTATTAAGAACATTTTATGCTTTTTAATCTAAAATATGAGAATTTGTACACAAAAAAAAGGTAATATGTAAAAGTATGCAGTATACATTTGTATATTCGATATATAGGTACCAATTATGACACAAATTTATATCAAACCAGAAGTTCAATATGATATTTTAAAATAAATATTCAAATACTTAAATTTCTGAGCTTTGATTATATAAGTATGTACCTACGTTCAATATTTTAATATTTACCAGTATCTTTTATAAAACTGAAGATCTGAGAAAAATCATAATGAATTTTCGAAAATTTCTTATATATTTTCTTCTTTTTTTTTTACGAAATTAAAGAAATTAAAGAAATCAATGAAATTCAAAAAGTTCCATTTTAATTATAATTTAATTATTGTATTAAAGTATTTACTAGTTTATTATTTGCATCAGCAAACTGCACAAAGACAATAAATTGTATATTTAATCCATATTGAGGTAAGGTAAGAATTGTAAATTGAATATAAATAAAAAATTATATTGGTATCTACATGGTACACAATCTCATAATAAATTTGTGGACAAATTAAATGAATTGGATTATATTATTAATTTTTTGTTAAATGACACATTATAAACTAAAATCATAGTTTACAATTCCGCTAGGGGTCCTCTATCCACCAATTAATTTTAAATAAACTTTTAAACACAGGTCAATTTAGTTTCCAAAGTGTAGTAAAGTAACTTTATGATAAAAATGTTCACAAAAAACAAATTATTGATGAATTATAAAAACCAATTGGAATAATTTACAAAACATTTAATATTATTGAGCCTCTCCAAAAAATTCACATGTTACTAACTATGGAACTATGGGTCTCCCATTCCAAGAAAAATATGCCAATGCTTATGTATTTATAGATTTAACAGATAGCTAAGACATAACAAAGAATTAGTTAATGGGGCACTGTCAAGCCGCAAATAGAAATTATTGTTAGAAATTACCTGGACACCAATACATTATGAGTGAAATTTTCAAGCCAACTAATGATAATATTATACAGGGTAATCAACTTATTATGAACCAACAATTTTCCCTTAGGATTTTTTATGAATTTGATTTATATTTTTTTCAATCATTGTGGAATCACTTCCACTTAGCAATTTTTATTTTTTACCCTTTACTATATACTTTACATGAGAATATAATTTTAATTTTTAAATAGGAACCCTCTTTATGAATACAAAAAACTGTAACATGTAAGTCAGTAACATCGGATTTATTTTTAACAGCTAACAGTTTAAAATTTAGACCACAGAAGTAGGGAAAATAAATTGCATGTTCATTTTTAGATGATAAATGCATAACATCCTTTCCTGTTTTCCCTGCATAAATTTTAAACTGTTATAACTTCGTAAGCGGTAAACCAAATATTAGTATTGAACATGTCAACATTTTTAGACAAATATGCTGTATTCAAATTGATTTTCAAACAAAGAGGATTCTTATTTGAAAATAAAAAATATAAACTTAAGGGTATATCCATATATATAGGAGTAAAAAATTAAAAATAGTGTTAAAATAAAGATTCCATATGTTCCATAATGATAGAAAAAACATAAATCAATTTCCCTTAAAATTCTCCAAAAAAATGTCTGGTCCATGATATTGTTTAACGAATAAATAAGCTAATAAGAAAACTTACTATCAAATGTATATTTGTTATCATATTAATCTAAATTATAAAATAAATGGCACCAGGTTCAAGTTAAAAATTATAAGCCATTAGCTACACAATTAAAAATATTTAATTATAAAATTACTGCAATAGATTACCAAATAATAAATCAATTATTTTAAAATAATAATATGTGCATGCAGCTTTAACTGTATATTATATATTTAATTATATTGCCAAATAAAATATTTTAGAAATGTGTTTACTCATCAATTTGTATTTAACTCTTAGTTTGTATATAATTTGGCTAATTATTAACTAGGTGCCAAAATCTTGTAATTAGAATATTTTGAACATTTCTTAGTACATAATTAACAAAAAATAATTATAATTAGGTAAATATATTTGTAAATTAAAATATCTCAAACATCAAATGATTTTTATAATTTATAAATTGTATATTATTAACAAAGAAATTAAATTGTGATTTTATTTTTTCTTTATTTCAATGTAAAACAATTGGAATGTTTAAAGTACTCAAGACAGAGTTGGTATTTTTAGATTATTATTATTATTATAAATCAAAAAAAAATAGCCCATTATGGTCAATTAACATTAAGAGCAAGCGATATTTAAAATATATGTATATATATACACATTATGTATATACATATTATATATATTCAGGCAAAAATAATATTCTACTGCATGAACTATAATACTATTTTAATGTACTAATATATTTCTATACTGCATTACAATTGTAAAAGGAAAAGGTTTAATTTTAATACCATAACCAAATACATAAATAAACATTGGTAAACTTTAATCAAGATTTAATTTTAAAAGCTTAATTATGTATAACAGTATAATATCCATTTACCGAAAGCTAGAGCACTTTTTCAAAACTAAAATTACTAAAATAACATTATATAAACAATTTTTGCACATGCAGAAATTATATAATGTTAACCAGGTTAATATAAAAATAAAATGTGTTTTTCATAAAATGATAGTTTACATTAAAAGACAAAACTGTATTTATTTTTTTTTTTACACACCTCCAGAAATGATTTTTTCCAATTTAAAAGTCGGGTAATTTGCACAATCTTTAGCAATATATGCCCCATATGGAGTGAAATCTTTTACAGCAGGTTTGACCATACGCATATTATGCATAACGTTTGTAGTATCAACAGTATAATATCCTATTAAAAAAATATTAATAATATAAGTTATTTTTTTATGAATACATTTTATTAAATAAATTATGAACAGATTAACTATTTCATGGCTTAATAACTATATAGATATGTCAACATTTTATTTATATGCTACAAATAAAATATACAATGAGCTTGCTCTAAATGGGCGGGATATGGGATATCACATAAAATGATAACATTTAAAAATTGTCTTCTTCTTAGTGTGCCTATTTGTTTAGAATGTTGGAAATGACAATGAATATTTTTTTTTAGTTGATTGATAAAATACAAAATAATTCACTTGATATTGTGTGCAATCAATGACCTAGGTTTTTTTTAACCATGATACTTCTAACTCTTCTTTTATCTTGAAGTATAAGTTGTAGTAATCTGTTACAAAAATCATTTCTAGTTCTCAAATTTTTGTTTTTACCCCATAATGTGCAATATGTCAAAAACTGAACATATCACTGACATATTTAATTATTCAGCCATAAATAATTAAATTAAATTCAAATTAAATTGTGTTAAAACATCATTAATACTTACCACTTGACATTTTAAACAACAAATCATACAAAGAACTGGGTGGCACTACAGCTGTACGGTTTAATGGCATAATGAAACACCGTTGTCCAACAACATCTACAATGCCAGTGACATTCTAAAATTAAATGAATTAATAAATAAGTTGTAGTAAATAGAAATGAATAATACAAATAAAAAAACATACTGCGCTGAAATCATGGATGAAACGTGCAGAATTAGAAACAATATTTTCATAATTTTCTTCAACTTGCTCTTGTATTTTGGTTTTCATTTCAGAAATCACATCATCGGTATTAAGATCTGAGGTAAGCATCTGATGGTTCAAGTTATTTAAATGTTTAGTAAGTTCCTTGTCAAAATATATTAAAATAATTTTTAAAAAAAATAATACAATTAATAATATTTTTATTTCATTTTAAAAAACATGAACAAATTTAGAATTCTTATAAATTAATAATAAACATAAACACTGAATTTGTACGAAATTAATGAATATTCTGAAAAAAAAACCCCTTACATAGTAAAAAAGAATTTAACATCTAAATATATATTCACAAACATTTTATCATCATTTTATAATCAAAAAATATGTAAATATTCAGTAAATCTGTTTTGAAATGTATTTTTTTTTTAAATAGTAAAAATCAATAAATACATACTTGAAATTGTTTCAATTCAATTAATTGGTTACTTTCATCATACTCATTTAAATCATTATTTAAATTTTGAAAAGCAGACAATTTATCATTTACAGCAAATTCATGTGTTCCATAGTAAGTTTGATCCTATACAAAATTCAAATATTTGAATAATTAAAAATTATGCTATTCTTATGATTTAAAAGGTTTATTTAAATAATAAAATGTAAATTTTAGACTGGCAAAATAATAAATTATATAAATATAGATATAATAAATATATGAAATATAAATAATTTTCCCATTTCATTATAGTGTTAACTTTTAGCTATGGTAACTCATAAATTCAATATTGGAAATTGTTCGAAATAATCAAAATTATATTTTCTTTTTGAGTTAAGTTTTATTTAAATAAAATGTTTAAGTTCTTTGAATGATTCTCCATACTGGGACAACAAATACAAATTAAAATAATTTAAAATCTTTACTGGTTTATAATGCAAAATTCACGAAAGTTATTAATTCTATCCAATTTGAATGATTTATTGCTAAAATTTAATTGTATTATGCACAATTAATATAGGCAGTTTTTTTTTTTTTTTGTTTTAATAATTAATAATTAAATAAAAAATAAGTATTTATGAACACTTATACTATTTTAGTTCCAATACTTAAAAAATAATTATTATCATTATAAAACCAAAAATAATAAAACATTTTTGACTGATCTTACGATCCATGATGTTTAATTTAGTTGAAGGCTATACTTCTATAAAAACAAATACATGAATGATACGATTTAATTAAATAAATTATTCATGAGTATAATTAGCATTAGATTAACAATAATTTAGATATAAAATAATAGACTACTGAAAATGCATTATGGATGGTTAACATAGATAACTTTTATTTAATGAATATAATAAAGAAACCCATACAATTAAAACTGTATTTCATACAAATACCCAAGGGGCGATTATTATTGTTCATGAATAAAAATAAGTAGGTAAATAGACTTCTATTTCTGTCCAATTTTCAAAGCAAATTTATTTTTAAATTATACAATAATTTGTATTATAGTAAAGTTAGGCAACACCAAGTATTTTAACTAAACATGTCAATAATATTAATAACAAATAGGTAACCAGAATTACCTAGCTGTATGACATAATGATAAAATAACACACCACTATATTGGAACATGTTTGCATATTGTAGGCAAACTGTTTACACATAAGGTATAAAAGTTATATCATACAAGTACATTGTCAAAAATTAAAACATTATTTTATTATACAGATATTTTCGCCAAATAAAAATTATTTGAAAAACTAATATAATTAAAAAGAATTTGGATGACAAAATTATATTTTAAAAGAAGCAGTAATATCTTCTACACAGAATCCAATGTTTAAAAATTTTCCTTTACATCTACAATGTTGATATAGTACCATTATTAAAGAAAATTGTTTTAAATTTTAAGTCCCATACTTTTTTTAAAAAAAATTGTAATAAAAATAAATAAAAAAGTAATTTAAAATCTAATATCATGCAAATACTTTTGATAACAATCTATAAGAGCTGAAAATGTAGTGGTTATGTTTTTTAAACATGTTTTCAATTTTAACTGCAAATAATTCTTACTAACGCTCTCTCAAAAATCAATATATAAAAAACACATAATTTTAGACGCCTATTACTTTTAGCTAAAACCAAACAACTGGTTTACAGCTGTATAGACAGTAATTACATTATGAATTATTGTTCTCTTGTATTATACTATTTAATCATATTATACATGGATATTTTTTAAAATAATTTTAGTTAGTTTACGATAATATACAGAATGATTACAACATTAAGATTAATACTAGGTAGGTAGGTTGATACAAATGGAGTTTAATCTTCAAGTATAATACAAATAAATATTTGTATCATAATATAATTTATCTTTTGAATAAAAATGGAAGTATTAACTATGTCATGGATCAGGTTTTTTGTCTTAAATTTATATGTTTATTAATTGACAATAAAAAAAATTTTAGGTATTCAAATTTGTATTTGTATGACATAAATTTAAAAAAAATATATAAGTTACATCAAACATTATTTTAAAAATGACAGCTAACATTGTGATTATTAAATCAGCTAAAAAAAAAACCAAATGTAAAATTGTTTACAGAACTAAATCAAACAATAATACATTTTGTAAAAATTTAGTACTGTTTATGTTGTCAACTGTCTCATATTCCAACAACAAAATACTTATGTTAAAACACTAGCACAAAAAAAAACAATTTAAATTTATATGTAAATTACATGTTATTACCAATATTTTTTTTTACCAAGGTACTACAGTCACTATGAGTAATATAATTTTTAATGTTTTAAATACAAATTAATTATTTCATGAAAAAATCAAATATTCAAAATATCTCACCAAGTGCTTTTTAAACTAATGTTTATAATTACTATGTAGGTAAAATTAAAGAAAATTAATAGTACCTAATTTTATTGTATTTAATAGTTTACCTCCTCTTGGAAAGCTCGTCCAATAGCTTTATAAATTGTTTCTCCATACAGCATCATAATGGTAATAAGCAATGACATGAGCAAAATATAAGCCACAGCCCATATAGAATAAACACGATCATTAATTACTCTAAGGATCAAAAATCTAGATCTGACTGAACGATCAGCTCCAACATTTCCAGCTTCAAGATCTTTTGCCTGTCAAAAATTAAATATTCTATTAATATTTAAATAACCTACTTAGGTATAATTAAATAATAAACAACGCCTTATTTATTTATTTATTTTTAGTTAATTTGAATAGGCAACATATTTTTATATTCTGAAAAAAGCAAGAATGTAAATATCAATTTTTTTTTGTCTGTAAACAAGTTTTAGACTAGAAATCTTGCTCCAATTATCAACATCATAGGTGGTTTCTAGTATCAAATTTTGTTCCTAGTTAGTGCTTTTAAAGAAGACGGTTTTAAATATTCCTAATATTTTTCTTAATGAAGGAGGAAAATATAAAAAAATGAATAACAGGAATATTTTCACACATACGATTTCTGTTAATTTTCATTTAAATTTTTATTATAATTTAGTGAAAAATAATCATAGAGACCAGAAACTTACATTGAATAATATTTGTTTTATTTCAACTTTTTCTAAATATGGTGTAATTTCCAAAACATTGTGCCTACTTTATTTTTTTGTTGGTTAAGCAATGATTTAATTGGACATAATTGTTTGGCATCATATAAAAGATAAAAAATATAATATAAGGTATAGATGATATCTGGCCATTAAGTCCTAACCGGGTATCCAATATGATATTCTGTACCCCATGACTACTAATTACCCAGCATAATAATACATTTTTTTTTCTCGGTACCTGGCTCACTGTCTTATGCTTGTTCATTTGTCGATGTAGTGAGAAAAAAATGTGTGCTCGAAAAAACAAAAAAAAAATTTTTATTTAATTTTTTATTGAGCAATTACTTAGTGGCTTGTGACTAGGTGTCTTAGCCACTAGCTCTTAGTAGATACTTAATTATTGATTAAAATAGATATTATTACTCGGCTAATACTCGGTACTTGGTTTGTTTATAAACATTGCACCCAAAACACCTCTAATAAAAGAATCTTCATAAATTGTACTTATTAGTAATAAAAATTAAACTAAATATATTTTCCAAGGTATTTTCAATATACTTATATTTTTGTAAATGTTTTAATTTCGAATTTGTGATAAAATTATTTATAAACATATGCAATTGTAATTTATTTTATACATACAAATTAATACAATTTTCAATATAAATATGTAAAAAAATGTTTAGCCAAACTCCGCTCAGAATCGCTTTACTTTTGCAATGGTTTATTGTTATATACAGTAAGTATATAAACTAAATTAGGTACCCTATATAATATCCGACCTTCATAACTTTTTTTAACCATTAACCTACATAAACCAAAACCAGTAAAATTTACATTTCATAATACACACAACATAACATTTTTTTTATTTTTTAACCTCATACATACAATATTTAAATTTAAATATATATATATTTTACTTATTCACAAGCAACACAAAGTATGTAGTAGTAACATTTACCCTGTTCTAAATCAATACTAGTTATAATACAGGGTGTATTAAACCATCTGACCTAATTTCATTTGTTTAGGTATTTATTTATTTACCTAAATTCCCACCTATAACTTTAAAATATATTGTCTTTGTTGAGAGCCTATATAATACATTGATATTCCTAATAATTCTTTGGAAATCAATGTATTTAATACATTTTAAGACTACGTGTCTAATTGTCAGCAATTATTTCTATTTTTTTTTTTTTTTAATATTCACTTTTTATGATTGTATGTATTTTCGTCAGTAGATAATTTCTACGAAAACTATCATTATTCTTTAATGTTTTTAATTGCCATATTAATTGATAAGCTTGTTTATTAATAAAATTGGTTTGTATAAACTTCTGATAATCTATTTGTCAATAAAACACTATCTATCTACATATTAAAAATAATTAGGTACCTAGTTTCTTTAATTTGTATTATATTTTTAAAAAAACCGTACAAATTCTTAAGAATTATTACAAATATATGTTAAATAATAATAGTTGAGTAGGTACCTATAGTGTTTTGTATGAGAACCAATCCACAATGTTGTTTATCTTTTTGACACCACAACAAAACTTGTTAAAATTAAATATAATGTTCTTGGCTCTGTTTAGAACCTAAAGGAGCTGTTGAGGGAGGGGCATGTCTGTGCTATTTGTTTTTGGGGTGGAAATTTGGAAAGGTAGAATAAATAAATTTATTTAAGTCATATCTGTACGATATAATAATAAACCATTTTTATCAAAAAACAATTCTCAGCAAAGTTCCGTATTGCAAATTGGTTATGAAAGAAATTTATTACATTAGATTCAACTTTTCTTATTTTTTTTTTTTACCATTAAGTACCACATATAATGAACCCCTTGTTAAATATTCCAAATTATTTGAATTACCAAATAAAAACTAAAAAACTCCAAAACATTTCAAATAGCTATAGATAAATAGCTCAAAAATTGCCAGAATGTTTTAAAAATTTTACTACCTATGTTAAACATTTAAAGATAATTAGGCATATACAAAAATACAGCCAACTAATTACAAAATAAATGATTTGAAAATAATATTATGTCTGTATGTTTAGCTAAATAAAAACCATTCAATATCAATAATAAATCTGAAAATAATTCTTAAGAATATATTAGGTATCTATACTTGTAACCTTAACGAAAAAAAGTTTGTGAATAGATACCAATATTGATAATAACAGTACGATTGACCTAACACTATTTGAGGGCCACGATACAAAAAAAAAAAAAAACATAATATGATAATAATAATAAGTATACAATTATTTCAATGTCAGACAGTCAGTGCTTTATCAACGTTCAAAGTCTGCACAAATGAATAGGTTGGTACGATATAGAAGCACAAAGGTTCTGCCAGTATAATATAGGTATGTCGACAGAAACAAAAGATTCATTATGATGATACGAACAATAAACTCTCTAATGAAAGTGCACGTACATGTAGGAAAACGATAATACACAATGCTAATTTGACAATATAATAGATTAACAACAGTGTATTTATCAATTATTTAAGTATTATTGTTATTGACTTGCAGCCAAAAAAAAAAAAAAAAAACAATTGCCAGTGACGTAGTTTTAACTGTATATATATATTTATGTATTTATATTTAAGAATATATAGGGTGAACCCGAGGCGATTCTTTTATCACGGACCAGCAACTATCTCCGCGGATTTTAAGTGAATTTTACCTCAGTTTTGTTTAATCATTATTTTAACGTCATTTCCAACTGTTAGCCCTCACTCCTTATACCTGAAACGGGCATCTGCTTTGGGTTTTTAAACCACAACTCCCCATCCCGATCACATATTCGAACAGAGAATGTTCTTCTAGATATTTTGTCGCGCGCAACACCTAATATCGCATTCGCCGTCTACGCGTTACAACAGTGTGAAGTTTACACCGGTGTGGGGAGAAGTGTAATAAATCGCATGCACCCCACGAAATATGTTTAAAGGATACACGGCCTCGGTGTTCCCGAGGCCGGTCCAAAGCCGTTGTGACGGCGGTTCTTAACACATGGACGGTATGCCTAGAGTGCATTGGCGCGGTACACATAAATAATTTCCACGTTCGAAACTGCGATCGACAGGGGGATGGGGTTGCGGTCAGGTTATTTAGAAAAAAAAAACCCCAAAGCCGATACGCGTGTCGCGAGTGAACTTCGGAACACCGCTGGAAACGGGTAGGTTTCAACGCGGGGTTGAAATAAAAGCACGGACGCGCGGGCGGGGGGGGGGGGGGGGAAATGTGAAAAACCCGTATCGAACGCACGTAGTTTCGGACACGCGGGAAAATCGCCTGGTCGTCCGTGATAAATCGCAATCGGCCCGCGCAGACGATACGAGGAACAAAAAAAAAATTTGGACAAATGAAACAACAACGCATTAAAAACCGTCGTACGGTTACGCACGCGACGCGCGTAACGTAATTGTTCGTACGTCCAAGACGATAATACACGTAATGCGAGTAATAATAATACAGGGAAAACGGCGCGATAATATCACGGACGCCGGGACGTTATGCCGACCGACGATATTAATTACGATGCGGGTACGTGTACAACAACAATGAATGCGCATTATATTAACGTACGGCGGCGTAGGTAAAAACCGGAGATAACGCCGTGTGTAAACTCGGCGTATTTTTATTATTATAATTGTTTTGTTGTTGTTGTTTTTTTTTCCTACGCGTACCCAACCGACCCGGTCGGCGGCCAATTTTTCCGCCGATTACCGAGGAATCTAAAAAGAAGAAGAGAAAACAAACGACAAGACGACGACGTGCGCGCCGACCAATAACTCGCAACTATTGTATTGAAAAACAAACAACAAACAATATTGTCGCGAGCGGATAACGACGCGGAACGGCCATGTACAATAAATTTATCATACGGTACGTTACCAGCGATCGCGTTATTCGCGCATTGTTATTAAAAAGTTTCGTCGCGGGGAAATCGCGCGAAGAACGTGACGACGACGACGACGACCGAGATAACGTCTCGGGACGCACGCGCCGACCGACGGCAAATATTCAACGAGATAACGGCCCGCCGAGACGAGATAACCAGACGAGTTTTTGCGCGCAACGGACAAACGGACTTTTCAAAAACGACGGCCTCTCGCGCGGCTACGCCGATTACGGTTCCGGGCACGTTCTCCGGACGCTATCGGCCGGCGAGAATGCCGCGGCTTTTTCCGCGTCATTGTACACCGTTCCGTCGGCGACCTCGCGCGTTACCGTCGACGACAAACGATATCGGCGACGGCCCGAACACGTCACGCGCGCGCGCCCGAGACGATAAATTCGCAACAGTAAAATATCATCGTTGGCGTGATGTAAACACGGTAATATTATAGGTGAGAGAGGGGGCGGCGAAAAAACCGGACGACGAAGTTTGGACGTCAAAAAAACTAGACGGGGCGAGGAGAAACCGGTGGAGAACCGTCGGGTCGCCGCCGATAACGAGCGCGGGAAAATCCGGCGGCGACCGGGAATACGTTAACGGGGCCTCAGGGGTTACGGGTGGGAAGAAAAAAAAAAAATGAAACGGCTGGACGGGTGGCCGACGGCCACCGGAGGCAGACTACTCACCTGCGACGACGCGGGATCGATTTCGATGTTGTCCACAAGAGGTACGTTATCGGATTTCTTTTCCGAAGACGGCATCGTTATGACGGTCATTTTGCTGGACGTTGACTGTGCGAAACGGGGAGAGTGAGAAAAAAATCAATTTCAACGGGTCGATCGTCAGGTCGTGACGAGAACGGGAGTAGAGCGCGGACAAAATTAACGGTAAGCGAACGTCGACAAAGGTCGCCTGACTCGTTCTGAGCGGTGCCGTTGTCGCGAGGTGCGACGTCGCGGTCCGTTCCCTCGCCCCCCACCGGTTACGATTCGTAATCCGTGGCGGTGGTGGGCGGAGGGACGAGCGGCGGCGGCGTACCGTTCGCGCGGGCCGTCCCCTCCCGCGGCCAGCGGCCTCGGCGGCGGGCCGCGGGACGGGGCTCAAGAGTATCGAGTGTTGTTGATATTGTTGCGCGGCGGACGGGGCAAACGCGGAAACGTGACCGCGCGCGCGCGCATAATAAAACCCGTCGTCGTAATAATAATTGATAATTGCATTATTATTACAACGTTATTACTCCGAACCGCCGCGGTCGCCGTCAATGTAACAATATTGTTTCGTTGCGACCGATTCCGCGCCGTCGTATTGTACCTACAGCGCTGCGGGCTCCCCCCCCATCCACCCCGCCCGGCCGGTGGAAACTTAACGCCAGTCCCCGACGGGGCCGGACGATAGGAATCGTATTTTATTAACGCGTTGCGCGCTGTTGTGCGCTCGTCAAGCCCTCTCGTGGCGAGCCCCCGCCGCCGTACCCGCGGGGCAACAGTAACGCCGTTATAACCGCGTACCGTTCTCATCCGTCGGAAACGACCGTTTGCCGGTTAATTACGGGGCGGGGAGACGAACGACAATATTATCGCGCGGGTACGGAGAAAAATATACGCGGCAAAATAATAATATTATAGCCGCTATAATGTAGCGCATATTGTCGTCTTCCGAAATGACCGGCGGGGGGGGGAGTAAAAAAAATAAAAGACCTTTCGGGGGGGGNGGGGGGGGGGGGGGCAATATAGATATATTTATACGCGTGTCTACTGTCGGGGTACGTTTTTTTTTCTCGCGTAGAACGCGCAGTACCCACGCGCCGCGATGGGTGCCGATCGCAATCGACGCCGCCGCGATGGCGGCGGCGGGTACACGCGATCGGACCGTGGACGAAACGATCGTCCGAACAAACGCACGCGTATCCGCATAATAACTACACAGCCATTAACGTTTGATTATTATTGTTTTATTGCGTAGGTAACAATTGCCAAACGGTATCGGTGTACTACGCAGCAAAATCGTTATTCCCGTTCGATCCATTCGTGTTACACGCGCGTCACGGCGGCGGGCAGTGGGGGAGAAGAACGGCGCATTTCGTTATGCCGATGAGTAGGTGCGTATTATTTTGTTGTGGTCGTCGTTGCCTTTTTGCACTGGCCCCCGTCACCCCCCCCCCACCCGCCACCGCGGTCCGGAATACGGCGAAAATTTTTTGTTGTTGAGAACAGCGCGGGTATATTGTACTATAACACAATAACACAATTATTGTTGTAGCGTGTGGTATATTATGTGCGCGCGCGCGCGCGCCCGCAATCTGCCGTCGACGACGTGTCCGTACGATATTCGATGCACCGCGCGCACGTTAACATCAACAGAGAGAGCGAAAAAAAAAAAAAAAAAACATCGCCGTAATAACATTACGCTATACAGTGTGATCGTTTTATCGCGCGCGAATTATTATTAATTTTTTCCCGTCTTACCCGCAGACCGGTCTGCGACTTCGATAATTTCCATTCCAGACGGGTCGCTGGCCGTTTGCTCGGGCCCCCGAAACGGTTCCAATAACGTCGTTTTTAATTTGTTCGTCCTGTAACAACAGTGTCGACGGCGTACCGCAGTAATACCCTCTTTTCCTCCGGTCGTATCATATTATTCGTGTCTGGGGAGGGGGGCCCTCCGTTGATAAAATGTATCGGCCGCCTTTCGCGCAGAGATTAAAGCGTATACACGGTACTTTTATAGACGTGGTAAAATTTTCAGAACGTTTTAATTTGGTAGATATTCTGTGCGTAAAACTATCAGATCAAATCTCTATTTGAGAGATACTTGGAAATTTAACATGAGGTTCATTTTAAGTCATACTGTGTAGTATGGTGAAAAACCAAATTGATAATTTTTTTATAAGAATTTTAATATTAAATTTTGACGACAATCGTAAATATTTAAAACACGTATAACCGAACTCTGCTCAGAATTGTCTTCCGTTGGCAATGATTAATCATTGTGTACAGGTATACGTTAAATTTCCCTCTTTATCCGACCTTTCCGATTTTTCACCTACACCAGAGGCCCACCCATGGTACGAAGCATGTTTTTTCTTAACGAATTTCGTTTTTAACAAGTTAGTTCGAATATTGAAATTTGTTTAAAATAAGAATTTTTTTTTTTTTTTCTGTAACTCACAATTATACATTAAATATTATTGTCTATTACATATTTATTATTATTATTATTATATTAGAATTGCGTTATGTATTTAGAATATATGTAATCACAAAGTGCATGGGAAAAAATGTGCATGATACCTATTCCGAGCGCATTAACGCGCATTGACGTTTGGTAGGCTCAGCTAAGCACATCGCGTTTCGATTATCTACTGAAAATTCACACACGACACACCACACACGTACATACATATGCGTATAACATATGTACGTACTAATAATAAAATTGCGACAGTTATAAAATCGGTGGCCGGCCGTGGGCGTACGAGTGCTTCAACGAGTTGAAACATTCGGATACGCTAATAAATGTAGTTCGCATAATAGAGGGTTCGTGTAACGGAGGTCCGGATAATTGAGGTTCTACTGTATTTTTTCCGCAAAATATTTCAGTCGAAATACTACAGATGCGCCGAATAGTAGCAAACTGTCAGTAACGTTTTAAAAAAGAAAATAATAATACTCTTTTATTACAACCTCATCACCCCGCAAATTTTAAACAATTCGAAAAAAAAAATATTCTTCGAGAGTGTTGAAATAGTTTACGATTTCTATAAAATTGATAATCTATAAGCTATAATATATAAGCTTAAGCAGAAAGTTGGTACAATTTTTTGGAAAATCGGGACTGTCAAGATATTAACTTAATTGATTCGTTAAATAGTAACTGTACATTTTTCCCAAGTATGGCAACTGCTTTGGAAATATGGACATATTTATGTCCCTACCAACTACAAGTTGTACAGCAAAATGTTCTATTAGTACTTTAAGGAGTGTTAAAATATGGCTTCGATCAACGATGGGTGAACATAGACTGAGTGAGCTGTATATGTTAAGTGTTCATCGAGAACAAAAAATTCAGAGAAAGACCAATTAATTGAAAAAACATTAACACAATTTGATAGAGAATGGCCACGTAAATTACAATTTGTATTTAACGAAAAATAATAAAATTAAGTAAAAATACTTATGATGTATTAAAGTTAAGAATTTATTTTATAAAACAAAATCGAAATTTATTTTTTAAATTATGTTTGCCTCCCTCCTTGGAAAAAAAGTCTGCAGACGCCCATGTACATAAATATATTTTATTTTATTTTTATTAGAAACATAAATACAAAAAGAAATTATAGAAATCAATTATTACATACTAATAATAATTATACTATTTAAAGATAGGTGCGATAATGTATACTACATTTAAAAAAAGTTGGGAGTGTAAGATACTAGATAGAATAAAGTTATTTAATTTATATTTGTAAGCAATTGCTTACAATGGTTTGTCGTTAGTGATAAACTAACGAAATACGATTCTGATCAACGTTCAGTTATACATGTTTTCAAATGTGGTACTTAGTTTTTATTTTAATTGCTTATAGAATCGACTACAGTGGTTATTAACTGAACAGTAAAAGTGTATATTGTTCACAGTTTAAATGTGGTAGTATGTATACGACTATCTTCAAAATTTGATCTTGAAACGGTTATAAAAATAAACTATTGAATACAACTAAGTACAACTTATAATGAACCTCGTGTTCAATTATAAAAAAATAGCACTAAAAATCTAAAATACTTCAAATATGCAAAAAAAACGGTATAAAATTTCATTATTTCATATTTGGAATCCAAGACCTAGTAATATATATAGAGAATATTTATTTGGAAATGAAAAGCCCAAAAAAGCTAAAATAGAACAAGAAAAAACTATAATGAGGGGATCTATAATTAAATGTTTTAAATAATTATAATTATTTTTCATCATGAGTGTATGATGCAAAATAAGTTTTTGGTTGTTTAAAATTAGCACAATAAAGAGCAAATTTAAGGATAAAATAAAAGTAACAAGTTATGTAAAGGTAGCTTAGGTAAGGTACTGGTAAAATTAATGAGTGAAAATATTTCACGTATGTTTACATTTTAAAATGGGAGAGGTTAAAGCCTACGGGAGTACAACTGCCTTTGTGTGGAACCTAATTTCACATATTTTTTAGGCCCTGCTAAAGAGTTATGTCCCGAGTCTCGCAAATTGTAAGGACGATTCTGATTACTATTTCAACTTTCATAATCATACACACAGGCACCCTAATCTCAAACCTCTCTACTACTACAATATTCCTGGTAATCCACTTAAACGTTTAAAACGTAATTGGGCATGTGATCTACTTATTTAAACAGTCAATTATTTTATTTGAAGTAATTTCAATGGATACTACTTTCTTTAATGTCTCCAAGTCTTGCGCCATTGTCATTATATTTATGCATTGTATTTTATATAAAAATTTATCAAATGATAAACCATAGGTACCTATTAGTTATTAAATTAAATATTAAAAAATCTTCGGTTTTGATGCATTGATACGCATATGCCACATCTATGCTTAAATAAGATACATGAAAATCGAATATTTTATTTCTTAAATCATTTTTTACTTGTTTTAAACAAGAAAAGGTTCTTTCACATGCAGTTGAATATTAAATGTTGCACAAAGAATTTGAATTCCATTATATAACTATTAATAGGGGATGACTGATTTCTCATTATCTATTATCTGTTTAGTTTATGCAATAAGTACCATAAGCCAGTATACACTTTTAATTATTTGAAATCAGGCAGGCGGACAAATGAGCGGTCCAAAGGTTTTCAAGGCGTCTATGGCCCGCCCTCGGCGCCGTCACCGGTTAGTGGCATTGGTGTGTTGTTAAAAAATTCGTGAGTATATGGCTATTTCACATAGTCGTATAAAGCAAAAA